AAGAAATAAAGCTACAAATGTAAAAAACTCGAAAAATAAGAAATTCTGTAATATTTTGACTGAATATGTAGTAATATTTAAAAACAGATTTACAAATGTAGAATACTACTGTAAATAGGCTGCTGCGATTCAACTTATCCTATTTATTGTCTTCGAAAGTTAAATATGTACCTTTTTAACATCAAGTTGGAACAAGAAGACAACAAATTGGACAAGTTAAATCGCAGCAGCCTATAGAATCATAATAAATTAACTTAGAGATTAGTTACATTAGATATACCTACCTAGATAAATTAGGTACTTTAAAAACGTTGTTTTACTGTTTCTTTGTACTGTTAAAACATTACAGAATGAATTAGTGACTTCTGAAATTGTTCTTCCCTTTCGGAAATATCGGAATAGAAAAAAGTACAAGTGTGAGTGATAGACCTAATATTGAGTGTCTCCTGACATTTTAACACTTCATCCCATTAGCGAATGTCAATGCAAAGAAAAGTAAACAGCTCCCTGATATGAAAGTTCACAATGTCAATGAAGCTTAATTTATGATTAAATTTATCAAATTACCAAATTCAGTTTCAGATCAACATACGCAAAATTTTAGTTTTTCATAGCGCTATCAATAGATATTTTCCCATCAGCCGTTATTCATCGATATTCTTACATCAGCACATAATCATAAACATTCAAAATTTCTTAATTAATCGTCAAATGATGATTAAAGGAGGCGAAACGGGACCATAGTGTCTCAGTCGCTTTTGAGTTGTTTTTACGACTCACTCCTAATCTGATGATGAAAAAAATTACCAAATTTCAACTCGTGTTCTACCGGAGCCAAACGTTCAACTGAAGACTGATTTCATTTATATTCAGCAAGATGTTCTGAAAAATAATTTCAAGCTCATATGTAGCTGAAAAGATTAGAAATTGCTGCATATTTGTGCCTTGACTTTTTTTTGTGACATCAGATTTTTAAATATATCTATATCTACTGCTTTGAGTCCAAATGTCTAACCAAAACAGATTTTATTTTACTTTTAAGTATTTATAAATCATCAAATATATAAGTTGGCTTTTATTTCTTTCATCATAACTATAAACGTGTACATAGATAAAATAAGAGACAAGAAAGATTAGCTGAAAATATCTGATCTCATTTTTAGTACCACACAATTTTATTCTTTTAAATAATTGAAAGTTCAGCAGGAAGAAAAAAACTTTTAATTGTTTATTGTAATTGTGATCTAAGTTATGAATAAATGTTTGCCAGTGTTGATGTTTTCAAAAAGAAATTTTCTTCTTATGAGTATTTTTGAGAAAGAATTTTCGTCAATTTTCAGTTTTCCTAAAATAAATAAAATATAATTTTTCCTTGTTACTGCATACAAATTAATGACGAAAATTTAAAGACGCCATTCCAATATTTTCGTTTGATTTCTTTCTTGCATTCATATTTTCAACATTCTGATTTGCAAATGAAGAGAAAGTGTTATTGTGGTATTGACAGTTTAAAAGCAGCACACGTGACAATTATCAAAACAGGGAAGAATTTCAAAATAAATAAGACAAATGGAGAGAGATAAGTTTTTGTTTTTAATTTCCTTTAAATATTAATCAACAGCGAGATATGATAAGTGTCGATAATATTTTAACATCTTTAAGCTTACAATCTAATAGGGTGAAGAAAGAAAGAGATTTTAAACTACATTTATCTTATCTTTGCCATGTGCCATTATTTCTTAAATTTACTTTTCATTTACGTTGAACCTCATACCTAGTTCTTGTCTATTTAGATATATCAATAAATAACAATCTTATAGTTTGATAGTCAGAATTAAAAGAAACTTCTTTCATATTTTTTCTTTCCGTCGCGACACGTCGTTAAGCTTTGTTTGATTGAAGTTCATCAAAAATATTTAATTTTCTTTTATATTTCGGCACAAATGGATGATGGAGGTACGGATTATATTCTTTAATTAAACTTTATTAAGCATCGTTTTAATACAAGTTGATCTTCTTTGCGATGGTTTTTCGACACCTGAAAGAAAAAGGAAAATTTGTAATTTTATTTCGTAGAAAATATTCTTCAAATGAAGTTTGACAATCTTTGGAGGTATCTTAAACAGTTTGAATACCTCTGAAGATTTTTTAACGAGAATTAAACTTACATGTGACAAGTTTTTAATGTTTCAGCACATTTAGAACATGCACTATGTCCACATAAAAATGCAACATTTCTTCGTCTCTCCATACAGATACTGCAACAATGCGTTTCTTCAATTTCCATTATTTTCGTTTCAAGGTATCGCAATCGATCAGCTGATGGTTGTCTTGGGGTTTCTTTGGGATGTAAAAATTTCCCGTTCATTGCGACACGTTTATCGATAACGGCATGACATGATAAACATTTTTTCATACGCAAACCACAATCTTCGCAGCATATCTGATGATAGCAAGGCTCAAATGTTATCAATAAACAAATCTCGTTACAAACAATGCATTCTTGTGGTGTTTGCAATTGCGGCTTAATGGCATTAAAAGGTTGAGGTGGTTGAGGTGCCATATAACCTTTCGAACCTTGAACTTGTTGCTTGCGACTTATATGCTTCGATGATGTTGGAAGTGGAGGCGATTGACTTGTATTCCTAATCGGTAAGTTTGAAGTTTCGATTGTAAGATTCGTATTGATGACGGATGTGTTGGAAGAAGTTGTTGGCTCATTGGAAGTATGTGGCAGTGGCGGTGAAGTTGTGTGATTTCTCGGAAGATTTCTCAATTCAATATTAAGTTTTTTGTCATCTTCACTTGATAAAGTGATTATTGGTGGTGATTGTGTTGGTACTTCACGATTATTATTATTAATGTTATTGTTATTACCACCACCACCAACAGCCGCACGATTTCTTCGAGCAGGTGTTGGTGGATTAGATCCAGCATTAAAATTAGCCATCGATGAACTTCCGCCACTGTTATCTTGATCAGTACTTAACGTTGTCGTCGAATCTTGTGACGTTAAATTCATCATCTCAATATTATTGTAAAGTTCTGTCAATTCCTTTGGTTGATTACAATCGTTACTGCCACTTGCTATTGCTGGAGCAATTGTTCTCTTTTGTTCGAAACTTAAAATCATTTCACGAATTTCCGGTTCCGGTATCCAATCAAAAATTTTTGCTCCTTTGTAATTTGCTTCCATTTTGCACCCTTCTTGTGCGAGATAACATAAGAGAGTATACATGAGTCGGTGGTCTTGAATATGACTCAACTGTTGATAAATTTCATAAATCTTTGGCGCTTCCTGTTGTGGAACTTCTTGTGTGAGATTCGCTTTCTTTATGATAGTCAAATGCATTGCATTGTCGCCATCTTCATCGTTCGCTAAAATATCACATTTGAGATCGACGAGCTTCTCTATGGCTGATGCATGGCCTTGACTAACAGCAAGAAGAAAAGGAGTTTGTCGACGATCATTGCGAATATCAACATCAGCTTGTCCTTCTTTCACCAGTACATCGCATACAAGACTATGTCCATTAAGAGCAGCAAGATGAAGTGCTGAAAATCCGTCATCTTTCTTGACATCAACAAGCTGACGGGCTAATTGAAGAATACGAAGTGCAGCAATGACATTGCCCTTCAACGATGCATGGTGAAGACAATTGAAGCCTCGCTTATTTCGAATTGTTAGGTCAAGTGTTGGAACATTACAAAGAAGCTCAACAACTTCACTATTCTCTTTACCAATAGCATCGTGAAGTGCAGTATCGCCATAAGAATCTTGAAGATTTAGATCAGCATTAAACTCCAACAAAACGCGAACGCAATGTGGCGGTTTCTTATGTGCAGAAATATGAAGAGCTGTACAATGACTGGCGTTAAGAACATTAATGTTTGCACCATTTTGAAGGAGAATTCTCATAATATCTGGTTGGTTACCAAACGCTGAATAATGCAACACAGAGTCGCCTTCTTTATCTACAATATTAACATTGGCACCAATCGATAAAAGGTATTCGACCAATACTTGATGACCCTGATGTGCTGCAACTTGTAAACATGTTTTTCCACCGCTCATAACATCGACTTGATCAAGATTACTCCCGAGATAATGTTGAACATATTCTAATTTTCCTTGTGCTGCTTCTCTTACTAATTTATCAGCCGCTGATGTTCCTGACAAACCTTGAAGTGGCATTAACACATGATCAGTCCTTTGATGACTCAAGTCCATCATACTATTTGATCTTTCAGCTGCTGATGCTATTGGTGATCGTTCAAGTTTAACACATTTAGGATTTAATGTCCATGCGGCACCATCGTCAAGTTGCGTAACTCTTAAATCACCATCAGCATAAATCTTCATAACTTTACATGTTTTTCCTAAAGCATTTCTCATTGTTTCCACCCACTCACCGTGACCTTTCTGAAATTGTTGAATTTTTGATGCGTCGTTGAGTATTGTGACGAGATCGCCAACATGAAAGCTGAAAACTTTAACGAGAGCAGCTGGATGGAAAGTCCAACGATTCGAACATCCTTCGTACTGGACCCTAATATCACCTTTGTCAGTTATCCGATGAACAGTTCCAATTTTACTGAGAAATTCTGCCATTCTTGGATTCCATCCTCCATGGCCTTGTTGAAGTCTCATGAGACTTTCTTTGTCTAAACAAACACGAACACGATCACCGACGAAGAACGTCGGTCGTGTTGCCTGAACAACTGGCTGTTGCTCATCACGAGCACCCAACACTGGCATGTGATCTTTATAATAATAACCTCCGGGAGCTGGAACGACGTACTTTAAGTCAACGTTACCTTTATGACCCAAACGATAAACATTCGTCGATCCCGTCACCCAAGAAACATTTGCAACACTTCGACAAGATTCGTTATCCCATCCACGTATTTCCATTACACGTCCCGTCTTCCCTTCACCACCATCTTGTTGACCCCACTCCCAATCTCTAAATAAGAAAAGTATTAGAAATTAATTAACGATTTAAATTAAAAATGGTGGGAAATAAAATCAACTTACGGTCCACGAACAACTTTCGAATTGACAAAAATTCCTTTAAGTTGAATACGAAGCGATCCGGCACGTGGTGGAACGCGAACACTAAAGAAATAAATAAAAAAAGAGAAAAGAAATGTTCAAGTTATGGTTGAAAATAAATTAAATATTAATGTTAATATTATTAACTCACCCAACAGAATTTGATGTTTGATAGCGAACAAATGAGTGTTCTAGACTATGAACATCATTACCATAGCAATGAGCGCATAAGTCAAAGTTAGCACATTCAGCACATCGAAAGAGAATCCCAGCAATTCCTGCTTTCTTGCAACCGTCACAGATTATATTTGGATGACGTACACCAATTTGAGCGTTATCAATGACGATTAAATCGTATTGGCCTTGATAACCGACACGGTAGTTGGTTCGATGCCCTGAATCCCAATTAACGACGACCGTCTTTTCCGGTGAATGCGTTGAACCCGATCGTCCAACTTCACACAATGTTCCGACGTGACCTTCACCTCCGTCTGAAAGCAAATATTAACCACAAATTTTAATTTGAAGCTTGCACAATTAGTTCAATGAAACCGATTCCAATGTTTTAATTGTTTGATTTCACTTTTAATTATGTTCATTAATGTAGACTTTCGATTCATGATTTACACGTAACATCGTTAAATGATTATCCCTTATTAAATTATTTCATTTCCTCGCAAAAAATTGAATTGAACTTGGAGTTGATTTTCCGCCTTGCATTTTTGTTTGTATTTTATTTTGCTTAAGTATCATAAACGCAATGAAAATAACAAAAGAATAAATAAAAGCAAACAACATAGAACAAAAGCTTTACTTGTAGTACTTAACAATTTTCATAATCAATAAATCATGGAAAGATATTTCCAGCTGAACCTAGCAAGTGAACGAGTAAGCAAACGGAGTTCAAATTTCTACTTTATATTTATGAGAATTTCCTTCATGAGTCAATTTTTGATTCAAAGCAAAAACATCTTCATGATTGATAAATTTTTAAGAACGGTAGAAACTTTTTTTATTTTCATCATTCTTTCCGAATCAAAAAAGTTCTCTTTTTCTCGACTATTTTCTGCACAACAATGAAAACAACAAGCAAGCAGACAAACAAACAGCATTAAGACATATTGAAGTTTATTTTTAGTCCTTGTGAAATTGAGTTGATTTAAAACAAAGAACACTATGGAGAATGTACAACGCATACTTTTTAATGTAATCACAAATGGATGAACAGGAAAGTAATGAATTGCATCAAACTTTTGAGTCTGTTGATCACCATTAGGGATTTTAATTGACAATCACAATTAAATATTTGGAATCAATTGTCGAATTGTATGCATTTCAATTTCTTATTCTTTTGAAAATTATGATTAAATACAGTGAAAGAGTACTTTCATAAATCTCATATTTTTTGCCATAAACGTGTTGAAGAAATCTGACAATCAATTATTTCAATTATCTCAGTGATCGTTCAAATTGATATTGCATTGTAAGCTTTGTCATCGTAATCGATATAGGTAGCTAAGTTAGGTATTGAAATTGAATTTTCTATCTTAAAATTTTCAGCATGTTCAAGAATAAAAGTTTTTATATTTAATTCAGTTTCACTTGACATTTAATTCGACAGTCGTGAAATTGAAATTAATTAAGAAAATTGTTTCTCGAACTCTGCATTTGATGTTTTGTGCAGCAGTGAACTCGTGTAATTAAATTTCTTCAAGATCTTTATGATTTTCGTTTTAATGCCGTCAAAGTTTTTTCAGAGCTACCGATTGGAAATTTCTCTCTTAAAATCACTTAACCATGTTGCTTCTTTTCATCGCTTTTCACTTCACAATATTTTCATTCTCGAAATCAATGATGAAGAACAAAGCTCATTTAATGGACATTAATGATGCCAATGCTAATTGGAATTTCTAATCCACAAATCCCAACTACGAATTTGGTTAATTTTACTTTAATATCAACAGCAACGATGCAGTAAGGTGTCAGGTAGTGAAACAACGCGGATCATGAATTTCGTAAATGATAATAAAAATTTAAAAGTCACTGTATCAAATGTTCATACAAGCGTTTTCTTTACGGCACAAAAATTTACTGTTAATTAATTTATTCTCGAAATGCTAACACTTTCTACTGCCATCTTACATTGCTTGCATCAAAATATAAAAACTATTCATTAAAATGGTAACACAAAATAAAAACGAAATACATACGAAAAGTTTCTCTTAAGCTTTTTTATTATTTCTTTTTGATAATTTACTCACATGATTGTTGTTTCTTTTTTTATCTAAATTTATATCCACATTGGGAAAAACATTAAATTCAACTGGAACACAATGGCTACCGAAACCATAAAACTTGATATTCACCAACAACATAAAACTCTTTATCACAATCAGATACTAAATTCTCCGCCGCCCACGCACATTACAAGACAATTAAAATAATAAAGAGTTTTTGACACAAAGGCCCGTATCGCGATTTTCACATTCGACAATTGTAAGACGCAGCTATATTCAGCAACAATAAGTGAATTACTGAACACAACAAGGTCTGGTCGATCGGAGGGGATTGAAAGCTGTTAATTTTCAATTCTCTTTTTTTAAACATCCAACAAGATACCATAATGAAAAACAAGCATTTTTAAAGCAACTCGAGATAAACACAAAAAGAAAACATTCGAAGGCAATGAATTGTAATAAATACGGTTAATTTTCTTTTTTCTACCCTACAAGTCAGCAGATTGAGAAATTTGTTTTTTTTTCTTTCCCTCTTTTTTTTTGTCGTCTCGCTTTGGTTATTTAAAGAAAACTTCCGAGATTTATTTTTTGTCTTCTTCTGCCTGATATTTGTTGTTGTTATTTCCATCCCATCTTCATTTCATCACTTTAAAAGCGACAGTGTTGTGTGTCTTTAGTGATGTTTATTTAAAACTTCTTCTTTTACATCCAACATCTAATGTTGTTTGCTATCGAGAAAAGGAAAAATTTCCTTGAACGTTGCTTCTGCTGTTGCTGCTTAGATTTTTATTTACTGCTTTGTATGACGACTAGGGTAGGTCGTTACATTACAAACAAAAGTAGCAGAAGAATGTAAGATGACGATGATTCATTGCTTACCAAGTAACGTGGTGCAATATTATAAAATGAAAATATTTTTTTTTAATAAAAGAAAACGTTGCGTGAATGACGCCCATGAGATATAAAGAAAAATGTTTCATGATTAAAAGATATCATTTTTCTTTACTCACGAAGGCGATAGCAACTATTTTCAACGTGATGTGCCAGTTCCTTCAGATATTGTTAAGGAAAGGGGAAAAATGACGCGTGCCTTTCTTTAGTAAAATTATTCTAAATCCATCATGAAAATCTGTCATCTTTGTATATGTGTAGATGCAACATAAAACATAAAATATTTCAGAGACAACTTGAATACTCTAAAAATCTAGACGACATTCATTCAGATATGTACATACTTATTATTAATGCCACAAAGCATCCATTCTCAGAATGAATTAAAAACGTTTTGGAACTCAACCGCATGATTAATGTTGGAAACATGCACGACGGAACATGACTTCTGTGAATTTGAATCATAAGAAAAAAGAAAGGAAAATCTACATTTGTCAGAAATGATTTGGCGATATTCTAATGACAACTTTTGTAAGCTTGCGACAAACATCAGAGTACAATTTTAATGATCATTGTTATCATCCAACCGTCACCGCTGTGACTTCCTTGAGATAGAACCATTAGAAAACATTAAAAATCCGAAATAAAAGGAAACATGTAAACTTTTCTCTCGTCGTTTCACACAAATGAAAAGTTGATTTATCATCGTGACGCAAAAAAGAACAAAAAAAATTTTCTCTTCCGTCTATTTATGTAACTTACATCGGTAGCATAAGTAAGTATATTGGAAAGTTTCTTTTTAGACTTTTAAATTGTTTTTTTTTCTTAGGGGACAGAAAAAGAAAAAGCCACAAGAAGAAGAACATTTTATTTTTATCAAAGTCTTGAAAATTCGTTGAGCATGAAAATAGAAACGTTTAAGTGACATAAAAGTGCCATATGGGAAAATATGACTTTCTGAAGACGCAAATGACATTATTCGGAAATGATGTCGACAGATAACTTGATGACGAGTAATTTGATGTGAAATCTGAGATGAAGAATTGTTTGTACCTGAACGTTAAGATTTGTTTCAAGGAAATTTATTTATTTGAAAGTAAAACCACACCCAACTTGTTAGGAAATTTCTTAAAGCTAGTGCATTTAAAGGATAAATTGTCATCTTATTTGAATCCAATTGTGGTTTCTTGAACCTCATTTTGGGACTCTTTTTGGCATAAGAAAACACTCTGTTTTGTATGTTTACATCACACTGTTTGCAATCGCAAGGCTTTCCGCAAGTATCAATCGCGTCTCGTTTCTCATCAGATCGGAGGAAAAATAATCTAAAAATACATTTTATTCATGCGTCCCAAAGAATCGCTTTTCAGACAAGAATCATCTTCATCTGACACGGCACATCTTTGCTTTCTATACATTCATCTAATCCATATGGAGGGAAAGGCAATATCGACAAACGATGAAAATATTCAAGTAAACAAGCTTACTAAATGTCAATTCCCTGAGCGATATAATAAACCAAAACATCGTTTGTGTGAAAAGGCGCAGTAAGAAAAAAGTAGATAAACAAGGAAGAAAGGGAAAATTGAAAACGGAAATGAAATTTCATGTCTCGTCACTTCACCCACTTCATTTTCAGTACCAACTTGATGTTCTTTTTTTTAATTTATTATCGAGAGCGGAGGTCTGCTTAATAACAATTGATTTCCTCATTTTTTCAGGTTTTCCTCTTTAAGCATAAAATCAAGAGTAAAAGCAAACATCATTGAATGAAAATGAAAACTCTAAGTTCGTTGTATCGTATTCGTAGACATTACAGATGATAATGTTATTCGTTCGAAAGGTTCATTTTGCTTAAGCATTCAATTAACTTGAATCAATATTCCAACAAAATAAACCACCATCGTTCAGAATGTGATGACAATTTTCTCGTCTTTTGAGGATGATGAGAAGACCTAAGGCAAATAAAAAGAAGACTAAGGCAAATAAATAGAAGAGAAGCTTTAAAGATTATAACCGAAACAAAAAATGTTTTATATTTTACATCGTTATCGTTTTTGTTCTCGCTATCGACACTCACGATAATGGCTATTCATAAAAACGTCAACACAAAAGCATCGTTCTCTGCACGAGAGAGAAAATTATAAAATTAAAAGCTTTTTTCGTAAACAATTCCAACTCCAATTGTTAGTGGAGTCAGTCGAGTATCATGATGACATTTTTAATGTTTTTTCTTCTTTTTCGTAAATGATATCACGTGAGGTTGTTTTCAATTTTTAAAATCAAATGATAACAACTTTAAAGTAGTAAGATGAGAAAAAATGGTTGAAAAAAGGTCGACCTAGATGTTTAAGGGTTGTCGGAAATTATTCACTCAACTTTTACCTTTCTTATAACAACATAAAGCGACAACCATGACTATTCGACCCAGAAATAATTGCAAATTTATTTGCTATATTTTGTGTCACTGTTTATACATGAATCGTTCGTACAACAACATCCAAGGTAGCAATGACAACATATGTTTTATTAGCTAATGCTTAAGGACTCACCTTGGTTCTGCCAAATCCAATCGGGCCCTCTAACAACACGTATTCCTGGCGCAATCATTCTTCTTTGAGATTCCTTTTCCCAATAAAAAAAAAACTTTTTTTATCAATGTCACGTTTCACACTTTCCTCTCTTTTTTTTTTGCACAATAACTTTTGTCTTCTCTTTAGATAACAACAATTCACTTTAAATCATGGTCCACTTTCACAAATGATAAAAGAATCCACTAAAATAACAGCACATGTACGATTGTACCGGGTGCTTAATTTCAAATCCAATTCTTCTTCTTTTCCTATTCTCTCAATTATCTCGTCCACTTGTGATTTATCGTACTTGGGGATTTGCTTTCATTCTTTTTTCTTTTAACTTCTATTTTCTATCTCTTTTCGTCTTCATGGAAATGATAGTAAAATGATCACTGAATGAATCGTATTTTTGTGTTGTGTCATTAGTTGATGATGATCCATTTAAATTTCAGTGCTGAAAAGAGAAATGAAAGAAGATTAGAAACACTTTTCAATTTATTTGCTTTTAATTAGAATCAGAATTATTAGTAGTTGTAAGCCATGTGATGTAATTTTATATTTCCTTAAGGAAACATGATATGAAATGATTCATATTTCTCATTTTATCGTCTGGACAAAACAGCGATTATAGTACGAACAGAAACGAAATATAAATTTGCGTGTATGCAAAATGATAATCTAATCAGCATTCAATGCTCCAGCATTTATTTTTCTTTCCATTATACATTTATTCTCCTCACATCTGTGAATTGGATTTTATAATGTAAATTGGATGACGAGACGTGGCTGCTCGGACGTCACTCGAATATTCATCTGAATTAAATTTTCATTGAGTGCGGATATTCCAAAAGGGTGACAAAGTTCATTTATAAAAGCGCGATTTATTTTAATTCCTATTCTTCTTTTAACTCAATGTTGTTGGGCATGAAAACATAAATCAATAATCCGCAAGTGTGTGAGTTCATGATCCAGGCGTAAGGAAAAATTTCACAGAGTTCCACCCAAAAACGGAAAGAGAAGAAAAGAAAAACAAAATTTGCTTTGGAACCTTAAATTTTAAGTACCTAATACGGGAAACAAGTGGCAATGCTATTCTACTTTCATAAGCAGAAATAAAATAAAATAAAATTTCTACACTAGCTTTATTTCTTTCAATTCGTGTACACACGTCGTTTTTTTTTGTCGCGCTAAACACGAGAAAAAGAATAAGAAACACAAACCAAAAATCAGCACACATTTGAAAAAGAAATTTTTAATTCAAGAAGCAAAATTAGAAGAAAAAGCTATGAAAAAACTTTTTTCTGTACGTATCAATATGGTAATGCACATCGCAATTGTAATTATTGCACTCACTTTAATTTGTGTTGTTGCTCGGATATGATTCATAGCTAATTTTTTTTACTTTTTCCAGGTTGTCTTCAAGTAAAAAAATTAAAACTATTTCACTTTATTCGTTTATCTCGATTGAACTTCATATTACTGACAATTCCTATTGCATTCTACACACTTTTTCTCAACATTAAGTTTGATAAAAGCACTAGCTGACATCTTAAACTAATTTTTTATGTCAATTCATTTTTTTCTTCGTAGAATTTCTCAATAAAATCTCTTCACTTGGAGCTGTATCCTCTTGTGGACTTTCTTTGAAGCTTTTGAGAGGGCGCTCGTTAATGTCAAGAGATTTCAGTCCCTCATGAATAGAAGATTAAGCAACTAACAATTTTTCTAGTTTTGTTTACACTTTCAAGCCCTAATCAAGATTCTCTGCCTAAGAAAGGTTGTTTTGATTCCACTAAAATAAATGAAAATCATTTTCAGCTTATTCTCGATGTAAAAATCATGAATCAAGTTACTGTCCCTTTAACAAAAGGTAATAAATGAAGTTTCTATCATTCAAATGTTCAAATAAATTAATTTTTATATTTTTAGATGAATTAATATTAAATTCGTATCGAGCATGTCGTGCAGAAGCTGGTGATATTGAAAGATTAATTGAGACATTGAAAACGTCAGAGACTCATGTGAAAAATACTGCTCTTAACAAATTACAAGTAATCGGTGAGCAGATTAAATTCCTCCAAAAGCAAGCGCATGAAATACTCTCAAATGCTACAAAGGATTCAGACCTACATAAAGTCCCATGTAATTTTGTTAAAGTACCTGGAAATATTTATCATCTTTACGAACGACCAACAGGAGACAGATTCTGGTCAATGATATCATCAGAAGAATTCGGTGAAAACAACAAAAACAATTATCTGGGAAGTTACAGATTAGAAGTCGATAGAAGTTGGACTCCTGTTGATAAGCTTCAAGAATACTCAGAGAGTAGACAATTTGCCGAATCATTATTTGAGAAGGTTCAGAATGTACCAGCAATTAAACTCATAGAAAAAGATGATGAGCTTGAGAGTTAACGACGAAAATTAACGAGATTAGATTTTAAAAGTTCACTGTTCTTGAACTATTGACGTAAAAAATAAAAATTCAATTCACTTTATTTTAGTCGAAAATATGTTTCTCATTCTCCTAAATGAAATTCTCTTTCAGCAATGAAAGGAATTTTAATCCAAAGAGTATTTCAAGGAAATGAAAATATTCAGAGAATAAAAATGTTTATAACATGTTCAATGTAAAATAATTTCTTAAGGCAGTGTTTATAATTAACATTTCTATTGTTGTCTAAGCATATAAACAGAAAATCAACTACATTTTTAATACATATAAATACGTACATCTTATGCAGGAATAGAAAAATGAAAAGATATTCATTCAAGGATTTCTTATCGTAATGATATTCTAGAATGTGCAATCAATGTCAAAAGTTTAGAAAGTCATTTGATATATCCAGATAAAATATAAATCATTTGAAAATTCCAGACTTAATTCATTTAATTGAAACGATGATCAGACATAAGAGTAATTTCGATAAAAATAAAAACGGAGACGTTTTACATGAAACAACATTAGATTTTTTTTTCATTCTTTTTAACAACACAGAGGGAACAATTTGAAGGTGCGGTTATGATGTTGAATATCTACATTGTACGACCACGCCAATTACCCTCAATTTAAAGACATTTTTTGGTGTCGGGTGACGGAACAATTTCTTTATTTTTTTCCTTGTCTGCAGTCATGTTCAACAAAGCGATGAGACTTCGAACACTAACAACAGGATACTTTGTAGGAAATAAAATGAACAAAAAAGAATCAAAACAACACCCAATGAATTTTGACCCCCGATAACCCGAAGGGATGTTTGTTAAGAAAACAAAAAATAATTTCATTGTCGATATGATCGAAATTTATTTATTTGAGTCTTCATCACAAACCGACCTTGAAAGATGTAGTAGGTAACTTTCAATTGAGGGTTCAGTTTTAATTATTTACGCAATTTTAAAAATGTTTGTACATTTGAACCATTAAAAAATTCCAAAACATATCCTTGAACTGTTGAAAAAAGTTCTTAAATTAAAACACACGCTGAAGTTGTAAAATGAAATCAATTTTCATTAAAATTAACAACATCATTCAATCGCATTTATCATAAATAAATCATCTGGTTACACAATTTACCGCCTGTCAAGGCATGAAAAATATAAATCGAGACATAAATCATCTTGTTTATGAGTTTGGCTTCTTGAGTGCTTTTAATAATTCTCTTTACTGCTTACTAAGGATGCCATGAATGCGTAGTCGATAAACGCAGGTTTCTTCGCTATCACCGTTGTTATCAAGGAAGTGAAACATGACATATTTGTGTGGAATTGATGAACGTTGATTGACAAAAAACATTTCAATGGAAGTTTTATTCGCATTAAATGTGAAATTTCCGAACATAAAAGGAATCTCATCTTGACGATTAAGTCCCTGGGAGTTTAAGAAATAAAATCTTTACTTGCTTTCTTTAAGTTTAAAATGTCTTTAAAAGTACTTACAGCAACTAAAAATTTGCGAGGTGCACATGTTATATCTCCAGTTGGTGAAATTTTCTTTGTTATATGTTCGACAGTAATACCGTCAACGATTGCTTTGTTAATTAGACGGATGAATAATTTGCCTACCTTCCCTTTGAATCGAAAACATTCACCAGGTTTCATAGATTCTTGAATAGTCTTTTCTGGGCCGTTGATTTTATTCGGACAACCAGCTAATTTCCAGAACCAACTGCATGAATAAAACGTCTCCGTATCCATTCCCAAACCAGCAATTCTTCCACCAGAATTCCATAATGCAAGATCAGGTCGACCAGTTTTGTCATGTTCAAAGTTTGTAAGGATCTCAATTTGGTTGTTAAGCTTTTCAGATGCTGCTCGTATCTCGTGAATCTTTAAGAAATTTGGATTATTCACAACGGAACTTGCTTTATTCATTAACTCTCTCATAGCTCCAGGGTGAGTTAAAATCGATTTATCAAAATCATTATAAAACGTTGACAACGAATCTCGAATATAGAAAATCTCTTGATACTGATTCCAATGACTAACAGCTAAAACTCCAAGTGCTATGCCCAGAATTGCAACGATATCCCAAATTTTCATTTGTCGACATCTCTCATTGATCGCTCGAAGTTGTTCAAAACTTCCATCCATATCTAATTAATTATAAACAGAAAAGATGAACAAAAACTTTTTGAAGAATTTACAGAATATTCAATAATTTTTTTCACTTTTGAAATAAGTTTTTATGATAGATAAAGTAAAGATTGCTTAATTGAAAATTACGTTGGTTAATATTTCAAAGTATACTCAAACTTCAAACATTCCAAAAGCAATTAAAACGTACTTAATTAGATCAAAAGTTCCAACATGAAATTAGAAAGTCAATTATCTAATTACTGCTGGTGATGAAAAATTATCAATAAATTCTTTCAGAGTAACACACAAAATTTGTTATAGTTTAAGAAGCAATTGTTTATTTATCAATTTGCACAATATTATGGAATCGACAATATCTTAATGTAAGCACAGTAAGTAAACATCTTATCATGAAATTGTGTTTGATTTCAAGGAAGGTAGAAATATTCAAGTCTAGATTGAGATAAGAAAGGAATCCTATGCAAACATCCACAGTTAAACATAAAAAATGTGTAAATTGAAATCCAAAAAATCAAACACAATGCCTGAAAAAATTGGACAAAAATATATTCGATTAAAGTTTAAATTTTAATATCAAACATTTCACTTCATCTTGCTGCTTAACATTTCGTCTCGGTAATTGTCAAACGATTATTTAAATTATTTAAACTGGAAAATTTAAATGAAATTTCTTTGTCTGTATTTAGTAGTTTGTCGAGATCATTGAAGTTGAGATTTTCATTGATCGTGGTACGATTGCAAGGCATCTCATTGTTGTTATCATCAAAACTGTCATTAGTTGTTGATTGTGATGTTTTACGACATCGAATAATATTTCTCATCTCTACATAACTTATGTTGCGTTTTAATTTCGGTGTATCGTAGCGTGACTCAATCAGTTTTTCACGATCTGATATTGACAGTAAGTCTGGTTGACTACTGTTCACGTAACTATTCGGTGGTAAGAAAGTGTGGAAGTCGTTTTGATAGCGTAACTTTTGACTAATTGAACGAGCTTCAGCTAATGTTTTCGGTTGGTCATAACGAGCGAGAAGAAGTTGAAGTTGATCATCGTACTTTAACAAATATTTCTTGTTGTCAACTTTGCTTACATCTGTTTTAAACTTTGGAGTCGTCCACAAATCATCGTGTCGACAAACTTCATCATCTTTCGTTTTTTCATTTTTAGTATCTTCAACATTTGTGATTTCATCTGTGATGAAAAACAAAATTAGTTTTCCTAGAGAAAATGGAAAGTTTCATTAAGACATTCATCTTACCAACATTCGCCAAATACATTGGATTAGAAATTGCACCTTCATCAACTTCAACGTCTAAATATTTCGCACTTCTACATAAAAGTTTCTCGAATTTCGATGCGAGGTATTTAAATGATGGACGTTTAGCTGGATCATCAGCCCAACAAGCTTCAAGAAGGTTGTAAATGTCTGGTGAACAATTTTCAGGACGTTCCATTCGATATCCAGTACGAAGCAGATGATACAAGTTCTGAGGTGGAATCCCCGGATATGGTGTCGCTCCAAGTGTAATTAATTCATATCCAACAATTCCAAACGACCAAACGTCTGTTTTAGTCGTGTAAACATGATCAGCAAGAGATTCTGGTGACATCCATTTAACCGGAACTCGATCTTTACTCTTCTTCAAATAAGCGTCATCTTCATAAACCTTAAATAGAAAAATTTGAAACTTTTGAGTCTCAAAATTGTAAACAAAGATATTTAAATTACATCACGAGTTAATCCAAAATCGCTAACTTTGCAAACTTTTCCTTCAGCTAATAAAACATTTCTCGCTGCGAGATCACGATGAACGAGTTTCATTTCAGTAAGATAAGCCATGCCTTTACATATTTGCCATGCAAATGAGAGAACATCTGTTGCTGTTACTGGTTCAACACCGTCGATATTCAAGTCACCAGATTCTTCAAGTTTTCGACTAAGTCTTAAATAACTTCGAAGAGATCCAAAGCAACAATATTCAATTATAATGAGTGGTGGTTCGCCTTTAATGCAAGCACCCAAAAGTTTAATTACGTTGGGATGTGAAACTTCTTGTAGAAGTTGAAATTCTGATAACAAAGCAAGCAACTCAACTGAATTATTTGTTGTTTTCACAGTTTTGACAGCGACAGTCGTGATGTTGTCATTGCTATTTAGATCACTTGCATAAGCTTTTAAAACTTTTCCAAACTCGCCTTCACCCAATGTTGTATCAAGTATCAACTTATTTCTGTCAAACTCCCACTTTGCATCGAAGTCAAACTTTTGGTATGTTTGTTGATAATTTTCTTTCTGAATTTCATGTAAAATATTTATATGAATAATTTCGGTGTCGTTGCTACCGCGATAATGAACCATTGGACCATTCATCATCATTCGTTTCTTCATTTTTTGAATGTAACGTCGTCGCATAGTAATCAGGAAAATTATAATTAAGACCAAGAACGTTGGTGATGCAATTGTTATAAACATGCAAGCTTTACCACATTCAACATTTCCCGATGATCTCATTGAGAAAATTGTTTCTGTCATCATATATTCCGACGCTGAATTATTTAAATCAAGTAAATTATCCGTTGGTTGAATCGTTGTTGAAATTCGATGAGGTTTTCCACAGCTACATTGTTCATCGTGATCGCACCAACAGACAAATTCTCTCGGGACACTTCCAATGCCTTGTTTTTGTGTGTGAAGAATTCCATGAACTATTTCAGTTGTGCAATCTTGTGGACAAATGTGAACTTGTGGTTGTTTACGTCTTGCGAGTTTCTCCAAGGGATCACACACTTTATCAGTACAAGTGTATTTGTCAGGAGTACAAGTCGCATAAACATTCGAGTAATGGCCATTGGGATTTGTAGAATTAAAAGGTCGCCATTTACATCGCCCATTTCCAGAGCCAACACCACAAGCATTCTCACAATCTTCTTGAAATTCATATCGAGAACAATAAGATTTCAACACATCTAATGGTTGGTCACACGAACTATTTGCTTCAAGAATTTTAATTTTAATTGATGCTTGATGCTTCTCATTCAAGCCAATATCGATTGTGTAAGTTGCTGGAAGTGTCGATTCTAATGCAGATGGACTTTCGACGTAAACAATTCCACCGATTCGTGTAATATTGAAAATGTTTAAAGGATCACTCAACATTTTAAAGCTGTTCAAATTACAATAAATTAGAAAAGTAATCAAATGATATCGAAAAGAAGATAAAATTACTTGATTTTGTAGTCAATGATATTCTCATTTGGTTCAGCAATTCTCGCATATATTGAAGCGTTTTGAAGTACTTCAACAGTGTCAGGAAATTTAATGATTTCACTTATTGAACTCGACACTCGTGACTCTCCTGATGTACCTGGATTGCTTATTACTTTTTTAGTTTTCTTACTTCGTTCGTCTCTAGCACGTAAACGGGCAGGTATCGGAAGGAATTCAACGCCTCGTGTTACGGATGTTTGATTCGTGTAAATACAAACGGTTGCATTCTCGTTCATAAATCTTCCTTTAATTTCTTCCCTCGCTTGGAGAATAACACAATATGGGGATAATGTAAAGTGACCTTCTTTGATAAATTTCAGATCTGAGAAGGTAAAAAATAAATATTTATTTTCAATCTTTTTTTTTATTAAAAAATGTTTTTGATATCCCACTTACTGCAGTAAAATACTGTCGATTCTCTCAGCGTATGATTCGATTGGACTTTTGTGCAAATATGATTAAAAATGTTAGCATCATCATTCAACAAACGAAAGTTGATATTTGTATTTGCAAACGAGGTATCTTCATCATTAAAAACGATAAATGAATTAGGATTGACGAGATTTTCCTGAATGAAAAATATAAAAGAAGATAGAAGGTAAGCTTCTTTTTATTATTAAATCCTTTCCATATTTTAAATGATAATGAAATTAGCTCAACATTTTCATCGCGAATATCTACGCTTGTTCAAATATTGATTTTTGGCATTTTGTTCTTCTCTTTCCTACTCATTTCAATTGTTAACATCAGCAACAAAACAAAAGCAAACATCCAAAACGTTCATCATCTCACAAAAAGATAACTTTTCACATTAAAGTATTGGCTCTTGTTATTAATAGAGGATTACATATTTTCCGGATTCTCAATTAATATAATTACTTTCAACAACCACAAGCTGGCTATTATTTAATCTTGTAATAATATCTTAGTATCAAACGATTATCCTTACAATCATTTTTCAACATTACTAAAGTTTCTCTTTCACTCTTTGATGTCATTCATTTAATAGAATTTTACTATAATTTGCACGCTCTATTTCAAAAAGGAATATTGCGAAATTAGCATAAAAGCTGTTTATTAATTGCGTTGCTTTCATGCTCCATTAAAAACATGATGAATTCAACGATTCCCAACAGAGTTCTTAACCCAAAAATTATAGGAAAAAAATGTAAAAGCGAGAAATAAAAATTAAAGAAAAACCACCCACCTGCTTAAAGTACGGACTGTTCAATGTCAAATTTGTAATTTTATTGTTGCTTTGGACCTTAATTAAATTATCATTTCGATCAATTATGGAAAGGTTGAAAACTTTGATGGAATTTTGGGTGAAATTGTTAGACTTAAGGTGACATTGAACAGCAATTTTCAATTCAGGTCCCGGGGACATCATTTCGTGATTTAATGGAGCAGATGTAAACAGTTTATTGTTCTTGATTGTTATAAAATCGGTAGCTGATGATGGCAATTAGGAAATGTTCATTAGGACACGAATTAGTTTCAATTAATATTAAATATCTTACCATTTACCAGTTCGTAACGAACGTCAAAAAATTTACATAACCGTCCATAAATTTTCGGTGCTAAGCTTCCGATTTCGTGCGGTTTAAAGCTGTTATTAAAATCTTCAACCGTATGATAAGTTATAGACTCATAGAAGCATAAAAATTTTCCACAGAAACCGTTGATATCGTCAATTTTAATTATTTTCATGTCGAGCGTCATTCGTGCTGCTTCACCGTTAGATTTTTTTGCGGTAACAACAAGATTGTGTGAATTTTCTTCGTCCCTACTCCAGTTGTTCTGTTTAAACCATAACTGTCCAGTTATTCTATCAAGCTCCAGGAAGGAAACTTTTTCTTCAAGTCTAAACGTCACTGACGAGTTTGCTGTCGATGTCATGTCGAGAACTTTTAACTTAATTATGGGATTCTTATCAACAACTTGACGTTGCGACTCTACTATGGGAACTGTTAGTGAAACTCTTGCTTGCTGGAAGAAAAGTTCAAAGCCTGGAAAGAGATAAAAGAGAATTTATAAATGAATTCAGATAAGGCAAAATTTTTACTTTTTTATGGATTTATATTATAACACGTATAAAAATTTAATAAATATTTATCAAGTATGAACATAAATTTATGCTCATCGTCGTCAAATTTATGTTGATTTTTTTTCTTTTTCATTAAATTTTCACGAGGCAAAACTTTTTCTTCTTTTGAAATTGTTTAATCTGATGTTTTCGTAGATAAGTACATAACAACTAGCTTGAAAAGTTTGGATTTCATTCATTTCATTTATTTCGATTAATTAGAAAATTGAGAAACTTCTCAAGAGAACATGAGAAGTTCCATCGATTTTCCATCGTCACAAAGTTTTGTGTTACTTTCAATGTTAGGTAACAGGTACTATTATTTTCACATTAAAATCATTAATTAATAATGAAGGCCATGCCATGTAAAAGTGTAAGAAAAATTATGATATTAAAAGGTTAACGAGTTGGTATTTAAGTAAATGACAAGCTGAATAATTGTATGAATGATTCAGGAATATTCTTTTTCTTAAACGGTATTTAACAGTTTGTTACGCTTGTAACACTGAGAATGAAAACTTTTTCTTTTCAGCAATGTAAAGGAAGTGAAAATGTTGTTAGGGTGAGATGAGAATGTATAAAGATAATCTTGTTGATTGGGTCGAATGAGTCATCAGTGTAAGAGAACTTAGCAGTGATTATTCCAGCCGAAAAGTCGCCTTAGTGGCAACTTCAATAAGAATGAAGATAACTCATCAGATGAAATCATCATGACGAATACTTCTTTGAATATCCATTTACTCGTGCATAACTTGTTTCATTCAAAATCTCAGCACCTACCCTTGATATTAATTAATTGAATCTTCAACAAATTGAATCAAAAGTTTTTTAAGAAAATTAGAGCTATATAAGTCTGAAAATAAGCTTAATTCAATTTTTTGAATTATCATTTCAATGAAATTAAGTTGACTCTCGAGTATTTTTTTGAAGATATTGAAAAATAGGATTTTTACTTTTTAGATTTAGAAAATACTTGAGAAACGTATTGGTGCTTTTTCTTAAGTACTTCCACTTAGCAAGATGATCTAATTTTAATATAAAATGAACATTTTTCATCAATTAATGGATGATAATTATTTTAAGAAGACTCACCTATTGAAAATTTTATTAAAATTAATCCAAAAGTATATTTAACAAAAATATTCATTGCTAATCCTTTTTACGATTGTTTCACTTCAATAACGATTTTGGAAATATGAATTATTAATATTCATGAAATTTTAAAGAATTTCTAATGCCTATTTCAGTTTTATTTTACTGCAGCACTTAACCAACTGACTTATTCAAAGGACATCGTGATACTGAAGTTCACAAGGAAGAAAATTTATGATGAAAATTTCGCTCTCTTCAAAATGGAGGAAGGAAAATTCTACAAAGAGAGTAAATGTTCAACTCTCAATCTATTGAATTCTCACAGCTTATCACTTGTTGATTCCTTGTTGACTTAATATATGCTGAAGCGTGATAGTTTAGGTTGTTCAGATGCTTTAAATGTTCTGGTCTTTTATCTATCATGTCAATTTTTTTAATTATCTTGTGGCACGTTATCAGTAATGACGAAACATTGAACGTTCCTTTTGATTATCGAGTTCATTAGCCTCTAGAGAAAAAAATCTAAACATCTAAACTATTGTAATTTACATTAAAAGTTTAACTGTCCCTACAGCAACACCTGTACGAGTCTTATGGAGACAGCGAAACTTTGTCATACTTATCAATTGCGTGATACTTAAACTAACGAAATTGTGATGTCATGGTGGAAATTAAAAACATTTTACTATTTTCGTTTTTGTATTGTAGCAGAATTGTTAGCTTATTATTTCCACGAATTTCCTTTAAAGGTTTTGTTTTGGATGTCGAGAAATGTGGTGGATAATTTTGACACTTAATTTTTCATACAAAGTAAAGTTCTTAGAGTAATTTTTTTCATAAAGTTTTTTTACGTTTTTCTTGACAAATTGTTTTCTTTATGACATGTTTTTCTTAGAATGGATTAAGCTTAATTTGTACTTTCAAATATAAGTTTAGGTGAAGTTCTTGGAAAATAAATCACTTTTGATGGTTAACAAATTAATTGAATTGATTTTTATGCATTAAGTAAAAGCTTTTATAGCTTATTTGATAATTCTAATCAAGCCATCATGACGCTTCTAAATGTTCAATTATAGTGAAATTTATGGTTACAGGTTATTATAGCGGAAAACGCTGACCAGACTCAGGTTAATTAATTATCGATTTTTTTTTCTTTACATTTCTTCGCATTAATGTCAAGCAAAGAAAACAAGCGATAAAATGAATTTGTTATGTTTCACAACACGATATGACATGTAGATTGAAAAGAACAAGAAAATTTACTGCTAAAAGAGTGAGAAAATGTCAATAAACTTTGATGGCATTGATTCAATTATCTTCACTTGTATGACTTTCCTTTCAATTGTGGGTTTTAAGAAATTTTTAATTCTTTAAATCCTGAAGCAATGAATAACATTGCAACTATATAAGTATAAAGTCCTGTTCAATTGGAAAGTTAAAGCAAAATCCCACTGGGAATTTTTCCACGTTCATTTCAACCTTTAATATTTTTACATTTCTGCTTCAAAATTTCATTTAACTTGCGGAAAAACCACAAGAGAATTCTCCTGAACTCATATTATGAAGGCGTGTCGTCATTTAAATGCCACAAATATTCTTTAACAGGAACAAATGTGATGCTTGGCATTTCATAACACTAAATAAACATATCATATGTACATGAGCAGATAACATTTAAATATGCGAATTCCTTTGAATTTTTTATTCAATTTTCCTGAAACTTCGCATGTATAATATTTCAGAAGGAAAATTCGTCAAGCATATTTGCATATTTGATATCACTAAGTTAATGAAATTTGGCGTGAATGGTATCAAATAGATCAAGTTATCTGGTTTTAATACTCAAAAAGAAGTCTCATAAACTGGAGTTGTCACTACTGTGCGTAGCATGTTTAATGTATCTTCGTTTATCTTTTTAATGAAGTCAAGAAAGTTGTTCCATGTTTATGTATTCTGAAGATATGATGCTTGTTAAGAATTTATGTTTTTTTCGTAGTCATAATGACGCTTAAGAACATTTAAGAGAATATGTTATGCGAAAGATTGAGTGAGAAAATGATTCCATGCATCTATGAAAATCCCACATACCCAAATGTTTTTCAATAAAGGTTTCTTCATTTAAAAAATTGAAGAAGACTTCAGTATTTATTTTTTTTTTAGAGATGTAAGAGAGTTTTAAACTCTTCTGAAAAAGATTTGTCATCAATAAGAATTTCTAATAAGAAATGGGTTGTCATTCTGATTCATAAAAGATAAAAACCTCAATGAGGATGATTTTTTTAACCTTGACTAAGGGCTGTTTTTACACAATTGGTTGTTTGCCTTTTCTCGATTATGTACGTGTATAAAAAATATAAGAAATAAGAAAAAATATAAGCTGCATAGATTAGTTGACCAAAAGTCTGAACGAAAAAAATCTCTTTATAAAACCAAGAAATAATCCAAAATATCACTTGAAGCATCACAGAGAAATGTTCAATCTTGAGACTCTTAAAGGGCTAACGAAAAAATCTTTTTTAATTTTCTAAAAAGAAATGGAAAATTCGTAATAATTGGTTTAAATGTTTTCTCATCTTGACATTGAATGAAAGAAAAGCTCGAATGTCTAAAAGTTAAATAAAATTCTTTTCATGTTCTCGGAAAATGTTTGCTATTAAATGGGAAATGTGATAAAGCATTACATTTCAAACTCATTTGAATAGAAACTGAGACAACAATAACTTTCAAAAATAATGGCAACATTAAACAGTGGTTAAAAGTTTCAAGTTCAAAGACATTGACGAAAAACTGTTTGTGAAGAGGCTAGACGACATTTCATGAGATTAAAGATCATGAAATGAATCATACATGATGCAAAAAAATGAAATTCTTCCCTACGGAAAAGTATTTATTGGCAATCATCCAAAATCCTTTTCCACGAATATTTTGTTGACACTTCTTATGAATCATCCAGACGAAAAAAGTAATAAAATATTATTCTGTTGAAACAATAAAACTTACCAGCTGAGATTTCAATTAGTATGATGAAAGTTAATCCACAAGCAAAGTTCATTTTTATTTGTTATTTGTTTCAATTATTTCTTATAATATTTTATTTTTTCACATTGAATATGTTTTAACTTTTAATTCTTTAGTTAAACACATAAATTGTGAGCTCATTAACTGCTTCTGACTTCACAATAGAAAGGACATCGCAAGACTGAATGTTAAATGTCAAGCGTAGGTTGGAGGAAAAAATCAAACTCGTCAAACTGGCTTTCCGAGAGTTTTTCTTTCTCTCATTTTAGGAAAATTCTCTATAAAAGAGAGTGAAAAAATCCTTACAATAACAACATCAAATGGTAATCGTAATTTTTAAGCAGCTGAGCATTTGTTACATTAAATATCTTCAAAAAGTTTCAAATAATTTGACACACTTAACGACACGCGTTTCAAAAATAACTTTTAACTCAAGAAAATGTTTGAATTATGTCTTAAGCAAATTCTTTTGAACTTAACTTTTGCCAATCAAAAATAATCCTTACATGTGATGTTAATTCTTTCATTGATGTTAATTTTACCAAAAATTATTTTCGTTATCCATCCACCCTCTCATGATGAATTCTTATTCTCTAATTAAGTTTCTAACATTAATACGTTTTCATCAAACTCACTCACATTTCTTATTTCGTGCCATTTTTGGAATTTACATCGTTTGGCAGACAAAACAGAAAACATGTGTGATGACCGCCTGATAAAAAGGGGAAACCCCAAATGCACAATGAAGCACGTTCTGATTTATTATTGTTGTTTGTCCATATGCTTAATGTCTTTAACGTGTGTCCTACTTTTAAAAAGAAAACACATTATTTGTAATGAATTTAATTAATTAACATAATCTAAGGTGGAAATTAAAAATATAAAGCAAACTTATTCCTTTTCAACAGCATTCCAAACTGGGGTCAACGAAGTTTATTCATTCATCGGCTTTCGTTTGAATAAAGTTTCATATTCACATCCTGCAGTTAAATGGAATCACATGGTGTCACTCTTACACTATTCGTAAATAACACAAAATAAACGGGAAAGAAAGGTTTTTTGTCACTTTTTATTTCACCTGAAATACGCAGTGTACATTCAAAGAGTATTACCGCCCACGCACATCGTAAAACGGAAAAGCGAAATCAGACAACGCACTGGGACACACCTCAAAAGTATCTTCCCTTTCATAAATCCAAAAGCAAAGGAAAATCCATGTTATCGCCTGCATTAAAGCGACAAATGTCCCTCACATGATTCTCAAATAACATTTTCAAATGCCGGCTAAACGATTTTCTTATAGCATCATAACAATTTTATTTCCGGATTATAGCTCGCATCAAAGCATCTGATTATCCTTCACACACTTTCATGTTGGAATGTCTGAGTTCATTCTGGAATTTTTATAAAATGAAATGAAATATGTATTTCGTTCATTTCCTTATTTAATTTTTTCTTTTCTCCTTGCTGATTGTAATGGAGTCCAACGATGTCGATGGAAAGAAAATATTTGGCAACATCATTTGCGATGCATTGTTCAATATGAACTTCAACTTCATCAGACTAAATCAGATTTTAATTAAAATTTCTCCCTCCTTCAATCATGATCTACATTCATTACTTTGCCATTGAAAATATTAATTATTTTTCTTCTTCATTTCAATGGTTTCTTGAGGTGAAGTTTGTTTTTACTTTTTTTAAAGATGCAGACAGGAAAAAGCTGTTTAAGATGACTTTGAATGAGAGAAAGGAAGAAAAACGATCTGCGAAAGAACGATCTGAATGATGAACCAATTTCCATCCGATAGTTTTGAAAAGTAAAAAAACCCTCTAAATATACATGTCGGTCTGCGTTCTTCGTTTTTTTTCAATCTCAGAAAGCATAGAAAAACTTTAGTAGATTTTTTGTCATTGACAGGGAAAGTTATATTTTTTTTTCTTATTTGTTGTTTTATACTTCATTTCATTATATTCTGTTTAAGTTTTCATTGTAAGCAATGTCTCAACGAAAGCCGGTGTCACTTTACAAAATGAAAGACAAAATGGATCCATCAGGAGAATGTTCTTTCATCAACAAAGGATTGGTAAATATATAACAAAACATCTAATTTTCTATTGATTGACTCACAATTAACATTGTTTCTCATTGTTGTTCTTGTCTCCAACTTGAAGCAAAAGCAAATGCGTCAGCCAGGGAGCGAACAAACACAAACCCACCCTGTATCAAATTTCGAGCAACAGAAATATTTTTTTCAACGTCAACAACGCAGGAATTTTGAAACGAATTCCTTTCAGCAGCAGTTGAAAGCTGATAAGTTTAATGAAAAAAATAAAACTCAAGAATATTGGAAAACGATGTCAAATTTAAACAAAGCAAATCCTATGATGGATGCCCAAAAGAAAAAAATTCACAACACGCCACTTCCAAATATTTCTTTTGAGTATCAAAATTTATATTTCAATGAAAATAAATCGGAAACAGAATCTGAGAATGACAATAATGATAGCTTATATGCTGATGACAAGGATGAGATAGAAACATTCGGAGAATCTGAATATGATGGTAACGATGACATGCGTGCATCGATCAGAACACTTCATAGAGGACTAAAGAACATTACACGAAATTATGTAAGAATGTTGGACTCGCAAGTTGATAACGCTATGAGTAAAATTTTGATATCAGAAAGAAAGAAATCTTCGGTGGCGAAAAATTGTCAGAAACAAGATAAACGGTCAGTTAATCCAACTTCGACAGTTGAAGTTTATACAAAAATGGAATCGATGCGAAAGGAATGTTACAAGAAAATTCAAGCAAGTCTTGAAAGATTGCAACATATTGACAATGTCACTGACGAACTTTTTCACAACCATGTTGAAAACAAAATGAAGGAAAAATAATTTTTAGAGATTAATGTTGAATTTCCAAATTATTTTATATACTTAAGTAAAGTTGACAATACTTGATAGTTTTCAACTGGATAATTAAAATTGACTTTTATTTTCACAAATTTTATGATTTTAATTGTTTTAGATTAGAAAAAAATTGTTAATTCTAGAATGGAAATTTATTTCTTATTCTCTCAAACATCTCTTGTTGTTTCATGTTCTTGTCTTGTTTACGATGCCAGAACAAAGAAATTGTTAAAAAATAAATAATTTCAACTCCACTGAGAACTGAAGCTCCAAGAAAAAGACCAACAATTCCTCCAAAGCCGACAAGTAATTCCATTCTGCTAAACGATATGTCTGTTCGATATTTCATCATCGTTTGACTTCCATAGTAGATGTGTCGAGTAGGACTAGATTAGATTTTATAGATTTTTCATCAAAAATTGGTGTTGCTTCGGATGTGTACACAATTCGTGAACATTCAGGAAGACAATCGCAAATAATCCCTTCTTCCGTATCATCAAAATACTCATTCATCGTCACAGGTTTTATGTAGTCTAAACTGCATAAACTTACATTCAGGATAGTCAAAAGATGGAAAGAAAAATGCCACTGAACAATGACAAAATTTATTAAGATGTGCCTGAAAAGAAAACAAAAAATATTATTTTAAAAAGAATTTCTTTTATTAGATATATAACCTGACGACACTCGCTGATGCAATTTGAATTTGTGTAAGAAAAATTTTTGAGAGTCGTTAATTTATATTCGACAGCCTCATGGCATGAGGCTCATGCTGTTGAAAATGCATTTAATATCTTAATTAGTGAGAGATAAGTTAATGACAGAGCTCACAGGATAATTGCATTGACGTTCAATTGGTTTTAAAAATTGAACATCGTCTGATGTTGTATAAACAGTTGGTTTGATGACTAAACCTGTTGATGTTCCGACAGCTATAAATCGTGCATTTTTGGGCCATTCTGAAGGATGTTGAATCATCACTATGACTCCTGGATGACTATTAGTAATTTTTAAACGATTGACGCTTGTTTCAGGATTAGTATTTAAAGAAACTTCTAATGCACTTTTCGGACCTTCTTTTGAAACATGCCATGGAAAGTTTGCAGATTTCTGAAAAAAATGAAAAACTAATAGTTTTTAATAAAATCTTTCTTGTCCAAAGAATTATTAATTACATTGACATAACCCGTTCCTAAACTGCTAAGAGAGTTGAAAGACCAACAAATCCCATATTCGTTAATTTGTATGGAAAATATGTCGCAACATTTAACTTTCTTTCTCATCCACTGGCATGAAACGAAAAAGTCTTCACAATCGAACATCATGAATTTATAGATTTCTGATAGATTAAAGTTGTCCATGAACGTGACATTGTCTTGTTCAATCACATCAAACTCATCAAATGAACCGTATTCAAGGTTCTGCAATACATGAAGAAACTTAATGAAGATTTCTGATTGATTTTTGTCAGCATTTGGAAGAAATTTTCTCAGTAGAGAATCTGTTTTGTTGTAATTTATTCTATTATTGTTACACAATGTAACAGCTGCAAATGGAATATCAGAAACTCTAAATCCTGTTGTTTCGAAAACAGTTGAAAGCAGATTTCTTTGGTATCTCATGTGTAACTTAAAGCAACAGTAAGTTGTCGCTGCTACAGCTAACATTATTGCTAAACACCATACGACTTTTTCTGCGACAGATATCGATGAATCAATGAGATATTTAACTCCATGAAGAGATGTATTCTAACATGTATAAGTAATAAAAAATTTTTTTGAAGTGCGATGTTGTCACGGATAGAATTAAAAATATTAAAGGTTTGATGTGACAAATTATAATATGAAATAAAATAATTACATGCATGAAAGCTTTCATGTATTGAAATAGATATTAAATGGACAAGTGTAGCAACATTAAACTCCACGACCTGTTCGAAAAATTAATAAATGTATCAATTTAACACGAGTGAAGTATAATTAATGTAATTTATCTGAGAGAATTGAAGCTAACTATGAATCGAGGGAATATTTAACTAAATAGCAAGAAATGTAATCGACACTTTAAGGAGAGAAATAATTTTATTTATCGATTTGAAATGTGAGGAAAATCAAAGCAAAAATTATGTGTACAAATGTCGTCACTGAAAAAGAATCGTTTTGAAATTCATCTCCCAATTTGATATGAATGCCTCCATAACTGCTCAAATGGAAATATTTCTTTTTGTATTCTTCATTTTGAACGTTTTAAACGAGTAAATGACAATATGAATCATAATCGTGAGGGTGGAATTTTATGATGAAATATTTAATAAACACTTGACAACATTTACAAAATTCAACGATACAATTTAAGATTTCATTTTCATTATTGGGGATTTTTTTCTTTCGAATTTATCAGAGAAGGAGATGAATTTATTTTTTGACATGGTTGGTTTACAATTATATTGATACATCTTTATGAACAAAATTGAGAAATTCTTTAATAAAAGAAATATTACAATGAACAATTTCTATGATTCATAACGTTGTTAGTGTTATTTAAAATTAAAAAATAAGAGAAAATCTATTTTAACTTTTCCGAATCTTTCGAAATATTTATTAATGTTTTGTTATTGTAATAAATAATGATATTTGAAACACTAACTTAATAAATATATATTCAATTCTGTTTTAGGCTATAATTTTAACCAATAACTAATTTAGATACATTTTCAAAGTCTTCTTTTCTTCAAGCGATAACTTGTTTGTTTCTATACATTGATGATTGTTTTTTATTTGCAGTAATCTTAACCCTAACACGATGTTCTTCTCATGTTTACTTAGGATTAAATTATTTGAAATATATAAACCATAATATTTCCTAAAATGATTTAAAAATCACTGATGATAAGAAAGGGAAAGTTGTTGATATAATAAAATTTATTTAACACTTGGACTCGAAAAACAAACAAGAAGTTTCCTTTAGGTGAAATTTCTCCTTACTTTGCTTTTAAAATTTTTAAATGGCTAAATTAAAATTTATGATTTCTCAGAATAATGTTTCTATAATTCACTCTTTTGCATGCATTAACATTTGATATTATTCGGTATGTTAATTTCATTGATTAAATTTGATATCATTTCAAGAAAAAACGCTTTTTAATAAAAATTAATTTCCAATTTAGGTAGGTACCTTGGCAGACAACGTTTGAGTTTGCATCTAAGAAATTTTTGAATTTTTTGTGTAATAAAAAGCTCAAATTCGATAACCATGCAACGTTGCTTCAATATATAGCGCAATAAAAGGTTTTGTTGTCGTCATTCAAAGCGCCATTAAAAATGGAATTTTGATCAGCATTTCCCCACTCTAGAGAAATTAAATTAAAGTTAAATGTCGCGCGTGACTATAAACACTTTTCAACTCAACATCGATTTACGTAATTCAAGAAAATTCATTAATGGTTACATCATGTAGCAACACCTGAAATATAAATTAAATTTATCTACATAAAAGCATTTAGATGAAGAATGTCTAATGCAATCATATGAAGTATTTTTCACTTCACGAACTATTCAGTGAATTGCTTGGAAAAAAATTAAGAGCAAAGTTTGGAATTTTGGTGAAAAATTTTATTCCGTGACACAAGTTAAGAACTTTTAACATAACAAGACACTAAATAAGCTACGGAATGCTAACAATCGTAAAATGACCCGGACGGAAATAATTAAAGTTCATCAAACATCATTAAATTGACCATCCTTGTGCCACAATGAAATCACCGTCATCAGAGTTTATTGACTCGTTTCATTCGACTTCATATAAATGTGGCCCTTGTTTAATTTAAATTAAAGTTAGGAACAGAAATTCAGTGAGAGAATACCTAATTGAACTTTACTTAATACCACCTCTGCCTTCTCTTTGTGACTCAAAACATCAAAAACATTATTAAAGTTGAAAAAAGTTTCACAAAGAAAGAATGAAAAGATAGAAACAAAATGTAAATGTTTGAAAATATTCTCAAATTTAGCAAAAGCTTTTATTTCGAATTCTTCGATTTGTGCTTCTTATGTTTCTTCTTATACTTCTTACTCTTCTTTTCATTTAGTTTATCTTTCTCAACCCATTCCTCTTCATTCTTTTTCTTTTTCTTAAGTTTCTTTAACTTTTTAAGAAGTTTTTCATCTAAATCGCTCTCTGATGACGATGAAGCTTGTGACAGTCTTTCATGAGAAGCGCTAGTTTGAGGCAAATCCTTATCAGGAAGCTTTGGACCATATAAATCTTCTACAGGTTTTTCTTTTTCTTCAGACTTGTTGACATCCATTGAAGAACTCATCGTCAAAATGCTTTTAAAGATACCTCGAGGAGCTTCATCATTACGTAAGACATTTATTTCACTTGCAGATTTTGTGTTTAGAAAGCTTTCAATGAAACTTGATTTTTGAGCTTCTGATAAACCTTTTTCAATTGTTTTCTCATTGTCATCTTGGTCACCCTCATCATCATCGTCGCTATCGCAAAAAATCGCTTTAAATAAATCTTTCTTATCTTGAGGTTTTTTGTGAACACTTTCGGCGACTTTAATTTCAAGTTCGGTCTTTGGTGGACCTGCGGGTTCTTTTCTTGCTTCTTTCCTTAACTCTGTTGGAGGTTTCTTAACCGTTGGAACATCATTTGATTCAAAAAAATCTTTAGCAGCAGCTCTTTTGCTTGTATCAGCAGCCATGAATGATTTTTCTTTTTCGACAGCAGCCAAGAAATTCTTTCTTTGCTCATCTTCAGCATTTTTCTTTCGGTCATCAACTGCCAATTTCCTAGGAACAACTTGAGGTGTAACAAAATTTGCTTTTGTATTTAAAGGAACTCCAATGTAATCAAATAATGAACTCGTTTGCTTCTTTCTATTCTTCTCTTCGTCTTCATCAAACATCATTCCACCAAATGGTTCGGGAACATTGAAACGTTTACACAAATCTTTGTGTGGCTTCCACATGACTTTCGTCCTGTGAATCACGATTATTTTTTTACCATTTTCAGTCTTTTTATGTGAATTTTCTTCCCTGATTAAATCAGTTTCTTTTATAAAACGATTTCCCATCAACGAGTCTAAAGGTTGATACATTCGTTTCGCTTGCATAAATTCTTTTCGTTCCATTTCTCGGTCGAAATTTGACATTGAAAGGGGTTGAATATCATTAAGGAATTTTTCAACTTCCTTCTCACTTGAACTTGATTTCAGTGTCAAGAACTTGTCATATCGTTCCTGTTTCTCAGGATTACCAATAAAAGGCTTGAAACTTTCATTCTTTTCACTGACGAATTGTTTGCTGTTTAGAAGTTCAGTTATTCGTATAGCTGACTCTTGAATTTTTGCGGTAGAACTTTCTTTGATGGAATTTATTTTCTCCGAATTCTTTTCAACTTTTTCATTCAATAAAGCACCACGCTCTTCAGGCTTAAAATCATGACGACCAAGTCCTAAAACTTTATGTTTATTTTTTTCTTCTAACGCCTTCGCTCGATTTACATCAATAGGCTCAAAACGTGATTGTCTTGTCAGCCAATTGCGTGGTTCAAAACTTCGTGGTAAATCAACTGTGAAGACTTTCACAGTCGTTTCTGATATTGTTGCTTTTGTAAATCCTTCAATGATTGATGAGTCAACTGGTTTAATAGCTTTCAATTTTCTTTTTGTTTTTTCTCCTTCATCAAGCGATCTATCGTATCGTGACATATCATCCATTGCATAGATATCGTCATCCTCCTCTTCAAGTGCACCAACTCCAAACGCTTGACCTCTAATCGACAATTTTTTATTGTTTCGATCGACAACTTGAAAGGTTTGAAAGAGATTCACATGCTGGGATTTTGAACTTAAAATAGATGATGGCTTAAGCCCTGAATAGCCAAGACCAAAAGCATTGTTTTTAACATTTGCAATGTAAGGATCAAAATCATCTGGTGCAAAAGTAATTTCATCATCTGACAAATCATCTTCATCTTCTGAATCCTGCTTTTGCTTTATTAGTCCTATATCGCAGCCATATTTCGTTTGGATGTACATTTCACGCTGATTTCTTTCATTTGTTCTTTTCTTCTCACGATAAGTTAAACGAGAGCCAATTCCTTGATGATCTCGCCATCCCATAGATTTGAGAATTCTTACTGCTGCTTTATCACGAATAGGCTTCAAAAGATTTTTCAATACCGGCTCACCAGGAATCGGTCCTTCAGATGGCTTCTCGTACTTTCTCTTGCTACTTCCAGATGAGAAATCTTCGGTTGTTTGAATTTTTTGATGTGCTATTCCAAATTCTCCTAAATCTTCTTCATCCATAAAATCAGTTGGTTGAAATGTTTTCACTGTTTGCTTTTCACTTCTCGAGCTTTTAAACTCAGACGGAGTGAAGCCTTAAGAAAATAAATATTAAAAAAAATTTATTTGAATTTACATTTTACTTTACCATCTTTTGATCCAACTGTATTCCAATAGCCAGCACTGAAGCCTCCAGTAAAAGCACCATGAAAGCGTCTCCTTCCATTTTCATCTTTTACAAATTGATCTTCAATCTGAATTGGTTTTTTTGATGGAATTTCATCTGGAAAAAAAAATGTATAAACAAATATCACTATTTCATAAATGTGTCATATTTTACCAGCTTCGTAAGGTGTTAGTTGTGTTCCATATTTACAAAGCATGGGTTCATCTTCTGCATTGTCAACTTCATCTTCACTTGATTCCATTCTTAATTTTAATTGTAATTATCTAATAAACAAGAAAAAAGTCGACAAGAACGATCGTTGCGCTCTTTCATTTTGTGGCGGTGAATATTGGAAGTATTTTGAATTTTCGGAATAAATCTAACAAAGTTAATAAGAAAAACATTCGATTTTCAATTTTTTAAAGAAAATTATTGATTAATTTTTACAGAAGAAACCGAATCGAAGAAAATGGTAGAAAAGGGTAGTCATTGTTATTCAAATAAGCATGGGATTTTCTTCAGCAGTTTATTTTTCAATTTTTCGCTTCCTTTTTTTTTTTTAATAATCATCTTATAGTTAAGTTTGGAAAAGGCTCACAGATAGTTATAGTTAAGGTATAATTAATAATCTTTTCTTAGCCGTTACTCTATTTCTTAAAAGGCATCAACAAGCAATGATTTGAATTGTTTTAGATCACAAAAACAATGAGTAAAATTATTTGCTAATACCTAATTGATATAAAACTTAAATATTTAAATCTTTAAAACCATTGAAGAAAAAATTATAAAAAACTGATTTGAACCATAAATTAAAACGCAACAAGTTCTCTTTTTTTTTGATAATAGATACTTATGGAAAACTTTGAAAGAAACTTAGTTTTGATTTGGTCCACGAAGAAAGAGGAGAAGTCTTATGTCTCTTGGTTGAAGTGTTACTTGATGTCGGTTAAGTGTTATCATGATTGCATCGCAAAAGAGATTCGTAAGATATGATTCAGATGCTTCACGTAACGCTACCAGAGCTTCAGGTGTAATTCGATAATCTTGCCGTCCTCCATGTTTCTGAATGAATTCTCTAACAAGTCGAGCAAAAGGAGCCATTGGAATTTGTGGTTCAACAGTCTTTTGTAATCTAACTATTTCATGTATGACAGTTCGACGTTTGGGTGTATTTTTGCGACGACGTGTATGTCTTGCTATCGTCTCTCTTTGAGTCTGCTTTGTTCGATTGACATTTGAAGATTTCGTTTGATCACGTCTACTTTGGCGACTGTAATTTAAACGGGCTTCATCTTCATTTTCTGATTCTGTTAAATTGCTGAGACGTTTGCTTTGAAATCTTTTCTCTGGATTAGGTAATGTTTTCTTCCCAGGTTTAATTGTAGCTTGAGGTTTTCTGAAGCTTGTTGTTGATTTAGGCCTTCGAGGAGATGTTCTTTGGACGGATGTTTCTTTTGCAAATGTGTCCTCTTCTTCTGATTGAATCGATACAAATGATTCAGAAGCACTAAAAGTAAATTTTATAATAAGTTTATATTTTTTTAAAAAAAATTGAGCACCAGATTTTCTTACGAATCTTCATCCATAAAGTTTGTTAATTTTCTACGATTTTTTCTCTGATTTGAAGACATTGTAAATTTGTCATTACCATTAACTTTAAATGAAATGTGATAAAATTATTGTCTGAATTTACTACTTTTAATTAATATTTAATATATTTTTATGTCAGTACTCCTTAAAATAAATAATTATTAACGCAGCTTGTTTATGTTTGTCAAGAGAAATACGTTATGATTTGTAGACTTATAAATTCAAATAATTTTCACCGTTAAATTTTTAAAACATTTTTTTTCTGGAAAATTTAATTAGCTAGGTAGTTTAATTTAATTAATCGATAATTATTTTTCTTTCACGAAATTTTATTGCATCACGCTAATAATAATTAAATAACATTACGATTCATATATAGATTTAATTTTGAATTCCACAAATTAATTTTTCCAAGATATCTTCCATGCATATTGAAGTTTTAGAGAATAAAATAAGAAACATCATGAGATAAAGTGACACAGTTTTCATTTTAGGACACAATATTAACTTAAACAGAATGCATACAACAATCATTCTAATGCCGTTCGTTTTCGATTGTCGGGTTTAATCTTTGTATCAACTTTTAAAGCGTCAAATTTTTCTTGTATTTATCTAAAAAACTTCCTTGGAAAGCTAAATAATAAAAAAGTTTCTTTTTTTCAACATGATTAATGATTTTCATTTAAAAAAACAGTTAAGTGATTTTAAAAATTATAAATTTCCCTGAACTTAAAGTAACAACTTTCCATTATTATGATAATCCTTGAACCACATTATTATTTATTAAATTTTTCAATTTCCATTTTGTCTTATGAATTTTCAAACAATGGGAGTTTTTCATGATCATTTGGCTACGATTCAACGATAATTTTCACTATATTTTTTTTAATATAATTTCCTTTTTCGTTTCTGATTAAGAACGACGATGAATTTGGATTGGAGTTAAGGTTAAAACTCCATGAATTTCTATTTCATTTAATAATATTTTTGAAATTTATTCGTTCAAAATGTTAGTTAAAGAAATATTAAAAAGTATTTCATATAAAATGTCGGAAAATTTTAAATTTTGTTTTCATTTTGAATAAACATTCATTTTTGACTGATTCTATGATGATATAGACAGATTGTCCGATGAATTAATTCATACTGCTCGCTATTCTGCACCATACCACCTCGATTAAGACGTAAGTTGCAAACAATTCCAAGCACATCAACTGCAATATCATCGGGATTTGCACGAATTTGTCCCAAAGCATTGAGTATTCCAGCAAAACATCCAGTACGTCCAATGCCAGCTGAACAATGTATGATCGGTAGTGGATGCTTTCCATTTTTCCAAGCATTCTCGTCGGCTGTTTCATCAAAATCTTTTACACAATTTCTATCCAAATAATCGAGACTCATATCAATCAACACATCAATGTTTTTAGGAGAACGATGATCGGGCCAATCACGGAACCAATAATGATATAAATCACACCGATAAATATTCTTCATTAAATTGTCACCGTAATGAATTTTCAACTTTCTTATAGAATATCCATCCTTTTCACACACCGCAATATTCTTCACTGCAAAAAAGTGAAACTTAATCTTTGACACATCTTTTGCTGCTCCTTCTTCATCATCAATTTCATCTTTTCCTGGATCAAAGATCTTCTCAAGATTCTCCTTCACAACATCTTCATCTTCCTTCTTCTCAGTATTCGTGAAAATCACATGATCATCAAGCTTTGTTGGAAAATAAACTTCACATTTATGTCGATTAGTTTCAAGGAAATCAGTCAGCATGATCATTTTCTGAATGCCTTCGCCATTATGTTTCTGAATATTTTGTAATATCATAATCCAGAATTCATAAACCGTGTTCTCCATTGGACCTTGTGTCGCGATGTATCTGTCAGTTGAGTAATCAGGACCCTAAATGAGAGAATCATAATGAATTTTTATCAAACAATTTAGACACTAAAACACAAACCTTTATGTAGTTAGCATTGATGTAAGGTTCTTGATCACATCCTTCTTCTTTATGTAAAATAACTCGTGAATGTTCGTTCGGTAGAATTGTTTTGTAACGATTCTTAGCATGTGTTCCAAAAATCATTGGTTTATCTTGATAGTTTGTCGGTAAATGCCAAAACTCCTGATGAACTTTAATGAGAAGCTCTTTTTGGCTTTCATTTGGTGACGAGCTGAAGAAGCTTATCGGTCCCAAACGGCTACTCAAAAAATCATCGTTACTAAATGGCCCCATAAAAGGTTCATTGAAATAAATTCTCGATCGATTCTTATAAGATTTCTGAAATAAACCATGAAGTGTCTTCAAATGTTCTGCGTTTAAAACACTCGAAGCGTTCTGTAAAAGTTGAATATTCGCCAAATAACATTTAAAATCTTCTGATGTACTTTGTGGACTTAATGGTTGTGTTGTAATGACAGTCAACTTCTCTTGATATGTTGGCGTATGTTTTAAATTATCACTGGAACCAAAAGGTGTTGGATGATGACTCGCTTCATGATGACCAGCTCCAATTGTAACACGCGATTGTGCTGAGAGTTTATGAAGATTTTCTGAACTGAGAAACTTTCTTTGATCTCTTTTCGATGATGAATTTTCGCGTTCCTTCGCAGCTTGTTCTTCTGCTTCCTGTTCAGCTTCTTGTTCCATCATCATCATTTCTGCCATTTGATTTGTATTAACGCTACTTAAGCTGCACTCAGATCCCCTTAAGTTACAATTACTGATCGATAATCCACGATTTTGTATGTTGAGCGTTAAACTTGTATTTGAGTTTCGTCTCTCAAGTAAGCCTTTTCTGGATCCACCAATGTTTAGAGAGCTGTGACTATTGAATCGATTTAAATTATTTCTCGGCTCTTGAATATTTAGTGTTAAGCTTGTATTTGAACCTCGTCTTTGGAGAAGATTTTTCTTAACAATTGACACACGATTTGGTAAATTAGAATTCGATCCAGCAATACTTAAATGTGATCCATGAATATTTCCCAAACTATAATTACTGCTACTTAAACCGCGCGCTAAATTTCCACAACTTCCATCAATATTCAATGTTAAGCTGTGATTTGATCCACGTCTTTGAAGGATTCCACTCTTTGATGGTGCAATGCCACTTGGTGGACCGATTCTTAACGGTCCTTTCGATGGCGATTGGTTTCCATCGAAATCAGTTATGCTCATAATTTCCGGCAATGTTTTTAAATTACTTGAACTCACATTAAGTGTTTGTATCGATGCTGTAAAATTTGTCCTTCCACCAACTTGTGATGTTGTCGATAAATGATGTTTCTTTGAGTCTGTGCTATTGCTCTCTTCAAAACTTCCCAATTTCTTATTATTATGACGTGAACCACCATCATATGATATTTTAAGTTTATTTGCTGCTATCAAATGTTTCGGTGTTGATGGCACTGATATTGAACTGTTCAACTTGCCACCATTTCCTTGACCGAAATAATAATTAAATGTTTCACTTGAAGCTGTCTTACCAGTCGCACAACTTTTATTACCACCACCAATGACATTTTGATGATGGTGATGATGATGCTGGTGATGATTATCAGAATCCAATGAAGCAGCTTTTTTCTTTTGAAAATATTTCATTGTTGGCGTACGACAAATTCCATCATCTTCTATCTCATCAAACTCTTGATCTTGATTCATGTTTATGTCACTACTTTCTGTCATATCCAACGAGCTATCTCGAAAGTCAAGATTGATTGTTAAGTTGTTAATATTCTTTGGATTATAGCGATTATCATCATTATCAATATTATTATTTATATTATTATTATTATTGTTGGCACTAGACGACGTTCCACTATCACTTGGATCCGAATCTGTTATTTGTTTGTTGTTATATGAAGCAATTTCAACAAGCTCCTCAACTGGCATCGTCAGATTCTCTTCAACTAAACGAGCACCATCAGAATCCAATGAAATTGATTTTAAACGTGCACGACGAATTGTCAACGTATTCTCATTATTATTGTTATTATTATTATTACTTTTGTTATTGTTATCATTGACAGGAGACTCCACTTCATCAATCTTTAAAATGATACTTTCTTTGTCACTTTCCATGCTCAAATTTTGAAATGATTTGATAGCAGCATCGGATGTTGAATCTTCAGAAGTTGTTGTTGTTGCTGATATTGAGCTTTGTTGATGTTGTTGTGCAAGTGGTGGTGAACCAACATCAGGAAAACGAAAATAATTTCCAAACTTATAATTTGCTGATGAGATCGTTGGACTGTTGTTGGATTGAATTTTTGGTGAGAAATTAAATTGTCGATTGATGGACGGTGGTGGTGATTCGCCTGATGACGATTGCTGCTGCTGTTGCTGAATAATCGGTGAATTTTGTGGTTGTAAAACATTTGTATTTAGTTTGGGTGATGTTGACAAAACACTAGATGGTGATGATGGTAAACTTGTCGTCGTTGTTGTCGTCGCTGTCGAAGCTCCATTGTCTTGTTTGAAGTTGCTTATAGATTTATTGAGGCAAGTATTGCGCAACCTTCCAACCGAAGGTTCTTTATTTTCTTTATTATTATAAGATGATGGAGATGAAGGTGTCAAAAATGGGTTTCCACTTGGGATCGTTGAGGTCGTTGGCGTTTGGACAACAGCAAATGATGAGCTTAGAAGATGGTTATTGGGGCTGTTTGGTGCTTTGGTAAAATAAGTTTGTGTGCCTTGAGTGGCATAAGTCTGTGATGTATGTTGATGAACGATGGGGCTGAAGGGAGGTGGCGATGTAGCTATCGATTTATAAATTTTGCTTGTTTGATCTTCGCGAGGTTGAATGCAATGAACTTCTTCTTGTAAGAAAGATAATGAAGATGTCGATGAAGATTTTATTTGTTGAACTTGTGATTCATTCGTCTGTCCACAAGGTTGTGGATGCACTAAACTGGCAACACTGCTGAAGTCGCTAATCGCTAATGGACATGGAAGAATGATTGGATTAGATTTTGGTGACTTATTATCAGCATTATCATCGTCATCATGTTTTTTAATTACATTTCCAACACATTCACTGTCACTATCATCACTGCTTAAACTTGCAACATCTTCATTCTGTTTCTGGAAGTTTGGCGATGTTGGTGGTGAACTTTTGTGTTCAATATTTTCCAATTTCTGTTCAAGATCGTCAACTGCTTGATTGTTGACTTTCTTATTCTTTCCTTTTAGCCACTTACGACTGTTCATCATCCTCCGATTGAGCTTTTCTTTATACTTTTTTTCTTTTTCGCACTCAAGTCGTGCACTTTCTTGACTTTTTTCGTTCGTTTCACTGAAATATTTTCTTATCCAAATGAATAATATTACACCGATGAGGACAACACCAAGGATGGTGATACCAAGAATAGTGAATGGCAACACAAGATCAAGCCAAGATTCGCTTGATGAATGTTCGTATGTGATTAAATTGTTCGCATTATCATTTTCACTATTTGTTTCACTGTTTACATTTGCGCCTTTAATATTTCTTTTAACATGATCATAGAACGGATAGTCTCTATATTCACGAATCAAATTGGCTGATCGAAGAAAACGTTTGTTATGGTTGAAGGATGATTTGATTGAGGACGAACGAATATAAAAATTAGAATATTCCATAGTATTCAGAGCCCTCCCCCGCCCTTCAAATGAAGTGTAGCGGGCTTGCTTTTTCTCCTTCTATTCCATCAATATGTAAATCTAAAAAGTAGAAAAATATTTGATAGGAATGAGAAAAAGAAATGACAAGACAAGGAAGACTGATGAGTCTGTTATTGATGTTAATTTAATTAAGACGATGACGACATCAGGAAATTCTTCCATATTTACTTACATTTGAATAGTTACTCAAGTTGACTAATGAGGGTCTCATGATGATAAGTGTTAGTTTCTTTTTATACCTCTGAATAAGTTTGAAGTTAGTTTTAGAGTGATTACGAAAAAAACGAGATGAAAAATAAAAGACGTAAAAATTGAAAATAAGGAAAAAAGATTTTTTTTTCTTTTGTGAAGATTTATCAAAAACTTCTATTAACATGGATGCAATTGAAAACACGTAAAACATACCTTTGATGTTCGATGACTCTAGAAATTTTTTTAAAAAGAAACACTTAAATGACTACAATATCGTTTGTAATATAATTAGAATTTTTTCTCTTATGGAGACTTTCATTGGTAATTGAAAACTTCGACTGATATCAATTTTTTTCTTCGTCCTTATAACGAGGTACTGCCGTTAAACTTCTCTAAAGAGAGAAAATTTGGAGACATTCTCTTTCTTTTTCTCCAAAAACCATCGAACGTGGTAGGACATAATTTCTTAAATAATTATTTTCTCTAAGTAACACTCTTTTAAATAACAAAAGCATAGTTTGGAGATATTCATAAGTGATAAAGTTATGATTGTGATGTATCAGTTTATGCTGAAAACATTGAAACAAATTATAAAATTAAAAATAATGTTTATTGCTAAATATTGTTGTTTAAGAAAATTTCAATTTTCTTTCGCAAGAAAAATAAATTTTATTTCAAGCAGACCAATAAATATTTATCAGAAAGATTATCCCATAAAGTAGTCTCTGAATAACGCAACTCGTTTAAAAACATAAGCAATTTAAAAATAATGTTAAAGGAATTTCGAGGTTAATAATTTATATTATTTTACTTTTTCAGGTTTCCGCTAGCGGTTCAGCAAAATGGCCAAGGGCAAGTCCGAAAAACGTACCAAATCTGCAATCAATGAAGTTGTTACACGTGAGTGTACGATTCATTTGAACAAACGTCTCCATACAGTTGGATTCAAAAAGCGTTCACCAAGAGCTATCAAAATCATTCGTAAGTTTGCTGAAAAGGAAATGAATACAAAGGATGTTCGTATTGATACTCGCTTGAATAAGGCGATCTGGTCTCGTGGTATCAGGTATATTATAAACATTATCATTGAGAATATTAAAATGTTTGACATTTCACGTTTTATTTTAGAAATCCACCTTTCCGCATTCGTGTCCGCCTCTCACGTCGCCGTAATGATGATGAAGATTCACCTAATAAATTATACACATTGGTCACTTACGTTCCAGTCGAGACCTTCAAGGAACTTCAAACTGAAAACGTCGAATCGGAAGATTAAATTGATTTGTATTCTGTAAGTTCTGATTCCTTGTGAGCGATGCTCAACATCAAAAAGCATCAAAATAAATTTTACTAAGAAATCAAGAAAAAGTGAAGTGTTGTTATTATGAAGTTTTTGAAATGAAGACAGTGGTTTCAAGTTGCATTTAAGAGCTGTGGTTGTGTAACTTCCAGCTCTATGATCTCAAATCTTGTTATTATTTCCCAGCCCCGAGTAGAACAAAACGAAATTCTTCACAACTAAACAAATCTAGAATTTTATTGATCAACCAAAATGCTTCCAGATATCACTTTTGGTATCATTAGCTCCATGTGTTAAATATGAAATTTATTTTCCAATTTAACAAATCCTACAAAACACTATTTCTATTTTTTCTTTTTCATCTTAATTTACAAAGGACAAAGCTTAAATCAATTTAAAAAATTATTAAAATAATTTCCTTCATCATGACAATGAGCCTAATTCCATAAAGTGTATGTTGATGATAAAAAGGCTCATTATCAGTTGATTAAGTTTTCTTAAAATTAGTTTCATAAATAAACAATTTAACTAAGGGTCTAAAATGCCTTAAACGTTTAAATCTAAAAGTCGTTACTGCGTCACGGCTCGACCAGCATATCCAGAATTCGCAAAGTCATCTAAACTCTTCCTTCCGCTACTTTGAAGTCTTGAAGCGAGTCCGCAAGTCTAATAAAAAAAAGGAAAATTAAATTCCAAACATTTTCGTCATAAATTTTAAGTTTTTACAATAATCGTTGAAAGTGCCAGTAATCCAGCAAGCAATCCAGATATGACAACAAAATTTCTACACTGTTCTGAAGATTGATTGTAATTTACACCGTTGGATAATTCCCCTGGCATCAAAACAGTGTACTGAAGATTCTCTTTGAATTTTGTATATTCAGTTGCATTCTTATTGTGGTCAATAGCTCTTCGTTTACGTCCATGACCTCCGTGACCTGTTAAATGATACAAAATATTTTAATAACGTCGATTTGATGTCTCCAATCTGACTTACGTTTACCGTTTCCAGTTTGATCATAAATATCAAGACAAAAATCTGGTTGACAATCAGCAGCATCCATACAAGCTTTTATCTTAACAAAAATTAAACATTAATTAAAGTTAAATTCAGAATTTTGTACAAATTTACTTGTGAATGAATCCAAAGTGTTGATCTTTCCTTCATCGAGCTGAGTAAAAATGCTTCAAAATCGAGAAATACTTCATTTGGTCGATCTCTGTATCTTGCAGGCTTCACAATTATAATTTTAATTAAAAATTAAATTGAATAATTAAATAAAAAAATATTCTCACTTGATGTGGAATGATTGAGGCAAAATCGCGATTTCTGCAACCATCTCTAACCAATGAAACTGAACCAACTGCATGAGGTTCATCAGGATCGGGTGATACCGTAACTTCCATTAGTTTCACATATTTCCATACGCTTTGTAAACTGATACGAGCACGAAGTTGAAGTTTTGTCCCAATTGGAACAGCTTGATCAACTGGCACTTCATTATTGTTTAATCCTTGAAGTGCACTAGCTGAGTGATTTTTTGGTAAATGTCCATGAACATGCGGACCATTAATTCTTCCAAGTGGTGGTGGTGCTTCTTTATACAACGCAACTTCATATTCCAATCTTCCAGGTGTCTCTTCAACAACTCCAGACACTCGCGCTCCATGTGGGCTATGAAGCATTTAATAAATAAAATCGTTGAAGCTATAAAAGATTATTTTCATCAAAATAATATTTTCATTTCAACTTACAAACTGCCCGCAAATCCAGCTGCTTTATTTTGGATAACCGTAGGCTCTGGTGGTTTGCACATGATGATTAATTCTTGATCTGATTGCATCACAACACCAGGAAACTGCGGGAACCATATTCGCACATGAACAAAGCCGTTTCTTTTCAACACTCCGCACCTTGTGAAGTCAGTGATTTTTAAGTCATAATTTAAATCTGATAGATCAGATCGATCTGACTTGATAGTGCAAGAATAATCGTTCTCCGGGCTTACTGAACGATCATCAGCGAAGAGTGGATGACCTTTGAATCCAATAGGTTTCTTTAACTTGGCTGTTATCATGTCCCCCAACGATGTGCCAGCTGATGCAAATGAACATTGAATTTCTGTTACATCATAGTCTTGTGCATCGGCAATGGCTAACAATGTCTGAGAATACAAATTGATATCATCATATCATCATATAATAATAATAATAATAGTTAGTAATGAAAGAGATTTATGGAGTGCAAAATGTTTGTTACCATCATTACGTGTTTAGATCTTGATTCATAAATGAGAAAATCAGATTAAAATAAAATTAATCTCAAACTAATGAGCGTCGAAGTGCAGTGAAATAAACATAAACGTTTAAATATGTATACAAGCTTGAATTTTGAAGAAAAGATTGAAATGAAGTTTCGATTAAAAAATTCTCTTTCTAAATAATGAAACGATCTGATTTTTTATGTCTCGCTCTTTTGTTCTACTCGCGTGCTCAAAGTCTCAGAACATTATTAAATGACAACAAAAACATGAACAATGCAAAGTCATCTTATTTTTTAATCGGAAGAATCAACGAAGGAATAAAAGAAACTTTTTCTTTCTCAAAACAATAGATGAATAAATTCACAACTAGTTCAATGGGTTAATGTTGTTATCATAATTCATTTAATTGTACTGCGAGAAGATGATGACAAGTGGAAAATCAAGATCATCAAATGGATAATTATCTCATCAAAGAAGAGTATCAGGGAACGATTAATTGATTAACCGTCTATCGACCCAATTTCTTTATTTTATTTGATTCGATTGTTAAAGATTTTTGCGATTTTTTAATAACAAGATTGAAACTGTTTAGCGACCGCTGTAGAGATCAAACAAATTAGGGCAATTATGTTTAAAAAACCGTCTTCAATTATTACAATCGGGAATACTTAGTATTGTGTAAAGAAGAAGAGTTTGAAATGAAACGAGAGAAAGAAGATACGATTAAAGTTTCCATCGAGCGACTATTCACGCATTTAAATCTTTAGTAATGAATCTTCAATGACATGATCACCTTTCTAATCTTTTTCTCATCTCGTAAGTATTCAAACAAAAAATTTCTTATTTCATTTAATGTTGTTACACTCAATTAGCATACTTCAACATTAAATATCATCATCAAGTTAATTTGGTGTAACTTAAACATCACGTTTGAAACTTTTTCCCATCAAATTCAAAATGAAATCGAAAATTTAGGTCATGGCCCATGCAAAAAGTTGACAATTTAACGCCAAAAAAATGCATTAAATTAACCCGAAAATTGTTTTCAGCTTTGATATTTTACAAACAATCTTAGCCATATTTTTCTTCTTTTCTCTCACTTTTTTATCTCTTTCATCTTTTTTTACTTTATATTGTTAATACAAAATATAAGTAAGTACCAAGATGAAGCAGATTTCTGTCTTTCGTTGTGCTACAGTAATTTCTTAATTCCCGCTACTTTGAATAAGTTAAGAATTATGATGCTTTTTTGTGTTTTGTTATGGAACAGAATGACTTTTCTTATGCATAAAATTATAAAATGTGCTATCATAAATGAAAAGAAAAAAATTATTGCGGCCGCGTAGAAGTTGTTTCCGCTTTGCTTGGAGAATTAAGTTTTCGAGACTAAACGATTTAAATTAAATCTTTAACTTCTTCAAGTTATCTATGGGAAGTTTTTATGATGTAAACCATTAGAATGAAATCTCTTAATTTTAATTCATTTTATTTTAAATTCTTTCTAAATTCTCATTAATTAATCTTCAAAGAAAAGGCGAAATTATTGAGTATTTGATTCAGAAATGAAGATCAAGAAGTAAAAAATCTAATCACATTGCAATAATTCTTAAACCTCAATGAAATCGCTGTTGAATTTGGTTTTCTAATCAAACGGTTTGAACGATTGAAAAATCATGAGAATTAATGATTAACAACGCGGCAAGAGAAAGAAACCAATAAAATATATCCATGTAATTATGGATTCAGATTCAGAACGATTGATTTTATTCAACCGTAACGGAAAAGCCTTAAGCGAAAAAAATAACTTGTGAAATGAACGATCGATAGGTTCGCCAAGTTTTTCTTTATTTTGCTAATTATTTTCTCTTTCATCAACGATGACAAAAAGGTGAAAAGCATTGAAAAACTAAATTAAACAATGTTGGTTTTCTTAGAATGTTGATGAAAGAGTTCCGCAAATTAGAGCATTAACAATCAATTCAGATCTTTATAAAAATTATTCTTCAACGTTGCGGCAGCATCAGGAATTGATTTGGAAACGTAAAAAATTGGGAAAAGCAATTTATTTCCAGATAGATTTAACATTTTCTTTTACCTCGTGGTAACGGATTGTTTGTAATGTGATGATGAAGAATAATGCTCCAGAATGGCATAATTCGCTGTAAAAAACAGCTCAATGTTGTTTTTTCTTTAATTTTTAATAACACTAAGTAACGTTTATAAAGATAAAAACATTGTATCTAAATAGCTCTTTCTTCTCAAAGCATTCAATGCAGATTTTAATCAAGACAATGCAGTTAAATGTTTTGTTTTTATTGTTGACAACTCTTGACGTTCTTTAATGCTTTGGTTCAACGATTTCGAACTATGATTAGATTTCCCTTTTGCATATTTCTTTTGTGTAATATCGAAAAAGCTAAGTTCAGAATAAATCTCATGGTTTTGATACTTTGTAAATAACATCCATCTGCTGTCTGATTGATCGGAAGAATCGATTAAAAATAAAAACTTTGAAACAATCTTTCATCAATGCTACCGTTAATGAATCAGCAATAGTGTAATTAAAATGTGGTTATCGTTGATGAAAATAAAACATGATATGATGTAATGAGACGCTTGTATTAACCCAATTTCCTTTCTTACATACCTGTCTACAAAAAAAGGCATACGGCAAGTTGTTATTTGCGCACTTTCAAAGCTCACACTTTCAATTTTCATAAGATTCAAAGCTTTATATGTAATGTATTCAAATTTATATTCATTCAAAAACTCATAGACTTAAACGATCGCCGCAATCTATCCGGCAGAAAATACCGGAATTTGTTTTTATCAGGTGCGTATTGGAATGAGAATCCGGTCGGGAATATTATGAAAGAAGAACTGGATCGAATAATAACTCATTTCTCTAACTCAAGTCCAGAAGGAAACCTGATTTTTACAGCTTCCATAATAAATAATCGTAAACTGTTTACTGTCGATTAGCTGGTCATAAGCTTACAATATTGTTGACATAATTTTTTTTATTCATTGATTGGAATCGGGATTCTGGGACAGAATAAGCATAAAATATTAAATAAGCTTTTTAAACAACTCAACTCACCACAATTAAGAATGATGCAATTAAGTTAAACATTTTTTTATGGTTGAAGAAATCCTTTCACTTATTGAGACACACTTTTGACGGCACACTAGACGAAGATTACTTGTCTTCTTGGTGAATTCTTTCAAGTCTGATAAACTTTTAAATTACTATAAACTCACAAAAGCACTTTTGTGATGACACGACAAGTACAGGTTTTCACTTTAGATTAATTTTTATCTTTCAACTGTCAGAGAAAGTTCAAAGCATGTTGCTGCTACTACAAAAAGATGAAGATTGTTAAGAAAATGCATGAGTGATAAGAAATATTTTTTAATCTATGAAAGGTATTTCAAGAGTGTAAAGAAATTAATGATTGATACGGCATGTTTAACTGATTAAAAGAATCTATCGCAATATCTAAACAATTTTAATCACAAAGCAAAACATAAATAGAATGCGCACAAGTTATCAATCTAGTTTCTTTCTTTTTTTCTATCTTTCTTAACATTGCGTATAATTATTATGCACGATTATGTACAATTGATAAACAGTTGGAAACATCTACAATTGTGTCAAATATCAGGGAATTGAGAAAACAGCGGGATTTTTGCAAATCGCCCTCAAAATTATAAAAGCGTTTTTGAATTTCTTCCATGAACTATAAACTCACATGATTTACTGTCTGAATTAAAAATGCACAAAAATAATTTGAAAATTCTTCGTTTTGCATTCAAACTTTTTCCATATGATTATTGACAAAACAAACGAACTACGATAATATGAAGAAAATGTTCAACGAGGTATGGAAAGTCTTTTGAACGATTTTCCTAACTGAATTTTCTTTAATTCATTTCACTGATATTCTTAATATTTAAATAGGTCTTTCGTTATGCAACTCAAGAGACACACGCGAATGACTATAAGATTTTAGCATCTGTTCACTTTGAAATCTAAACTGGAAGTGATTTGATTTCTTCCGCGAGCGCAGGTAAAAATAAATGAAATGCAGATCAAAGAGAAACAGTGAGAAGATTTTTTCTTTCTCGATTATTATTTTCTTTGTGGTTTCATTCAGAAGCTGTTTGTAAAATCTTTCTTTACTTTTGTAAAGAGAAAGAGATAACTGAAGAAAAGAGAAATTGTTGTTGCTTACTATTTCATTAAACTCTCAAGCAACTCAACAACCTTTCCCAAGTGCGATTATAATTAAACATTTTATGTTTTATATCTTTCTTTCGGAAATGATCGGAAGTGATCTACTGTTGCTTTTATATGTTTATTTACGATCATCATGAAGTCATCTAGATAAGTTTTCCAATAAGAAAACAGATCGCTTTTCTGGGAAATATTTAGGATACAAACGGTCACCGATCACCGCTGTGCAATTGTTAAAATCCGAAAAATCGTTTCTTAATAGCTTAAGAATGTGAATCAAAAACTGTAAAGTTTGATTTCAATCGTAAAGCTTCAGTCACCACCAAGGGAGATTCTAAACATAATTATGGTCAATTGTTTCATTTTATGAACCGTTTAATATAATTTTGCATCGCCTAAATAAAACAAAAAAAAATTAATGATCACAAAAGTTGATTAAGTATCTAGATAGCTGTATCTAGATAGCTCTTCTTGTTATACAGAATAATTTGCCGCACGCTTTTCATAACTGGAAATAATTCCCTAAAAAAGATTTTCGATTTGGTCTTTGCTGAGTCTGATTGAAATCCATAAATTTCTTTAAAAAATATTTTTCTTGTTCAATCAAATTATCTAATTGTTGGAAAATAGTTCAAGCGAGAAAATTAAAATTTGAGAAAGACAAATTATGTTCGTTATAAATTTTATTATGTTTGTTTTAACTTTTCTACATATTTATAAATAACATTACAACATTTATCATAAAGTTCTCAGATTTTATTTCATAAAAATAATTGCAGATGTTTGCTTAAATAAGAATCATTTTTTATCTCTAACAAGCAAGAATTTAATTGATAAAATTTCTTCATAGTTGATCATTTCACCATTCCAGAATCGAGAGTTTTCAACGAGCATTAAACTGGAATTGTGTTGATTCTTGAAAGATTTTTTTAATCATTTTAAGCGCTTCTTTCATTGAATTCCGTTTTTTTGTTATAGATTTATAATTGCTGAAGATGCTTAGACGAAATTGCCAAACTGCTCGTTATTGAATCGATGAAGTGTGAAAAATTACTGTTCTTAATGGTTTAAAGCCGTTTGAATGGTCGAACTCTTAGTTGAATTAGTATTTTATAACATCTATTTAACTTATGCATTTCTCTTAAATGGGAACGAAACTTGAGAACTTTTAATATTTATTGATTCATCCAGACTTTCTCATAAATGTGAAAAGCCGCAGACTCTAAAGTCATTGAATGATTTTGATTTGTTTTCATAATGGTAAACACATTTTATATTTTATTTTGCAAACATTTAAGGTTGAGCCACAAACTTCCGTTCTAAGTTTTCAGTTCAGAAAATATGATTTGAAATTAATTGAGAATTAAATGAAAAGCTTAACCTAATTAATTCTTTGTAAAACAATTAGAAAGCTACAGTAGAAACGAGATTTCTTTGAATTTCTCAATTTTTTTGTCTTATCAGCAATTTCAGCTGTATTTATTGTTGTTCTTTAATTTTGTCATCAGATGTTTTTTTTGAGATGGACGCTGATAGAAATTGGAGATTAGCATTATTGGAGCGAATATCAATTATTTAATTTCTGAAATTAAACATTTCTGACCTTAGAACATCGACGTCCACGTTGAAATTGTTTACATTTATTTTAATTTTGTTCACTTCGTCTATCAATTCATTCAACTTTGTGGAAACTTTATCATCGACTTCAGAATTTAATTTTAGTATAGATTTATGATCTTCTGACTCACATCCGACTCCAAAAATATTTGAAGAGTTCTTCACAACATTTACAGCCTTGACGTTGATACCTTGAGCGGACATACTTTCGATAATTTTCCCAAGATACGAGCAACTCCAAGGATTGTCAAGTCTAACTTTCTAAAGATTTGGAAACTTTAAATTCATAAAGATCTTCGTGAGATTATTTCCACCTATGTCGATGGTTTTGGATTTCTTCATTCCAGAAAACATCTGCAAGTCAATAAATCCCAACTTATTATCAGAAATATCTAATAATTCCAATTCTTTCTGATTAGAAAATGTTCCATAAGTGATTTTTGATATTCCCGTCGCTTTCAAGAAAAGTTTTTTTAACGAGGTCATTTCAGAGAAATCGTCAACGTTTAGTGGGAAATATTTTTCGACGAATTTCTAAGTAAATTAATTCCTGTGACGTGTTGCATCTTAATATTTCGCATGCCAACAGTATTTAAATTCAAAAAATTGTTCATCGACAATTTCTTCATTTCGTCATTGCTTGTTCGAAATAATCAAATGTTCCAATTCCATCATTCCATCTTCTCTTAACTCAGAAAGCTTGTTGTTGCTTACATCCAAATATTTAACAATTTTGTTTTCTAACGAGAGAACGCCTTGAAGTTGATTATGGGTTTAATCCAAATCTATAATTGAATGGAACTCAAATTCAAACCTTTTCTAAAGGTTATGATCCAATTTAAGCTCTTTAAATGATCTCAAATGGTTTCTTTCTGATAAATCCAAGCGTAACTCAGATTTAAGAATCGCAATTTCATTATTGCTTAAATCAATTGATATTCTCATCATCATCAGAGGGTCCAACAATTCTTCAGATATTTCTGATAACAAATTATGCGATTAATTTAAAAATTGCATAGTTTTTCCACATTCTTCAAATGTTGCACTTTTTAAAGTTGAAATTTCATTTTTCGATAGATTCAAAATTTTAAGCTCTTTGAGATAAAAAAATGCCATGTTGTTTATGCTGGATAATCTATTGTTTGATAAATAAAGATTTTCCAGATTATTCGCAGATTGGAAGATCTCACGATCAATTTTGGTCAAAATTGTATAAATGAGAGAAAAGATCTGATGGAAGTTCTTCCGGGCTGAATTCCAAAATCAATGTTAAGTTTGTTATATGACGACTGTAATCCTGAAAATAATAATCATTTTTTTCTGAATCCCAATCTGTAATGATACAATCGTCATAATCACTCTCACAACTTAGAAACACTGAAATTAATCTTCATCAAATTAGCGCAACATACAAAATATCAGAAAAGTTTTGAAAGAATTGACAATAATATTCATTTTCATTCAATATATATTTATTTTGAATTTTTGAAAAATATTAACTATTCTATGTCCCATAATGTTAACATAAGGAAATCGTTATTAACGACATCTTTGAAGGGAAAGCAAAAAATGACTTAAATGTTTAAGGATATGTACAAGGGCAAACATAAACAAGTTTCTTGCACAAAATAGTTATATGAAGAACTTTCATTATAAACTTACATATAAATATTCCTCTAAGAATCTTTCAATCGTAAATTGTAAAAGGAACATCCTAGCGAGGACACAGAAATTCTGTGATAATTTTTATTCCTGTGATACAAAACAGAGAGACATCAGAGAACAGATAGACGATATATACTGATGACTTTGAAAGCAAAGAGAAACGACAAAAAATTGAAACTGCCTAAAAATCTTTGTTTTCGTAATTATTTAATGAGTAAATTTTCTGATTTTAATTCCTTATATACATTTGTGATGACTGTTTGAATGAAAAGTTAATTTTCTTTAAAATGTTTTCTTTCACAACTTGAACTTAATTCAATTGACATAAATTCTTTTATATTTGATTCAATAAGAAAAATAGTTCACTTATCCAGACAGAAGTCTGCAATTTTTCCCTCTCGTTTTCTGTACTAAATTTAATGTGTAAAGTATATTCGCACAAATTGATAGTAAAAAGATTGTAACAAAAGTTTTTGTAATTTCAGAACATCAAGGAAAAAGGAAAAAGCGAGTACGAAATGTATCCGAGGAAACAGTGAAGAGAGAAGCGAATGAAAGGAAGTAAAAGATACAATCGATTGAATCGAATCGACTTTTATTTTTATAGCATTTTCTTTGGCATTTTCTATTAATTCAATAAATAAAACTCTCACAAAACTGAGAAAGTCGAGAATTTTGCTTTAATCTTGTTTCGTTTTTTTGTCTTCAAGAAAGAAATGGAAGATTAAGGAAAACGTATTTTCCAACATGCACTTTCATGGCAATGATTGAAAAACTTTCGTTTTTCTTCTTTCCTATCATTTTCCTCTCTACTTATCCGCCTTTCATTCTCAGAGACAGTCGGTAGAGTGAGACGTGATTTGTTGAAAAACGTTTGCGTTTCATCATTTTAGAAAAATTCCAATAAATTTTTCATGGCGGTAAAAAAGAATTAAATCCTATTTCATAACTCTTCTTGCGCCCTTTCAAATGATGAAATATGGCGCGATTTATTGCATAAATTTAAACCAAAAACAGGAGAAAAAATTGATGAAGAGAGTAATGTTCATGAATGAGATTGGGTGTCATTAAGAAGCTTGTAGAGTGTGACAACTTTAGTAACGACAGGTGCCGTCTACGTGGCTAAAAATAAAATCATTTAAAGATTGTAGGAATGAAAAATCATGTTTTCATAGCAGGGTTTATATCCCATCGACATTTTGACATGCGATACCTGAATTTGAAATAGAAAAATAATATGATTCGATCCTTCAATTTATAATTTGTCTTTGGGCATGACCGAATCTACTTGAATGTTTCACAATCAGTCATCACATCATGTTGAGAAAATTAAAGTTGAGGTTAGATCATCATCCCAAATTCTTATAAAATCCACATTGGAATGCGACTGGTTTGTTTCAAGTTGAAGAAAGAAATTACCAAAACAATGCTACATATTTGATGATACTTTACAAATCTTTGCATTTTATTTGCTTTCGAGTCTGAGAATAGAAAATCCCGAAATTCCATTAAGAAGCTTTAGAAATGTGATAAATGTAACCAACAATGTAGCATAGTCTTGAATTTAAATGACAAAGCACAAACGATTACCCAGAAAGTCATCCCTTATGAAAAAAAAGGAATTTCCTACATATCTCAAACTCATTCAGCTTTTCAGTGTTTAAAGTTGAAAATTGTTACGCTTGAGAGATATTCCACAAACCACTCTGTTAGTCTACGATTACATGGGAAAAATCTGTTTCTCTCCAAATTATTCACGTCGTGAGCAAATGAATTATAGCAAATTATCCTTTTCTGTTAATCGCTTGTCATTCCAAATGTTATCCTTCGGCATGGAGCCCTCTGCTTGAGAAAGGAATAATCTACATAAATTATGGAAAATTGTGGAAAAATTGAGAGCGTAGCGTACAAATTGTTTTGAGAAAAGGCTGCAAAAAAGGGACACAATAGATTTGAATATAAAGATGGGCGCTCATTTATAATGATAACAGTATAAAAACATCTTCATTCATCAGACAAAAAAGCAACTAAATTTTCCGTCAAATAAAATTCCTACGACATTCGAATCTTTGTAGACAAAACAAGACGAAGCATCCTTAGAATTATGAATCAAGATAATGGTTATTGATATTGTCAGGACGTATTTATTTGTCAATTAAGAAAAGAACGATTTCTGTGGGTCGGTGAGTTGAGAGTAACTCGTGACCTTTATGAATAAAACATTCAGGAGTTATTCCTTGGAGTCTAAGAAAGTCATCATAATAAATTCTTATTCAAATTCTTTCTCGATTTTCATAGAACATTGAAATATTTTGAGAGTGCTTCTGAAAGTTAACTAACTAACAAGCAAGAGATGATAAAAATGTCCCTGATCGCTCGCAATTTAAGTACACTTCACCCCTGCTAAAAAAAAGTCAATGCAATCAATTTAAATTTACGTCAAAAGCACACATTGCAAAGTATGAACATCTTGTCTCTGTAGGAGTATAAGCTCCCAGTAGAACTATGTATGTAGTACATATATGCAAAGATGAGACAAGAAAAGGATGAAAAACAGCTCACTCCCCTTTCGAGAAGGAACTTTTATTACAAAATATTTTTCGTCTGAATTTCAAAGTTATTTCCTCGGGAATTTTTAATGTACGGTGAGTTCCTTAATTTCGGTTTTGTTTCCGGTCCTTTTTCATATATCTACCTTTTTCATTTAACCTTTAAACGTGGTAGAAACTCTCTTTCTGGTTGGCAATGCGATTAAAAATATATGAATTTTTCTTCGTTTTTCAAAAGCAAAATAAATAGAAGAAAAGGATAAACGGAATTTGGATAGTGATAGAAAAGGAAGTAACGTAAAAATGTATGTCCAAAGCTTTGTGATCCTTTGGGATAGGAAATCAGTTTGAAAAACTTTAACTTGATCATTCTTTCCCTTTAAATTTCCTTTCTGTCTTTATTCTTTACAGTAGATATAAACTTTAAATCCCAGATCAAATAATTATATGTTTTATAGGCGTATAAAGTTTTCGAAATCTGAACAGCAAAACCCTTAGCTTTTACTTAAATCTTCTTTGATGAAAATTTATTTCAATTCGAAAATTGAGAAACTTTCCCATAATAATGTGTTGTTGTCAATTCATAAGAATTTTTTTTTACACATACATAGATAGAACAGCTATTTATGTTGTGAATTCTCTTGTGTCAATTTATGAATATATTTTATCAAAATGATATTTGAGTTTATTTCACAAGAAGATGATAACGCAAAAGAAAAGTTTTACATCGAAGATTTAAGCAACAATGCAGATCAATACATTCCTATAAATATTAGGTAGAAATATTGTTGAATCATCACAATGATATCTGTAAATACCATAAGAATGAAGATAATTCTTTTTCAATACCCGTATTAGTTTATGTCAAGCAGCTTTGTTACAGCTTTGCCTGACTATATTGATATGCCACTCTTGACTCTTGACATCGTCTTCTCGCACTGTCCCTAAACAAGTTGACGTCCCTTAATAGATCCAACATGTAATTTTAATACCACGTTCATGCTTTCCATTTCATCGACAAGCGATGTCGAGTGTTGGTTATATAATGGATTTAATGTTTATTCAATGACAGGAGATATTGGCACATAGCTGAAATAAAAAGTGTTCGCAATATCGTAGATCTGGAAAAGCTCTTTCATATTTTTTTCATATACATCTACTTATATGCATTTATACAACTCACATGGTGATCCTTACACGATAACATATAACGACGAAAACAACCACTGTGAGAGGGCAAAAGGCAGGAGAAGAAAATATTTGAAATCCACATTATGCTTTCTCTCGAATTGTTGAAACGTGACTGGATGGGACATTCAATAAATTCCTTGAGCTTATGGTTATTGAGTGTGCTGGTGTTTTCTCATGGTGTGAGAAATATCAATTGATGATTTTTTAAAAGCTGCATGAGTTGGTCGTTGGTTGGGTGTTTGAGTATTGATTTCAAAATTGGTCACCACACAAATATCCTACATAAAAATAATTTACTTTTAAAGGTGGAAATTGAAATCTCATTCCCAATAATCGTAAAGTAATTTGACAAAGCTCGACTGTTTTTTTATGTTATTTGTGAATTCATTGATACGTACAGTTGATTGCGTTTGTAACCTTTTTACAAAAGTTTTTGTTGAGCTTCGTAATAATGTTTTTCCTACAAACCTTTCAAATTGGATATTTTAAACCATTTTGAAACTAAATTTCACATGTCTACGTCGGAAAAATTAAACATTCCGTCAAATAACTGAACTGAAGTCATTGAATCGTAATTCATGTTTCAATGATTGCATTAATGATATAAACGTTAGCTTTAAAGATTTTAAATAATCGAATTCAGGTTTTATAGACCAACATTGTCATCACAATACATGTTTTCAGACATTTATCCTTTCAACAATAAATAACACCATATAAGGAGATAACATTTTTATTTACTGGTTATTTTCAGGAGAATAATCCAAAAATTCAATGGCTTTATATCTAAAATGTCGGATGAAATTAAACCATAATTATAGTTGCTTTATCTAAGGTTTTATAATAAATACTTTTGTAAACAAAGAGTGAAAATGAGTTCTTTTGAAATCTAACAACAATATTATGTGGCAACAAAACATTTGGTGGTGATAAAACTAATTGTAAATTATCATCATAAATTCCGAAAACAATTTTCATTCGAGATAATTTCTCTCGAAATAATAAAATTAAAATATATAAAATCTACGATTGAAATTTTTAGTAATAAATGGAAGTTTCTGAACATTTATCACTTGTTTTACAATAAACTAACTAATTATTTTTGCCTTTTCCCCTCTCTCCTCCTCTTATTGTATGTGATAAAATTTTAAGAACAGAAACGAGAAAAATTTCGAACAACAATAATTACATTTTTCAACAATAGTTTGGATCGTGTAGAAAAAAAAGGAATTTTTATTCATGACGCAAACATGATGTTTTTAAAGGCACGTTAATTTGTTTTGATTTTAATGTTCCTTGAATGTCCAGTAAAATGTTTTCTTTTCGACAATTCATTCCCTTTTACAATAATATTATTGTTGTGATATTAGTTTCGGAAGAGAAAGTGTCGAGTATATTGTTTTGAACAATAGATCTTGATTGACTAAAACCTTTTCTTTTCGACAAAAGCTAGTAAGAAAGAGGTCATTAAAATGTCAATTTTCATCAGCAAACAAATACAATATCTTGTATAAATTTGTAATTCCCAAACGGCTCAAGAAACTGTCCAACAAAGCAGCAAAGTAAAAGCGAAAAACTTTTCAATCTTACCCGAAAAATCCTTTGATAATCGAAAAATCTCGCTCCATATCCGAATGACTTGAACTTTCTATTCGGGTCTCTATTTGGTCTCTCAACGGCTTCTGGCCTCTTTTATCAATAATCGCTGACAATATCCATTAATAATCCTCTTCAGTAAATGATCCTTTTTTCGCATAGAAATTTTGATACATGCTTTTTTGTTGCTTTTCATCTCTGCTGAGCTCTTTTTCCTGTTTGATCCCTCGCAGACAAGGCTTTCATAGTTTCGATTTCTCTTCATTCTTAATATTCTTCAAAATAGAAGAAGCAGAAAAAAACCCGTCGTCGAAAATTGACAGCATCCAGAAAGCTCATTTCCTTGAAGAGACAGAAAAAAGCCTTACAAGAAATGTGTTATTGAAGTATGTCACTTTAAGAGTCTCTCAAAATATTTTGATAGCAATTTTATGAAAATGTCCACAATTTGTAATCATAACAGCACAAAATAGCAGAATTTCACTCGAAATAACGATTTGCTTTCATATTATTTAATGCTCTGTAGAATAGAAGCGCGTTTCTGTTTTATGTACTCAGGTTACCTAATGGCGACGACAAACAACAGCAGTTTTAATTTGAATTAAAAACAATGTCACAATATAACACTTCATAATGTTGAAGGAGAGTTCAAGCAATTAAACAACTCATAATAAGGAGGAAGTTGCAGTTTTTTTAATTATTTCGTGCGCTATTCATAGCGCTTGTTATTCACCACTTAACTGCAGTGGGGCATAATTGAATAAAGCTTTTCTCCTGGATATAACTAACTTTGTGTTTTAAAGAAAACAGTACAGAAAACGTTATTAAATTTTAATTCGTACATGTGTTCTGTCTCTACTTAGAGATATTTCATCATTTTGAAATTAAATTATGTAGAAGATTTTCCTTGGAACATTGGAAAACATGACAAATTTTGTATTCTGTTTTTGAGCAGATGGGATTTTTGATCATTCAGTTTAATGTTCATTTAGTTGGAGATGTCAAGGAATTAAAGCACCATCTCAATTTGCATCAAGTTATACCATTAATCCTGCAATAATTCAGATACCAATAAACTTGTTTAACAACAAAACTTCAGCATGCCCTTGTGAATGATGTGAAACGAGTCAATGTTTCTGTCTGAGGTTTGACAATCTCAATTAACAAGAAGAATCTCTTCAAATTCTAGTGACATTAAAAACCTAATTGTAATTTAAAATTAATTATCTTTGAAGATTTGCGACACTTTAGATTTGCGACACTTTAGATGGAAGTAAATCTTAGAAGAGCGTCTATAATTATTATTTGACTTTGATAACTTTTTAATTGATCATAAATAATTTGAGTAGATTATTTGGTCAGATTTAGTGGAGTTCTTTAAAGAACTTAAACGAATCAGGAATCAGTGTCAGCACATTCCATAAATATCTGTTTTAACTTTGTTTAAATAACTTCACTCTTCTACTCTGTTATCTCAATTGCTTATTCAAAATGTTATTGCATGAAGCATTTAGTTTATATCGTTGGATATCATATTTTTTGTGCTAACCTCGTTTTTTTTTGACATCAGAGAAGAATAAAAAATACTTGCGGAGAATTTAAATGGGTTTTGGCAAAATTCAGATACACAGAAGCAGAACTCTGATAAGCTTCTCATGAGAGATAAACACAAATATTCTCTTGAGGTTTTGTGGAATATTTTTTTCTTTCCTGGCAAATGATCCAACGATTCAATTTCGGTCTCACAATATATATTTGAATTATTTTCATACTAAGAATAATTTGGAAAAGCTGTTTCAAATTTTAACACTTAACTTTTCTTTAATTATTAGGTATTCAAAGAATATGAAAACCGAAAATATCATTTTTAATTGTTGATGAATTTGGTTGACTTTAGAAATGTTGAAAATACATAATTCTCGAAATATCTCGACAGATTGCTATTCCCAAACCTAAAAGTTATTGATAAAAGCTCAATAGACCAGATTAATCTCAATATTTGTATGTTATTCGCTTTCCTCAACATCTCATTGCTTCACTCTTTTTTTTTATCATATTACGCTTTATTTTGTTCTATTAAAATTCAATTTTCCACACTTCTGCTGTTTGCTGAAAGATATATCATGGTGATAGCATCAATCCTTTAGTTTGTAATTAAATTTCAATATTCATTGCGATGTTTTCATTTCAAGTTTTTCACAAATAAAAAAGTTCCATCATATTATTCAAATTGCAGTTTGTATGTAGATGAACTATTTGTGTTTTCAAACCACTTTAAAGGTTTTTTTTCTATCAAGTAAAACAAAGCAAATACGTGCAGAAGAATACCTGAATTTTATTGGAGATTTATTCAATTTCGAATTGAGAGAAAAACTTTAAACGTTTTGCATAAAATTAATATTTTTTACCTTCACCCTTCTACGCTAATTCAATTTGCTCCAGCATCGTTACGAAGATCGATTTTCTACTTCAGCTCTGCGATATAATGGAAAAGCTTTTGCATTGTTTAAACCTCAAAATAAACTACGATAGTTAACAATCGAAACTAAGTTTGATAGAAATAAAAGACCGCAGTGCTATTGTACGAAAAATAAAATGTTTCCGTCAAATTGTTTTTTAAAAAAGAAAATATATGTAATCATTCTCATCGTTCACATCACCGGAAACATTGATAGAAAGGAAACTTGTTGGATAAATTGTAAGTTACGATGGTTAGTATTGTATGTTATCAATGTGTATACTTAGGAATTCCTTTTCTTCTTCGCTTCGTTTTATTGTGAACATGTCGACATGAAGATATTTTAAAAATATGTATTCTCAGATTGCAATGTTGAACATGTAGGAGCATAGAGGCATGGAGAAGATGCATTAAACCTTATCAAGATTCAGCTTATCGTGTAACAAAATAAAGAACTGTTCATCGATGTTAACATTAAAGAACATCTTGTTGCTAGCAGAAACTTTTACTCCTCGACGAGTGCATACATATCATCTAGTAAATGTTTTTATAGAATTTGGAGAAAAATATTTTCATGCAAGTGATGCAAGATGAAGTTCAGGAATTTTTGATTTATGTTGAATAGATGTTTGGAAAATTCTTTTTTCATCCATTTTAATAACTGCTGAATAGCGAGAAAAGCAAATCCTTGAAGTGATTGAAAACGTGGGCAATGAAACGAACAGATTTCTCGTGAAATCATAAAAATCGTTTCATATTTCAATGTGAATACCCTAAACCGTTCAATCGAAAATTATTTCAATGAACTTTGAAGTTTTCGTCATATATTTATAGATATAATCATAACAAAACTTGAATTCTATCCATCTAAATGTATGTCTTCTTTCTTTGAAAGATTAATTTTAATATATTCATCGATATGTCATCATGATTGTTGAATTATTTGTCTAAATATTTGGAAATAAAAGATAAACAACGTTTCTTATATTTGTTTTTCTTTTTTCTTTTTCTAAAAGATATTAGGAAGTTACTAATGGAATATCTGTTTTATAATTTCCAAGCTGTTTTTCTTACTGATATTATTTATGTGAGCTTAGATTATCCCAAAAATTATTTTAGGTACTATAAAAGTATAAAAGTTTGTCATGTAAGAAATGTCGTTTGAAATTTGAGAAATTTATTGCCGCAAGAAACTTTTTACTTCCTCAACTCACCAGTAACAACATTTTCTTGCGCTGTTTCTCCTATGATAAAGTGGAAATCTATTACTCTTGAAGTCATAAATTTTATTTTTTTTGCTGCTCTTTATCACGTTTTAACACATAATCCAACATGAACTAAGAACATGCCCTAACTCCATATACTTTGTGAACGAGTTTCGCTTTATTCTTCGCCACTTGATGTGATGTGTGTATATTAGAGAAGGAGAAACCCCAAGTTAGAAAGCACAAAAGAAGAGTCATATTTCATCTCACAACGTACCATACATCATTTTAAATGACTTTGAAAGAGATCCAAATCTTCTCAATTATTTAATAGCGTATATGCTTCGAGGAAAATTGTAAGTGATTACAACATGATTTTTCCCCTTTTTTCCAGTCTTCCCCATACCATATCAAAGAACTTGAAATGAGAAAAAGATTCTTCGTTTTAAAATACTTGAGTTAATGTCTTTCCTTGTGGTACGCGTTATGTCACTTTTGACAAATATGAGACTAATTTACTTGTAAAAGTTTAATGAATGGAAGCTATTCAGGAAGAAAAGTGATTTTTTTTCTAAATTTCTCGGCGGATGCGAAATTACATTTCTCATTCTTTCTCGCAACTTTCTTGACTGATATATGTCATGTTTCTGTCGGCAAATACAAAACAGAATATAAATTTCAAGCTAAGGCAGCAGGTGATGAAGATGACTTTACGATTTGAACGGTTGATGTTTTCATCATGGCTTTTATGATGACTTGAATTTATGTTGTGTACGTAAACATTTTCATTTTAGTACCTTAGATTTAGATTGATCATTATGGACCAGATGTATTTACAATGGATATGTTATATGAGAAATCATGAAATTTCATACCGTAAATAAATCTTAATTGTTGAAAACAAATCCTTATGAGATTTTATAAAGAAAACTTTGCAAAATATTAAAGACTACAAATGTTCAAACGTGCAATGATTTGACAAACAAAATACGTAATAATATCATCAGGAAAATACTTGAGATAACAGAAATATTTCAAGTTAACTTTTTTACTTTTTATTTTACTCAGAACGGAAAATAAAGATGATGCTTTCGGTTGACTGCTGATGAAAAGTTTTTGAATATCTCCTTAGGTGGTAAAATTATGTTATCTATAATTGAATATCATGAAAAGAACCTCACAATTTTGTGACATTCAACATAAAGATTCTTTATGAACTTCTCTTAACACGATGCTGCCAATCTTATTTGTTAACCTAGAATAGATGTCATGTTGTATAAGAACAATATTCCTCTTCATTGATACGACACATCTTGCTGAAATCGTACTTTATGTGCAAATTGAAGACCAGGGATTGCAAGCTTTAAAACAACTTTAAACAGATAGTTGAAAATTCTTATGTTGTTGGTGCTAAATATAGCACGCAATGAAGTGAATTGAAATTTCAGAATTTATCAGAAAAGACATTTTTTAAAAGCACGACATAAATAAATTCGCATGAAATTATGCTTTTCTCTGACAAAAGACTCTGAATAAATTGCATACATACATAAATAAATAAAGGAAAGTCTCTATGACACAATCTGATTATGGAATCTGTCTTCTTCACTTTTCCTAAGTTCCTTTGTCTCCTAGCTGTAAAGAATATTCATGTCACTTGGCAGCTCATAAATAAAAATTGACAAATACAATATGTTGTATAAAGCTTCAAAATGAAATTTAAGTTGCAATGCTTTATGTGCATAGATATAGACAGTTGAACGACATTCTCGTCTTAGTTCAGACGGCAAAGACTCTTCATTCCTTTGTCATTGTTTTCTCTCACTTCACTAAATTAAATTTCAACATTTTAAAGGTGGATGAAATCAAATTACGGATTTATATTTCAGTTTATATTCCAGACATCAAAATAAAACTGACAAAGCGAATTTACATTCAACAGATCTATTGATATTGATAATTTTTATTGTAAAAGTAATGCGAACATCTCAAAGCATAAAAGACTATTGTTTTATGTTTTATGTCATTCGATAACGATTCTATTCCCTTTTTCTTCATCCCCTTCCTCAACTTAATATCTTGTTAAAGGGGATCAACATAAATCGCTAATTAATCTAACGCCAAGACAATTTTCGTAGACATATAATGTCAAGCTTGATAAGATCTAAACGGTTCAACAGTTTTACGATCCATAAAAAGTAATTTATTGCCATAAACTTTAGTCACCGCTTGCCACTTTCCACCTTTACCACAAGTCGAAAAGTTGATTATATTTCATCACGTCATATGATTGATCGTATGTGTCAGAATATATTATCAGCATTGTTTCACATAAACTCCTATCAAGAGTGTAGCATATAAATGAGAAAGAAGGATTCATTTCCTTCAAATTTTGAACTTTTCTTTGTTCCCTCAAAACTGTAATTGGTTTTGTCAACGAACAAATAAATTTGTCATTCGACCGAACTTTCGTTTATGTCGTAAAAAAACAAAAAATTGTAATTCTGATTTCATGAACATTTTAATCACTGTTTTAACTGTATAAACTCCAAGTTTTCCCTCAATTTCAGCGATAAAAAAGAAACTTTTTAACGATATTCATTCTAAGGTGATTAAAGCTTGAAAGAAAGAAAACAACGAACGTTTGTCCTTTTAACAAGATTTAAAAGTTTGTAATGAATCATTTCATTAGAGTCAGTGAGTGGGTGGACATTTATTCGCAAAAATAAAAAAAAAAGTTTTATTTGAAAGAAATTTAAAAGAATTCGGAAGCAAACATCGCTTCAACGTTCATCCTAATTCTTTATCGCATTTCATGGCCATAAACAAAGGAAAAGTTTCGATGAAAATCAACTTTTGTTCACTTTACAAGAATGGAAAAGGGAATGTGTAACAAGATAAAGGAAAAACAATGTTTAACTTGAAGTTAAAATGTTTTCATGAAATATTTAACGTAATAGCATACAATTTCCTTTCAGATGTTCTTTCTTTCGTTATTTTCCCTTCTCTGAATCAAGAAGATGATTTAAAATAAATTCTTTAACAGGTGAAATTCATTTCTTTTTATCTTCACACTTTAATGGTGAAATACTTTCTATGAAAATCTCAAAAAAATTTAAACTTTCCTAAACAAATTTTCTTTAATAAGTTTCAAGATTTTTAATTATCATCATTAAAGCAGCATTCAGCGATAAACTTCTGAATTCGTTAACGTTTCTACATTGTCATTATCAACTTAAACCACGGTAATTTTTTTTTAGAGTGCTTTTTTAGTCCCATCCATAGAGCAGCAATTATTATCAAAGGTGAAAAAGTCATTTCAACCACTTAATTGAACTTTAAAACCAATTTAGAGTTGGTATCGTTACTGAGTTAAATCGATTGAATGTATTAAAAGTTTGCCTGAAATTGGAAGTTTGCAATTTAAATATTTCAAATATTTATGTATCACTCGTGGTCATGCAGTTATTGTGCAGATGATGAAAAAAATGAGATCATAAATGAAAACTTTATGAAGGAATTGATTGAGTGCGATTTTTTATTCATAGTTGTATTTTGTGAATGAGACGAAAAGATGCCCAAAACCACAAAGTATGAAGCAATTAAATTGTGGTTCGTGAGGCTTTCACATGAGATGAAAATGCCACACAATTTCATTAATTTTCCAAATGAAAGCATTAGAGTTGTACAATGCTATATTCCCCAAAGTACTGCCTTGAAACAATAAGTAAAAGACTTTCAGGCGAAACGCTTTTTTTTATTTCTCTCCCGTCCGCCTTTTCGACAACAAGCATTTTTCTACTGACATGATTAATTAGCTGGGCATATATACATAATGAAGGGAGTAAAAAAATGCGAATAAAACCACGAAAAGCTTCTAACGAATATCCTCTGAAATTTTATGTGTCATGCATTTTGCTCTGAGATTTTGAGTGGTCTTAAGACGTCTGCAAATGCTTTTTGGTTGTAAATCAATTATTTAAAAGGATTTTCTGTTTTACGTCTAATGGAGTTTTGTAGTTTTCTCAAAATCTGATCTTTGATTTTTCTTAAAATCTTTTCCTCACTCACAATGAGTGAAATGTGTGAGCACTTCTCGATGTTCTTACTTACAAAATGTTGGCATCTTGTGAGTAATAACGAAAGCATGCTTTCATCGTTATGCTCAACCAGAATGTACATAAATGTAGTCATAAATATCCGCCATGAATTTTATACGAAGTCGAAATAAAAATTCAGTTCAAGTGCCCTACTGGGACAATTCCTCTTCACACAAACATCTCTGATATTCTTAATCTTCGCATATTTTTCCCCTTTTTTCCTTAGTATTGTTTATCAGCGTCGTAATTTTTACTTTACATAGACAAGACAACAATGAAGAGAACGAAAAGGAAATATATAATTTCGCTTCAATAATTTATCTTTTTGCGTAAGATTAGACCGAAAGCGCAAAAGAAGAAAGAAAAGAAAAAATGAGAACGGATTTTGAAAAAAAAGGAAAACGGAAAAACAGAACCACAAAAGGGAAGAGATATGAGAGAAAGAAAGAAAATAATCATCAATGGCTATAAACATTAACATTAAGGAGGTGGATCTTGAAATGACAGAAGAATTGGTGAAATTTTTATTACTTTTTCTCCTACGATAACGCGAATATAATTGCTTTCGACTCCTTCCAACTTGCTTGAGTGCTGCTACAAAAAAACAATAAAAATTGCTCTCTTAATGCGAATTTTCATGCCTTCAAGTGCGAATAAAAATCATATTTGATTTGATACAAAATTGATATTTCTCTCTTGCGCCATTGTGATGTCTTCAATGTTTTATTTTTATTTTTTTTCTTTTGTACGTCGTTACGGTCGTAAAATTTCATAAAAACTGCTTGTCGGAGAAAACAATAAGTTGAAATTGTTATGTCGTTTGCCGACAGCAGAAAAACAAAGATTGATACAAATTTGAGCTTTAAATTTTGATTTAAATTATCTCTTATGTCCCGGAAATGAAAGATGGTGTGATACGAGCGGTTGGAGAAGCAATTTGTATAGAACATGAATAAATATTGAGAATACAAATATGTAGAACGTCGTATTTTAACTATTGGTTTGAACTTGTAAATTTCTAGTATAAACTTTCAATCTAACTAATTGGAAAAGTTCAAGTCAGCTCAGTTGAGTATTGAGGTAAGTGGTTACATATCATCTCACTTCTCGAAAGCTTTTTGGTAATTAAGGTTGAAATTCTAGAGAAATTCACAAAGAAATATTTTCAGATAAAATCAAGTGATTCAAGAGAAAAAAGCATGGAAACAATGACTTTTGAGGTTTGAGACATTTGTGAAAATAAATTTAAAATTATTTTAAATGAGAATAAAAATGCTTTTTGTGGAAGGAAGTCAAGACTAAAATCTAGTCAATCTGGATGAAAGTTTCTTTCTTATGACATCAACTAAGTGATTGAGAAATATGAGAAAGATTTTTTAAACAGAGAATCAAATAATTTAAAAAATTTCTTCACTTAGAATGTTCACAAAATATCTGAAAGGAATATAAAACTTCCTTGACTTTTATATCAAATTTCGAGTTAACATTGCAGATAGTTCATCAGAAACTGCAAAAGTTTACATTTTAATCCCTGCTATAAAACTATTTTAAAATTTAAATGATGAAAACTTCCTCAACTAAAGGAAAATATATTTTCCAACTTGAAATCATGGATTATCTGTGCAAGAATAAAAAAAAGCAAGAAGTATAAAACATTTCAATCAAAACTCTATATAACTGAGGAAAATAATTTAATTTAATTGATCATCAAATTAAAAATAAAATATAAATTCATAAACATTAAGATTGACAAAGAAGACACTTCAACTGCTATGATATTCAATTGTATTCCTAAGGAATTTAAATAAATTTTAAGTTTTACAAACTTTCTCTGCTTCGAAATCAATTTACAACTTTATTGCTTCTTAAAAGCTATTTCGTTCTCAAGCATCTTTAGTTCTTATTTACTCAAGGAGAAGTAAAAAGATTTAAGTGTTTTCGTTTACAATTCTCCATGATTTCTAGTGCTCCGAAAACTGTAAGCACACAGCATATCTTGTTTACACAGCATCCGGCAAACAACTTTTCCCTTAGATACCCAATTTTTTTCTCATTTGTGTTTCAGGTAAAGGATCAAAGTTGCTATTTCAGCGACATTAGGTAAATTCTTATAAACAAGCAACTGTTTACTTCTCACATTTCTTAGAATTATCTTTTATCTTATACATTTTTGGCTAAGACCATAAGCAACATTTCAAGATATTCTCTACGTATTAAGAAACTACACAATTTTCAAGATTTCATACTTCTCATAAAATTTATTTGAGTAGTTTTGTGCTTTTTATTTCATATTGAGTTTACTATTGATAATTTTTCCTAAATGAACTTCTGTTAGATCTTTTTATGTTTCTACTAGAAATACTAAACTGAAAGTTATTTATAATTTCCTTTGTTGACATTTGAATACAAATGTCTCATGAAATTTTAATTTTGAAATATCTTCATCAAAAAAGAATTTACATTTGCATTTAACACTTCTTTTAAAGCAAACGTGCTGAACATACAAAAAATTTTTCCATCACCTTCTCTCCAAGTTTAAAGGATTTTCGTTCTTTTGAATTTGGATATTTCTTGTTATTTTTTTCATCTCATCATTCAAAGCTTCTTTAGCTGAATCATCAAATTGAACTGAATGAAAGTGAAGATAGATGAGACCAGGTGTAGAACAAATTTTTTTAGAGCTCGAAATGATAATTATTATGACAAAATGTGTGATAAAGCAAGTTGATGATATGAAAGCAGGTTAAACATATAGCAATATTTCATCCTCAAACTGAAAATGAAAAACTTTTACGCTGTTCACTTTATGTAGAAACATACAAGTTTGCAGTGTTATATGAAAATTTTTAATATCAATTTATCCTCTGTTCATTGTAGTTAAGGAAAATAAATTGAAAATTTCTGAATGTTGTTTCATTATTTAATAAAGCTTAAAGCAGTTGCATAATTAATTGAAACTTTTTCAGATGAAACTTAATATCTTTTAACTTGTTTATGATAAAAATAATTTTACAAAACATAAACTGTGAAATTATTGAAAAACTAAAACAAGTTGAAGTTTTTTTTACGTTTTTGCTACAAACGCTTTAAAAACTTTGCTGTTTCAGCGTATTTAAATTTGACTGGCAAGGTTTGAAGCTTAATAACTAAAAATAAGAAAATAAACATAAGAGAGGAAGAGAAATTTTTTTCTTAATTTTCGAGACCTTTGCTTCCTTCTCTTATATTTATCTGTCTTTTTTACCTCGAAAGTTTCACTGCTGTGTTTACTCTTTTAAAATTGAATTTCCGTTCATTTCTGTTTAACATTTTAACAAACAAATTTTCTTCTCTTTAATTCAAGTTGACAGTAGCTACAATCTCTGTTGTTAGGAACTGATAATAAATATCTAACTTCCAAGGTGGTAATTCATATTTAAATTTCATGATAAATTCATTTGTGGAACTGAACTGATTTTTCACAAGTTTTTCTTAAGCTTTTTCTGTGGGAAGATTTTGAAATTTGATGCTATAAAAGCATTCATACATGAATGAATAAAGGGATTTTTCATGAAAGAATTGTTAATGTTTTTATGTGCGCCCTTTGTTCTCACTTGTCATAGTTACCACATATTAGATAGAGTAGAAGTTGGTAATTCCGGCTGTTTTTAATACCGTTTTTTTCAGTATCTTAAAACCGTCTTGGGATTTTTCATGTGAAAATATGAAAATGTTTTCAACTTTCAGCCTAATATCTAGGCTTTAAATTCAATTTGAAATCTTGATATTTAGTTAAAAGTTGAAAACATGTTCTTATTTTCACATGAAAAATCCCAAGATGGTTTTAAGATACTGAAAAAAACGGTATTAAAACCAGTCGGAATTACCACTTCTACTCTACTTTCACTTTTCCAACTTTCCGGACATTTCAACACCTTTTAACACATTATAATCAAGCAGTAGTACATTCATCCAACGCAATTAAATCTTTTGTTAATACTCTTAACACAGTTTCATGCGCAAAGGTATTTCTGTTCTTATGTGTGCCTTGTTCACTTCCTAAAAATTTAATTAAAACGACAACGAAGTATTGTTCAAAGTATTAAATGAAAAGAAATAAAATTTGATGTGTGGGTTGTTGAAAAGGGGAAAATGGAGTGAAATGGTTATGGTAATGTTAATGATCTCAGTAATTACAAACCGAAATTGATGCTTTAACTTTATATTTATTACCGTTGAAGTTGAATCATTTTTCATCACAACAAAAAGAAACTTTTATTATAATTTCTAACCGAAATGAAAGTTTTATTTCTCGTCTCGTCAAAACATATTTTATTTATTCAATATTTTTTATAAATCTAGAGTGAATTAATTAATGCGAGACTGGTTTTCTATTCTTCAATTAATGAAAGAAAAGGAAATCTTGAAGTAACCTTGACAAAGTGAAAAAGAACTTTCAGCACAAAGCCTTGAAAATGTGAATAATATAATTGCTAGGTGTAATCAACCTCCGAGTTATAAATATTAATTAAAATGCTTGTCAGTCATGAAAGAGAAAAATAAATAAATTTCACTCCTTGCTCTTTCTCTTCAGGTTGAAAAATTAATTTTCCAGATTTTCCTTTTCTTAAAACTGCCGCGAGATGAAAAGAAGAAAAAAACTTAGAAAGTAGAATTTTTCTTTTTTAATTTTATTATCGAATATAATTGATATAACAAATGAAGCCAAAGAAAGTTGAGGCTAAGCTGAAATTTTGATTAATCTAATTTACTTTTCACATTGCCTTGGGGTTTGGGCATGTTAATAAGTTTAGAAAGGAACAAAAAAATATTTAATTTCAATTTTTACTTTAACTTGAAACTTGATACATACATGAAAGAAAAGAAAATTAATTATTCTTCTGATATTTAATGCTATAAGTTTATTATCCTTTACAACAAGTTAGAATATTGAAAATAATTGACGAAGAACGATGTCATTTTATAAAGTCTCTCGTATGATGAGAAATATTTCATGAATCATGATAAAGTTATGCGCTATAAAAAGAATGTTTGAAGAAATTGCTTTTTATCAGAGAATATTTTCGATTTGTTCATAACCATTTCCGAATTTTGACATGAAGAAATTATCGATAAAATTTATCTCGGATACATTTCCGTGGAATATCGAATTGAATTTTTCCCTTCAACCTAAATACTGGAAAATTGGGTTTCTCAAATCAGATTGAAGTCAACACAGCACGATTTACTGACGACTATCTTCGATTATATGCAATATATCAAATATTATAATCGTATTACATCAACTAAGTAAACGATTCTTTGATATGATTTATTTCAAATGAATGAAGAGTCCTTGTATGCCAAAAGTGTTTGTTTTGTGTTCAAGCATTTGTGAACTCTTCACATTTTATCACTTTTACATTCTTTCATTTGCTGTATCAAAATATCGTCATTAACAGAAAGTAAACCCAAAAGATATGGCAACATTAGAAAAAGAAAACTATCCAGCATTCATCAGTTTATATATTTAAGGAAGAAATTAGCTTTTTATTACCTCGTATTCATGTTCACTTGCTAAAAGCTTTTTACGACCATTAGTTTCTTTTTTGTGTCCATTCTCCATTCATTCTATATAAATGCTACCAAGCAGAAAGCTCTTTGAACGTCAGATAATTTTCTACTTTACGATAAGAGTATAGCAAAAAAAAGCATATAAAAACAAATTGTTTAACTTGTCGATTTAAAAGCTGTTAATTAAGCAAAAATTTCAACATAACATAAAGTATTAAGAAAAATGAACATTTTAAATTAAATCTCATCAATTTTAATTAAAAAATTCATTCGTAATCATACATTGTATGACGAGTTATTGTAATTTATTGATGACATAAAGCACATTTTAAATTTGTGATCATATCTCAAAAATCATAATCAAATAACTTTCATCGGGAAATTTTAAATTAACATTCATTTATCTGAATGGATATCAAAATATCTAAACACATTATTCCCGCATTTGTAACTAAATAGGCAATATAAATATAATCAACATTTCAATGATATTTAAATATCTGCATATTTCAACTCATCTCTTTAATCATCTTTACCATCCAACAATATCTACTTATGGGATTTGAAATAACCAAATAAATAAGCAAAATCAATAAATTTATGTTTCTCAATAAATTTGCATATAGATTGAAATTCATAATGATAAAATTTATGCAGAATTGCTTTCGGTTTCTTGTGCACGTTGTATTGTCGTTCTGCTATCGACTGGCAAACTGCAATAGATTATCATCAAACATGTGATTTATATAAGTATTTATAACTAAAGCTGCTGAGAAATCTTGTATAATCTGGTCATGCTTCTCTTAGGTATCACAATTTCCTTCTGCTTAGTAATCTGAGCCTTCTCATTGTTGCTTATGTCGCATCTCCATCAGGCAAACAAGCTTTAGTCACAAGATGATAATGTCTTACTTCCATTTGCGTTCCGTAAACAAGATTGGATAAGCAGCCAAAAGCATAAAAATATTTTGATGCTAATTGTCTTATTTTATGTTCAACTGAAAGCTCTCAACATTGTTGTCATCATCTGTCTTTCTTTTTTTTTTATTTTGGGCTCTCAGCCAGTCTTTTTTTTCTTTTTTTCCGCAAAAACTCTTATGGTTCAACGCATTTTTCATTGCACTATTTTGAAGCTTCATTGGCGCCAATATAAATGAAATTGAATCGAACATTGCAATGTATCGTTGAAATTAAATGCTGTTTGAGGATTTCTGTTTTTGCGCAAACTTGCTAAAATTCATTATCGAACATTCTCTCTTCTGTTGAATTCTTATCAAATAAATTTCACAGCAACACGCTGATTAAGTGGCAACAAAGAACAATAAACAGAAGAAAAAAATATATCTTGTTTTTCACGCATTGCCTTGTTTAACAGTAATAAGACAATGTTTCAACTTACTTCTTTTTCTTCTTCAATTAACTTACTTTTAATAATAATAAATAAGCATTTCTCTTCCTTTCACGACGTTCGTTGCAAGCTTTAGCATGTTGATGAGAAGTAAATGGAAATTAAGGACAGAGGCATACAAAAGTTGATGGCAGCATTTGTAAGAAAGTTTCTAGTATTTTCCATAGCTTAAGATAACAAACTTGACTTACAAATTACGATAATTAAATTCAATGTAAAAAGATGCGACAGGGGACACAAAAAAGCTTTTAATCAAATTAAATATTCCTTGTACTAATAATTCATGCGAGTCCATGGGATTACAAAGTTTTTGTTTGGATGGCAGAAACATGCAGCAAAACAAAAGTTGAAGCCGCAACTTAATTTGTTGATTTGAAGTAGAAAGCATTGTAGAGGCAACATAAAGATTCAATCATCATTTGCAAGCAGCAATACAATACATTAAAATTGAGCTTCATTCATTGCAACCACGAAGGTTTTTTCGTTTGCAATTTTCAGTCTCGAAAAGTTGGAATTTTCATCTTGCTGCCATTGCCACTCTGTGTTCTCTCATTTATATTTCACAAGAAAAACAATTTATATATCATTCAATCTTAACAAGAAAGTAAGAAAAAAAGCTATCATGTTTAAATGTCATCGTAATCTCAGTAAAACGTTAGAAATTAAAAGAGTAATTAGTCCCTGAGCCTGAATGCGTCTCACAAAGCTTAAAAGAAAAAAATCATGCAATTAGTGGATGAAATTCCTTGTCACACTAAAGCTTCTACGGTTTCTTATTAAGTGAGAAGAGTATGCGAACAAAAAGCGATGGAAGAAAAGTTAAATAAAAAGAAAAGCTTCTGCAGCATCTTGAAAAGTAGAGTGGAAGCTGTTTGCGCTTGGATTTCACTTTGTAATTTAATGCTAATTATGCTGAGTTTTAAAATGTCAGCATGTTTTGCGGAATTAAAATTCGTCTTATGTTTGAATAGATATCTAATTATTCAACTCATTGCTGACAGAAAGCTGAGCAACTTTTACGATTCTCAAAATCTTTGATACTTTCATACAATCTTTCTCCTCAAAAAGGTTCAAAATGTAAACTAAGAAAAATTCTTTTATGAAAGTTGAGATACTCAATGAAATGAAAACAAAAATCAATCGTCATTTACCAAGCTTCATAAGAAAAAGCAATTAAAAATTTCAAAATTTTTAGTTGCATTGAAACTTCCTCTCAATTTGAGATTTCAAAGCGCAAAAATAAATGAAGAAAAAAGTTTAGAAAAGGTAATGAAAGCAATTTAAAACTTTCGTGCTACCTCTTTGCGCTTTTTCCTTTAATCACTTTCAAGACATTTTTCTTCGAGAATATTCGACATTCATTCTACCTGACGTCTAATGATGGTGAAACTTGGTTGGAAATTTGAGATTTTATCTACCTAGCAAAATATGTAAAAACAATTTCTATTGAAAGTTCTCCTGAATTCCTGTACTTGTAATGAAAAATATATCGCGAGATGGTAGAAAAGTTTCTCATACACATTAATGGTAATTAAAAATAATCAATAAATGATAAAATGAACATAATTTCACATTAAAAACGAACTCAATATTAACTCGTCCATCTTTCAGAGATTGAGACAACAACGTTTAATGTTGTAATCAACATGTTTAATGAACCTGGTGAATTACATAATCTTCGACGTCTTGATAGAACCACTTTTTTATGTTTATGTCGTTAGTGTCGCGTCGAGCTTGGAATTTTATAATCAAAAAGAAATATTTAACTCACAATTTCATGAAAAAAGTTTATGAGAAAGGGGAAACATTTTAAACTCATCATTCCAAGTCAGTAAAAATGTTTGAAGTAATGAAATGAATTGTCTACCAACATAATTTTGTTATTAAAATGTCAAAAGTCATGCCGTAATAGCAAATGACGAACCTTAAAATGAGTAGATTAAGTTTTTCTTTTGTATGTCCATAAAGCTTGTCAAGCTTGTTTCACTCCAATAAAATTTCCTATGATTTTCATTTCATTTTTCTACTTCTTAAACCTCTTAACAAGCACATTAAAAAATTAACCCGCTTTGTGTTCACAGTCTGTTCAAAGTTATGAGAAGTAAAATTATGAGTGTTATAAATATTAATTATATTTAATTATTTTACAGTTTTTCTCTTTTCAGGGAATGCTATCGAGCACAACAGCACATACAGAAAAAATGTTTGAAACCTCAAAGTGTAAAATGGGATCAGGTGATGAAAGACGAGAAATTTTTTTTTTTCATTATTAACTTTTTTTTTGTTTTTGCTTCCTCTCGTTTATGCTGTAGAGAGATGTGTAAGGCTTTATCACGAAAACGTAGACAGTAATTTAGAAAAATTATATCTTGCGGGCATTTTACGCCATGCCATGGCTTTTTTTAATTAAACGTGCTTTCAATTTTCTCCCCACCGCTGTCTGTTTTTGATTTCGTGCTTCACTTTGTTGGTTCCGACATGTTTTATGTCCTCAGCTACAAACAAATTATGGTTCTTTGAAAGGTTTTGATTAATTCTGATACTTTGATAAAAATCGTTTTCTTTATGTCAAATCATTTGCAATATATCTGAGAAGGAGAGATTTCCTGTGTCAGTTGAAAAATATTCTGTTGATCACACGCATTGAAACATTTCAGGCAGGGGTCGGAAGCTTAACGATTTTCCGCAAAAAGCTTCCAAGCTTCCGCTTCGGCTTCTCAAAATTCTGAAAAAGCTTCCAAGCTTCTGCTTCTGCTTCCCAAAATTCTGAAAAAGCTTCTAAGCTTCAAAAAGATGAGCTTCTCTAAGCTTCTGCTTTCGCATCGGCTTCCGACCCCTGAAATTTTCAGGCACAGCAGATGTAATGAACCTCAATGGTATTTCATTTGTACAGACAAAACAAAAATGAGTTTGCGTTGTATAATCAGAATAAATAATATTAAAATAAATAAAATGTATTTACATGGATAAGCATGACTGCTTCTTGATTATACTTTACTAAGCTATTCATGCAAACATGAGGAAAACAATTATGGAATTATGGTTTCCATCAAGAATGTTGATATTCATTTGATATTCAGAGAATTTCTCTGTTATGAATAAAGAGTATCAATTATTTCATTAAAATTCCCGAGGCAATTGATCTGACATTGCTACTTTCTAAGCTATTGAATTTCAAAATATCTTGTTATTGACTAATTTCAAAACATCTTTCTATATTAATAGAAAGCACTCAGAAGCAGAACTTTTGAGATGTTTAATGGATCTTCATTTAATGTGTTTAAACTTTGAGCTTATTGAAATAAAAAAGTTTCCTTCATTTATAAAGTTGCTGCTTTCTTAATCGAATTTTGATTGTTTTTAAAATGTTGCAGATGTCATGTTTAAAACAATCAAGGAAACAGTCAATCCCATGATGATCGACACCTTTGAATGTCAGCCTACTAAGAAATCGTTGTTTCATTGAAAGACGTTCGTTCAGAAACATTTCATGAGACGTAAAGGAGTTGAGAAGAAAAATGGGAAAAGAGGCACATTAAACATTCCCATCATTTTTCAACGTTAAATCCTCTCCCCTTCCCTCATCTTAAGTATGTATATGTATATATATATATATATATGCAGCGTATATCATGATATATGGAATGATAAACGGAATAATGTTGCTATTTCGAAAGAAAATCTTCAATTTATTTTCAAGATGTACGTACGTAAGAAAGAATGATAAAAATATGTTTTCATATTTGAAACGAATCTTGTTTCTTCAAGCAAATTTAAATTTGTTCAGTCTGAAGTTAAAACAAAAGTTAAACCCTTTTTTCCTTGTCGTAGGCTGAAAAGAATCAGACGAAAAATTTGACAAATCTCTGATGTCAATATATTTACAAAATGCCAATGTCCTTGTTAAATAAATCCAACAAAAAAGAAAAAACCATTAAAAATAGAATGAAGCACAAAAAACGCTCCAGTTTTTCAATTGGAATGAGATGAAAGATTAGAAATGTCAGCAGATTTCATTGACAAAAGAAGAAAGAAAAATTCTGAGATTGTTATTAATGATGTCAAAAATTTCATAACTTTTGTATAACATAATTGTACAATTTTTGAACACAAAAGCTTCCAATTCATCACTTAATTTTCAATTACTTTTTAATTAACAACAAGCTATTTCATTTTCTTGTGTTTCTTTTAGGTCATTCAGTCGATATAAATCTTCCATATAATTTTATTATTCATGATGATGATGATGAAATTTTTTTACACAACCAGCAGAAAAACATATCGGGATCATGGCTTAATATATTTTTATTCTTGTTCGTCTCTAGCAATTCTCTTTCAATGTTCACCCATAGAAAATGCTAAAATCGTGCGTGTTTCTTATATGAAAAATGTTTTGAGAAAAAGGTTTCATGTAAGAAATGACAATATCAATCATCAGAGGATTGAAAAGCACAAATAAAGACGATACTTATGTGTCTAAAAATACGACACATTTTCCATTCAGATCCATTTCATAGCCTTAAGCATAATTTGGATCATAAAAATTTTCAATCGCAAAGTAAACATTCGTTTACATGGAACTTTTAAAGATTAGATTTTATACTTTTCATCATAATAAGAAGTCATTCATATGTTTAAAGCTTTGGTTCTTTATTCTCCATAATCCTTTCGTATGTGACAAATATTTGATTTTTCAACTACTCTTAATACTCTTTTTTCCGACGACAAATGTAAACATTCTACAATTTGTTAAGAAAGAAAGAATCTTGATAAGAGAAAGAAAGAGAAAATTTTGGTTATCAGATAAATAAACTGAAACCAGAATAAGAATTGATATGATCTTACCATGTTTTAATATTCTATAAATGCGGCAATAAATTGTTGGTGAAATAAAATCTCCACTTGGAATTATGCGACCCATGTTGATACCAAAGTTTTGCTTAAAGAATGTGACATCAATTTATATTCGTGTGGAAATGTTTCAAATACAATAAATGCTTGGGATCTTATTGAAGAAATAGCTTTGTAATAATATACATATCTACATAACAAAGTTCATTTCGTAAGTTTTGATTAGAAATAAATTAGGTTTAAAGAAAAGCAACAAGAACTTGACACTATGAATAATTTTTAATTAATTTCTACATTTATCTTCAATCGAATTGTTCAGTAAAGATTTACCCCTACATGATAAAACTTTTGCGAATTGCTATCCACACAAGTTTCAAAATAAGTAATCTCTCAGGAAAGCTTTTGGGAAGTTTGAAAGTTATTGAAGAGGAATCAAGATGCCAAAGTCTAAAGAATGAAAGGAAAAATCGAATAAATATCATAACGCAGCATTGATTCTGACCGAAAAAATATCTTTTCCTCAAAGTATTAAGGTTAACAATACTAAATAAATATCAAGAACGTTTTTTCATAAGTAATAATTTCCAAAGTTACCTTATTCCGGAAATATAGAAAAGTCAGCAAGTTTTTCCTTAATCCTTTTACGGTTAGGAATCTTTCCATAAGGTTCTCAACTTTCTCATTTCCTCAATATAATCTTAGTTCTTTAACTCATATAAATCTTCCTTGAAAACAAACGATTTAAAAGCAATAACAATAACATTCTTTTAAAATCATAAATTCAAACTTCACCCAATTATAATTTTCATAACTCTCATCTGAACATTGAAAATACATTTTTAATTGAAACATTTTCTTCTTTTTCGATACAAAAAGTTTATTTCAAATTGAGATATCAGTGGAAGCGAGAAATAATAAAACTTATATAGATTGTTAACTATCTAATGATGAGCAAGACATTTTTCTAAACTTTATATTTTCAAATTTTCACTCATTTTCTTATTGACATTTTCATTCGAATAAATTTAGCAAACTAACTCCGAATGTCTTAAATGTTATCAGAAAAAAAAATCGTTTTAGCAATATTTGTCAGCATAGAAGCTAAAAATGTGATCATTGTATGAAAACTCAAATAATAACGAGAAAGCAACGAATCAAATCAAATCATGTTGTTATGTACGTGATTATTAAAAATTCTTTTACCTTACAAATTGAAATATTTTTATCTCTCAATTCCAAAGAATTAGGCTTGCAAATTGACTGAAATAATGCATCAAAGTCAACCCACATAAGAATCAAGCATCAAATCAACCATTCAAACAATATTCAGGGAATAAAAATTTTAATTTTTCATGCAAGTAAAATGCTTTAAGTTAAAATATTTTACAATCGTGAATTCATGATATGAACGATACCTTCAGAAGTTTCATTCCAATTTAACAAAAATGTCATTCAAAGCTGTCACCTCTTTACACTTTTAAAACCTAAAAGAATTTTTTCGGCTTTCAAAAACCTACAAGCTTCAGAAATAATGGAAAGTCAGTTTCAAGCATTTTCAGTGCTTTTTTTTCACAGTTTTAGCGAAACTCCATCTGCTGAATTTTGAAATTGGCGTGAAATAATCTCACAACTGTCAGAACACGATCGAATGTAAAATCCGGAATTTTTTCACTTGTTTGACTTCCATCGTATTAGAACATTCTACAAAGTTTCGTTAGGCAAATAAAATTACGAAGTTTTTAAATTTAAAGTCAATCTCGTGGTGATGGCTTTAAATTTTCCTTTGATTCTCCAACTTTTAAGCTCAATCAAATGAAAAGCAATTAAAACATGAAGTTTGAATGTTTAGAAAACAAAAACAATTTTTTAACCTCATTTTACGATATATGTACGGAGAATGTTGATAAATTTCTTTAAACTTGAGAAGTAAACAGTTGTTAACAGTTCAATGATTTGTAGAATGCAAATATGTTTTATCAATTTTATATCTTAAAAATTTCAATATATAAAGATGAGACATGAACAGAATTTAATACTCTATGAATATTTCGACCAAGAAATCCAATAACTCGTCAAAAAATGCAAATTGTTGCAATCGCCTCGAGGATTTTGGATTTTGTTGCAACTCAAACATCAATACTGCCTTTAAAACAAATAATGTTTTTTTAAAATTATGTGTGAGGCTTCAGGCTAAAATCTTTTCAATACAACAAGCAACAAAAATATTAGTTCAAACTCGTTGCTGTGATAAAGTTTTGCAGATAAGTTTAAAGTTGAATACTTAATCTCTCAGATCTAAATTTCGTAAAACGATGTCTGATTCAAATATTCAATGAGTTTTTGAAAAAATATTTAATATTTATCTGTTTGTGTGTCTTCAAATCCAGATGAGAAATTTTCTACTTGCCTTTGAAGTTTCAACATCTTTGATGTTGCCAACATTGTACAGGAAGTTTTTTCAGATGTGAAAAGCTTGTGGAAGGAATAGCTTCAAAGAGCAGATAAATAGGTAAAAAAAATTCACTTTGAGTTGAACTCTTGACATCCTTAAAGCTTTCAACTCAAATGCTTCCAGTAAATGTTAAGTTGATCATCAAGTATGGAAAATGTGTCGCTAAAAAGTGTTGAATAAAAGAAGTAAATATAAAAAATAATAAAATTGAGAACATTTAACCATGGAAGCTTGTAATGTTTACTATAAATAAAATAAAATCATTGCAAATGGTTCATTCAACAAATAAAGTGAGTTAGTTGCAATTTGTAATTATTAATTATAAAAACTTCTTCATTTATTTATCCAATTGCTGTTACGTGTTATTAACTCTTTCCTTACTTTGATTGTGGATACTTAGGGGGTCAAATAGCCTCATTGGCTTAAGTCGCTTGGAATCGGGCGTACAATTCATACGTCCCGGGTTCGAACCCCGACTTGGTCATGAGGTAGAGTGAAGTTTAGATACTTCGGCCCTTTAGTATAAATATATACAGATAGTTACTATTAGTAACAAGTGGGGAAATGGCTACAAGCTCAAACCACTATAAATAAGTTGAATCAAAAAAAAAAAAAGTGGATACTTACAATTTTTTTAAGGTCTATAACAAAACTTTATGCCTGTTTCTTAAGAATCTTTGACAAGATTACGAACTTCCTTTCGAATGTAATTTTATGATTACGATTCCACTACTAAAAAAAAACCACATTTAAAAATGCTTTGAGCTCAGCTAACAACACAAAACAAATCTAAATACACAGCAAATTTCACCCAATGGCAAATTCAAAAATATTTTAGAAAATTGTTATTCTATGTTATACTTTTCTCCATCTTAATTTATCTTTCATTCAATTTAGCGAAAAATTGAAATTTCTTGCTCGATTAAGTTACGCAGTTTATGATAAATGCTGACTGCTAACACATCCACGCTTTATTCCCTATAACAAATGTCAACAAACCCGTATGTAAAATATCCGAGCATAGAAGCATATTTTTTATAATTTTCTGCTGTAAGCGTAATTTTTATGCTTTTCGATTGTTCAATCTTTTACCTTAAAATTTTCTACCTTTATTTTTATTTTTGTTAGTCTAGAAGCTTCTCAAGTGAAGGAGATTCGAATAAATTTTATTGAAAAGGTTTTTTTATTGCTGCTGGCATAAGGTGCTGTGATAATGTTTGACTTTTGATAAGTGCTATGAAATTTTTCACTTGACATAAGCTTGCGTTCATGCGAAGTATTTGTGAGAGATGACCTATTCAAGTGTTTTTCTTTAATTTTCCACTGAACAACGAATTGAAGATAGCAACAACAGTTTATTTTTATCACGATTCTAAATCTTAAGCCTAGGTAAGATATTTACGTTTTTACTTTTCAAGATAACTCGAAGTAAAATCAAGAAAAAAAATTAATGCATTTATTGTGTAGTCTTCAAACGGTGTCTGCAAACATAATATTTGTCTTGATATTTTCGTAGCTCGTAGTGTTTTTCGAGACAAACAATTTTAAAACTAAATGGCTTTGAGAGATGAAGAATATTTTGAGGAAACTTAAAAATCCTTTCAAAAGAAAACGCACAAATAAAAAGTAGGAGTGCTACTTAGACAAATATGAAATATTTGCCTAACAAAAAATTTATCATTCCATTAAGAAAACAGAACGAAATCCATGTGAAGGACTAAAATTAAAATTTTATTAAAACCCTCCATCGAAGTATTTCTCAAGTTCAGACAATACGCATTTGTGAAACATATTTTTCAAGAAGAATAAGAAAATTTTGACTTTAAAGAGTTTGCATTGGACAAAAACTTGGCAACATAAAATTTTTAAAAGTATTTTATCAATTTAATATCAACGGATGTTCATTTTATGCAAAGTCATAATCGTTTATATTTCTACAAAGAACTTTTGCTACAAAACAGAAAAATCATTTCTTGACAACGAAGTTCTCAGAGAAAAAAAATTCAAATTGTCATAGAATTCCAAAGCTTACATTCACCATTTTCTATCGTTTTTAAAGAGATTTTCAAACTTTTAGAATGTTTAATTTTCATTTTCATAGTCCTTGATTTGAAACTTTTTTTAGAACTTTTGGGGAGAATATTGTGGCATATTTTCAGCCTCAAAATAGAAGGGAAAACAATATGATAAAACTTGAATGTTCTCTACATGTGGCAACTTATTTTACCCACAAAATTCGCATGTAACTTTTTGTGCTACATGTTTTTTAATTTCCATGGGATTGGATGTTTGTTTTACAAGTTCATCAATCACTTATGCTAAAAACCACGTTCTGGTAACAAAAGATTTCCCAGGGATTGATTAATTTCACAATAACTTATAAAGTGATATATTTAGAAACAAATTTTTTATAGAAATGAATATTTGAGCTGGAATATTATCTATTTTTAGTCCAATCAGTCTTACGAAATAAAGATTGAATAGATTATGTTCATGCTTTCATATCCAAGTGTAAGATACGACAGCTCATGCTTCAATACATTTCAATGTGCTTCTTCACGTTATCATTTCTGCAGTAGATGAATCTGCTTATAGTGTAAATGTTTTCTGATTGAAGAATAAGCACACCAAAGTAGTCAATGAAAAAGAACTCACTTGAATTATTGATGGAACTTTGCAGAAAAAACAATATTGAGGTTTCCATTCCACTTCGTCAACAGCTTTTCTTACTCAGGGATGTTTTTATAATAAACAAAATACATTCTTTGAACACATTAATGCATAGACATCTAAGAAAAATGTGCAATAAATCGAAGGAATAATTAACGAAACATTTCAAATTAAAGTCATTTTCATTAATTTTATTTTTCTTATTTCACATTTTCCTCTTCTTCTTCCTTTTTACTTTGTTCCTCACTTTCTTCTTCTTCCTTTTGAATTTTCATTTTTTCTTTTTTAACTTCAACTTGTTTCTCATTTTCAAGTTTTTCCATCACGATTACAAAGTCTGTAACGATATAAATTATGAGAAGTAATAATAAAAACCTATGTGAATGGAAATGCTTTTCTAAGGTTTGTCAACTATTGGAAGTTCAATGACAAATTTTTCGTGAAAGGAGAAATTAAGATTTAATTGTTATTACAAACCTGTTTGCACTTCAATTTCTTCTTCAAACTTTTGTTCTTCATTTTCTTCTTCCAAGTCTTTTTCTTGTTGCTCGTTTTCCAAGGATTTCATCATTTTCATAAACTCTAAATGCAAGAATGAACATCTCTGTAGGTAGCGATTACCAATAACAATCATCAACTTACTAGAACTACTGATTTACATGCCGATTTAAATATTTAAACCTAGCAATGAGGTAATTTCCAAGAATTATCTTAATTCTTAATCTATTTTCTCTCTAATTAGTGTTTTATAAATCATTTGTTCCGATTTCTGTCAATTTCAACGTTCATATATAGAATTAATGAGTTCAAGTATTTATGTAAAATTGAAATGAATTGGGGTTCATATTTAAGAAAAGTCTTTTTCAGGAAATTTAATTGATTTTTGATCAGTCAGAAAAGATTGCTATTTGGCAAGCTACAAATGTTTCGTTATTTTCAGAACACTCAACTGACTACCGAAAAAGAAGATTTATTGATTCTACTTATTTTGTGAATCAATTTTGTTGATGAAATCGGAATCATTATTTTTTAATTAGGAAATCAAGTTTACCATCATAATCAATGTAGCCATCATTGTCAATGTCTGTATCGCGGAAAATTTCGTTAAATTCTTCATCTTTCAAATCTCCAACAAATCCTGTCAACATTTGTTGAAGTTCAAGAGCAGATATGAGACCATTGCTGTCTTTATCAATGGCACAGAAGAGTTCATGGATCTCTAAATCGCTATCGGGATTTTTAATTCTTTCAAGCATCAGCGTTACAAATTCGGGAAAGTCAATCACACCGTTGCCTGAAAATTACTTTCAATTACTAATTTCATTCAAAAATAACAAATAAGATTCTTTGAATAAAAAGGTTCACCATTAACATCAGCTTCTCTAATCATCGATAACATAGCAGTTTTAGATGGTTTCTGTCCAAGTAATTCCATGACATTTCCCAGTTCCTCTATTGTAATTATGCCGTCATCATTCTTATCGAACACTGAAAAGGCCACTGAAAAAGAGATGTTACTAAGTATCAACTGTGTGAATCGAAAAATCAATAAAACTAAAACAAACACCTTTGAATTTTTTCATTTGTTTTTCTGATATTTGTTCAGTCTGAAGAATGGAAAAAATATTTTAAGTTTCTAGATTTCCTGAAGATTTTTAATCAAAAGATTAATTTAGAGCTGGTAAGATTTTCTGTTCAAATAAGAATTTTGTATTTGAGGTCGATTGTAAGAAATTTTCTAGTGTCAATTACATTCAGTGATATCATTTTTTATTCCATCATTCCACAACACGTTCTTACCATTTTTCTATTTATTTGATTTCTAATTTACAGAAAATTTTAACACAATTAACACTCACTAAATTTAATAATTTCAATTCAAACCTTTGTTATAATGAAGCATTTGATTTATTATCTTGTGTTCAGTTAAATAATTTTAATTTTGTTCTACTCTTCAGTAACTGACTCAGTTACTAACTGAGATTATTTTCCAAGTTGAATCCCAAATAAAACTTTTGACTGATTAAATTAAATTTAATTCAATTAATTCAAAATGCTTTAATTAAAAATTAAGAAATTTTCACACGTTTTGCATACGATGACCCGAGCCTTTATGATTAATTGATCTGATAATCAAAGTAATTTCGAGTAATTTCATCTCATTCTTCTTATTCTTATTCACCATTCCATTCAATGAAGCTTCATTAATTTGCGTCTTATCGGTAATGAAAGGCTTATAAACCTTTCGAGCATCAATGTGAAGATTGAGGCAATGTAATTTTTTTAAGCATTAAAATAAAGATTATACTGACCATTAAATAATTCTCATTTTTTCTAAGGTTTAAGAACAATCTGTTGCCTTTGAGGCTACAAAATCAAATTATCCTTGATTTATTCACCAGAGAGTTTTGATATCTCAAATAACTTAATTTGTTTTGGTTAAACCAGTCACATGCACAAAGAGAAACTGTAAACATTTTTAAACTTTATCTCGCTTTTTTTTAATGCTTTACGATCGAGCCATTCACAAAAATATTTATTCGTTATCATGCCTCGAAACATGTCTTTTGGGACGGTTTGAAGCACAACAAAAATATTCATTTCTAGCAGCACCCGAAGAACCGCAACACGTTTTCGTTGTACAACATAGTAAAGTGGCAATGACGGTAAAGGTACGGACAATTCGAAAGCCCGAAACCATTTCACAATATTTATTTTCCATTAGGTTATAGTTCGTCTCATTTCACTGGCCTCCTACTAAAACATGTTTGTATTGTATAATGTACGGCCGACTAAATCTCACATTAAATCCCATGAAATTTGTGAATTTTTATCACATTTATGCCTTCTTCTGTTCACTTTTCTACGTCACTGTCGTATTTTTGGTGATGGTATCCTCATCTTATCATAAAATAAAAAATTTTCTCGTATAATTTCCGACACATATAAACAACAAAAGATACATTTAATGCTGTTAAACGATTCTCTTTCGCAATGGTGCTTCTCGTGTGTTTAGAATAATAAAAATAAATTTAAGTCATGGTTGAAACTTACATATGTGCTGTTGAAATATGAAAAGGGAATCAAATAAAAATTTAAGCGACCATTTAAAGGACGACGATAAGAAAACTGATGTAAAATTATGAAAGTTTAGAAAATTCCATGAAAATCATTAAATTTTTGATGACGTCTGGAGTTTGGTAAGTTAGAAGCTTTTGCTCAACATAAGTCATTCTTCTTGTCTTAAAAACCTCAGGAAATATTTCTTACAACGTTTTAAATCTTGATAATATGTTGAATTCTACCGTGAAGTTCACGGTATGTAATAAAATAAAAGTTAAAGAGATTCACTGTAAAATTTAATCTATAAATCATAAACTTACATGAAAGCTCTTAAAATACTCGGACTTCATCTTCCTTTCAACGAATATAATCTGAAGTTACAAATATATGCCATAAAATAACGATTCTTTTTCCTCGACGGAAATGAGAAGCCCATATGAAATGTTTTAAACGTACATCATCGCAAAATGAAAACGTTTCTTATGATTAGATGAAATGAATGGAAGGAAGAAAAGAAATTCTTTTCTTCTTCTTTAAGTCCCTTTTTATGTGTTGGAAGAAGAACGAGCACATTAGATTCTATGTTTAAGTAGATACAAAAGGAATCTGTAGGCATCAACCAACTCCAACTACAAATCATTTTGACATAAAATATTCTGTTTGGTATTCCACATTGATATGTATGTATATCTTTTTCATAAAGTTATGTTGAATGTAGTGGTTGAATTCTTTAAAGATTTCCTTCTGTTGAACAGCAAGAAGAAGAAGAAAATTTCCTATAAATAGAAATAAATTGTTTTCAAACTATAAGAAGAGAAACCAGAAATTTATGTCCATTTATGTACATATCTACATAACTTATTATTCAATCGTTTCCATTTTATGATGAAAACTTTTATCTCGATTGAATATGGTTAACGAATATCAATTATTTTAGTATTTTATTTACTAAATACCTACAGCATAACTAAACTTGTTGATGTTTAATGGGTGAGTGAATAAGAAGTTAGATTGATTTCATGTTAATTATCTCATCAATCAAAAACTGACTTTTTGAGTAAATTTATTTTTTATTCTTCTCACATATAAGCTTCAAACTCTTTTAAAAAAGTTTTAATGTTTTACTTTTCATTCAAATCTTATTCATATAAAATAAAATAAATCTAAACATATTTTTCTCGTTCCTTAAACACAACACATTTCTTCAACACGTTTGAAAGATTAAACAAGTAGAATCAAAGCTTAGGCAAAGTTAAACAAAAAGGAAGAAAAATTTATTTAATAAAGTTTGCCTTAATTTCGTCTTCAATGTATCATTTTGCAGCATGAAACATTTTTATGAGATTGTATCACATGCCGCACAAGTATTATGATACAAATGAATGTATCTAACAATGACAAAGTTAAGGCAGGAAAAAATAAAACAAAAAAAGAAAATATAACAGTGAGAAAAGGGAGGATGTAGCAAGCAAGCATATATACATAATTTAAGTCAAAGCATAAGAGAGTGGGAATGAGAGAACAACTGAGGCACTATTTGTCAGCCAATAAAAATTTCCTTTAACAAAGCATCATGAAAACGACGGTGACGACAAAATGGGCTTAATGCAGATGCTTTTGAAAGAAGTTTTTATTGGTGTGCTATTTATTATATTTTTGTAGCGACGGACATGAAATTTAACCACAGAGAATGCTAAAGAATTCTCTAAGTGACTGTATTGGATAGAAAGTTGGATGATTTGCTTTTGTCAAATTCATTTTATAACTTAAGTTCATTGTGGTCTCAAATATCTAGAATTTTAATGATACTTCTTCCTGAAACATTTGATTGAGAAAATTTATCTCAAGTTGCTGCTTTCTAAATTTCTTCTTCTTTTACATCCATCAGCTTTTTGTCATCTACGCTTTACTTTGATATTCATCTTCCTTATTCGCTGTTATATATGTCATCAGTGTACTAATTTAGTAAAGTTGGCTGGTGGCAGACATAAATATAAAACATAATCTTGTTTAATGCTTCACTTTATTTCATTAATTTTATTTCCGGTTACTTTTCCCTTACGCAAAAAGCACATAAAACCAGTCCCTAATCTATGCCACAAATTATATAGAAAATAGTTTTTGTTTTCTTTCAAAGCAACTAAATATGTAACAATCGAGATTTATCACTTTTAAACTTTTTGATGGTCTCATGTAGTCATTCCTAACTTTAATTATAGTCAACAAAATTCGCCTAATAATCCATTTTTATCTACAATCACAATATCATGTTAGTTATAAATATTTTCGAATATCTACTTTTATTTGATTTTGTGATATCTATAAATGCAAACGAGCTTTCTGTTGAAAGCTAAATAAATATAAAGATGACAAACAAAGCCTTCATTCGCTGTTTGTTTGCGATAAGAATGAAGCTCTGATCATGAAGCAAATATAACTTTGCACGTGCTTTATAAGAGACTTTCTTAGGATGTTTACCATGTGATGAAGATTCATTTCTGTTTGAAAATCGAATGAACGACTTAAGTTTGGAAAATGTTGATGTAAAAGGAATTTGATTGTAAGATTACAAAAGCTATTTGCACAAGGATAGATACTTGTTAATTGTTATTCATATGAGCACAGCACTGTAATGTTCATGAAACTATTGCAGCTTGAAGTTGTAAAGTACTTCAATTACTTTAATAAAGTTAGCTAGTTTGTGGTGAGGTTTTTGAGAAAGTTTTAATGAATGTTATATATCAATTATCATTACAAGTACAGCAAATAAAAAACTTATTTATTGCATGTTTTATTTTAATTTAAAATCATATCATATGATGAGGCATACAGAATTTCAAGCTTTTAACATATGCGAGTGTTTAACATTTTATAATTTTATAGAAGCATAGTAAACAAAAGAGTTTTTATGTGATTTTTTTTTTTGATTCAAGTGAACAGCTTTTATTTACCATAATTTTGATGAGAAGCACAAGCAAGCGATGAGAAGCTTTCTGTTTTAATTTGTTATTCAACTATTCAAGCATATTCGAGTGCAGAAAATTATTTCTCGGAGATGAGAGAATAAATAAGCAACATTTTAGACTCCTCAATTCATGGTAATCAACTTTACGATGAATTAGAAATTTCATAATAAAACAAATGTGAAAACTTTCAGACGGTTTCTCATTTATGAAATGGAAAACTTTTTCCAACAACTTATATCACGGAAAAGTTTTAAACTTTACAGTTAGATTTTGCTGATGATTTATGAGCATCATATAAAGCTTATTATTTAAACGAATGAGTGCGCCAACCTTAAGAGTCAATGATGTATGAAATGAAATTTTCAAATGCAATAAAAAAATTTTCAGCTCAAATTTTCATTCGGCACAAATTTTGCTTTTCTGAGGTTTTTGAGTTATTTGTGAAAGATTTCTTCTGCAATTCTCTAAATTCGAATGGAATTTTTTATGGTTTGGTGTTATATTTTGTCTAATACTTTTGAATTTTTTTTCCAAAATGTTGTAATTTACAACAGTTGGTCATTAAATTAATTAATTATAAGTTTTAGAATTGATGGTGTTTTTTAAATATTTTAAATATCCAAGTGCTGATAAAGTTCGTTCTGCAGGTCTAAATTTGGGGTAATGGTTTGGAGTATCAGCAGCATCAAATTATGGCAAATATTTTTTTACAAAATTCTAACAGCATCTATTGCATTGAGTATAAAATAGATACGAGAAAATTCTTTGAGCATGAAAATTCAGCTTGTTGAACTATTTTCTACTCTTCGTTTTAATTATAAATACCAATATTTGAAAAAACGAGAGACGAGAGTTGTAGTTTCAAATTAGTAGTTTAAACAACAAATAATCAATATGATAAAAGCAGTTAGTGACTGCATCTATGAAACGTGAATATTTTTCTCTTTTCCTTAACTTGTACTGTACAAATTGTGCAGTAATCAAGGTATGCAGATCAAGGAAAAAAGGAGAAACTCATTAAACATTTCTTACGACACATTTACGTACCTAATACGAATATGCTTTGAAGGAATTTCTCATCTGCATATCTTCATGAAGATATGAATTAATACTCAATACTCGTAAAAATCATTGTTGTCATAAAATAAACAATAAAGCGCTATAAGAAAAGGAAATGATTAAAAATCCATGTTCATTCAGATATTTCATCTTTATTTCTTTCGTTTTTTTTTAATATCTAAAATTAATATGCGTACATGTTAACAAAACTGTGTCGTTTCATTTCTCCCTACTTCTATCTATCTAGATATAAAACATGTACTACAATACAATCAATCTTGTTTCATTCACAATAAATATTTTAAGCAAAATTCACAACTGTAATTCTAAAACGAGTGAAATCCAATGGAAAAAAATGCAAAGAGTCAAATGAGTGGAAATGATTTTCAAAGGCAACTCGTAGAATGAAATTATTTATTCGACAGGAAATCTGGTGATGTGAAAAATATTTGATGAAGTTCGATTTTCAACATTGAAGTATTTTATTGGATGTCTCAGTTGATGGGAGCATCAATCATCAACTCGAAATGTACCGAACCCTTTAAAAGGAAAGCAAAATAAAAGTCAAAACGGATGGAAATTCTTTCTTCTTTTTTAACGAATGTGAAACATTCCATTAAATGCCTCGTTCACTCACCTGTCGATCACGATGACTCCCATTATAATTTATATTTTTTGCCCATGCTCGACATTGAATGTTTATGATTTGATTTGCTGATAAAAAAATGAAAGAAGAAAAAACTTTCGTTAAAAATATTTTCACGAATTTTTTTCTTTCGTGGAATTTTCATTTAAAAGTTTTCTAGAAACTACTGAAAAGATTCTTTTGTAATAGAAAATAATTTATAAGAGATACGTACGTTTTGGCCTTTTAAATTTTACAGCAACTAATGGACTAAGGTAGCCTTTAATATTAGTGTAAGGAAAGAAATAACTCGGAAAACCACGTAATTGTGTTGGAAAGTAAGCTATATCCCCAACAACTTCTCGATCAACGCTATTTTCTCCACTACAAGACACCCACACTTGATCTCTTTCAATTTGAGGTCTGCTTTTTATATACTCCACTAAATCTTCTGGCATGTCTGATGGAAGGTCATTTATGTCGTTGTAGTACTCAGGAATCCAACCATAGATACGATTCAACTTCAAAAATATGCACGGAGATGAATTGTTGTAACCATATGAGCGACTTTTACTGCATTCATCAAAATCTTCAATATTTAAATTACAAACTTGATGAGAGTCAGGAAGGGATCCAAAACCGCAGTTTTTATGATTGTTTCTTATTTTCTCATGTGTATAATCTGAAATAATTTTATAATTTATAATAAAAATTTATATTTTATATTGCAAAAGAACTTGCCAACCAAAAATTCATCTAAAATGTTCGTCCAATAACTGACTTGTTTTTGTTCCGTGATGTCATACCAGATCAATGATCCGTGAACAACATCTTTTGACATAGGTCTGAATCCCAATCCTGGATTTGTTCCTGGATTTATTCAAATCAGTTTTCCATCAAAAGTTAGGATTCTTCGAATTTATTTTACATACCTATAAGTGATTTGTCAAGTATCCATTTTGGCTTATGAAATGGAATAGTCATCATAAGTGCCTTGAAACATATTGCGAAAAGTGCAGCTAAGCTGATGTAAAAAACCGTGTAAAAGATTAAAAGTTCCCCTAAAATAGAAGAAAAGTTGTATTATCAATTAATAGTTTTCTTAAAGTAAGTTTCATGAGTCAAAAACATTTTATAATCAGAAATGAAGACACGATAAGTAATCAGTAGGTAATCCTCCAGAGTATCCGAGTGAGTCATACCTAAAACAAATTTTCGACAGTTCATTGAACTTACGAACATTTAAATGTTTTATATTTTTTATTTTGTTTGCATTTTATTCTCTGAAAGATAATAATCAAGCCTCAAAACGAGGACAATTTCAGTGATGATAAATTGTAACTCGAGAAAAACATCTGAAATAACAACTTCGAGATTCTATCAAATCAATGGAATTGAATTTTTCCCAATAACAAACGAGATTCATTGAAATAAAATAACCTCATGCAGTCTTCAGAAATTACATTATGAAATTAGATCTGAATAGACGAGATTAAAAGTAAACTTGTAAAAGTGAAATTAAATTCATGTAACAAAAGAGCATAATGAAGTTACGACGCGTCGTCTCGATTTTTTTCCCTTCAACACGAGATTGTGTTATTCATCATCAGGCAAAATAAACATTTAATCCCTAAGGTGTTCAAGTTTCTCTCTCAATGAAATCAAATTCATGTTTAAAAAGTAAAAATGTATTTTAATTTTAGGGCCAAAGCTGAGTCTACATTGAATCGCTTTAGTTATGGAAATATGGAGATAAGCAAAGAAAACCTGTTTTTATTTCAACTGAATTAAATAATTCAGATTTGCTTACCTTTTGATTCGAATCTTGCATAATATGAAAACGTGAAAAGGTTTTTGTGACTATTTGAAGCTACAATCTTGTCTATAAATATATTTGATACTGCTTTGTTTACACTGCACATTTAATCTATAATTAAGACATAAAATACCGAAGAGAACTTTGTGTAAATTTCATTCTATTCAAAGGGACTTGTTAAGATTCTTCAGTTAAAGATTCACCCAAAAGATTAATCAAACACTTGATAAATTGATTTATTAATTCCCACAATGACTATCTATACATATATGTACATCAATGTTTCATCATTAAAGGATTTGGGATACCACAAGATTGCATATTAATTTACGTTTGCTGATAACATCTCAGATTAAAGCATTAGATAATTGTGCTTGCACAAACCAACATGAAATAGCTTCAATCTATGAACCAAAGTTTGCTGAATCAATTATCCATCAAAAACATTGAATAATATCGTTAGAGCTACCATAGCAAGCAAATAAGTAGACTATGATGTGTTTGTAATTAAGATCAACATCATCATGTATAAATTATGGATATTTTTGCTATCAATATTTATCATTATCTTAAAAGGAATGGCGACAGATATTTATTGACACATTTTTGCTAGTTTAAATATTATATATTTCAATAAAATTTACTACCTTCCTTGCTTAATCATTCAAAGTACCAGTGAAGCTTGTTTTGCATATATTTATATGTAGATAGTGCGTAGGTTGAAAATGTTGGGTATTTATTTTTTTATTATTTATTATTCAATCATTAACTGATAACATGAGTGTGGAGTGTAAGATGCGATAAAAAAAATAATTCTTTGAGTTATACTAGAATTTCGACGCTTAAGTTGCCAATGTATTGCTTTTGACTTCGAACATTTTTAATCGTCTTATCAATATTTCATGGCTTGAAGCGATGATTTTCACATCAGAAGTTAATAATTAATTTTGGAACCTTTAACTGGATTGGAAGTCTTGATTAACGTTTTCAAGCGTGTTTCATAATTGGTCGCGATAAAAGAAAGCTCTTAACTCACTCAAAGAAAATCCCTTTTTTATAACTGAATGAACACTTTAGAATCTTTGTAGGAATTTTAAGCTTATAAAGTTAATTGTATAATTATTTGATAAAAGAAATTTATGTCACTTAATTAAGTATTACCAAAATACGATAATAAATTGATAAATATAATTTCAATTGAGTTTGTAATATCGAAAAGTTTAGTTTATGTGCCAAGTGTTAATCATGAAATGATTTTGATTTGCAGCATCCTATGAGGTCGTATTGCAAACATAAACAATTCAGAAGATAAGTAAGTCATTGAGAGCGAGAGCGGTTATGTCAACAAAAGTCTTTGCATGTTGATCTATGTCATCACACGGGGTTTAATACGATGATAATTATTGTAAGCATTCTGCAACAAAGATCAAATATTTATTTTTCTTATTATTCACCCCAATTAGGAAGAGTTCTTCCAAGAATTTTTCCTTTCTCTCTGTCATAGATGAGTTGACCTAATGTTTTCTTTTCCGGTTGCCGCATGTAGGGAAATTCATAAGTTGTCGATTGAATGCTTCCTTTGATTGATTTCCGGGCATTTCTCAGCTGACCATGCGCTGATGTTTGCATTTGAGTTGACATTTTTAATTGTTCTATCTGTATTTATTTAATTACAAATGCACATATCACGAATAACAACTGCTTTATCAGTCGGAAACTAATTAAATTATCAAATGAACACTAAACTGAGATCTCACTGTGATAAATTATTGTTTAATTTGTGTCCAAGATAGATATTTAGCGATAAAATATTGTTTCACAGTCATTTGCCAACATCATCTGCTCTTCCACATGTAATTAATTTTTTTCGTTCCGCTAAATATTTTCTTATTGTAGCCGAAATAATTAATTGTTCACTTGACACTTGAACACTTGCGGTAACTTTATATAGAAAGCAAATATTGAATGCCGCTTTTTCGCTTTTGATTTTATTTAAATAGCAGTAAGTTGTGGAAATTTCCAACCCTTCACATAGGTGCATGTGATTCCTCTACTAAGCTTAGGCAGCAACTAAAATAGTCTCAGGTCATAACGTTCAGCATTCGAGAGAAGAAATTCAAAGTAACTGAGAGTGAAAAAGCAAGAGTTGCTGGGAAGATAAAGTGAAACATTCATACTTTAAATAGCGATAATACAACTACAAAGACCCAATCACCACAAACATGATAAGTAGCAACAAGTTTTACGTTTCTTTTCTCTCCTTCTATTGTAACTTATTTAGCTTAGTATTTGAGAAATGAAAAGTATCTAATCAGCTGACAAAAAAGCAATAAAACTTTTATTGTTGTTGTCAGTCAGTATGTAGGTAAATAGAATTTCGAAAATGCAATGAAATGAAATGAATTCATTTTTATCCTCTTATGAATGTACTTATCTACTTCAAAAAAAAGAAGAAGTTTAAACTTTTCGAATGAAATTTCTTTCGATCTCGATCCACATGTGGTTTTGTAACTCATCAGAAGAAAACTCATTCTTACATTTGGGTAATATTTTTTATCAGGAACGTTCAAAGATTACGACAGACAATTGTTTCCAATGGTGAAACTCTCACCTAAATAGGTAGCATAAAGCAGCTTCTAGATTGCCGAATTTTTTTGATTGTCGTATCTGATAGCAATATCGCACGACATGTTGGTCTTTGTAGGTTTTCGAACTGAAATGTAATATTTATTGTTAGGTAGCGTTTTCAATATTAATTTCATAGATATTAGTTTGATTGTATGCAAGTATTGTAGGAAGCAAATCAGAAGCCAACAAGTTAATTTGTTTTGTGAATAGATATTACAAAGCCGACCTTTATGCTTAGTAGATTTCATTCAACAAATTGTATCATGAGAATGCCTAGCGTTTAATGTTCAACTTGCATTCATTGTTTTTATGACTAAAAGCAGCATGACGTGGCGCCAATTTTAGCATCAGCTTTTTCATTATAAAGATATCGACACGCACAGAAAATAATGAAACGACGACGCAACGAAAGAGTGAGTAAAAGAGAGAAATGACGGAAGAAGAAGGTCAATTATCTACTTCTTTTCAGCTATTGTATAATCGATTTTATGTTAAATTGGATTAGGAAAAGTTAATGGGGTAAGAAAAGGGTTGTTTATTATTAAAGGTGACATCTTTAGTGATAATTTGAGAGACGTTAACAAAAGAAATGTTCACATTGAAATGCTGAGAAAGGTTCGTTGAAATTATGTATTTCATTTAATAAATTATTCATGAAAATTTACATCTTTAATTGAAGGGAAAAATTTATAAATAATAAATAATTATCATCATAAAGTGATGTTTCAAATGGATTTAATGTCGTGACTTTGTAATCAATATTTTCTTTAATTAATACTTAAATTAATGAAGTTGGTAACCATTTCTTCTTCCCCTTTTTTGTCTTTTGACTTTTACTTTGATCATCAACTGTTCTTGATAAATAATAGCGAAAAGGCAAAAAAATATCTAAAATTTACCGTCAAACTAGCGCAGCTTTCTTCTCGTTTTAATAGAATTTAATTATTTGATAAGTTTTACAATAGAATGAAAAAGAAAACCTCAAGTAATCTCTTTCTTTGGAGAATTTGTGAAGCTCGTTAATTTCCAACTGAATGAGAATGAAAGGAAAATTAACACATAATTATATGATGTATATGGCAACGAGAAAAATGACGATGATTAAATATAATAGCAAGCTTCTACCTTTTGTGCCTTTTTATGAGAAAATATATGTAAGTGGAAGATTTCCACAAAAGACAGAAGAAAAAATAAATTGTGGGTATAGGGAAAAAGCTTTTCCAAAAGTCTAATCCAATAAATATCACTAGTGTCTCGTTTTTTGATGTGATGTCTGGCAACCAACAGAAAATGTGGTTGCCGGGGAACAATTTACGAATTACAACAACCTTGAAATATTCGATTCATGATCATCAGCAAAATTTCACTCGCTTGCTTTATATTTTGTCTATTTAAATTCTAGCGCGTGTCTGTTCCATAGCATGGCATACTTTACATAAGTCAAACAATGTAATGAAATTTTTCGTAATCAAATACATCTCTCGTCTCCATTTATCATAAGCCTCTTCTCAACAACAGCAGGCGGCCAAGTTTTACACATCATGTTTCTGTACATCATCGGATTAAAGTTGACATCATAGCTCGCATCATAAGCTCAGCGTTTATGTCGCATAGACTTCAAATAATGATTTTGTTTTATAGCGACGAGAGAACCATGTAGGAAAAAGCGCGTAATGGAAATGATTATAGTGATGATAAAGTGGGAACGATAAAGATGAAAAAGCGGGATGGTTTACTGTTGGCTGTTACGAATTTTTTTATTATACTGAATGATTGAGCAGCAAATTACAATATGTGTCGAAGTAATGGTGTTTGAATCGGGAAAGGTCAATGAATGTGGTTCATTGTAACAGTTTGTAAGCCTTGATGTTTAATAGGAAAAATTAAAAATGTGATGACACGTTTTTTGCTATGAAACTTCATTACGATTGCTTCTCATGATGATGATGAGTTAGTCATTATTATTTTCAAGAGATAATCAGTATGTTATGCAACACTGTAATTAATATGAAAATGAATCACAATGTGTCTCTAATGCTCATTTTTATTAGAATTCTCGACACAAAGTTTTATTAAACGTGATGTAAATGTTTTAGACACAAAGATTATCTTCAAGAATGATATGGCGAAGTAGAAAATATGAAGTGTTTTAGACCTTTCGTTGCCTTCACTATGAAATTTATTAATGCACGTTTAACTCAGTCGTGATGCTTTAAATGTGCTTTTTAGCACGCTTCTCATATGAATTTATTCTGTCGTCATTTTTGCTATGCTGGGACAAATAAGAGAAGCGAGAAAGAGAAAATCTTTTACAGCATTTGCGTGTCTCTTTAATAGTCCTGTCAGTGCTTTGGAATCTGAGACGAATGAATGGAAATCAACAGAAATTAGTATTCCATCTGAACAAGAAACGAATACGAGTCAGTATGAGAAGTAAAATCATTTAATTTAGATTGCTTGTAATGCTTATCCTTTTCCATCCTTTTCTTATTCTTGCTTTATGTGTGCACGATGTTGTTTCCCATCCACTTTCGAGCGAAACATCACGCACTTTCAGTCTTATTTATCTTAAAATGGAAGACGTCTTTTGGTTGGAGAAGAAAAAGAAGAAGAAAATAAAATCGGGAGCGAACAACACGGAAACTGATATGAATGTAAAACGAACTTGTTAACGATATCGTGAAGGTAATAAAAAGGTAAAAAGCTTTTCTTATGCTTTTGGAGAGATGGGTGGGTGAAAGCATAGGAAAATCTGATTTGAATTTATTTAAAATCAAAACACTTTGCATTTTGATGTGATTCAACCAAAGATTTTCGTCGCCCTCAAACAGAATGCCTAAAGCGTAAACTTTGAGATATGAAAATTTGATGAATACTCTGACTCGTGTTTAACTTCTTATGAATAAAAATAAGAGAAAAAAATGAATTTGGATTTTGTGGTTTTACTTTGCAAACGTGTACTAAAATTTTATTGAATTGAATATTCAAAGAAATACTCACAAATGCATATTTAATTTTATATTGAAATATCTTCACAGATATGAGGAATTCTGTAAACAAAATTAAGATTAATTGAGCAATGGATCTTGTATACATAATTAAGTAATATAATATCTTCCCTAAATTTTAAGTATTTTATTTTTAAACTACTAGGAAATAATCTTCGAATGACACGAACCATTAAAATAATTGCTAAATATCGAAAGAAAGGAAACGATGCTTCAGTGGATTGAGTTTCAATCAATGAGATCAATGAGACAAAAGAACATAGGCACAGAGGAGATTTCTGATGGAAATGTTAGTCCCATGGAGGTATATTTGTAAGATAAGTAAGTCCTAAATGTGAATGGATGTGGTATAAACCATTACAGATGGGTTAGATTTCTTTCTTTCAATAACGTTAAACTTTAATTCCTAAACTCGATTTTTCTGAAAAGTGACTTTTTTCACAAAGAAAATCTCAGAGGGAATCGTTTATTTAATTTTATTTTGTAAACTTTGTTTTTTTCTTATTCTTCTTCATTCTTTTCATTCTTTTTACATTATTTTTTCTCTTTTCTTTTTATCTTATAGGGAAGTATCGAAACTTTACATTGGGGAACTCTCGCAATTTTTCTTTGCTTTATGCAGCACACAAAAGAATTCAAATGATTTCTTCCCTCCGCAAAAGAGGTGGAATTATTGAAAACCTTTTTAACCTTCCTGTAAATCATGAACTGTTTGTATTTAATGTTCTGTCGGCGTTTAAAAGCTTAAAAGCCATAAATATGAAAGAAGTGCAAAAGAATTATTCAAATACCAACAATTCAGAGTCTTATGCACTATGAAAAAATTGTTTCAAACCTCGCTGAACTTTAGCAACATGTTTTTAAAGTTTAGTTCATTCACAACATCCTTAAAAGAATGTCAAGCTTGAAGAGAAATTGTTTTAGGAAATAAACATTAATTTAATCAAGTGTAGAATGAGACCTAAATAAATGGCCTTTAATGACATTTACTTCTCATTTCATAGCCGATCGAGAGTTGTTTAAGTTTTAGATTCTTTCCTATCTTATTGCTTTTTCCCGTGTGCTGAAAGTTTATGTTTGTTCTTGTTCGTGGAACTAAAGATGGGGAGATGAAGAAGGCATGTTGAGGAAATCGAACATAGGCTCCAGAAACATAAAAGAAAAGAAGAAGAAGATTATAATGTAATTTAATAGACTTTTGTTAGATTTTTACGCACAAGAGATTTATTGAGCAACCTTCTGTTATCATTTTCCCTTTAGATCGCTCTTTTTCCTTAAAAAGATTTTAAAAGTCCCTAGAAAGTTTTTCTAACGAACTTAATCGTGATTTTTCTCCTTTGAATCTTTTCTTTTATTTTATTTATTTTTTTATTTGACCTGCTACATTCAAGGTCGACATTGGATTTTTGCACTTGATTTAAGAACAAGTTGTTGGATGTTATTAGATCATTGAAAGTTTAAAAAAGAATTTAACAGAACAATAAACATTGTAAGAAGCTTTTCATAGTTAACAAACCAAAGCCTGGAAAAGCCAATTGACATGCTTGAATGTCCTTTGAAGAGTCGTAACAAACGATTCAATTCAAAATTTTCCAACCCAAGGAAAAAAAAAAAACAGAGAATTCAGAACATATGAGATTATTCCGTGACACTTTCTACTGTTATTTTACTGTCACTAGTAGATGTGATGCGCACTTTTTCCCCAGCTCTCTTCAACCATTTAACAGTAAACTGCCAAGTAGATGAAAAAATATTTGATTTTGGCATGTTTGGAATGCTTAATGTGGAGACTGGTGAAGTAAACGAAGTGAATAAGAGTAAAGTAAAGTAAAGTCATCGGAAGAGAAAACGAAAGAAATTTTGGGATTGAAATGTACTCAAGCAATGTTCACTTTGAACATTTTTCTATTGTAAGCAAAATCTATTTAAAACGACTTAAGATTGCCTTTTCAGAATGTTCTGCTAGAGATTAATTTGGTTTTTATCGGAAATTTCATCATTTTACCATTTGTACGCAGTTAAAACAAGTCTTAGAGTCAGAAATTCAATTTTATCTCACACGTACCTGGCTGTAAGCGCTCAAAAGGATATAAAACTCATTTGATACTCATACAGCAGCAGCGCTCTTTAGAAAATCTAAAATCGATTCAATCGAGATCGTATTTCAAATTCTTAAGTCCAGAATGCATTGCTTCATGTCGACAATCAAATTCCAGAAGAAAAATGACATTCTTAAAGAAATGAATTTGAAGCTTAAGATGAACGAATTGAGCTTTCCATTTCATCTCATTTTTCTCTTCTTCTCTTTTTTCGATGAAAACAAATTGTGCATGATGAAATCTTTTACACAAAAAAAGGTAAAATCATCTGAAAGTTGAATCTCCGTTGGCACAAGCAATCTTATGTTGTCTTTTTGAAAATTTTCTTTATAAAATAAAATCCATTTGAAAGTTCTTACTTAAACAACAGTTTGAATAAACCAAGCCAGCTGAAGGGACTAAATTGAATCTGTTGATAACTTTCAACAATTATGCTCAAAGGCAAACAACAAAGATCAGCCAAGCGTTTGGATGGTAAAGAAATAAGAAACAATTATTTCGAGATTGTTTGTTGAAGACATGGAGATGTAAATTTATGAGAAACAATTTATTGTTAGTAAAGCATAACAGAAATTTAAATTTGAGAAGAAAATATTTTTATTTTCTATGATATTTTTCGATCTGCCATGATAGATTGAGTTACGTTGAGTACGCGTCGTTAAAGTACGCGCTATTTTCGAAATGAAAAGGTTACGTAAATTAAAGTCTTACGTGTGGAACAAAAGTCATAAAATGACGTGGAGCTTTACGACATTGACGTGCGTCGATTTTTGAGAGCTTTTCATCGCAATAGAAAATTTATGATATTTTTAATGACTCTTCCGGCGTCTAGAGGTGTTTTTGGCTTACGAATTGAGTAATAATTCAAAAGTTTTAATTTCTCTTCCGCAATGTGACTTTCAAGTGTTTCTTAAATCCTTGCTGATGTAATTATTTGTTCAGTTTCGTTTCACGTTAAAAAAATTTGTGTAAAAAACTCGTGAAACTGCGTAGCGGAATTCTATCGAAATTATCGCGAGGCTATAAATCAAGCATTTAGTCTCTCCTTCGTAAAAGAAAGGGATTTTTTATATTTTATGTATATAGATTCCGTTTCTCATTCTGCCCTTTTTTTCCATGCGCCCTCCGCACCATAAAATGAGTAATGAGATTAGTCTAATGATTTATTAGGAGCCTCAACGCGCACATCCAAATATTTCTTCGCTCTATCGAGTTTTCCTGGCATTGGACGTACATAAGTAAATATAAAGAAACGTTATCGAAAAGACAATAAAGGAGAAAACGGTGCCGTCGATTATTGTTAAATTGTTCATTTATGTGTGAAAGAAAGCGACGTTCCCATTCACGATAGCAATAACATAAACCAGAGTCTATTAACATATTTTATTCGATTAATGTGCTGGTTTTTTTGAGTACGCTGCTCTAACATCTTGAAACGAGATAACAAAGAAAGTGAAGGCGGAACAATGTCATTTCGATTCTCATTACGTTGGACGACATTTACTGTTTTCGATAGTAGTTTTGCTTCCTTTCATTGTTATTCTACTTAAATTCAGTTAAAAACAATAAACCCTCATGTTTATGAAGAACGAACAAGCAGAAGCAAGTCAATTGCAGTTGTCTAATACTTTCTTTTAAATTCTATGTATTGGAAGCAGTACAGCAGAAAATTTTACTTTAAATTTGTTTAAAAAGTTTTTAAAGAAAAATTCACTGTCTGAAAATTAAAGTTTTGTTGATATTTATATTAAACTCATTGATATTATTAATAAAATTAAGTTAAACGAGGGAGTCAGACAAAAAGAGACAAAAAAAATCAATAAAACAAAAATAAATATTTTCTTTTCCGTTTTAAATTTATTCATAAATTTGTCGATACTTGAGGCAAAGATTTATAGAGATCAAAATAAACACTTGAAAGATATTAGAAATCAAATAAGTGAACTAAGATTCCTGAACAGTGAGTGGGAAGAAAACCTTTTCCCCTTTCAATATCCAAAAATATTGCTGGAAAATGGAAATTTGGAAATTCCATTGGAAATTTTCAGGAAGCATTGAAAGGAAATTACGTCGAGTCTCATCAGAGATTCCAGCATCCAAATAATTTAGTATTAATCAAATTGCTGAAGTGATTGCATCAAAGTATTCCTAGCAGCCCAAAATATTTTCCCTTTATTCAGTAAAGGTTAAAGAACAGCTTTGAAAGTTTAATCAAAAACATAAAAGTTAATAAAAAATAAACCGATAAGTTTCAGAGCTTTGAAACAGGTGTTGAAAGCAATTGAAATCAAATAACAATTGGATTAAAATCGTCAGTGTGAAAAGTGCTCGGCTTTTGAAGCTGAATGAAAAAGAAGGGAGACAAACTTGCCTTCGTCATGACAAAGCAGGATTAAAGCCGGAAAAAATTTAATAAAACTTGTTCGTGTGACTAAAGTGATTAAAGCATAGCGAATCGCCGTAAATAAATAAATTAAAAAAGTAGAAAAAAAACAACTTCCGGTTCATTTGATGTAAATACTTGATGGTTGAATTTATGAGGATGATGTGGTGGTGAATCTAATTAAATAGAAGTGATACAGCAAAAGTTCAGCACTGTTAATTAAAACGAAGTAAAAAATTTAAAAATATATAAACCAACCAACCATAGTGTAAAGTTTATGCAAGCATAAAAAGAATTAAACATAATTAATTAGTGAAAAGAAAATCTGGAAAAGAAATTTCTCAAACTTTTTTCATAAAATAAAGAACTTGGATTAATCTTGTGAACAACATCAGCCGCACGCAAATTGGGTAAGAAAAGGAAAAAAAAACTCTTTTCATATCTAGAAAACGCTATCACATGTATTAGCGTTGAATACAATGGAACGAAGGAAGAACAGAAAAGAAGAAATCCAAACTGATATGATTTGAATGTTTAAAAAGGCTCAGGCATTTTGCCATGATACGCACATCTTATATCACTGCTACGAAAATGGAAAACAGATATAAATTTTATGGTGACGACAAAGGATTTATCGATTTCTGCGTCTTGAAATACAATTTATATATTTTTTTTTATTTTCGTTTTTCCTTCTAACTCTAAGTCAAGCCGTCGTTGTTTCTTATGAAAAAGAACAAGAAAAAAAAGTATCATCAGACTGACAATAACCGTTATCACGGCAACGTTAGGGGAAGGGAAATAGTGAGTGAAAAAATATCAAAAGGAAATGTAGCAATTCGAGAAAAGATATCTGACTCGAAATCTAAAGTTAAACGTGACCTACCTCAGCTCTCTTTTTTTCACTCGGTGTCGCCTCGCCCATGAGTTTATGCCAAACTGTTTTGCTACGTTACTGAATCTGTAAAAATTTCTTTAGCTACCTCAGATGCAAATTTATATTTATTCTACTGTGTACATATGCCCACGATGACAAAAACACAATGTATGACAGGGAAAGCAAGTGAAATTGAGAAATATATTCATGAACGTAATTGCAAAATCTGAATATGTATATCAATCGTTTAGATTTTGCTTGTTCGTTATCAATCATTTTCATAAGACTTTATATTCCCTAAAAACATGCAAAAACATCTTCATGTAGTATGACCAAGCAATCTAACATGCACGAGAGCCTGCTCTACGAGGTTACCGACATTAACTTCGAAAAAAAAGAAGGAATTTGGCTTTTGCGTCATAGCAGTAAAATGTCCGTAATTTTTTTTAACACGAGGGGAATTTGCCGAGAAAAGTTCCAGATTTTAGCATTTATGGAAATTTCTTAAGAATTTATGTGATTTTTGAATCAAATATGAAATCAGTTTTGATGCTTTCGGACGGACGTCAATAACTGTCCGTTACTTACCCTTCGGTCTTACATGTATGAATATGTCTACGATCATTTTATCAGAAGGGGAGAAAAGCTAATGAATTTTTCATGAAGCTGGTTTTCTTTCTATTCATCATAAATAAATTTTCAATTTCATCCCTGACACATTTTGGTTTCAAACTATTTTCATGTTGGATTTAAAAAAAAAGCAAATTGAATAGTCTTCATTGTGCGAGAGTTTCAAACAGTTCATCAGTATTTGTTTGTGCAATAAATTGATTGAATTTATTACGACATATTGGCGATTATTCAATTCTTTTTTTTTATTCAAACTATTTTCAGATAATGTCATTTTGCTGTACTATATTTGATGAATTTTGTGAAACCACAAATGGAGATGATTGAGAGCTTTTCACATGTTTATAAAACAAATAAACCATAAATGATCATTTTGAGGCTGTTAAAATATTTAAATGCACGTCATATTGACCAGTTTTTTGTGTCCTTAAAACAGCAATTGGAAATTCAATATTTGCATCGATAACATTTAAAAAATGTAAATTTTTCACATAGTTTCAATTAAACTTTGGAGCTTTCAAATTTAATTTATTAGTAAACATTTTCCAGATACATAGTTCAATATTCTCTTTCAGAGCGAAAGAGATAAGAAAAAAATTTACATTTAAATAACAAAATTTAATGCAATATTCTGATCTGAGTAACAAATTGTGAAAAGCTTTTAATTAGAGAAGCATAAGTTGATGCATAACATAAGTTGATGCTTGAAGGGATCCTTAAAGTGAAAATTGAAAAAATAATTTGAAACATTAAAAGTTGTACAACAATGTGGAAGGGAGAAATATTGTCAAACATTTGCCTTTTTACGAGTACAAAAAGTTTACGTCCATCCTTAGAACCAACTCATTCCATTCGCTTTTTTCTTGAGTGGAAAATCAAGATATAGTTGTAACAAATGTCCTCTATTATAGCAACAAATTTTCAGTTTTTCTTCTTCTTCACCAGAATGGATATTGTTATGGAATGAGAAGGAAAAGTTTTCCTTGCTTTTCTTTCCCTCCATGAAGTTATTATTTCTCAATACTTCTGATTTAACTCCTTACGCTACGCGGAAACAATCTTTCTAGAAATTTATATTTAATTTTGAAGCTCTGAGTCTGTTGCAATTATACTTAAATAGACGATATACATTTAAACAATGGGAATTGGAATTCGTTGAAGTCATTCAACCATAAAGCGTTGTTTATTATGCTTCGTAAAGTCTGTTCATTTTTAACTTTTCCCCTCGAATTTCTCTACATCGCTTACTTACGCTTAAAGAAATATTTACTCGAATAGAATTTGTTCAAGTGTCAGTGCGCTCCTGTTAATCGTTGTAATTAATAATGATTTCACGAGTAAAGAATAAATGATCAGAAAGGAGAGGTTTATCTTAAAATGTTTCAGAAACTGTTCATTTCTTAAGGGAATCTAATTGATATGGTTGATTCAGGATTGTAAGGTTATCGATGTTGTTGTAGTTAATTTAAAACAAAGTTCTCAGTATCACCTGTCGTTGTTACAAAGCTGGCAAAGAATGTTCGTTGTTTCAAACTTTTATAACGACATTAAAGGAAACAAACTTAACTTGCAGAACATAAAAGCTGATTTCAAAGAATTTTCATTTGCCTTACCTACTTAGTCGATAACGTGATAACACAATTAAAAGCCATCTCAAATTACCGTTTAAAATTATTTTAACACAACATTGTTAAGTGGAAGATTCAAAAGCGTAAATATGTATATATTCGAGAGGGGTGACATTTTGTTTTGCCATTTCTAACGAAGCTTTACATTGCAATCTATTTTCGTTCTATCTGTGATATGTAGCTGGCTTGAGAATTTCTTTTAACACCAAGGCTTTGTCTAGAACAGCAATAAAAGTAATGAAAATGTTACAGCAATTTAGAACAGACGTAATATTTATACCGACATATAAATCTTTCTTTAAAAGTAAATTGGATTGAAAATTAAAATGTTCATTTGCCGGCTGGATGCAATGAAAGAAACAAAAAGTAGAACAGAAGCAATGTTTTAAAATAAGAATAATCAACCCATGAAATTTTGCATTTTTCATATACTCATGTCATCAATCATACAACAGCAGTGTTTTCTGATTTCTCCTGTCTCATTTCGGCGTTACAGCTTCTTGAATACACTGTGTGTGATGTTTTTATTGATTTTCATGTAAATGATTGATTGATTGAAGTTATTTTTTCATCGTCTTTATTCTGATGAAAAATAAAATAAAAAAATGCGTGAAGCACGTGAGTTACTCACGGGAAAATTGATTGTCATGATGAATGGCCTCGCCCCCAACCATCTCAAGTCTCTTTCTATTGAAATAATAAATAAATGATGATTTTGACAAAATTTCATCGCAATTTGTTCAAGTGAAGGAAGCGTAAACGATAAAACACATGTGAATTGCTAGGAAGTCAATACAGAAAAGTTTAAAAGTTGAGATGAAGCGAAAGAAATTTCCAGTTGAGATATTCGACCGTGAAAGCTAACCTTACGCAAATATTTCTTTCAACTTCATGAATAATTTCACTTTACAAGCACAGGCAATTTCATTTTTTTCTCTCTCTTTTTTTTATTTTATTTGTTCTTTTTTTTCGAAAGTAAATCAGCAGAAGTAAAAAGTTCTTCGATAAAATATTCTTTCTTTTGGTTTCCATCCAATTCACCTTTCACAGTAATAAAACAAAAGTTTCAATTTTTATGCGGGTGAATTTTTTGGTAAGCCACAATGAATATTCGGAATGTTGCGGTGGAAGAACAAATGCTTATTCATTGAGCATTTGTTTAATTTAATTGGTTGTAAAGTTTTAATTCAAACAGACAGCTTGACTGTCAAAAACTTTTGCTCTTGAGTGCCTCAACAGCGTTATGTTGTTTTCCTCTTTTAAATCACTGTTCAACATCATAAAAATTTATTAAAAAATTAAATTCTAAGGAAGCACAACCGTGAAGTATACCGAGCTCGGAAGCATTTCAAAAGCTTTTTAAAATAAGCATATTTTATGAGAGCGTTAGTGTCTACGTATTTCGTACAATTTATTTCACGTTCTTCCTTGAGCCGCAAACCTATGCTGATAACAAGGAAAATAATTTCCTTTGAGGATACATGAATATTTTCTTAACGCTTCTTGTATTCGTTGATTCTTTGGAAACGAAAATTGTCTCGCTTCGTTAAGGAAACCGTGCTCAAATAATAGAAAAGATTATGAAACACGTTTTCAAAGTTTACCAGTTGTGTTCTTTGAAAGTGCTTTTGAAAATAAAAACGAAAACTTCTACTCTGATAACCAACAAAATGAAGAAGAAGAAGGAGATCTTTTATAAGAGAAAAAAAAAGTTTAAGAAATTTATTTTAATTTAGAAAGGAAAAATTTTCCAACTTTATTTTGAATGTCAACAATTTATCAGAGATTTTTTTTTAAATTAACATTTTTTCAAGAATTTACGAACTTTTCAAATGGTTCAAATAAATGATAATTGAGTAAAAAATGTTAGCTTTAATTAACTTTAGTAATAGACACAGTCACAGATTGACTCCGCACTTAATTGTTCTTTGAACTTTAAAGTAAGAATTTACCAAAAAAATCGTTTCACAATGCTTTGAGTTAATTTCACGACCCATAAATTCTTTAATGTTTGTACGCGGGTTGAAATTAAACATTTAATGAATTGACGGAATTTTCTTCTTCTTTTCTCATTTTCCCATTTTAGTTTACCATACCGAGATTATTATCATGAAATTTTAAATTGGTTGGTATTAAAAGTATTTTTTATTTTTCACTGTTTGTTAATTATTAATGAAATTAATGAATATTTATTATTATGAAAATAAAGTACGTAGAAATGAGAATTGAAAAGCTTTGTTAAAATCAAGCCTTTAATCTTAAATTTGAATAAATATCCTTTGCACACTAAACAAGTCCATGTAAACATTCCTTAATAATTTTAATCATCAAAGTATTATGTTTTCAAAGCTTTCTGAACATAAAAGATATTTATCTTGACAATATTTTGACAAGCACTTCCGCCATTCATTTTCGAAACCAAGCTTGAGGCTTTACCTCATTTTTATGAACAAATATGCTTTAATTGAGTGCTATCTATTTAGCTTTCTCAAAAATTTTGAATTTTAATTAAGGCACTTATCTGTAATGAAGCACATTTTCAGATTTTTTCCAAAATGCTTTGAATTATGTTATTTTTCTTTCCACATCACTCGCTTCAACTCTTTCGGAAATGAAACATTTGTGTTCATTTCTTTTTTTCTCCTCCATCCCTAGGTCTTGTTAATGTTCATTTGTGGAGTGAGATAAACTCACAAAAAAGCTTTAATGGATTATTCAGCATAAAAATAAGAATATTATCGACCCAGCCTCATAATATTCTTATCTGAATACAAATGTGTAGAAAATGCATTAATAAGAAGATCTTGAAACAAGATTTCCAATTGTGAATGAAGAGATACTTATGAGGGAAAAAAAATATACAAGTGACGAAGATACATACATATTTAATACGAAGGCAGACGACAGAAATAATCGATAGTTTTCAAGATTAAGTATGGTCGAAAGCTTTCCTTATAGCTTCCTTTTTTTCTCAATGTTAAAGACTTGAGTTCTCGTTTTCTAAGCCTTATGAAAATCTGGGGTGACACTTGAGAATAATCGTCTCCATGAAGGCGTAATGCTTTTAAAGAGAGAACAAGGAATCCTTTATGTTCAGATGTTTGCTTAAAATATTGTGGTTGCGTCTCATAAAAAAGAAAATTCATTTATAATTTCCACCGTTTACTCTTCTATCGGTTAAAGCATTCTCTGACATATCATAAGAGAGCTGTGGGGTGCTTAATCTGGTTCATTCTTTGTCTGGTGTGTTCATAAAAGCCATTAAACAAAAGCATAAACATCGACCAAGAGGATTTATTGAACATTCTTGTTTTAAAGTTCCACAAACTCTCCAACTCTTATAACTATCGCCGATTCAGAGTGTCGCATCCACAAGCCTTTGTCACTTAGATTATTCTGAGTATTTAAGAGAAACTTTCTTGGCACACCCCGAAACTTTTCTTTGATACGATATCTTACTATAGAATAACATAAACATTTATGTCGATGTTGTACTACATAAATTTATGGCGAATGTTTAGTGTATTGAAATAAATTTCATTTAATTATAAAAGTGCAGAAAATATTGCCAAGAAAATATCTTCCACGCTGGAAACAAGAAATTTTCGTTGTCGTTATGGTTGTTGCGAAACATTTTTTAAACCGCTATGCTTGCTTCATGTCGGAAATATAAAATTAAGTTTGAAGCATAGACAATTATGCTTTCCTCTTGCGGGTGACGTTGGAATACAACAGGAGGAGTTGCAATTTTAATGGCAGTAGAAAAAGTGAAAAGGTTCAAAAAGTTTTTTGATGCGGAAAAAAGCAGAATTGTAATTGAAGCATGCAAAAAGCGACGATGAATTCTCATATAATAATTATGTCTATGTGTATGAATTTAATTGCTGGAGGACTCAACCATTTAATTTAGTCATTTAGTGACTGGTAGCTATGCTCTAAAATGGAGAGCTTCAATTTGAGTTTTCTAAGAGAAAATAGAGGAAATGGAGCACTTAATATAATTCTTAAAAGCTCATACACGCTTTTTTTATTATTATGAAAACGAAAAACCAAAGAACATGCTCGTTGAAATGAAAACTAATTTAAAAACTTAAAAACATAAAAGAAACTCAAAAACAAACTCACAATGAGTAATAAAACTTCACAAATGACCATCGTAATTTAATCATAAAATCTGATAATAACATGAAACTTTTCCCCACAACCAAATTTGATTTAAATCAATAAAAAAAGCGAGAGAAAACTTTACGATTCGATGAATATCTCGAGTTCCATTTAGTCGTTTTCAAAAAGATATTTTTCCATCATTTATACCGTCTATGAGCGCTTTTATCCATTAAATGTCAATTTTTCATCTTATTTTGCTTTTATTGATTTATTGATTTAATTTGAATTAGTTTTATTCACAAGGAAACGATAAAGAAAAATAATTATCAATTCATCATCAATTTAAGTAAGCAAAAAGAAATAAAAAAATAAAAACGAGAAGACTTTCACGGCTTTATGGTCACGTTGCTCCTAATTTAATGATGAAAAGCTTATTCAGCTGAAATTGATGAAATCTAAGGAAAATATTTAATATTTCTATTTCATCTTTCTTCTTCTGCCGAAGGAAATAAAAATGTTTATTGCAATCCATTGAAATTCTACCCGTCATCTTATGAATGAATGTCTTGGCAAATCGTCATCATCTGATTTTCGTTTAATTTAAAACTCAAGGCAATTTCCCAAATAAAAAAAGCTTCGTTCATCAAATGAGATGTAATTTGTTATTTCATCGACATTCACTGCATTGATTGTAAGAGAGAAAAGGCAATCGACATGAATCTCTCGAAGCTTTTCGATTTTCTTCTTTTTGAATTCTTCATCTTCTTCATGACAATAAATCAAGCCATAACGCAACAACAAATAAATTACTCTCAGTAAATTTCATTTCCTTTGTCACCATTTTAATTTTGTGTCATGAATATCTTGACTGCTGTTGCCATCTTTAGTTTCATTCACTCAGAAAATTCACCGCGCTGTTACACGCTCGATTTGTTCTCGATTGTACGCCTGAATATCTGAAATAAACATGCCAATTTATGGTGCCCACCCCAAGAAACTTTTATCGACGAGAAGGGCGATAAATGTTGCGACATGCCTTTTATTGTAAACGAGACCTCCGTTCACGATAGTTCAACCTTTAAGCGTGCCGCACTCAACTATGGGATAAAAGAAAATTTATTATCTTCTGATTTGAATAATTTTATCATTCGTATGGATTGGTAAATGAATCAATCCCAAAAGTACTATTGCACAATACGAGAGAATTGTAGGGAGATGAAGGAAAAATTGTTAAGGGGCTTTTTTCTAGAAGTCATGAAGTTCTTTTTTCTCTTTTACGGCCACCACGCACAAATATTCTCATGGTGATTCCAATTCATTCTTCATCTAACTTCATTCTGCGATCTCCGCATTTTCTCCTTTTCTTTTGAAGAAATTCCTGTACCCTCTGATTACAATGACTCAATAAAACTAAGGAACATTGCATATTTTGCCCTCCGCCTGCCGGATGTGACCCTTGAGAGTAGCACGCTTGAAGTGAAGAGAAAAATCCAATTTCGTCGTGGAATTAAAACTTTTTTTTTGTCGCCTTTGTGAAGTCTCGTCAAAATGACGATGGGCGTTCAGGTGGATAAAAGTTTGTGCTTCTTCCGAAAGCAATTGACGAGAGTTTTATGATAACATGGATAAAAAAACATCTTGCCGACCAGTCTAATTAACAAATTATCCCCAAACGTCCACTTCAAAACAATGTCATCCAACGCACGGTTCTCATGCAACTTAAAAAAAATTGTTTTGAGGTTTATCGCTTTGTTTGCGCTTGGTAATTTTATTAAAATGGCATGAGAGCGAGACGAAAGCCATTCCCTTGCTGGCAACATTTAAGATAAAACTTTTCTTCGAACCTACAACCGATGGCATTTATAACGTAGCGCCATGGCGCTTCTACACAAGAATAAAAAGAAAACGAAAAATGAAAATTTGTGCCGAATAATTTACAAAGCTAGCAACATTATGCATACATTTTTGTTACACAACCTCATGCTATTTACATGATAAAGATTATGCGTACGTAATGCCATTCACATAATGATTTCTTTAAACTTGCTTATAATAAATTTAATCTTATTTAAAATAAATTCTGTTTTTTCAGACTTGTAGGTAGGAAGATTTCCAAGGAAAAGTGTGTATAAACGTTATTGGAATTTAACTTCTTATGTTTTCATCGTCTTACACAGATAAATGTTAAATAGAGTAATGGAAGTTCTAGGAATTTAAATAAATATTGGATTATATTTTCATAAGATAATGTTCAGATATACATTTTTTTATCAAAGAGGCTTTAACTTCGCATCACAATGTGATTTCAAGTCGTATATTAGAATAAAAATGATTTATGAAGGGAAGAAATTTAAGTGAAAGCTGTCGTTTGTAATATTTCGAATAATTTCATCATTTTTCTTCTTCATCTTTTCTAAATTAAAGTTATTATGTTTTTCTCAATTGTCACCTGTTGTTGCCAAAATCTTGATAAATAGAACAAGACCTCGCCCTGATAAGTTTCTTTTTCCAATAAAATCTCCAGCTTAAAATATTTAGAATAATAATACTTGAAACGTCTTACATATTATTTCTTTTCATCAAAATTGAGGTTTCATATCAAGTCAACAAATTTTATGAAAATTTACTAAACTAAACTAAGTATGAATTTTTGGGACTACTGAAAACGAAGAATTTTCAATACAAACAAATCACATAACAAAAGTGGTCACCATAATTTAAAGTGGAGAATGACTGACGTAAAAGGGATTGCAATATGGAAGTTAAACCAGTGACAAAGCGTCAACAAAAAAGCATAAAGAACTTTTTACGGTTATCAATAAAAAGAGATTACGGCAATAAGTTTGAATCTCTCGTTGCTATTCCTTACCCAATATTATGATTATGATGCCTCTTTGTTCAAGCCCCAAGGGCAGAGATAAGAGAAACTTTTCTTCCCTTTCGTTCATTGCAGTTTCTGTAAAAGCAAACTTTCTTTTTTTCAACAATGTTTGCTTATACAAATTGTCAACGGCGCTCTATAAATATTTGTATTACAAATTCATCGCTGCTGGAAACAAGTATAAAAGCTCTGAAGAAGTGAAGCCCATCTAGTCATGTTACCAAAGCAACAATAAATATCAAGATATGTATATCAGCAGAAATATTTCAATGATATAAGAAATTCCTTCATTTATTGTTGCGTTGTCTACGTAATGGAACGTTTGTTACGGCAACTGCAACGTATAATACGTAGAATCCGTATAGCAACATCAATTTATGTTCCCTTTTTTGAAGACTCCAACTTCAATAGTGAATGAATGACAATTGCGTCATGCCACAAACTCATAATTGAGCAATGTTTTCTTTCATGTCGAATGTCAACATAAGTAAACATTTTTTTCATATCCATTCAATTTTTTCTGGGCGTTGTCTTCAGTCTCCTCTCAGTTTTCGCTTTTCATTCCGTCACTGACGATGTTTTTCCTTTTTTTATTATTTCGTTTCTTTGTTTAATCCATTTATAAATGCCTTAAAGGCAGGAAACTTGAAGTATTTGTGTCGAGAACAATTGAAGAGAAGCTCTCAGTCCATCTAATTGAAAGTCACATGTTTTTTTGAAGATGATGAATGGAATGTTGAATGTTGTGAAGGAGAGAAGGAAAGAAAAAAAGACAGCGGATGAAAAAGTATCGAAAATAATTTCACGAGTGCTCCACGTAATTAATGTTTAGTCAAGCGCCAGACGAATGAACAAAACTTTAGGGAGCTAATTGAGATAAATTTTCGTTTCGCTTCAAATTTTGCCACGAAGAACAGAATTTTTTTTTCTTTTCAATGACATTTTAAGATACCCTCGAGTTCAATTCGTGTGGAAATCTTGCCTAATGAGATAAATATTTCAGTAGAAAGGAAAAAAAAAAACTTAATCTGTCCACTTCACAGTTAAAAATTTGTGAGTTTTGCTGTTGGCTTTGATCATCAAATGTTACGCTTTAAATATGCTTTTATAACAGCGCTTGAGGTTGCGTCTTCGAGACAGCATAAAAGAAGAAAAAATGTTCATAAAAACCCAAAGAAAATTGGTAATTTAGAAAACACTGACGATGAAAATGTAAATTTGTGCTTTTTCTTGCATAAAAATTCAGGTCGAGTCGGAGACGAGGAAATGAGAATCAGCAATGATAAAAATGATGGCACGTGAGTGAGTCAAAAGGATTTTTATCTCTCACATTTTTGTTACTGTGTCATCTTCTAGTCCGCTGAGAAATTTAGATTTTATTTCCCGTTTTCCATGGATTTTTATTATTTTCATGTCTTTCTTTCATTCTTTTCTTTTTGCCTTTCTGTTGTTGAATTTAAACAATCAACAATAGAAACGGTAAAGTTATTCAGATGAAGTGAAATAAACGACATTAAACATTTATAATCCCGTTAAACAGAGAATATCGTTCTTGAGTTTTACTTCTTCCTATTTTCTTCGTCCTTCTACCGCTCATTCTTTTTTCTCATCTAACCATCTTCAATTTACGGAAAGATTGTCGCTTTAGCACCCACTATGTAGCGAAACGTTCGCTTTAGAGGATTACAGTGATACAATTTATGGTCGGTACGAGGTGGCGGAAATATTTTTTCATTGTCTTCAAAATATACGCAGATGAACGAGTAAAACCGACATCGACAATTGCCTTCAAATCCAATTCAAACCGAATATTGTTCATAGCATCAATGGGAGTGTTGAAATTTCAAACGAGAAGAAGCTTTGACTTTGCTTCTGACAACATTCTTAACATTTGGTTTAACTTTCATGACATTTTCTCCTCTTAACAAAAAAAAATTGAATCAAAGGATTCCTTTTCTGTCGTTCTCATCGTATGTTGGGACGTGGATGCTTATGCTTGATATTCACTCATTTTCATGCAACGCTAAACTCAAACTTGTCTCATTTTCGTTTTTCGAAAAACTTCAGATGAGGAAAAAACTTGTTATAAGTATAAAGAACTTTATTGATTTACGTTAAAGTTACAGAAAATCACAATATATCCTATATGTGAAATGGGAAATGGATCCACAAGGTTTCGTTTCCATTTAATGAACATGTACCTATTAGAAATTGAAAATAACTTGAAGCTCCATATCATAAACTTTCGGAAACTTTTTGAAGGCTGAAAGAGAAATGTTTGCGACTTCAAATATATAACTTGCAACAGAACAAAAACATCGATAAGAAAACATACGGTGGTGGAAAACGACTAAAATGTGGAACATTGAATGGGAGAAAACTTTAAATAGGGTTAAAGAAATGAATGTTAAGTTTTCTTTCCAATTACGGTAGTTCACCCTACAATTTCTTTGCAATAAATTTCGTTTCCACTGCAGTTCTTGCCATTTCTTAATTGTTTATTCTCTAGTAAAGTAGATATGTCAGGTCCATTTTCTTCTTTTAATATTTATTCTCTTCGTCTATTAAAGTCCATTTGGAAATTTCCAACGTTTCGAGTTTTTTGTCTACGTTTTCTCTTCATGCAAATTTCAAATAATTTTATCACTGAATGTTGGGATAGCTAATCTGTCTATGTCTAGCGTATAGACCTTGTTGCGACGCACATTTTCCACCGGTTTAAGGCAATGTTGAATTTCAATGGATTACTTGCTAATCTCTTTATTTTTGATGAACTTTAATGTGTTGTAGCAACGAGCGGCACAACGCTTCCGTTTCAGCATTACTTGAAATTCTGTAATGCATACCAGAAATATAACGATGGGGGGTCTGCGTCTGTTAACACTCGTTTCTCCACACGCTATACTCCCCCCTAACACTTAATCCGTCGACGAAAATCTCGACAAATTTACTCAAATGACAAGAATTTAAATAAGGATTAAAGTGATTGCTGTGTGTTTGTCTTATGCGAGAGACAATATTTTCAATCAATATTATTCTCAATTGTTATTACCGTGAAGTTGTTTGTTTTCCTCGATCGGGTGAAATGATTTCAGTATCATAGCTATAGAATTTTCAATAATGTAAAGAGCTTAGTTTTTCGATTTGATTTTTGAATGAATTCAAACTTCCTTAAGGAGCGTCATGTTAGCTTTAAATTACTTATCTACATAATTTTTTTCTCTGTAGGTTTAATGATATCAAATTAATATTTATTACATGTTTATAAACGAATGAAGACAGACTACAATTATTGCAATGTTCATAAATGAAAGGAAAACATTTAAAGAAGAATTTCATGATTCAGAAGATTATAAAAAAAAAGAATGAAAAGGATGAAATTCCTACTGAGAATTCTGTTGATGCTTCCTTAGTTGGAATTGAATTAATTTTCCGCTGCTTTTCTCTGCTTCATTCGTCTATTCAACAACTTGGTTTTAATGGCGTTGCTTATATTTTGATGAATGGAATAGCTAAAGAAGAAAATATTGAAAGAAGGATTGTTATATTGCGTAATTTTGTTAGAACTTCACTATGGATCTGCTGCTGATTTTTTCTTGCTTTTGTCAATCTTTCTTCTTGCTATTTTTTTTCACGTCCATTAAGTGAAGGTTCTGTTTAAGTAGATTCTCTTGCTTTCCAAATAATGTTTACCAACTTAGTACGTAGTAACACCCATGAAGAATGGATATTGTGAGGTCGGAAATTATGTGTGTGAACTAAAAGCGAAAAAGGTTTCCTCCCTGATCATGTTTTCTTTTTTTCCTTTTTTCTCCTTTCCCTGTTGAATAAAACAAAAAGAAAATATTCGTCTCGGGAAAATTTCTCGGTGATTTTTTTCATCTCTCTTTTTTTTTGTAGGCAGAAAAACAATCCATCATCATGTCAACGAAAATGAAATAATTTCGGTTATTTCTCTTGTGCTTTTGTGTGACGGTGATTCGTACGTGTAAATACGAATTCATTGTCGACGTTCCATTTCACCTCATAAATTAACGCCCAACGGGAGAAATAGAAAAAAGAAAAACATTTTCTGCTTTTCTTATTGAAACGATTCATGACGATTGACATCAAAATGGTTTTTTAATTCGTGTTGTGGCCAATCTCCGTAAACCATTTTGTGAAGTTTATGTCAATAGTTTCATTGAATTATTTAACAAAACAAAAAGGAAAAGCTGCAAGATGTTTCATTTTGTGCCAGCCAATGAAACATTACTTCACAGGCAGCTGTTGAAGACCAAACATTATTTAAAAAAATATTACATTAAGCTAAACACAAAGTTTTCTTCCTTCGCTCTAACTTCTCTTCCATGGAACTGAAATATATTTGAACATGAATAATGGCAGAAACACTCTTCAATGAATGTTTAATAAGTTGTTACCCTAACAATCAATTAACAAAGAAATAAGATGTTTGTTTGCATGTTGGAGAATTCCTTTAAACGTTAAGCAAAAGTTTGAAGCTCAATTTTTAATTCCTACAATAGCAACAAGCTGGCATGAGCAAATAGAACTGAGCCCGGAAAACGCAAAAGATTAAAAATTGTTCAAGTTCCATGTCAAAAGGGGTCGAAGTTGTTGCTTAAAGAAGCAGAAATTTACACAACCCTCCTCAAATGGGCACAACAAGTTAGAAGAAGTCCACCCGAGAAATTATTCTTTTATGTTTTATTTTTATTTCCTAATTAGTTTCAATTCAATTTTCCCATCCTCCCGTTACGCATCGTCGACAAAGCATCTTACTTCAAGTGCATGAGCTAACAAGATTGAAAAAGAGAGAAAAAGAGTTCTATTTATTCAATTGATTTCGTATCCGCTTAAACTCATCCTTGAAATCCGACAAAGTAAAGATTAAATAAAAGGATATTTTTTCTTTCACTAGCATGTTTGGAAAAGCTTTTTTGATGCTTTCATTTGAGAAGTTCAACACTGTAGTGTGAGGTTTCATTTTATTTATTTTTCTTTAAGGATTCTATTCCCTTCTCACTGAGAAGTTTAATTTGACCTGACAACCATTTTATTTGTATTTATTCTTCAATAATGACCAATTTGAGCTTTTTATGTATCGAGTATCGTGAGAAGAGTTAATGGAATTGCAATGAAATATAAAAATGTGAAAAAGTTCTTTGTGCGGATGTTCTTGATATTTTTTGCAATATTTCGCTTTCATGTTGCGATATTTTTCAAAGCGAATTTAAGAATTCACACAAAGGCTTTGTTAAACATTAATGGAAGTTAAATACACCAAAAGCACTTAAACCTCCAGCGAAATTCCTTCTGGAATACAATGACTTCAAAGACTTCTCCGTTGAATGTTTGTATGTAATACAGGGATTGCGGTTGAAGGCATTGAAATAAACACAAACATCATATTTGTAAGGATTTAGCTTTAAGCTCTTCATTATTTGAAAGTTATAATAAAAGCATAAATTATACTTCACGTTGATTTAAGTTGCGATTCTCACTTTCTGATTAAGAACTCATAATTTAGATCTGAATTTCTATAGAGGTTCAGATAGAAGCTTAAATCAAAAGCACATAAAGTTTTTTCCACATCATTCATGCTTTTCATTTGCAGAATTTCTTTTTTGTCATATTTTCCCCATTCATTCACATGAGAAGTGAACTGTAGGAAAAAACCTCAACTGCTTTCGTTTCCAAGTATCTGCTCATTTTTTATCTTTTATTTTCTCTTTCAATTATTTCAGTTTTTTCATCACTAGATATTTCGATATTGTTGAAACCCTGAGGTTTATTCTTCTATTTTTTGTAGCATCAGATGAGAGGTTTATTAATTTTTTTTCTTCTTCTCAGTTCTCTTCACCAAGACTTACATTAATATTTTGTATGACAAAAAGATAGATATTTTCATTTATAACAGGAAATCTTTTTTTTATATTCTTTTCCTTCACATAGATTCCGTGAGCAGTTGTATGACATAAATAAATTGAATCAAACCGGAAAAGATTGCATCTGGCTGTTAAATGCAGAAAAAGAGATGACTCGTCACGAAAGCTTTTTGTATAATCATGGCATCTCAAGTGCATTTGAAACATTGCATTAGAATAGAACATGATCAGGATATATGAAGAAAATGATAAAAACGAATCATTGAAAAAAGGAAACAACATAGAACTTGGCGACAAAAAGAGTTCATTAAGCTTTGAAAATTCACCGAGCACCGCTTGATATGTGAAACTTGAGATGAGTCATTGACTCATATGCATTTGATGGGATTGACGGACCAACAGAAACTTATTCCAAATGAATATTGTGTGTCTACTATTTATTTTTAGTGGTAAGTTTAAAACATTTTATTTTTTATAGGAAGCTGTACCTTCAATTACTTTTCAACGAGTATTTTTTAAAACTTAAGCTTTTAGAACATTCTGATACGTTCAATGCATCTCCTAGCCAGGATTTCTTCAATTACTTTTCAACGAGTATTTTTTAAAACTTAAGCTTTTAGAACATTCTGATACGTTCAATGCATCTCCTAGCCAGGATTTCTTTCGTATATCAGAAAATTGTGTCTTTGCTTCAGAAAGAATTTTCTTGTTTTAAATAAACGGGAAATATTTCTTGAATATAATACGCCTATTTCTTGAATATAATGCGCACATTTTATAATTATAAGAGTTCTATAAACGTTTTATAAACGATGCTTATCCAAGACACAAAATAAAATTCCTTTGTTTCGCTTGCTGATCACTGCGACATCTGTAAGTCAACATCTATAATAATAAAGCTTTAAAATATTTTTAATATTCATGTTCAAGCAACTTCATAATTAATTTGTTCATATAATTTTGCTAAATTTCCATTTCAATGAAATAAATGACCGAATAAGATGGAAGGAAACAGTAATTTATTGCTGTTTTCACATTTGCAACGCCTATGGAAAACCATGCATTATTACTATACAAAAACTAGATAAAATCGCGTGAAATATGTAACATGAAATGAAATAATGAAACTGAATTCTCCGACCTAAATTTCATTTTGAAACAATAAATTCTGATCACCGTAACACTTTAGCCTTTTCCATAACTCTGAACGATTAATTATGTATTATTTGTGCTTTGTTTCGTTTCTGCAATATGCAATAGAACCAGAAAAATGTGCAAAACATTAAATATGAAGTAAATGTTGCAGAAAAGCTTCTCTTTATTTTCAAATCACAAATTACCAAAAATTTCCACTAGCCAAATGAGAAAAAAACTAAAAGCTTCTCGATGAAATTATCATTTGCAACAGCAGGTAAGTAATTTAAAAACTTTACTTTTATGCTGTTTTGGTTCGTATTTACATAAACAGTAAATTTATTTTGTGTTAAAATTTCATTCACGTAAGCGGTAAAGTTTCGATACTTGCTTCAGTAAATGTTTCAACGGTTCAGTGAAAAGAAAAACCTCAAGGCAAAGAAACACTTAAATCCTACCATAATAAACACTCGTTTAGTCAATAAACACTGAATACATTACACGACTTTTAACATCTCTACACATGTTAAAAGTATAAAATAATCTACCTGCATTATGGAAAAAATATTTCGCTTCATGTTGCATTGGGAAAGAACAAATTTGGAATTCATTGGTTATATTGCTAACAATGAAACCGAAGTGTTTCACATTTCTATCCTTTTTGAACCTTTTTTTCTTTGCTTCGCTTTCTTATCGACATTCCACCAAAATCTTCCTTTAGATATTTATAAATATTCAATGAAATGTTTTCTCTAAATGTCCGAAAAGTATTCGATACAAGTGAAAATTGTTTCAACATGAAAGTTGTCAAATGGCCTTGTCTTGACATTAATCCTTTGATTGGATGAGTTAGATGTTGATGTGAAGTGTTAAAAGCTTTTCTTACTCTCCAAGAAGGTAGATGTTCTCGTGTTTTTTCATTTTATCAAAATCACAAACGACTCTCTAAGTCAATTTTCTAATCGCTGATGATCGAAAAGGAAGGAAGCGTAAGCGTGAAGAGCTCCAAGACGAAGAGGAAATTTACGTTGAATTATTTAACATTATTATATGTTTTTCAAATCAAGCGGGGATTCCCTCACATGTATAACCACATCAACCTCCGACTTCTCATTCTTAAATGTTATCTTAACTAGAAAATCTTCTGTTTATCTTATTTATGTAATATTATTTACTACAATAGCATCTTGATGTGAATCTTTATTCTTATATCTGCGACGGCTTAAGTATAATGCGACAAGAAGTGTTTTCGTTTTGTAATGAAATGTGACATTGTGCTTTTCCTATGAAAATGCTGGAAAAGTTTATGCGCTGAAGAGGAAATCTTACTAAGTACAATGTCCAATAAATATTTGCCATCAACTGACTTGAACAAAGCACAGAAAATCTATTTCATGTGTTGACTTTTATATTCCATCGACAGCCGACTGTTTATCATACGATTTATTGTTCTCAACCAGTGTTTAGAAACCAAGACCATCATCACGACATAATAAGAATGATAAAACATTTCTTTATTCTTTTTGCCCCCAGATTTAATTCAACGCTTACGACGGGATCTCAGTGGATTCCAAATGCTTTAGCTATAAAGTATTTTTCTTCAAATTTCTTTCAAGAATGTATTTAAGAAACAATATTTGCCATAATCCCGAGGCTTTCCTTGTACAGTTTTTTTGAAATGGAACATTTTTTTGTGATGTTTTCGACATTGCATTTCTTTAAACTTAATAATTGAAATTTAGCTGCGTGTTGTCATCGTCAGAATTTACACAACAATTTTATTTTAAATCTTTTCTAGCCTTATGGGCAGTTGTATGTTTGTCGTGGCTTTCCTGGGCTTTTGATATTTCTTTCTTCTTTCTTTTTTGTGTAATAGAATTGAAAGTTTTCTCAGAATTTTTTTTATAAAAATTCACTTGATAACTAAAAAGTTTTAAACACAATGAAATTCAAGGCTTCGTTATTCCATTTTTCTGAGAAAGCTTTTAAGAAATATTTGTTGATGGGAGGAAGAAAAGTCCAACCATGACTTTTAAAATCCACCCACCCATTAAATTCTTCTTTTCACTTTCTTAACTTCACTGCGTGAATAAAGAAAGAAACAATTTATTGTATAAACTTTAACTAAGTTGGACTTTTCGATCGAACTTAAGTCAACAAATTGACTTAACAAAAATCAGAATTAAATAAATAATCCTCTTCACGAAAGTTATTAACTCAAGTCTCAAGTACTAAGTGAACCTTTTGACCGTCTAATAAAGTCAAAGATTTAATAGAAAAAAAGGTTAGAAAAACGAAGTTGAATTTCAAGTAACAGCAGAGAATTTCTTTTTTGGGTTTATTCAATTTTGAAATTTATATTTATTTTGGCAAACATTCTCAGACTTTTTGGTAAAATGGAATGTTTTATACAACATGACATTTTCCCAGGAAAACGTTTTTAATGTTCATTTTCGTGAATACACATGCACGCGATTTTTATCGTAAAAAACGTGAAAGCTTCGTCATTAACAATTGATGCGGAATTGCTTTAAGAGAATGTAGCTAGTGAAACAAGCTCGCCTCGTCATTTCACTGTTATTTTTTTTCAGCTGCTACGTGCACATTTGTGGCCATTTCCTTTCTCGTGTACCACCATAAAAAATGTGATAAATTTGTGTCATGGGATGAATTTAGTTCATTGATTGCACATAATTAAAGAGTGATATATCTGACAAAGAAAGTAGTTATTTAGTTGTGCTTTTATCATGTTCACTTCATAAAATTTTGTGGTAGGCAGGACAGAAAAAATATTTATTTTCGACTGAATTACTTATCTTTGCTTTTAATTAACTTTTCGAGTGTACATAAAGAAAATACTTGAAGGGAAAAAAAGGTTCAGGAAAAGAAATTTTGAGATTCCTTCCAAGGTCGGATGCGCTTCAATTCACAATGTCTGAAAATGTAATTTATTTGCTGGGTTCTGTACGAAATTCAATCTTCCATCTGATGTCATGATGCAATAGCAATTTCGTTCGATTTACAATTAGATTAAAAAACGAGTTGTGACAACTTTCTCAATAGACGAGATGTTGCGACATAAAATAAAAAAAAGATGTGATGATGAAGTCACGATCTGCACCAAGAGTGAGCATCATTATGACATCGTATCATTTGATGAAAAATTGTTTTGATAAGTGTATCGATAGATGCTCGAGGAAATGAGTTCGAGATACGAAATGAGTTGAAATCAGACTTCACAACGAAAAAAGAAGCAAAAAATTGTTTTTATTCCTCTTGTGTCGATGAAAGTTTAATGACTTGTTTCTTAAGCATTGAAACTTTTTGCGTATTCTTTCATCTTTTCGGGTCTTCGAATGTTTTGTAGACTTCATCATACTTCTTTTTGGACGGACATCTTTCCCTGTCAATGAGTTCTTTCCACCTTTTTCTCTAAAGATACGTGCTCAATAATTCATGACCAATACGAACCTCAATCTTCTTAGATAGCATCGATACTTGAATATTGATTTCAATGAAATAAGATGAAATAAAAATTCCTTGTGATGATGAACATGAAAAATTTATGTTGCATCAATTGCGACAATAAAAAAAGAAGTTTCGATATGAATATTTCATTAAAGAAAGAGAAAACAAAACTCAAAAGTTGTGCACATTTCAAGTGACTCGTGAAGATACGTTAGTGAAGAAATTAAATGAAATTGAAGGAAATTATGCAATGGCAAACGAAAACAGAAAGCATAAAAGATGTGGACTAGGACAACGATGAACCCTTTTATGAGGTTTTTTTTTCCTTTGTTTGAATAAATCTGAATTGTTTTAATGAAAGTTCGATGAGTTTTCTTCATCTCAGATTAAAATTTAGGAACAGAAATAGCTTAAAAATGGAAGCAAAGACCAATGAATTGCACAATGACAAAAATGTAATGTTAGATATTTATTGTGAAGCTACATTGACTCAGCATTTCATCAATTTGATATCAAAATGCCTAGAGTCATCAATATTTAATTGAAAATGGTCTTTGGTTTTGTTTCCTTAATTCATTTGCCTTCCGCCTTTTTCTATGCGAAGAATTCTTCCAGGAGCAACGAGAAAGAATGAATAAAAAAAACTTCGTCACATAATAAATGAAAGGAAATCAGAAATAAATGGAAAAAGTTATTTGAAAAATTTCGCCTCGATCGAACTAATAAAGGATGTCGAGAAAAGACAGGCAATTCAAAAAAAAGAAAAATGCGAATGATAAAGCTTTTTTCCTTCTAAATCCTCATAGAATTTGCTCCCATTCCCTTTATCATATCGACTTTATTCGCTTTTTCACTACATTAAATTTAAATGACGAAGAATTACTTATACCGTGAATATTGTTTTGTCATAAACAGACGAGTTAAGTGAACAATTTTGATTTTTATTGCATTTCAAAGAGAATGTTGTACTACATTGCAAATGTTTAAATTTTTTCCCCTTCATTGTTCTCGCAAACAAAACATTCGGAAAACATTCTCCAGATTTCCCCTCGCATACCACGCATGTTCAATGAAGGCTGCAAAGTCAAACTCTCCACAATTTACCCCTTCAAACTCTACAAAAAAAATCTCAAACCATTACCTTTCTGAAGAATCTTTTCATGTACCAAAACTCATTTGACTACCGTTCTCTGACGAAATAAGATTGTGGAAAGTTTTGTCGCGATATTTTAAATGAAATTTAATAATTTCTATAGATATTAAAGTAGAAAAAGAAAATCTATTATGCATTCGGTGGATAATGACATAAAGTTGATTAGATAATTAGTGAGTAATAAGAAATTAAGTCACGAAAGTAAAATAAATTAAAAATAATTGCGAGTGCTTTTCGGGATATTACTCTCTGGATTAATTTCGCATGGTAATTGAGAAAAACTGACAAGGATATTAAGAAAATAAAGAAAAGGCATAGCTAGCGTGAAGGAGAAAATACGAAAAAATAATTAAATTAAGACAAAACGAAATGATGTTGTAATTCCATGTGGCGGTTTGCTAAATCTCATTTTACCCTAACCAGCTATAATCTTTTTAAAAAAATAAGGAAATAATCCGGCTCAGTGAGATTCTTGTGTAAAAGTGTGGTGAAAATAGTGGAAAGAGGATTTTCAGATGTTCCTACGTGAAAAATTATCGTGCTTTTGGATAATAATTTAAAAGGTTTGACTGACGAGTGGTGAGAGGAACAACCGAAAGATAAAATAATATTCAGATCTAACGAAAAAAGCTAGGTAGGCATTTATAATCGCCTAAAAACCCACACTACTTATAAACTCTACTGCTTACCGTCAAACCCAAAAAAAGTTTGATTAAAATGTTTCAACTTTTCAAGTGAGACGTGAAAAAAAGGAAAAAAAAACGAGAAGAAAAGCGAAAGAGTCTGACGTGAATAAATTTAAAAACAAGGATTGGTTTGATGGAATCTAGGATAAGAGAATGGATCCTCTAGCAATCTTTTGGGTGCTAACAAACAGTTCATATTTAGGTAAATATTCTCTTTCTACATCTCATCACCACCCACACCCTTTCCCTCGATCATCATTTATGATGACGATTGCAAGAATCACAAAAGAAAAAACACGGTAAAGATGGCAGAAAAAAAACTTTTGGGCTTTATGCCAATTGGATAAATAGTCTCATAAAAATAAGTTTGAAACGAACGGACGACCTAATCTCGGTGTGGCACTTTTGATGTAACGACTTTTTTTTATCGTATCGAAGGACGGTCCCCGAAACCTTCTTCATCTGTAATTTATCTTCACAAACAGATTATTAATGCCATGGATCAATAACATGTGTGCAAATATGAAAGAAATGAAATGAAAATAGATTTTTTTTTGTTTTTTATCTCTAATGCGATTCTCATGTTTGTCTTGCGATGTTAAAAAAATAGAAGATAAAAAGAGAAAGGAACAGATTATTCCATTTTTTCGGATCATCACGTTTAAATTTAAAACCTTACGTGACCTGTTTATCGCAAATAAGTAGAAAACCATTTCAACTATTCGTCTCCCTTCCAAATGTGAACAAGCATAAAAAGAAATAATATCGGCGACAACGTAAGAGCCATTGAATGAAAGAGTCGACTAAAGTGCAACATATTTTCTTTATCATGACACGAATTTATTGTAAAAAATTGTTGAAAACAAATGATACTCGTGTGATACAAAACTATCTAAAAGAAAAAGCTTCGATGTTTTTTGCCTTGTAAAACTTTAACGAAAAAAAATTCTTTCTTCTTTTCCCGTGAGGCATATTCAAAAGTAAACCAGCAACTTGGCATCCTTCGCAAATTAAATTAAACGGCTCGCTTTCTTTTCTTTTCGGGTTATAATTTTTTATGCATGTACAAGGATCGCTTTTTTCTTTCTCCTTTCAACTGAAATGATCCTTGGGGATGTGAGTTCGTGTTTACTTTTTATGAGAGGCTTTTGCTTTGATATGAGTCTGAAAGAGATTATTATAATGTCTCTATTCATAAAATACAATCTTCAGAGGGTTTCCCTCAATATATTTATGTGTACCAAAATTTTCATTTCTCAGTTTTACGAAGCCAAAACTTTTCCTTGAATCTCCAAACTAATGATAAAATCATTTAAATGATAGGACGAGATCCTTTAAAATTGCTCGTTTTAAGATAGAGAGAATAATATAATTTCTTAGTTTGCATAAAATTGTAATAAAATTTATGATAATTTATATGCTTTGAGTGATCAGCTAGAAGGCATTTTTCTTTCTTTTTATTTTTAATGTTTAATGTAATTTCAAAAAGATGTAAAATGTTGCTACAACTTTTTCCCATTTATCAACATAATATCATGGAAATCTTCATGATGGCACTCTGAGTGCTTAAGTTGGATGAAAAGTACAAAAATTAATTGACATGTTTGAAAAATAAATGTCTTGAAAATTCCTTTTAAAAGTTATTACCTAAGTCAAATAAAAGAAACTCGCACTTTTTTGTTGTCTTTCTTCTTTTTTTAACGCAAACGAAATTTTCTCAAGTTAGGTAATTTCGAAGTTTAAGGTAATTTCCGTTTATCTTGATATCAGAAAACATCTACTTCCCTTTTTTCCTTTTCTCCTCTCTCTCTCTCATTTTCTGTCTGTCTCTCTTTCTTGACTGATAATTTATAATCCAAATAAAAAGGATAAGGAATATCAAACATTCAAACCGTATCTTCAAGCATGAAAAGTAGTTAAGAGAGATAAAGAAATTACATTTATGTAATTCCCCGATTGCGATCCTTTTCTTTTCATTCTTTTTTTGTGTGTTTCTCTTTTCTTATGAAATCATTTCAAATCCATTCAAATCTATTTCCAACATTTCAGGAAAAGAAAACTCTTCACAGCCGATCTCCAATGTCCAGATAAAGTAACGAAAATGCTATAATTTATTCAAAACTTTTTGCCTTTCTGTTCGTAATCGTAGTTTTATACTGTTGAAGACGATTATTGAAATTCCAAGTCAAAGTCGTTCTGTTTGTACTTTCAACGATAAACTCTTAATGGTGCTTTTACTTCCGAAAACTTGTCTTTTTTGCGGGTTCTACAGAAAATGCTTGAGGCAAATTGTTAAAACAACTTTATAGATATGAAGAGAAATTTACAACATCTGGAATTTAAATAAATGAAAAGGTTCAACAGGAAATTTTCCTTATCAACTTTCAATTAACTTTTTCATCATTTGAGTGCCTACACACATGCAATAAGCAACGAATGATTACTTATTCGTTTTTGTATTTCTCTTTTTCATGTTAAGTAGAAAAATTTCAAGGAAAAAGCTTCACATTAAAATATCTGGGAATTTCAAATTACTCCCTTTGCAAATTGTAAGAAAGAACAAAAAAAGTTCAAAAGGAAAAAAAACAAAATTCGAATAATTCTTCAAGTCTCAGATTTTTTTAACTTGTCTGTAGAATGGTTTTTGTTAAAAACTCTTTCTCGCAATTTCTTCATTTTTTACGAATGAAAGCATTTGCTTTATTAATTCATTTTAACGAGTGAAATTTACAATACAAAAGTTGTGTAAACGAGAAAAAAGTCAAATTTTTAACTCAATTTCTAGACGCTGATGTGATTTTCTTTTCTTTATGTTTTGGCTTTTCTAACTTTTAAATCTCGGTTATTTATTTGCGCATTCGATAAATATAAAACATTCTGAGGTTGAAGTTTCCCTAGCAATTTGTTTAAGGCACATAAAGTGATGAACATTGTTCGTCTCAAGTCGCACCACAAGAATTTTCTAAGCGGTTAGCAACACATTCTCATTAATTTAATCGCGCGAAAATTATTTCTTCTTTTCATGGATATTTTTCATTAGCGTTGGTGGTATTTCAATAGAAGCTTAAAGAAGCTTTACCAGACTGTCAGTAAAGTTGTTAAAAGAACTTCATTTTCAATATTAGACATTCAATGTCATTAAAGGGCAATGAAGCTTTAATTTCGTTAAACCTCATGTTGTCGTTGATGGCATTGAAACCTTATCAACTATACATCTGTGTACACCTAATCAATTACCTCTTTAATCACTAGGGAATGTAGCTAATCGCATTACACCGACATCTCCTTACTGGAGACAAAAATTTGGATTCTATTTTGAGACGAAAGTAAAAAGCTCAAAAAGTTTCCGCTATCGATGTCAAAGTTATTAACTCAAGAGATTTTCTTCTTTCTTTTCATTTATTCAATGTTTTTCTTTTGTTTGAGAAGCTGCTCTATGTTAAAAATAATAAGTAATCACTTTTTCTCTGCTTTAAATTTTTTTCGTCGTAATGACTTTGAATGAATGACAAAAGCTAAAAGCACAACAAAGAAATAAAAGAAAACTTGCCAAATATTGAAACCTTATTTAGGCCAAACAAAGCTTCGATGTTATTTCACTGGTCGTTGATAACGAAGAAAACAAAAAGAAGGAAAACAGAAAAAGAAAACTAGCTAATTTAGATTTTCTTTTACTTGGAATGTTGTCGAGGAAATCTCTCTTACATCGTCGACATAAAAATTTTGCCGACGAAAAAAAATAAGAAAAAAACAGCAGAAGGGCAAAACATAGTTTTAAGGAGGATGAAGATAAACATAATTTACTCTATGTTGGGCATAGTGTTCTTCCTTTTCCGAAAATAACTTCAAATGGTTTTAGTTTAACTCCATTCCGTTTGTTGATACGAAAATATCTTTGAAACTTTAGAAAATTCTTATGCCGAAAAAATTATTTTTTTTTTCAAAATTTAATTCAAAAGTTTTTATCAAAGAAAAAGAATTTTGGTATGTAATGTTGTATTATATTTCAAGGTGAATAGATGCTTTAAAGCTCTATGAATATTAATTTCCAACATTTTTCTTCTTCCAACATAACCATTGCACATTGGGAAACATAAGAATGACAAATTTTTGTGCTAAAAAAATTATTTAAGTTTGTTACTGTAGCATGCTTTGTTGCGAAAGCCCCTTGATAATTTATTATTCTTGTGGTGTAGTCGAAAGAACATCAAGTTTTCACTAAAGTTAAGCAACGCCCGCTATTAAGAATAATGTTATAGGAGAAATATTATTTTCATTTACTCGTTTCTGCTGATGTTTTTTGGTTAACAGAAAAAGAGAAAAGTTCAAGCGAACTTCCATTTGCTTTCCATTGTTTGACAGTAATTATGCTTTATGCTCTCTTGAGTTCAAATGAATTTGTTCATTCGAGACAATTCCATTCTCGACAACCGGAAGAGAAAGAACGAAGAAATTGGAATAACGCAGAAGGAGAGCTTAAGTTGAGGAAACATGAAAAGTTTATTTATAACGACTTGAGGAAGTTTCAAGCCCCAGTTCTAAGTAAAATGTTTTAAGTCATTTAATCTCAGCTTGAAATTTCTTATATCGTATTTTTTTCTTTCGTTTTCTGATTAGATATGGATTTTGAAAGAAGATTGAAGGAATAAACTTTTCGAATTCGATTGGAAACATTTCTTTTTGAACAACAAGCTTCTTATCTCGTTGTTAGTTTTCTTCTTATTTTACAAGAAAAATCTCTTTAAAATTGATAAATCCAATTTTTTGAGTAGCTTTCAATAACATCGTATGTTATAAAGACACAGGGGAAAGGATGTGATAGAAAAATGATTCTAAATTAAATTGTTCCAATCATAAAATTTTGAGATTTCTTATAACTTTTTACTTTTTCTTTTAAAAATGCTTAAAAGAAAAACTCAATCTTTTAGATAGCAACCAAGAAGTTGGTTACAAAGTAGTGTCTTCATTTTGCTTCCAGGAAACATTATTTCGATTATATTTAAAAGCTTCGAATGAAAAAGTTTCAACATACTTGATGGAGGAACAAATTTAGTCTTCTATTGTTTATTTAGCTTCGGGTCATAAGCATGAAATATGAATTTTATGTTAAAAGCTCTTCAATTATTTATCCTTCTTCAAAATAAACTGAACATGAAAAGCTATAGGCAATCTACTCTCTACAGATATGTACATAAATAAATAAAAGATTATGAATGCCTTGGAAACTAATCTGAAACAAAAGTGGAAGCAGCATTTTGATCGGCTGGTTTCGAAACTTCGTCATCAAATCTCAATTCTCATAACCATAACAAAAACAGATAGTTTACTTTAGCTCTAAAATTATGCATGTTTCTTTATCAATGACAGCTTCAATACAATTCATGCTTCAAGCTTTCCTTTCATCACATGATACTCGAAATATTTTTCCAACTTTATCCACAAATTTAAACAGCTGAACATAAATATTTTTCTTCGCTTCGGAAAATCTTTTGTGCAAACAGTTAAAAAGCGATTTCTCGTCGTAAATTTCCTCGTTTACGAGAACGACAATGGCCGCATAGAAAAATTAAATTAAATAGTGTATCGGGCAAGTGCAAACAATTCTGCTAAATAATAACGCCATAAATTATTATTTAGCTTAAGTATAAAGAAAAAGAAGGGGAATCGAATGAAATGAGATTTTTTTTCCATTCCCTCATTCTGCTTATCATTAAATATATGTGTGAGTCAGGAATTTCAGTCCCGAAAATGACATAAAAACCATTGTTATCAAAATTCCTACGTTTGGAATGTTTGGATTAAACCAAGAGCAAAATATTTTAGTGAGAGTGATAAAAAAATGGGAAGGAAGAGAAGTCTAATCGAAAAGGCGAAATTCAGGTGAATGATTTATATCGCATTCCAGAGTGTTTAATATATTAAAACACGAAGCAAATTTTTAGAAGAACATTCGAACATACAACACGCTTATACTTGTACCATCATGTTAAGTTTGCACATGTCGAGTTTCTTCTTCTTTCCTTGTTCATTTTTTTCTTCTTTTTTGGGGGAGAAGCCAAATAATGCTTATCATCATTATTCAAGGGCGTTTATCATTGCGCTCTCCCGCACGTTCATCGTAACCATAGCCAAATAAGTATAGAAGGCAAGAAAATAATTTTCACAGCTACCAATCTCTATACCGTGAAGAGAAGATAAAGCTTTTGTAGATGAGTATAAAAAGAATGAATGAGGAATAAAAAGAAAGTTCAGTAATTTCATTTTCATTATTCACTTCATTTACCACACGGAATGGAATGACATTAATGTTGTGAGGTACGAAAAATTATAATGAAAATGTTTTCCACTCCCTTTTCTTCCTCCTTCTCTTGACATTGTGGCGATGCCGATGAGAAAAAAAACGTTCGTTGGTGAAATCATATCATTACTTGGTAGCATAAGGTTTATTGTTCTTTACATTTTTGGAAGTTATTATAGATGGAAATGGCATGGGAACATTTTTCATCCGTCGACGACGTTGACCACTCATAAAAAAGAACTTGAAAATTTCATCTTGTTACAAGATCTCAAGGTAAGCATCTGAGAAGTGAAAAGTTGTACGAATAAGGTCACTGCGAATAATAACAATATAGATTCTTCTGCAAACAGAGCTCTAGGAGAAGGTAAATTTCAAGATTAAAGTGGCTTAAATTGTCAGTTTAAATGCAAATGGTAAAAGGAACAAACAAAAGAAGCTCTACCTTGTACTTTAACCTCAAGGGTTAATTGACGTGTTAAGTCCTTTTTTGTTTGATCCTAGCCTGGAAAATTGTTGACAAGATTTTATTGAGTCAGAACTCAGAGGCCAAAGAATAAAATTTTTAACGCAGACTTATTCACGTAGACACGTAACTTAAAGTTAATAGTTTTAACGTAACGTAAATATCGCAATACTTATCGTAAACTTTTCTTTAAAAGGCGGATCAGGCAATTAATTTAATTTCTTCATTCATTTGTATTTAATTTATATCCAACAGAAGTTTGATGTTCAGAATCAAATAATTGATTCGGAAAATATGTCAACTTTCAAAAGCAAACAAAAGGAAAGAAAACAAATAGCAAACAATAAATAAAGCATCCAATCTAAAGTGTAAGATCTTCGACGGTCTGCAAATAGAAATCCCTTTTCAATTGATCATCTTCAACCGAACCATTTGTAGAAAATTGTAAATTGATTTCCGTTTAAACGAAGGGCGAATGAAAAAGAATTAGAAACAAAAGGAACGATGAAAAATGGCTCTTGAAGTCTATTTAAGGAAAAAAGAAAAATTTTGACCCTCAAAGCAATTTTCTGTACTTTTTAATGTAGTGGAAAACGATCTCAATGCAACATAATGTTGAACATGAAGTTAAAGTTAAGTTCATTTATCTTGGTATCACAAAGAAAACAAGATCCTTCTTTTGTTTAGTTTCTTTCAATTTTTCGTTTTTTGAAAAAGAGAAACCAAGATTTGGAGGGCAAAATATAAACAATTTTTCAAACGTGCTGTAAGCTAAATCACGAGAAAATAAACGACTTTGATTCTTATCTAAGTTACACCCAACAGATAGAATTTATTGATGTATCTCATTTTCCACTTTTCCCTGCTGTTGCTGCTCGCCTTTAGACTAACTTGAAAATCAATGCACAACTCTCTTTTCTCAAAAGTAATTTTCGATGAGAAAAAAACGTTTCTTCGCCCTTATCCTACATTCACCGTACGCCTTTGATCAAAACGAATCTCGTAAACACTTAAAATAGATTTATTTTTCTCATTCTGTCCCTTTTCGCATTTCTCAAATATTTACTTACAGCACAAAATATATTTGTCGAGAGAAATGTGCTCGGATATATTCGCTTAGCGGATTGCTGTGTCTTTATCTTGTAACTCTTACGTTTTCTTCAACGAGATGGAAAATATTTATGTGTCATACGCATACACACATATAGAGCTTTTCATGCCAGATAAATATAGAAACGGTACACGAGTCTGGAAGCTCTCTTATCTATTACTGCAACAACGCATAATATATTTTCAATTGCTAAAGTTTCTTCGCACTTCGCGATGTCGATAAGAAAGTTTTTAAGTATCGTTTACACGCTTGGTAAGCACGTTTATATAAGATATTTAATACGTTTTTATTGATCCATTTTGAAGCTTACACACATTTTTGGTTCAAATAACAACGTCTAAGGTCTTAAGCAAGAAAAAGTGCTCAACCGTATGACGAAAGAAGTGTTGCCGATAGCAACTTTTTGGATAAATTCAATTCATGATGAACGAATTTTCTTCCACTTCCTTTTCCAACATTTTTCTATGCTTTATCAATGATGAAAAAAAGAAAGGGGAATTCAATTTATCATGCTTTAAGTTGTTTAATCGTTAAATAGCACAACAAACATTTTCACTTCCTTGAGTTTTATTTCCCTTTTTGCTTTTTTTTTTGGGTGTTCAGTCACCATGTGAAAGAAGGAAGAAAAGCTACTGAGATTTGAATCCTAAAATATTTGCCTTTTTTATGACAGCTAGCAAATGGAAAAAAAGGAATGAAAAAAGAGACAAGAGAGTAAAGAAGAGGATAAGCAGACGAATTTTTGGGGAGACTCAAGTTCTAACTTGAGACAAACGTCGGCGAAACTTGAAGATGCATGCGACAGAAGTGACTCTGCTCTTCCCTTGCTCAAGCCTAATTTGATCTATATTCAAAGCACACGAACAGAATATCAAACTGCGAGAAGCGTGCTTGGTTACACAGTCTTCAGTATGCTGCTGTTTTGCATGGAACATTCTTTCCCTTGTAACATGAGAAACATAATTTCTACACTGCATGCAACTCGACGCCCTTCTTCACAAAAATTGAATCAAATAAATTTTACAGTTGAAAAGAAATTGATAATTAAATTCAATTATCTACCATTCTGTAAAACTAAACAAAGTCTTACTTATCTTTATGTGATGGTAGATTGTATGACTTATAATGCAAATAGTATTTTTTCTTGTTTCAAATATTTGAAAGTCTTATCAAAAAATATTTGAAGTTAAAATAAATTTTTGGTATGATTCTCCATCCCAACATCTTGTGTGAAAATTTCATTAGTTAAAAGATTCCATCTAGTGTAAATAATTGCGGTAACTCAATTAGATTATACAAATGAATTTCATATGAACAGAAACCTCGCAATATGATTTCCATGTAGTGTGTTGAGAATATTTCAACTGCAGTTTGTGAATATAATTTCATTAGTCAATTGAAATGAAGTTGAAATTTCAACAAAGTCTTTCTCAAAATTATGCATGCCTTGTCTTGAACCGTATTTGCATGCATTTCAATTCTCTGTCAGAATAAACTTTAATAAACTTTGCTTTATATTTGAAATTGGTTTGACATTCCAAAGTCATCACCATAAAATGCTTTTGCTGACAATAACGCACGAGTTTAGAAAAAGACGGTAGTTGCCATTCCACAAACTTATATAGAAAGCCATTTTCCATATATTTAGGATATTATATATAAATTGAAAAGTTTTTAAATTGAAAGTGCTCTCACAAACAACTTTCAAAATTCCTAAAGTTGATAAAAAATCAATTACAACCTCAAACTACATTATGTTAAACCAAAAGCATAAACCATAGATTTGAAGCAGTTTTCTGGTCTTCGCTTGTTCTACTTTATACTTTCAAATGAAGTGGAAGTGGAACTTTGTTTTTGCCTGTTTGGTAGCAAGATTCTAGTTATATTGGAAACTTAATAAAATCACATCCCAAGACCCTGGCATAAACTCGTTAAAGCTTTACAAAATAATTCTACGAGCTTTTAGTATGATTTCATGTTTATGTTCATATGTACATATGTATTTTCTATTTAGAAGCTTAATGGAAAAGTTCGATGAAGCTGAAATTTTAAAGTCTTAGGTAACTAAGGCACGTACTTAAATCTTTTTTCTGACTTAATATTCTAATGATTCCCCTCCCACAACACGTGACTTTTTCATGAATTTCACGTTACTTGCTTGTGTTGTTCAGATACGAAAAAAAGAATCATTCACATCGAGGTTTCTAATTTAATGTTTGCGTGAAAAAATGTAGATAATTATGTTATAGTATCAGGACCTGAAGCAGTTCTTAAGCACCATCTGTAAAAATATTTAACTGTCACGCATTCGCATATTTTCTCATTTATCATGATCATCTTCTAATACACATCTGAACCTAATGGTAGTTCCATTCAAAACCGCTTGTAATTAATGATTACAAGGAATTATCGGGTATTTTACCCTTAAAAGTCTAGGAGTAATTAATCTTTCCACATGAAAAAACAAAAGATTGCGTAACGATGAATGTGATTCGTCGATATAAACGTTGAGCTTTGCTTAGAGCGAGAGTGAGTTAAAGAATAAATAACCGTAACTCAATGAGACAATAAAGTTAACAACGAATCTTTTCTTATCAGCTTATAGCAGGCAAGCTTCACAAACAAAATCAAAGACAATGTTAGTATGTAGGCACATATGGATTAATTAGTTCTCCTTTGAAACGGAAACAAAATGTATTAATTTGACAATATCTAATGAACCTTACCAAATGTGACTTCATGAATTATTAATTAGGATGTGATTCAATCCGTTAAGTCTTAATCTTGGTTTTGTTTGTTTACGTGTTTATAAGATAAATCTAGCTGGTAAACGTTAAAAGAAAGTTGAGAATTTCACATCATAATTACTAACTTTATTAGTCAAAGTCATACCCAATTATTTTTTTAATTAAAAAGAGAATAAAATTGTTGTCTTGCGAAGTAATAAAATCAGAAATAATCCAAGGAACTCTTGAATATGTACAAACTGCTTCAACCTTCTAGAAAATACTTTTCCACATCAGTAAATTGCTTTGACAATTTCAAAATGGTTTATTATCGCTTCGACAAATTTATTCTCAATCTGAATAGTTAAATATTTATTTAAAGATTTGACAACTAAACAATTTAAACCAACTTGCTAATTGGTAAAGTAAATGGTTAAGTTTTGATTGTTGTAATATGAAACCACAGATTTAAAATTCAATCTATGACTCCAATTTGTCTATCTTCAACCAACAACAATGTTTTACAAGTTGTGGAACTGAGTTTGCTGTATCTAATTACAATGACAGCCGCAACAAGATGATTGTTTATCGTGTACAATTCTCTCGGAAAGAGAATGGACAGTTTCACATTGAATGATGCTTTTGACATGTTAAAATATCTACATTTCGAAGGGGAAACTCAAAAGCTTCTGTCGAAAAATAAGAGCATGGAAAATGATATAAAAGGTTTTCTCTCTTCCTTTGTCAGACATTTTTTGGTAACGAATCTTTCATTGTTTATGGAAATGTTAAGAAATGTTACTCCATTGTTCAGCTATTCATTTGTTTACAAAAGAAACATTTAGAATAAATGTCCCTGAAGATATAATTTCATCATTCTCGTGTTCTCATTAAATTGTCCCTTTTCAAACGGCGGTGTAATGAATGAGAAATATTATTCGTGAAATATTTTGCAAGTAGAATCAAAAGAGTTTCTATGTCTTCATTATCTTCATATTAATCTTTTGTTGATCGAAGTACGCGAAATGACTTCTCGATTTCATTGCCTTTTTTTCTCAAACTTGAAATTAATATTAAAAGACGTTTCAGAAAATTCCAGTTCATGATGGTGGAAAAAAGAGAAAATGCGAAAAGAAAGTTGTGGAAGACGCTCGGTCATGAATGGAAAGCACTTTTTCATCATTAAGTCGTCTATTTTTAGGCGTCAAGAAAGAAGGAAAAATTACAGAGATCGACAATAAATTTGTTGCTAATTACTTGCTGGTTTGAGTTATTTCTGCACTTCAATTTAACTAGGGAATTAATTAAAATGTTTTCAACCCAATTTTATTATTATTCGATTATTATTTCAAATTGGCACACTTTGCCATTCAGCGTAAAACGATTGATTTTAATTATGTTATCTAATACTCTTGTTTTCTGCTGCTTTTGTGTTACTCAACAAAAACATGAAAGCTGGAAATCAATTTGAGAATTTTCTTCCAGTTGAATGAAAACATTTATTCAAGCATTCGACCATAACAATTGGTGACAAAAACTGTCATCAGTTGCAAACTCAGTTTAAGCTTTACTGACTCATTCGAACTAAATTTTCAACACCTTAATTACCGTTTCAAAACCATAAAATGGAACAATGTTACTTGAAACCACATAAATTGACACATTTCTCTGAAGGTGGAAATGATTTCAATTTATGTGAATTGACACAAAAAAATCTTCTACGAATTTTCCATTATTTTTGGGTTCACAATTTTTACCCGATTTTTTTCTCTCGTTCGACGATTGAAATTGAGGCTAAAATTTCATTTTAAAAAATATTTACAATTTGAAATTTTATTTGTTCGTTGATGAGTTAATGTTGAAGCTTTCACCGAGAGTTCACATTGAAAAGCTTTAACAGCAGCGCTTCAAGAAGCTCTTTTCAAATGCCACCCATGATGAAAAATTGATCTCGATAGAAAATTGCAAATTGATTTTTTTAATAAAATACGATGAATCGAAACAAAAATGTATGTGAAAGAGTGAAAACAGGGAAATGTGGCGGAACATAATTTTGTTTTTACCATTTTTTAATTGATTTATTGAAAGTATTTCTATAGAAAAAGTTTCATTTTTCCTGAAAAATGTGATGAATTTCATTTTCTTGTGAAATGAAAGGAAAATATTCATGGAAGGAGAACGAAGAACATTGACACGTTGGGTAAATTTATTCATTTACCATTTCTTTCTTTTCATAGCCTCGAGATATTTCGACCATCAATACGTGTAGATGGAAAATAAGGAAACGAAACGTTAATTGGCTGAGTCATAAAAGTGGTTTTTATGGCCTTAATCTACATCAATTGCTCTGATTTTTATTGACGTAGGCCATAAATATAAATATCTATGCGTGTTGTGGAATGCATGGAATGGGCGACCATATATAATACAACTGTCTCGCTTTGCCACTTAGGTCCCATTGTTTTGGTAACAATTACAACACAAAATTATCTCAACGTCACTTAAGAGAATATGTTGAACTTCCAAGACCTGCACTTACTAAAATTGTAAAACTTTTTTCCATTCTCCTTAAATGATATTGACAACAATTTTAGCTAAATTATATTTGTCGCTAACAATTTCAACTCTTTGAAAAGAATTATGGTAATAGCAAATAATGTAAATTAAGTATTTGATGTTTCAATTGTTTAGAAAGTGTGAAAATTTCACATTCAACTGAATTGTTTCTCGTGTTTCTATTAAATGAAAGTGCTTCGGTTGCACAGAAAACAAGGCAAATAATAACAGCATGTTCTGCCGGCTTTTATGTTTATTTTAGAAAATTCATGTTGAATATTCTTCTTTTAATTATCATCAGTTGCTAACTTTACACTCAAGAGAAATAAACATTTTTTGAAATTGCTTATCTAATAAAAAAATTCTAGATAATGGAAAAAGAAACTTTTCGCCCACATCTTGACTTTTTTCTCTCTCTTCTTTAATTAATTTTATTCAAATGAATCGAGTTGAAAATGTTTTTAATCATCATCTGTTTTAAAGATTCAATTGACGCTTTTAAAGCTATCATCAATGAAAGTATTTCTTTTCCTTTATTCTTACTACTATAAATAAATCTTGGCATCAATAGAAAGTAATTGAAGGAAATCTACAGCTGCAAAATAGAAGAAAGAAAAATAGTAGCGCCCGAAAAGAATCTTTTTCTCAATAAATATAAATTAATCACAAGCTTAAAACATGAGTAATTCAACTTTGATTACTTTATTTCTATTTCTTTCTTACAGTAACAAAATTTATTCGCACTGGAATTGCTGATAAGGACGATTATCCTTTATTTTTTGAGAAAGCATTTTACGAAACTGAGGTTGATGAAAATGAGGAAATTAATCATCCACTGCTTACAGTTACAGCACGAACGCATAACGAATGTAAGTATACAACAACAATTTATTTTCTATCTCCATCTCTCTCTCACTCATTTTCTTCTTCTTGTGATCGCGATAACTTTTTGACTTTCAAAATACTTGGAAATAAATTTTGAAATGCTAATTTAAATGTCGTCGTAAGCTTTGTTGATTTAATTGAAAGATTTTGAATTGTCTTTTAAGATGTTACGTTTTTCTCTTTTCTTCTTAGATTGTGAAAAGATATTGAATGAGAAAAGTTTTAATGATTTTGAAAGTGACACAAAATATTTTCAACTTGTTCATTTAAACAAGACAATAATCTTTGTAAATAAAAAAATTGTTTAATCATCGCTTCAGATTTTCTTTCTCTTCCCTTTTATTCATCATCGCCATGCTTTGGTTAACAAATATCATCAAGGCTTTCATTTTCATTCAACATTATAGTTGATAAGAAGAAAAATCAATATTTGATAAAATGCTTTTGGAAGTAAACACGACTCCAGATCGGCGTTCATGGACTTTGAATCTTCTGTTAGCATTTCCTCTTTTAGTACCAAATAAAAACACACAATAAAAGTGTTTTTGTTGTAGATATTTACGGGAGGGCAGTAAACAAGATGAGAAAAACATAATTTTCTTGTTGTCTCTCGTTTTTATTATAAATATTTACTTCTAAGAATCTTCCATCAGACCTAGATCATCTTCGACAAATAATGAACAATATAATGATAAAAATTGAAACGTGACAAAGACACTTCCTAATTCTATTTTATGGAACATCTCAACAAAGTAAAATTAAAACTAATTGACAATTAAATTTTCGTCATTTCAAACACAATTTCCTTTCATCTGCAATTACAATTTGAAGTAACATTACCTAAATTGTAAATTAAAATACAGCTGTGATGTATTGAAAGTAACGATGCAAATGAAATCCCTTTTTTTGTGAAGAGTTTGAGAGGATTCAAATTAAATTTCATTGCATACATTTTAGTGTTAGTGGTAACAACAGGGAAAAACTCTCTCGACATATCTGGTGAAAAGAAATTTTTCTTTTCATTTCCTTCTTTTTTATGTGTTCTAACAAAACCAATTAAATCTAAATGTGAGGTTTTTAGAGCAGAAATTCAAGTCAATTGTTTTAGAAAATGCTTCAAGGAGTGGTGAAATCTGAAAACTCTCTTAATTTACTGTTAACAATCTCTGCTCTTTGCAGACGTCTTTGAATCCATCGCATAATCCATATGATGTGGTTTTGAGTTTTATGAATTTATTGGTTGCTTAAATTGAATGAAACTTCTTGATGTACTGTTAAACAACTCAAAAACAACTGAAAATGTTTCAAGGATACTTAAATAAAGTGATTGAAAATGAACGAAGTCAAGAGTTTTACCATTCACATTATTTCACTTGTAGATATCTACAATGATATTTTTCAATAAATTTTTGTTGTACAATTTTAGCATCTCCTGTTCAGTATAAAATAACCAGTGGTAATATCGGTGGTGCATTTGGCATCCACAACTCAACGGGTCTCCTTTTTATAGCCTGTTCACTCGACTACGAGAAAATCAAAAAAGTAAGTAAAATGAACTTTTGAAATTTAAAACTTTCTCTTTCTGACTGAACGGTCGTTTAAATAAATATTTTTTCTATTCTTCTTTTTCTATTTTCAATACCATTCACTTAAAGTACGAACTGCGTGTTACAGCGTCCGATAATTTTAAGGAAAATTACACAACGGTTGTGATAAACATAAGAGATGTAAATGATAATTCACCGATTTTTGAAAAAACTTCATATCGAACTCAAATCACTGAAGAAGATGACCGTGCGCTTCCGAAGCGAGTTTTAAAGGTAAAATGTGAATTAATTTAAGAAAGAAAAAATAATTTGTGTGTGGGATGTCATAAAAAAAAACTCGAAATCAATGAAATTTTTATATTTCCATAGCTCTCAAATTGACGTCATGACAAACATGACATTTGAAATTCAATAAATAACACAATTTGAACACATCCCGCTGACATTAAATTCTTTGTTAATTAATAAAAATAAAATCCAAATAAAACGTTTTTCACAGATGAAGAATGCAATAAAAATATTCACACAAAGAGAGAGAGAAAATTAAGTTTCAGTGAAAATTTTAAATTCCTTTTGACATCCCAACCACCCACTGATATGTGAAATAAAATTCTGCTTAATTATTCATTCGACAACTGAAAATGCTAATTAAATCACTTTCATAAAATTCTGAAAAGCTCTGAGAGATGTTTCGTGTTGAAAAAGCATTTTAATTGTGTGAATAATGTAATTTTCATAATAATTGCTGATCATTGCTATGCTGCTTATATGACAACATCGTAAACCGACTAAATACTTAAATTAACTACAAATGCGGACAAATTTTATTAAGTTCATGAAATGTTTTTATATTTCGTTAGGTTACAGCCAATGATGCTGATGTAGATAGACCGAATAACATAATCTATTTTTTAACCGGACCTGGCATTAATGCTGAAAATCCATCCGAAAGCAACTTTGATATTAATAAAGCGACTGGTGAAATATTCGTATTGAAGGTAGGTGAAAAAATCATAGAAATTCATAATGCAAATTAAAAAACGCTTATTTTGTCTATAAAGCCTTTAAATCGCGATCCACCACATGGCCGTTCGCAGTGGCGTTTCACAGTGTTCGCACAAGATGAAGGTGGCGAAGGACTTGTCGGCTTCGCTGACATACAAATAAATTTAAAAGATGTTAACGATAATGCGCCCGTCTTCCCACAAGGAATTTACAATGGAAACGTAACTGAAAATGGTACTGCAGGAATGTACGTCATGACGATGAAAGCTGACGACTACGATGATATCAACGAGGGATTGAATGCCAAATTGATTTATTCGATTGAGAAGAATGCCATTGAAGAGGAAACAGGGCTTCCAATATTCGAAATTAATCCCGATACGGGCGTGATAAAGACGTCAGTTTGTTGTTTGGATCGAGAGAAAACCCCCGACTACTCATTACAAATTGTGGCAACTGATGGAGGTGGTCTCAAGGGAACAGGAACAGCTTCCATTCGTGTAACTGATCTTAATGATATGCCACCGCATTTCACGAAAGATGAATGGTTTGTCGAGGTTGAAGAGACGGATGGAAGTGTTCTTCATGATACGCCAATTCTCACTGTTACAGTCAGTGACGACGACGAAGTCAACAATTTTCAGTATAAGATAATTGAAAGTAGCGGTTATGGCGCTGATAAGTTTACAATGATAAAGAACACTGATGGAACGGGTAGTCTGAAAGTAATTCAGCCACTTGACTACGAAGATCCTATGCAAATGAACGGTTTCAGGTTTCGTATTCAAGTGAAAGACGATGAGAAAATCAATGACACTGACAAAAATCATATTGCACACTCCTGGGTTATTGTGAAGCTTAAAGATATCAATGACAACACACCGAAATTTAAGAAACCTTTTATTGAAGCATCCGTTTTTGAGAGTGCTGAGGTTGGCAAAGTTCTCGGTACATTCAAAGCAATTGACTTGGATAAAGGAGGCAAAGGTCGATTGACTTATCTGATTAATAGAACATCTGATAGACATCGACAATTTGCAATTAATTCTGATGGAGTTGTTACGATACAACGTCCATTAGATCGTGAAACAAGCGCACGTCATGATCTTGAAGTTCTTGCAATTGATGATGGAATCCCGCCAAGAACAGCAACAGCTTCTTTAATTGTTATTGTGAAAGATGTGAACGATAATGCACCGGAATTTGCAGAGAATTATCGTCCGATTGTGCCAGAAAATTCGCCGCCTAGAAAAATCATTGAACTTCGTGCAATCGACCGTGACGATGCATTGAGAGGTAATGGGGCGCCATTCCAATTCCGATTGGATCCAGCTGCTGATAGTATTATTCGGTCATCATTTAAAGTTGAACAGAATCAAAGTAAGTATTTAAATTTTATTAAATTTTAAATATCAAACCATTCGAGAGTGAAAAACGACAATTTTTGGTTCATTTCACTTTTAGCTCTAAGATTTGACAATTTTAATCCAATTTTTTTCTTTTTTTCGTTCTTAAATAAATTGAAAATGAAGCATGTAACAGAACTAAAGTGAACTGCTGTGTTCGATGTTGGACTTGTCGAAAGTTGAAGCTTCGAAGAAATAAGAAAAATTTATGGCCGATGAAAAGAACTTCAAAGATTACTTTTTATTCAAAAATGCTAAGACGACCTTATAACCTTCGACAACTCGTTTTATGAAACAAAACTTCTACACACAGTTCGTTATCTAAAAGAATTTTTTTTCTTCTTTTCCGTTTATTCCAAAAAGAAAAACTTTTTCCGAAAACGAAAAGTTTCGTTCTTTCACTTATTTTTTTTTATTTTGCCTCTTGAGTATTGAATATCGCTTAGAAACTCATTCAATCTTCTTGTATTTGTTCTAACTTTCATCATCAACTAATTTTTTTGTTGTTTTCGAAATGGCGGAATAGAAGGAGCTAATGGGGAAGGAATTGCGATTGTCTCATCACTTTCGTCATTTGATCGTGAACAACAGAAGGAGTATCTACTGCCAATAGTAATTAAAGATTCAGGAAATCCGGTCAGAACTGGGACGAGTACATTGACAATTGTTGTGGGTGATGTGAACGACAATATGATGCATTCAGGTGCGAAGGAGATTAATGTTTATAATTATCTTGGTCAAGCACCCGATACACTTATTGGACGAATATTTGTAAACGATTTAGACGATTGGGATTTGGAAGATAAGAAGTTTTATTGGAATGAGATTGAGAATCATCGATTTAAAATCGATGAAGAGACTGGCATGATTACAATGCGACGTGGTGCACGGGAAGGGAAATATCGTTTGAATTTCAAAGTCTACGATCGAAAGCATATTCAAGAAACATCTGCCAACATAACTGTTTCTGTTAAGCATTTGCCCTATGAAGCAATTGTTCATTCAGGTTCAATACGTGTCGTTGGCCTAACAGATGAACAATTGATTAATAATTGGGATAGCAAGATGCAATTGACTTATCGAAGTAGGTTAGATAAATTGCACGATAAATTGGCTGAATTACTAAACATAGATAGAAAGAATATTGACATATTCAGCATTCAATTGAGACAACAACAGCCGCCCATCACCGACATTCGTTTCTCAGCTCATACGCAAATCTTCTACAAGGCTGTACGTCTTAATGGAATCGTTTTATTGCATAAAGCTGATATTGAAAAGAGTGTCGGACTGAACATCACGATGGTGAACATCAATGAATGTATGGATGAGAACAATAATTGCAATGGTTCGTGCTCGAATCGTCTTGACATCAATTCCAATCCATATGTGGTTAATGCTAACAAAACAGCTTTCGTTGGTATTCACATCAATGCATCGGGCAAATGTGAGTGCGATGCAAAAAATTTCAATAAAATCGAAACATGTCGGACACATCCGTGCTTGAATGGTGGAAAATGTGTCGAGAACAAATATGGCATTAGATGTTTATGTTTGCCAAACTATTCGGGGCCACGATGTCAGAAAACGACAAGAAGCTTTCGTGGTAATGGATGGGCTTGGTATCAGCCACTGGACATGTGCGATCATTCGCATTTAAGTTTAGAATTTGTGACATTAAAAGCCGATGGTATTCTTATATATAATGGTCCCATTATTCGTCCATCGAACAATGAAACTGATTTGTCAGATTTCGTTGCACTAGAGTTAGATAAAGGATATCCACGTCTTCTACTTGACTTCGGTTCCGGCACCACAGAACTAAAGATTCAAACAAAGAAACTTCTCAATGATGGTGAGTGGCATCAAATCGATGTTTTCTGGGACATGGAAAATGTTCGAATGGTTATTGATTTCTGCAAATCAGCAGAAATAACGGAAGCTGATGATGGCACGTCACCAGAAATTGATGACACCTCTTGTCAAGCGCAATCAAAAATAATGCCATTCAATGAGTTTCTAAATGTTAACACTCCATTACAAGTGGGTGGTTTGTATCGTGAGAAATTTGATTACATCAATTCAGAGCAATGGCAATTTTCTCCCATCGGAGAATCATTTGATGGATGCATTAAAAATATAAAGCACAATGGAGTTTATATTGATTTAGCGCATCCAGGTTTAAGTAAGAATACAGCGCCGAATTGTCCCGTCATTCAAGATATATGTTACAATGTTCACCCGACAAATAAATGTCTTGATCACGGCACATGTATTGGAAGTATGAACGAACCTAAATGTGAATGTCATCCGGGATGGACTGGACATACATGCAACACGCAAACCGTTCCAACAACATTTAAATCCCAAAGCTATGTTAAATATGCTTTAAGCTTTGAACCAAATCGTTACAGCACGTCACTTCAAATGCGATTTAGAACAAGAGAGAGATTTGGTGAAATATTTCGGATGAGTGATCAACAGACACGCGAATATGGAATTTTAGATATATATGAAGCAAAGCTTCGTTTTCGTTATAGTCTTAACTCAGCACAGATAGAAGAACAACAAATCGGATTATTGTCTGTTCATGTCGATGACGGACAATGGCACTTTGTAAAGATTCAACGTTATGGGTCGGCAGTGATGATGGAAATTGATGGCGGTGAAGGAAAGAATTACAATGAAACTTTTACATTTCAAGGACATCAATGGCTAGCGATTGATAAACAGGAAGGTATTTTTGTTGGTGGCAAGCCTGAGTTCACTGGAATGAAATCGTTTGAAGTCAATTTCGACTATCAGAACAGTTGTATCGATGACATAAGGTAAATTACATCCTCAATTTATTCATTTTTTGATTACACAATTCACATCATGCAATCACAACAGGTTGGATGGAAAGAGTTTACCACTCCCGCCACATATAAATGGAACACAATGGGGACAGGCTGTGATGGCGAAGAATATTGAACGATATTGTGCATCAAATAATCCGTGCTCGAATGCATTTTGTCCGGAACCGTTTGAATGTGTAGATTTATGGAACAAGTACGAGTGCAGGTAAGCTTCATGCATTTTGTGGTCATAATTTAAATTTAAATAGAAAGTTGTTGCAAATATAAATAATTTATATTTTTTACATTACAAAAACTTCACCAGAAGCGTTGATCTCGTTTACATTCTCGTAATTGTTCATCTTTCTTCATATTTTTTCTCTTCCTGACATGACTTAATTTAGTTGTGGCGATGGTATGGTTGTTTCGTCCGAAGGCAAAGGATGTGTTGATCGTAATGAATGCCTTGACATGCCGTGTTTGAATGGTGGAACATGCATAAATCAAGAGCCTCGATTGCGATATCGTTGTGTATGTCCTGAGAATTTCTGGGGTGAGAATTGTATGTTTATGAAAGAACGACAAGCCCTGAAGCTCAGCACAAGTGCCTTGGCAGCCGTTATCGCTTGTTTACTAATCATCATAAGTAAGATAAACACAAATAGATCGATTAATAATTCATTTCATTCAAATCACTTCTTCCTTTGTTTAGTTTTATTATTTTTATATTTTTCGTTTAATCGTAAACGAACAACAACAAATGTCAAAAAGCCTGTTACAAAGGATGACATTCGGGAGAATATCATTAATTATTGTGACGAGGGTGGTGGTGAGAATGATGTGATGGCCTTTGATATGAAAACGCTGAAAATTCCGATAGGTTCACAACTTCCAGAGCTTGTTCAACATAAAGGGACATCAAGTAATGAATGTCATAATTGAAATATGATCTTTTAGTTCACTTTCCTTCTTCCATTTCAATTGTCATTTTGATTTAAAATAGGACCAGATATTGCCGTAGTGTCAGATCAAATTATAAAAGTTGACACGACTGTTTTGAATGAAAGGAAGTGTCGTATTCAAGAAATTCATGCGCCACCGTTTGACGACTTAAGGAATTATGCTTATGAAGGTGCTGGAAGCACAGCGGGATCATTGAGCTCGGTACTCGACTCGTCAGGTACAAAACTTAAGTAAAATCCTCCCAATTAATGACACCTTGAACATCTTCAATAATTTTTATTCTCACCTTTTCAATCATCTAGGGACTGACGACGAGCCCCACGAGTACAGCAAGTACTTTATGAAATGGGGCCCACAATTCAATAAAATAATGAAAATTTACGCTCATAAATCAACCAACATCGAAGATGACGAGATTAGCTAAAAGTGAATGAAATTTCTATTTAAGTTTACGACATGAAGAATTTTATTACGTTCATTGTTTATCATCACAATTGATTCCTAAGAGAATAAAATAAAATATAAAAGAAGGAAAAATGTTGTTTATCCAATTTCATTGCAAGAGAAAGAAGGAAAGAAAGGAATAAAGAAACATTAACATTTGTACAATAAAAAATTTTCCAAGACATGAAGGCGAACATTGATGTTGATGACGATGATGATTATGATGATGATGATTAAATGCAAGTTTAAAACAAAGATAAAAATATTCTTCTTCATATTTTAGAATAATCAAAAAGATAAGAAAAGACAAAAGAAATCAAATCATTCGAACAGGAATAAAAGACATTTAAATAACTATATAAATAAATATAATAAAGTAAGATGATGAAATATGTAAATAAATAGTTCTTCAGATGGCACAGAAAAATATCAAAAGACAAATAGAAAACAATATAAAAAAAACTGCATTAGACATAAAGTTTAACTGAAGAATGTTTGTGTCTTGTTTATTTCCATTTATACATAATTATGATGAAAATGAAAAAAGCAGATTTTCCTATCAAATATCTCTTTTTAAGTTGTTTAAATTGAAGATCAATGATGATGTTTTCAGACGTTGAAATTATATATTAAAAAATTGACTTATGCTTGTTATCTAAGTTGTTGTGATATAAAAGCGAGTGTCGCTTGAGATTACAGTTTTAAATAATTTAAAAAATTATTTCAATAAATTTTTATACTTGCAATCAATGAATATTTAAATAAAATAAATTTAAACACAACCCATTTATTGTAATGATTATCTACTTACGTAATAAAAACTAAACTGTAAATAAAAAAATAAGTTTCACTAATTGTATAGGATAAATATAATTCATAAGATACAATTTTAAACATAAAAACTCTATATAGCGTAAAATAAACTAATTAACATTTAAAATTTACGATGAAAGTAAAAATGTCACTCAATAAAAAGTTAAATTGAAATTGTTATGATTGATTTCCTTTTTTAATCGATATAAAAAATAAATGAAACCAAAAGAACTTTGAGAGTATGAAATAAAAAATTTTAAATGAAAATTAATTGCCTATTTTTAATTAATTATTTTGGTTGAATTGTTTGAAAAAACAAAAGGAAAAAAAGAGAACACTTAATGCTGTGCTGGTTACGTCATCATGAGATAGGAAAAGGAAACTGGAACCTTTTCCGGGGTCACATCAAATCAGATCATAAATTTTAATGCTTTTCCTCTTATTTCAATTCCTTTTTTTCTGTAGCAGATAAATGACCATTTTCACGATTTATATTATTCGGGGCACGTTTCAATACAAATTTGTCTTGCTTTTTTTTGTGAAATTAATATATTTGCGTATGTGCACATTTACGACTTTGATATGAATTTGTTCTCTTCCATGGAAAAAAAGGCTCAAAATGTTTCATTCCAATTTAAGACATGTTATTGTACCAGAAGTTTACTTAAATGGGATAAAATATGAATTTAACATGAAATCTACAGAGCTTTTACACATACCTCTCTTGTTTTACTTTTTTCAAGAGCTGTCGCTGTCGGATTTAAATCCGAGGAAGCACTGAACGGCATTCTTACTCTTACTGACCCCAATTTCATATGGGAAAGCTTTATTTAAATTTATTCTCAAATCGAGCCTTTTTTTCTTGCTTGCAATTAATTTCTACATGAACGAAAATGAGATGTAAGATAGGCGTGCAGGTAGAAATAATAAAAATGTATTCACAGCATGTTCGTCCAATAATCATTTGGTTTTTCTCATTTTCCCCTTCAATGCTTTTAAATGGGAGGTCGGTTGGCTACTGTCATAACAAATATATCATAACAACACCAAAGATTCACTGAATCATTGAATTGTCAAAGAAACTTGTTTTGATGTACGAGAAGGATAAAAAATATCTTTCAGAATTTACATTTTACATGCTTAAAGGAGATATTGTGAGAAGTGAGGGGTGTGGGAGGTGTGAAGATGAATTTAAGTAGTAAACCCTTTTTTTTATTGCCTCCTGCTGTCATTGGCGCAAATGGCAAAAATATTCATAATTTCATCGCATGAGACAAGTTTTTTGGCACACAGCACATAACTGAAAGCAGAACACAAAAAATATTTAAAAAAAGAAGGAAACTTCTCGTTGATCATAAAATCCATAATGTTCTCATGTAGATCAGAGACATTTGTCATGCCGATGTGTTCAAATTAGCTTGAATAGGGATGACACTTGATGATGAGTTTTCTTTCAACATTGTGACTGATACTCAGCATGTCGCCAATTTATCACAACTATTTTTACATCAAAGATTATGATTCGAAAGCACTGCTGAGTCAACGAATAGTTATTTGAAGCTTTTACTCACTTTGTCGTCTTGAGTCCGACGTGTTTTGAAATTCACGCTTAGTTACACTTATTCACATGTATCCGATGCTTCCAACAGAATCCAGTCGACTTCACATCATAAGTATTTAAGCTTTCTACAAGATTTCTTAAAACCATAGCAAGAAAAGCAAGATGAAAGAAAAGAAAGAAAAAATTCCTCAATTCGGAACATTTTACCAATGACATGCGATGATTTATGGCTAAATATATTTTAGAATGCTTCGTAGACATTCCATACGAACTTTTTTCTTCTTTATTTTACGTCTTTGGTCATGCAAACCAAGATGTTTCGATGTTAAAGAATGCGGGCATGAAAACTTTAAGAGAACGTTCCATTATGTTTTTTCCTTTACTTTATACGCTCCATTAAAAACAAATAATTGTTGAAATAAAACATGATTTACCCGAGAGCTGTGTTTTGATTTTTGTAGAAAATAACAAGACAAAAGATTTACGTTCCCAAATAGGTACTTATTAACAAAAAAAATTCTTGTTTAATTGTTGTGCTTTCATCAAGACATTGCGTAAATATTAAAGAGCTTATAGAATAAAAATCTAAGATTTCTTTGTCATTCTCCCACACATAACTTGAAGCTTATAAAAGATCTGGAGGGAATTTATAACATGAAGCTAAAATATTTAATTCTTAGATAAACAATTCCTGGCATAAACACAATTTGTTAATAAACAATTAGATTCACAATCTGACATACCCAAAGGTATGCTCGAACTCGATTTCTAGAAACAAATATAAATTCTCCTTTATCATGATAAGTACTTCTGAGACAGAGAATAAATACTTGAAAAGATCCATCTACTTCGAAGGTTCTTCTTCTCAAAATCCTCTTTTAAAATTGCACACCTTCAGCTTGGTAAACATTTCATGACACTAACGGATTCCCATCTTTACACACTTTTCCACTTTTCATTTCTTCCCACATCCATTTCAAATATTTAATTTTGCATGTTCTACATCAACATGCTTGAAGTTTGAAATTTTTCCACACATTTAAGCCACATTTCATGAAGAAAGTTAAACCACATTTCTCAGAAGAAGCCTTCTGTAAGTAAGAAAAAAAACGAAAGAAGGGAAATCTACATTCACGATACAATGCCAGTTGATAATATATCGTTTGCTTACTGAAACAACAAGCTGTTGTAGAAGTTGAATACAGCGGTTTCTATGGTGAAAACAAATGTTACTTTTAGTGATTACGAGAGAATTTTGTATTTCTAAAGCTTATACCTCGATGGCTTTAGAATTTTAGAAGCATCTAAAATTTTAAGCCGATTACATCATTGGAAAGAAGTTTATAATTCAATGAACTTTAAAGCTTTCCCATTTCTTCAACCATCGACAGTGATTTCCTTACATAATTTAAATGTTCTTTACATTATAGAGAATTTCCAAGTTGAAGAAACATAAATTTATCATTGGACAAGAAACATAAATGCCGCAGAAAATCTGTTCGTAACGTATGTACATAAGTCTGTATGTGAAAGCATTAAACTCGCTTGAATGAGAATGAAAAAGAGAGGACAGACAGATGCCTGTAAATAAGCATTAGCAAAGAATATCTCGAGTATTTACAGCCATTAACTGTAATTCATTTCAAATTTATGATTATTTTACAACACTGATCTTTGGCCGGGTTGTCGAAGTTTTCGTTGTTTTTGTTGGCCTTTCTTGGAAACATTTGTGACAGATTTTTTTTTTGGGAAAATCTTAGGAAAACTTCTTTTCATGATAAGATGAAAATGAAAATTTATCACGGATAAAATCGTCTCTCAAAAGAACACTTTGAGACAACTTTTGACACTGAAGAACAGCAAGAAGAGAAAAAAAAGAAAACAAAAATGCGGTCAGATAAAAGTTTGAGAGCTTTCTCCGTCACTTCCGAAAGCTTTTTAATCAAGTTATGCAAACACGACAATCATTAAAAACTTTTAACTGCTTTTACGTTCAGCCCGACAAATCATTAGCACGAATACTTACTGCGGGTTAAAATAACTTTAATTACACAACTCAAAGCATCTCTGGTACTGTTACGGTTAATTATAAATGTGTTAACAACGCTCTTGGTTTGTTCTGCTCTTGCGACAATTAATTTCTTGACTTCCTTCGTCTCCAAAGCTATAAAAAGTTCTCTTTTTTTATCATTTCTTTTCCTTCTCAAGTAAGTACGTGACTTTTAAATTGCAAAGTGATCTCAATCACTCGCGGTAGAATTCACTCTTAACTTTTTTTATATTATACGAAAAGATAACGTTTGAGTGCGTCTACAGGGTGTGGAGTGTTGTTGAGAGTATCGTGACAAAATTGACTCACAATATATCCGCAAGAAAGGATGGTTTGTGTGCAGTCACGTTGCACAATGTTTATTACACAACAAGAGACATGAATTATGTATCAAACAATATTCAAAGTAACCCGAGGACGATTCTTTTTACAACACCATCTTCCCTGCTTTCGAATATTAATGATTCATGAGCATGGAGAGGGCGAAAATGTTATTTCTTTCGTAAAGAATCTTTAGAGTGTTTGAGAGCTGTTATATAATACGAGACAGGGCAATGAAATAAAGAAAGTTTTCGCAACTCAATTCCAAAGTCATTAAAAATAAACGAGAATATTTTGTACGCGAGAGATACTTTTACTGGCATCATGGCATGGCATACAAGTCCAGGACGTTTCAAGTTCAAAAATCTTTGAAAAAATCTTCAATGTTTTCGTTTTCTTTTATTCTTTGATTTATGTAGATTAAATGAAAGTAGAAAAAAATCATAAATAAAAGAAAATTTAAAATAAAAATAATTTTTTTCTACCAACGCATTTTTCTTATGAGAAAAAGAAGGAAAAAATTCTTATTAGGTACTTCCGTTATGAAAAATAAAAGTCTGCTGTTGATTGATATCATAAAGAAATTCTTCTGAAACTCTCAGCTGAAGATGAGATGATACTTCATAATAATGTAACGTAGGCTGAATTACAACGCAATGCAAAGAGAAATAAAGAATTCTTCAGACTTCTGTCAACTTAAAAGACTGTCAACGAAGCAAGCAAATCACACAAACACAATGCGTTGCGATGAATTGAAAAGTTTTTTTTTATGCTTTTTAAAGCTTATCGTCATTTTATCGTTGCGACGCTTTTCTTAAAAGAATTTTATAAGATTAAACAAAAATTTCAGCGAACGAAGGCATAGCGTAACTTAAATTTATGAGTGATGTCAAGGGCAAGTGATAACGCGAATATATTCAAAGTAGGAAGGGATTTTGACATTGAAAGCAAATGTCACAGACGTCTAGTCTCCGATTTATATTAATCTGAACTGACAGAATAGAAATATCTCTTAAGCTATTGACTTAAATGTGAGATATTGCCTTACAAAGAAAGATATTTAGATGTCGCATTGATCATTGAAATAAGATAAAAATGTGAATGATTCTTCGTGATTAGACTGGAGAAGTTTGTTTTATCTTAATTAAAATTTATTTTCGTAGTAAAACATTTGTCAATGCTCTGTGACAGTTTCAGACGTTTGGCAAATTCGTTACAAACATGGTCGAAAAAGTAATCTTGATTTATGAGAACTTATGACATATCAAATGGGATTTTTCTCATGAAAATGTTATCATCATTTTTATTATACATAAATATGAATGTTGTCACGAGATTTTCATCAACATTTTACGATTTCCTGTTGAAAGCGACTTTAGCTTAAATATCTACTTCAATATTTGTAAAGAATGAATTATCTTTATCATTGAATTTCCATCGTTTTCCATCAAACATGAGAATCAACTAAAAGGGAATGAAAGTAAATAAACATGTTGTAGAAAAAAAAACCCTTTGATGTATCTTGCAGGAGTTCAGGGATTTTGTGGAGAAAAGAGTGTTGAGAATACGTAGTAAAAGAACGACGTTTTCTAAAAATCTTTAAACTCTTCTTTTTTAAATTGAAAGGCAATTTGAGAAAGGAAAAGTACTTAAGTGGCTCAATCTTCTCAACTCTTCTCATTCTTCTTTTATTTCTCTCCAACCTTGTGGATGGATTTTGAAAATCCAATTCATAAAAGCACACAAAAAAAATCTATTATACGTTAAGACTAACGAGAAATCATTTTATTAATAAAATAGCGAAGAAGTTTTGGTTGAAGCGAACTCTTCTAAAGCTTTTACGCAACAGCTGCTTTTAACTAAGATATAAAAAGCTCTAATATTGAGTTTAATTTGAATCTCGAATGCAATGCTCGCAAATGAAGCAAACATCTCTAATTCTTTTCCATTTTATGTTTTGAACAACGATTAAATCCTTTTATGATCCTTAAAAGCAAGCACATGCAGCAGTGATTATTATTTTCTTTAAGCTTTCTAATAGAGTTCACAAAAAGAAATTCTCTAAATCTACGAAAGAAAAAAAAAGTTTGATAGAGTTTAAAGACACGAAAGTGAACTTTTTATATAAATAAAGAAAGGCGAAAGAAACGCTTTAAATGATGAACGAATTGAAATTTATTTAATAAGGGAGAGAAAATAATTAAAGTCCCATCTTAAATAATTGCTTCGAGGTAAAGAATTAATTCGAGATAATTTTTTTAATGATAAAAAGTGTTCTTTGAACCTTCAGCTTCTTTTTTTTGTGTTGTTAAATAGCGGAGGTAGTCGGTAGCAGTGTCATGGAAAATGAGTGACATAGCGAGGAAACGAGTTGCAGGTGTTCTCCTTCATCCTTTATACTTTTGCCTGTTCATTATATTTAACACTTCTTATTATCCACACAGAGAACATTCCACAGAAAAATCTGGTGGTGGTTGTAACATTATGAAGAGATTTGAAATAATGGAATATTCTCGGTTATTCCAGTTATAAACTTTTGCTTACTTTGCTGTGGACACTGTTGCCATCACAGCAGTTTTATGCTCTCATATAAAATCCATTTCAGGCTTTAATTATCTTTCTCTCCATCTTCTTTCACAATTTAATCACATTTATAAATATTTCGGAACGAAGGCATTCCTTTTCCATTCTTTTTTTGTGCGAAGGATTTTTTTGTTCTTGCTTATGAATTTTTGTTTCCATCTTAATTTTAATTAATCAAAGTGAAAAGGTGGTTATAAATCTTGTAAATGATGACAATAAAGAAAATCTCAGATGTACAATTAATATTTTTAAGTAAGTCTCTGTGTTGAAAGCTTGAGATAAAATATGGATAAAATGTTCCTGAGAAGCGGAATATCCGCAATGAAATAAATTATTCAAGTTTTCACATCTTCGGATGTTTTTAAAAAGGCATGTCTAAGTAAATATTTTAAATATCTGGAACTATTAAGATATAAATAAAAATTAATTTTTCATTTTCATTTTCATTGCAGCACTTTTGATTCAATCAAAATTTTCCTTATACATATTTTCTCTCTTTCTCTCTCTTAAATTTTACTTAAACTGTGAAAAATAAAACGGAAAAGTTGAGACGATAACGAATTAAACCGTTAAACTTTTTAATAAAAATTTCCTGATTTTCATCTTGTTCTTAAGATTATTTATGCTTTTCTCATCATAATTTAATGCAGCAAAAAGTTTTGTGAAAAAGAAGTCGTACGTTTAAGTAAAAGTTTTAAATTGTGATATAATTTACATCATAAAGCAATTAACTTTACAGTGTGAATATATTTGCTAGTATACTAGACTGAAGTTAAGATGGGGTTTATTCTCCTATATTCTTAATCGCTTCAGTGTACTGGTCGGTACACTCCCTACTCTGATGATAGACTGAAGTTCCAAAAACCAATACATGTATGTATGAAACTTTTTAAATATTTAGAAGGATTCAAGGAAAATGGAAAACTTTTCAGGTTGTATCAACTTGTATGTAGGTCGAGTTTCATTGAACTTAGAAGTTAGACTTAATACAATATTAAATGCCGAGTGCCACCGATCGAAGTATCCTTGGTAAGAGACTTAATTGCGAGTTTGGGTATTAATTGGTATTTCCAGGAAATTCGTCAAAGCAGTTGCTTGAAATGTTAAATAAACTCAAAAATGTTTCTTTCGAAAAACGTTTTATTAATTAATTTATCAGAAAGAATTGGTTTTTCTGGGAAAGTCGTCAAAACAGTTGTTGAAATGTTAAATATACTTAAAAAGCTTCTTCTGAAAATCATTTTTATTAATGACTTCATCAGAAGGTAAATCATTTCTTTTTGCTATAAAATTGCTTCAAATTTTTCATTCTTATCAATGGAAAAAGTTGCAAAGATGACTGAAAATCTGAAATATTTTTAATCTTTACCACATTTTGAATTTCCAAAGTTTGAGGCTCGATTTCAATTTTATCCTCCGATTTATTAGTGACATGAATTGAAATTGAACGTCGCGTCGGGCTTTCACGTGAAATGAAAGTCTGAAAAAATGAAACGAAAGTTATTCAAGTAAAATTTTAAGATTCATGTTATTTGAATATTTACTTTGTAGAAACTTGAAACATCTTCGAGCGTGATATTTCTTAATATTGAAGCTTCAACATTCGCTCTGTTGAAATGATACTGCTGACTTGATATCTCTTTGAAATAATCCCAGAACTGGTCTGTCAAAGTCAGAGTGTTTGGAAGTTTCTTAACTTTGAGCACTTTCTTGAAACTTTCAAATTTATCTCTTGACATTGTCTCAATTTTCTCCTGAACGGAAGAAAAAGTTTCGTTATTTGAAGACTCTCAGTTGAGGTTCATTCAAATTTAAGTAGATTTAATCATTTTCTCACCGCCATCGATGTTAAGAAGTTTTCAATACGGTGTGCAATATAATCAAGATGCTTTGAAGACTCTACAACGAACTTTATTCCTTGAGTTCCATTAGCTCTTCTTACAAGACAATCAACTAGATATCCTTGTTGCTCCTTTAATATCAAACAAACAGATAAATGAATGTCATATCATGTTAATCAAGAGCCTCACCTGTGTTCGTAGAACATTAAAAAAAGGCTCTTTCAACATTTGCAAGACAAGGTCAAGTAGAACATTTGACTTGTCATCCTGAATCCCACACTGAATGTAAAAACTCGTGCAACTTAATTTATGATAGTAACTAACAGCTTGATACACATGATGAATACCTTTAAAAATAAATAAATCTTTTTAAGCTTCTGACATTTCACTTAAATATTTATTAAATAAACATAAAAAATGACCTTCTGAAAGTTTACGTTCTCTCAATGTCAACGTTGCTGGGATGAAAATCTTTGAAGATTTTGTTGGGCTACAATTTCTAGCTTTACTCAAGCGGTCTTCAACCAAACTAGAAAGTTGAAGTGCTTTATCTTCATTAACATTACCGTAAATAAAGCATTCAGCATGAGTTTGTGTCAAAACTTCTTTCATGAATGTTTTTAGTCGACCGATATTACAAAACTTCATCGACGCAATCAACTCTTGATCCGTCCACATCTGTTCGGTCAATATGATGTTTAAGTGATAAATTGCCACCTGTTGTGGCTTGTCTGAGGTAAAACTTTTTAAATCACTTAAGTACGAGTCGTAAATATCTTCGAATCTTTTTATATCAATCTTAAAGCGGAAAATTTCTTTTAAAATCATTTCTAGGAAAATGTCTTGCTTATCGGAATATCCATCGATGTAAATTCTGATTCCGCTTGTTGTAACTGCAATGCGATATTCTAAACCTGCCAACTCAGCCATGTACATTTGCTGCTTTAAATGTTCATCCAACAGCCACACAAATAAATGTGTGAGATTCCAATTTAATGGATCACAATTTATTGTTGGATTTTTGAGTTCAATGCTCATGATTGATTTTGGTTTTCTGAACTCGATGTCTTGCTTAAACCATACACGAACTAAAGATGTATCACGAATAATTTTCGGATATGTTTGCTTCCAATTACTGATGGGAAGAAAATCGAAGTTAGATGGAATGAAAAGATTTTGTTGTGGAAGCTGCAAGCTTTTATCAAATCCACAGAAAATCCAACTTTTCAATGTTGATTTCGGGATCATTTCAGTCCCAAATCTTGTTCCGTAAATGTTTTCCATCTGCCTGCATTTCCAAGAGAAACTTTTATCAACAACGACAAGTCGCATATTTTCGGGAGTTATTATTTTGAGTACACGTTCAATCAGGTCTGGTTGCCATTCTGTTATAACAACAGGAGCTGACAAGACTTCTGGTAAGGGATAATGACGCATGCTACTTACAACTTTTCTGACTAAACTCAATGGGCTTATGTAATCTTCAAATCTGAAATCGAGTTCACGAACCTTCCGGCATTCATCAAAAATCCATTCCTTTATTCCCAAATGTTTCACCATGTTTAGATATTGAAAAATTAATTTGACAATCTTGTCAATGTTTGCAAATCCCTCATCAGTTAAATCGACTTTTATTTCGAAAAAACCAAACCCATTAGCGTATCTTACATGATCGCAATTCAGTGAATTACTCCAACTTCTTATTTTGAGCTCTGAGAGAATTGAACCCGGCCCTTCATGTCCAATTAAATTCACGATGTATTCTTCAGGCTAAAATCGAAACAAAATCACAGTATTAATAAATTTTGTGCTATGTTTGATTCTTTAACGATTTTCATCATTTAAAAGCAAATTTAAAAAGCCTTTTCAGAAAGGTAAAAAAGACTCGTAGAAGCATACAGCAAACAATGAATTTATGTCATTAAACTTTTTCTTTACCTTAGATTTGTAATAAGAAGTGAAATCTGGTGTCGGAAAGGAAATTGTTAAAGATCTAACATCCATTATGGGTTCAATGTAAGTCTTTGTCATCATTTGATCGTTAAGGAAAACATCTTCGCTCCAATGAGAAATGTTCACGTTTTTGTTCTCAATACCTGAGACAAAACTTGAACAAACCATTTGTTCGAGTTCATCCAACGAATTTTTTCCCACAATTGCAAGATTCATTAGATTACCAGAACGATACCATTCGTTGTGAAAAGAAATCAATTCATTTATGATATCGATTCCAAATTGCTTTGGTCGATCTAATAAAGAATTCTTACAACCCGTGCTGAATTTGCTGTATGGATGGTTAGCATTCGCTAAAGTTTTATTCACCATTCGCACTCTCCATGCATCAGAATCTAAATTCTTCTCATGTTCTCCATTAACAGCTGAAATTTCTCTTAAAACTGAACTTTCACAAAAAAGTGGTGCGATAAACATTTGAGAGAATCGATCTAAAGCATCTGATAGCTTTTCTGGCACGACGTCAAAAAAATATTTTGTAACGTCAGCGAAAGTTTGAGCGTTTGTGATGCCACCATTCTCACTCACAAAAGCACGAAACTCATTTTCGTTTGGATATTTTTCAGTTCCAAGGAACAGAGCGTGTTCTGTTAAGTGTGCAAGACCTGAAACTTCCACTGGATCATTCATATGACCAACTTCAATGCACATACATGCTGCACTTTTATCAGTTGTCAAATCAGATATCAACAACACTTTCATTCCGTTTTCTAAAACTAATACACGATAACTCTTCATGTCTTGTTCAGACTTAATTATGTTGTTAAAGCGTATTGAAGTTTGAACATTCTCAATAATTAACTCGGGTGATTGATCACGGCTTTCATCGCTTGTTACATGCCTCAATAACGGTCTTCTTTTAAATCTCAATTTATGTTCGTAAATTCCCATTGATGAAATTTAATTTATTACAGATTTAATTAATTAATTTAATTTTCAACCTTACAAGTGAATAAATACTTCCGACACGGTCAATAAATGAAAGTAAAATGACTTAAGAAGTATATATGTAAACGTTTAGCAAAGTTGCATTTTGCCTTCTTATCTCGCATGAAATTATTGAACATCTGCCAGAAAGGAAGTTTCGAAACTATCGAACTCTTAATCAAATTAATTAACTAACTAACTAAGTAGATAAATTGTTTCCGCATTATTTGTCAATAAATGAAGAAATTTCAAATTATATGTTGTTTCCTTTTTGAAATCGTCTGGATTAAAATGTCGAACAATTCACGAGATTAATAATGTTTTTTACCAACCACACGAAATTGTTAAAGATAATATTTTAATAAACTTATTTATAAGAAAGAATATGTTTATGTTTGATGAAAATAATGACTTTTTATGTTATAAATTATTTAGATACATGATGTTGTTTCTATAGACAGAAAATGTTTTGAATTTTGTGATGATAAACTAAATTATCTGTCAACCATTTAAATGTACTTCAAAAGCTTAAAACACTGAGCAGGTCAATGTACAATGAATATGGGTTGAACTGAAACATAAAAGCATCGTTAGACATGATAGGACTTAAAAGGATTTTTAAATTCAATTCATTCCATGCTTTAGAATTATCTTCTTGATCGGCAATACTTTCAATTTTCTGTTGACACTTTCTTTTAGCGTATTTTTTCAATTTGTTGTTTTTAAAGTTCAATTTAGATGTTTAGTTTTCTATTGAACACATTTTCATCATTTTCCTTGATTGTGTTATTTTCTTTAATTTTAATATTTTACATAAATTTCCAGGTTCTCAAATTGGTTGCCAGCAAAAATAAGATAATGAAACACGCACTAGCGTACGTGCAATCTGTGCTCTGATGATGAAGATAATGAATTGAAATATTAAAAAATCAGCTTGGTTTTCTGATAGAAAATCAAAATAAATATTTTAAAATCACTTGTTACATGACAGGAAACCAGGTTTTGAAAGCTTACGGGTGAGCGACTATAGTTTTAATCTCCTAGACCTATAAAACCCTATTCAAAAATGACTAACTGACTTGTTCAACAAAATTTTCATAATCCGAAATTAAAAAGAAATTTTTCATAAACTTTAATCTCAAACTTACCTAAATTCAATTTGACCATTTATATCAACGATGAAAATACGCCGAGACCTAATTTATTCATCTGGTTGTAGTTTAAGTCTAGTTTCCTAAGCTTGCTCTATCCAATAAAAGCGTTTTCGTCCATTTGTTTGAGTTAATTGTCGCCTATAACAAGGAGAAAAATAATTTTTTGCTATAGAATCGAACAAATCAAAACTTCCAATAAACTTAAATCCTCAAAAACGTTGCTTTTACATAATTTCAATTTCATTGTCACACAAAAACAAGTTTCGTCAAATTTGATAGACCAATAGAAATTTGTTTGGTGCTTTTTAAAATTGGGCATTCAATTGATTCGTATTCATTTAGATATGTCTCTTGAATCGCTTCATCAATAACACACACTGAATATCTAACCTTTGTACAATTTGTTTCTTCATCTCTATTAATGTCTGTTAAACCCAAAACAAGTATCTAGGTATAAGCATTTGGATATATTTTCCCCTAATGAATTTTAATAATCTACTAAAATATCTAGGTAATTAGGTATTACGCTAATTTTTAATTTATGACTAAATTTATTAAATAATCGAATTTTAACTCTTGCTCAATCTAAATTGTTCAGATGATACTGAAAGATGATACTGAATCAATAAAAAAAAATTCATTTTCTTCTTTTCCTCAGAGATTATGAATTGAAGTATTGGAAGATTGAAACCGTTTGAATTATAGCTCTCGGTATGAAGAAACTTTCTTGATTCGAAAAAACTGTGCGCTATATTCTTCATTTAATCAAATGTGTTGCAGTTTCAGTGATAGACGGCAAGTTAATCATTTGTTTACAAGCAAAAAGTGTCCGGTAAAGTATTCTAATAAAATGGAATGTGATACGTTGGAAAGCCTTGATAAAAGTTCTGAATTTGCTGCAAGAATGCGGAAAGAACGATGGGATAAACTTAAAGAACATCAAGAGTTTAATCGAATGAAAGCTTTTGACTCAAATCGTTTTCTTGCCACTGACATTCTCACTGAGGAAGACATCAAGGGATTGTGTTCGAGAATCAAGAGAAAGAAACACGCGCCTCGTGATGATTTAATAAAGTTGTGCAACGCTTTTATCCAGAGCTTAGAGAATATTTCCACTTTTATTAAGGTGACGGGCGCAATTAATGTTATCATCAAAGAATTTACTGGATGTGATAGACGACAACAACTTTTAGCCGCTCAATGTTTGTGCAATTTAAGTTTAGGAGATGAAGTTTGCTGTACTAAAATTGCAACATTTGCTGGAAGTTATTTAATGATTTATATTGTTACATCGACAGATATTTCATTAACCGTAAATATTTATTAATTAAACTTTGTTTTGAATGGTAAATAACTTGATTTGTTTAGAAAATTTCAATTTGGATCTCGCAAAATATTGCTGCGTCAGGACCAAAAGCTTTGTCAATTCTGATGTCACAAGAGCTCCTTAAGAACACTCTCAATGTCTTGAATACTTGTGTTGAATTAGAAATCGATGCTCTTCAATTATTGGATATTATCATTGATGGCACTAAACATGAGTCCGTCCGGGAATTGGATAGTACTCAATTAGATGAAATTAAATTAAGCTTATGGAGCATTATGAAGAAACGTTACGACGTTCCTATCGCTCTTCAAGTCTTTTATAAAATTACAATGACAACAGATGCTTGGATCTTCAATCAAGAAGAAACTACCGATCTCGTCATAAAAATGACAACAAATCTCATTGAAGGTGTCGAACCAGAAACCAACAACAAGCAAATTATGCATTTCTCAATTAAAATTCTCATGAAATCATTCAAACATAATCATCAGAACAAAATCAAATGTGTCGAACACTTAATGGAAAACAATTTGAAACTTTCTGTTCTTATTAACAGCATTATTGCTGCAAATCCGAAATTCTACGGTCTTCTCAGTGAATTAATGCATTTCACTTCTTTACTTTATGTCGATCAACATCCAGCAATTGCCAAATATTTCTTATACGATTCAATAAGTGATATAAAAGTTCCATTAATGTTTGAATTTTAATATTTTGTTAAATAATTTCTATTTCTTGTTGAGGCACTTCAGAGAAAATTTGAAATAATTTTTGTTAATTAAATTCATTTATAATATTTTCTTTAATGTTTTGTGATAAAAATTCTGTTGTATCAACAAAAAGCGATTCTAAAAAAGAAGTTTTGTTTTATTTTTATTAAACATGTCCAGCTTCCTTCAGTTTTTGTACGAGTGCATCGACGTCTGGTAAAATAGCGCCAGCTTGACGAACTGGTGGATCTTCTACTGAAATTACCTCGATACGAGGCTTCACATCAATACCGACGTCAGCAACTGTGAGTTTCTTAATTGGCTTCTTCTTCGCTTTCATAATATTAGGAAGTGTTGCATAGCGAGGAATATTTAAACGAAGATCAGCGCTGACGACAGCTGGAACTTTTGTTGTTATTGTTTCCAATCCACCATCAATTTCTCGAACAACTTTTAATCCATCACCAGTTTTTTCCACAGCTGAAGCAAATACAGCTTGTGGCCAATCCAAAGCAGCAGCTGTCATTTGAGCTGTTTGATTTGAATCATCATCAATTGCTTGCTTTCCAAGAATCACCAAGTCAACTTTCTCATCTTGTGCAATCTTTGCAAACATTTTACTAATGTGAAGAGGTTGAAGAAGTTCATAATCTTTTCCAGATATTTCAATATGAATTCCACGATCAACACCCATAGCAAGAGCTGTACGAAGTGTTTCTTGAGATTGTGCTGGTCCAATTGACAATGCGATGACTTCACTTGCGATTTTCTTTTCTTTCATTTTTACAGCTTCCTCCACAGCAATCTCATCGAAAGGATTCATTGAATGCTTTACACCTTCTGTGACCACACCAGTTTTGTCAGGCTTAACACGAATCTAGAAAATGCACATTATAATAATTGTATGTAAATTTCTTTTCTTCATGTAACAAGCAGATAATCCAAAGTCCAAGGCCAATTTACCTAAATGATAAGAAATTCAGGTGATTGAAAAATTACACTCACTTTAACTGCATAGTCAATGACTCTTTTAACTCCTACTAAAACTCGTGACATTTTACTTAATTAAAAGTTATAAGATTCCTTACGAATCGAGAAATTAATAATGGTATGTGGATCTATAAAAATTATTGTGTAGTGAAGACACAATTTATTATTTATGATTTCATAGAAAGTGTCTTTACTATAAAAACCATACAAATGTTTAAGAAAACATTTGAGGGGTGCTCACCCACGACTTTGTTTTGGCTTCGCGCAAAACTTTATTTTTCTGACGATATGAAAATGTTTTTAGTTTTTAAAATTTAGTGTCCTAATTTTGTTAAAAAATTAATCTAATGTCTTTGGGAGAAAAGCTCAAGTATTCGTTAATACGACAACATGACATCGAAAATCAACGTTATTGGACGAGGTTTGTTATCTTGTTAATCAAACAATTTATTATTGAACAACTCATCAGTTTTTTCTCTTATACCTATATAGATCAGAAAAGCGAAGATGGTTTTTCACACTCTTTGCAGGGTGTTGTATGGTATATGCGACGAGGACAACTATGCCTTTATTAATGCCATCCGTTGCTGGTGAAAAACGATACACAAAAACAGAATCGGGGACAATTCTCAGTTCGTTTTTCTGGGGATATTGTCTAAGTCAGATATATGGTGGACTTTTGAGTGACAAGTATGGTGGTCAACGTATCATTTTTATCTCAAGTATTTTCTGGTCAATTATAACAATTGCAATGCCAAGTATTTTCGATTTATCATCTCATCTCTCGACGCTTTCGTTGCCGTTTATTGTGCTTGTGAGAATCTTAAATGGTGCTATGCAAGGCGTTTATTTTCCAGCCATGATGAGTATAACAAGTCAAAATTTAAGTGAGACTGAACGTGGTAATTTCTTTTCGCTTCTTACAATGGGATCGGCTTTTGGAACATTAACAACCGGACTTTTAGGGACATTTGTTCTCGATTACTTTGGGTGGGCTTGGGTTTTTCAAGTCATTGGTTTTATTGGCATATCCTGGGCTCTTCTTCTTCGCTATTACACAATATCATCTGAGCGTCAGCGAATTATCAACATATCAGCGTCGAATCTTTGTATAAAAAATGGAATATCAAGTGAAGTTCCTTGGTTGAAGTTAATCTCATCACGTCGACTTTGGGCTTGTGTCATTGGACAAGCTTGTGAGATGAATTGTTTCTTCGTACTCTTATCATGGTTACCAACATATTTTAATGAGAACTTTCCTCATCGTAAAACATATTTAGTGAATTTTTTACCTTGGATATTCGTCCCACCATGCACAATATTTGCGAAATATTTAAGCGAAAATCTTTTATCAAAAAATTATCAATTAACATCAACAAGAAAGATTATTCAAGGAATATGTTTTGTGGTTCAAAGTGTTTCACTTATGATAGTGATGAGTACAAAAAGCTTTCCAATTTCGTTGATTTGCATGTGTACTGTCATTGGAATGACGGGATTTCATGCTTCAGGTGTGACTGTTAATCCACAAGATCTTTCTTCAAACTTTTCTGGAAGTGTCTTTGGATTAATGAATACGGTTGGTGCTACTGTTGGATTTCTAGGAGTATATTTAGCTGGACATATTCTTGAACTTACACAAAGTTGGAATTCAGTCTTCAATCTTTTGGTGACAGGAAATTTAATTGGACTTTTTGTATTTTCACTTTTCGGAAGTTCTGAGCCAATAATTTAGAATTAAGAAAAATATTAAAAAATAATAAAAATGTGATCTTAAGATTGTGAAATAAATTTTCATTTTATTTAGGTAAATATTTAGAAGCAAACGACATTATTACAATGATTTTGACATGTAAGGTCCGTCAAGTTCGTATCCCATTTTACGATAATAATTTCTCGTTCCGACACCAGATATTACTGCCATCTTTGTACTTCCATGTTCTTCTCTTGCTATCCTTTCAGCCTCTTCCATCAACAAGATTCCAAATCCTTGATGCTGGAATTTTGTTGGATCACGAGCATTGACTGGAACAACCGAACCATAAACATGAAGTTCTCTTACAATTGAACAAGCGCCTTGAAGTTCAGGACGAAAACTTTGGTCAGAAATTTTTCTTAATCTTAAAAGACCGACCAAAATGTCTTGCTCGGGATCTTCATACGACAAAAACGTTTCCCAACCACCGTTCGCTGTGTAGTCGCGTCTAATAAGTTCAATTTCGTAAGGTCGAACTTTATTATGAATTTCTTGAATGCCAACTTCTCTTGTACGAACATCACGGCAGTCAGTTCCCAAATCTTTCATTCTTGCCAAAGCCAATTCACGTAAATTTCCATGTTCAACACCTGAGCTCACAAGTGGCATTGGAATGTCGCGTTGAACACGATAAACTCGAGTCCAAGGAGCAACAAGTGAAAGAATTTTCGCAACTAAATCAACAAGTGTTGACGGTGGATAAGATTTATATCGTCCTGTCTTCCATAACTCATAAAGGCCAGTTCCACGAATGACTAATGTTGGATAAATCTTCAAACCATCAGCACGAAAAGCTGGGTTTTCAAAGAATTCTATAAATTGCTCGATATCACGCTCGTAATCCATGTTTGGTAAGTCAGGCATCATATGAGTTACAACTTTAAATCCAGCATCTTTCGACATGTGAAAAGATTCTGAGACAGCTTTCACTGTGTGACCGCGATTTGTGTCTCGAGCGACATCTTCATAAACTGATTGAACGCCAATTTCAAGACGAGTACAACCATAATTTAACATATCAGTTAAATGGCGTTTAAGACAATAATCAGGTCTTGTTTCAATTGTTATTCCAATGCATTTTGTATGCGATTTTTCTGAATACTTAACAGCTTCAGCGACGTTTTTTGATGTGTGACCTGATAAAGCATCGTGAAGATTTCGAATAAAATAATCACGATAATCTTCTGGTAAACTCATGAACGTTCCACCCATAACAATAAACTCAACTTTGTCAACAGAATGTCCGAGTTGTTTCAATTGTTCAACGCGATGTCGCGTTTGCAGAAAAGGATTATAACGAGCTCGAATTGCTCGCATTGAAGTTGGCTCATATCCGGTGTAACTTTGAGTTGAATATTCGAAGTCACTGTCGGGTCCTCCTGGACAATAAACACAAATATTTCCTGTATAATTGATGTGTGGACATCGATGTGGTTTGCACATTAAAGCAACAACAGCAATCTAGATGTTGAGTCATGAATTACTTTTTTGATAAATTATACAGAACAGTTTTTACTTACACCAGAAGCTGTTCGGACAGGTTTTGCTTTTAATTTCGGTAAAAGAAACTTTTTAGCTTCATGAGGAACAGCAGCTATAATATCAACAAGACGAGGTGACGTATCTAGACCATATTTTGAAGAAATTTTGCTTTTTAATCGATTTAAGTTCACATCTTTTTTATCTTCGTGAGATTTTAGTAGTTCTTGAATGATTTCACCAATAACAATAACCATACGTTCTTCACGACTCAAACCAACTCCCAGCGGCTTCTTTTTAACCATTTTGATAGAATTTTATTTTTCCTTTTCGGTTTCTTTCAATTAGGTAAATTTGTAAACAATGTGCACAATGATGCAAATCAAAGTTTAAAGATGCAAAAGTTTTCTGTTTGCGTCTTAAAAGTTGACAAAACGAACAAAAAACACATCAAAAAACTTAATAAAGGAAATAAAATTTACACATTTCTCAAAGAAAATGACACTTCCTAGAAAATGGCCAGTAAATCCTGGTATTTTGAGAAAGCTTAAGAAATCTATATCACCAAGTGAAGGTGAAAAATATCTCGTCAATCGAAATCCATGTAATTTGGAGTTCATGAGTATTGCTTCGAAACCTGAAGGCTACAAACTTGATAAGCCAGGACGAAAGTTTTGGAACAAGTAAGTTTAGTATTTTATCATTATTGATTCTTTTTAGTTATACATAAATTCGTTTCGTTTAGAATTACTCTTGTGCAAAGCGGAAAACATGTGACAGCCCAAATGATACATTTTGAAAAAGGTCCAGTCATTGAAGTCTCAACAAAAGAGTGGGCAATTAAGAAGCAACTTTACAAAACATCAGATACATCAGCTTATTATAATTTAGCAAGAGTTTTTGCTCAACGATGTTTGGAAAGCGGATTTTGCGAAATGGCTTGCAATATGAAGCCAAAGGAAGGAGGAAAAGTTGATTTGTTCCTTAAGACTATAATTGATGGTGGCATTTTCCTTCGTGAGCCTTCTACAATTCATCCTGTTATAATGAACAGATATGTCGGCCAGAAACAAAAACCATATGAATTAAAAAAAATCAATTAGATAGTAAACTTCTGCTGAATTTTATTTTATTTCATCTCATAAAATTAGTTGAATAAATTTAGTGACTCTAACTGAACAATGCTTTTTATTCCTGTTCATATTTATCCTTGATGTCTTTCCATAATTTCTAGAAAAAGAAATGAATTTTGTTTATCATTTAAGTCTGGATGATTATTCAATCACTTTGAACTTACTCCCTTGTTCGCATATTCAAATAGCGATTCTGCCCCAACATCAAATGCTCTCTCGAAGAAGAACACGCTTGCCATGATTCCAACAGCGTATGTTGAAGTTCTTTTGAAGACCAAATTATATAAAGCTCTCATCTTTTACTGTTTTTGTTTAAAATTTACAGCAGTAGAAAAATTTTCTGGCGGGGCTTCTAATTTATTTAAGTTGTTTGCTTCTTCTCTGTGTAATTTTAGCATCTTCAAACTTGTAAACAAATCAACTTAAAAAGACATTCGATCTTTTAAGCATTCTTCAAGATTAATTAGGTAGGTTCATTTTTATCAATATTAATTCATATAAAAGTATAAATCATATATTTAAATTAGGCATTAGATTTTTTGATGATAAAAGAAAATTACTGTTTTGATATTTTAGATGGAAAATTTAGAAGAAAATATTCCAGCAATAGAAAATCTTTCTACACGAAATTTGACGATTACCGAGGATGATGGAAAAAAGATCAAAAATGAATCAGACAATTTGGCAGAAGAAGTTGATCCTGAGAGTTTGTTACTAGGAAACAACGTTGATGAAGAGATACATTCAAACCAGACAGATGATGAAACGGAAAATTTTTTTGTTGACGATGTACCAGAACACGATCAGAACTTTTATTGGTTTGATAATGAAGAAGGAAATGAAGATACTGAAAAATTCTTCTCACATGAAATAACGGATTCGGATGAATCTGAACCAATTAATTTTTTTGTTCATGAAAAATCTGGCAACGGTTCAAGTGAATTAAGCGATTCTTCTGCAGAAAATCTATTTGGTACTGAAGAATATCATTCAGATGACGATCCCGATAAATATTTTATTAATGAAGAGGTAGAAAAAGATATTAGCGAGAATTTCAATGAACAAATATCGGAAGAAGAAGCTGAAAATTTAATAATTGACGCAGAATTCGAAAGAAAAAGTGATTCAGAGGATCAAATTGATGACTTGGATTTAAAAAACTCAAAGAAAACATCAAAAGAAGGAGGCAGTTCACAAACATCTGATGGCATTTTCGATATTGAAAAGCGTATGACACTTTTGAGAGCTCGAAATGAGTTTATTTCAAAATCTCCAATCAAATCAACTTCCTCTCCTCGAAATATTGTCAATTCATATAAACGTCGAGCAATGATTAAACATATTCCAGCTTTAAAAGTTTTAAAAGTCTCACACGATGAATCTGAAATCATTGAAGAAAGTTCAAGTGGATCAATTGATTCAAGAGAGCCTGAAAATGATTTATCAAACTTAAAAGAGAAGCAACAATCAAACACTAACATTTTTCTCGATAACAAACTTGAAAAATGTGGAACGACATTAAAGAAAATAAAAGTTCCGACGAATCAAGATTTAAAGAATTCTTTTGAAGTTTCGAGTACCATTCCAACATCAAGTTCTTTTCCAACTCTTATTCCATCTTCGGAGAAAGCTTCAAATTTCCCTATTCATCTATCAATGCATTCTAAATATCATCCTACGATTTATGCTCATTTATCAGTTCAAAAATCAGTAAATTCTAATCAAAATAAACTGCAAAGTTCGACACAGCAAATCACAAGAACAACTCCAGCTTTAAGTCAATCTTCGGCTTCTTCTATTCAAATTAAATCTCAAGCATCTGATCAGCCTCAGTCATTAGTTTCTTCAACATCAAGTCAACCCAAAACTCGACACTCAGCATCTGCTCCACCAAGACCTCAAACTTCATCGTCTTCATCTTCTGCTCAACCAAGACCTCAAACTCCAACGTCTTCATCTTTACTTCATTCCAGACCTCAAGCATCGGTATCTGCTCAATCAAAACCTCAACCTTCAACATCTGCGCATTCTTTACCTCCGAGCCAACTTTCATCTTTGACTCATCCCAGACCTCAAGCCTGGGTGGTGTCTGCAAAATATCAGCCTTCAAAATTTGAGCAAGCTTTAGCTTCGAGTCAACTTTCATCTTTATCTCAATCTAAACCTCAATCTTGGGTATCTGCTCAATTCAAAATTCACCATTCTGCATCTGAGCAATCTCCAACGTCTTTTAAACTTTCAAATGCTGTTCAAGCAAGACATAAAACATCAACTTCTGTTCCATCTTCGAGTCTTTCCAAATGTCAATCAACAAGCAATTCTGACTCTGAGAAGATAAAGTCAAAAAATAATGAATTACAGACAAATCGATCAGTTCACTTGTCTGTGGTTCAGGAAAAGCCAATAAAAACAACCAATTTTCCGAAGAAAATTTCTCCTCTTGTGGTTCGAACGCAAAACTCTCATCATGGAAAATATGATTTCATAAACGAACGAATAGTTGATCCGAAAACACAACAAGATTCATCAACGACACCAGAATTATGTCAATCTCATCATAATAATGACTTAAGACCACCACAAACAAATCCATTTATTGTAAGATCGAAACCTTCTCCAATGCAGCTGTCTTCATCAGATTCTCCGACGTTACATGACAGATTTGAGATTCCAATACCTAAAATAATAACTCCACCTTTTAAGTACACAATTCCTCAAGATTTGTTGGCATCTGATGATGATAAAGTTATGACCAAAGAACAAATTACTTTAAATAACCGCAAAGCAGATTCATCAGAAAACTCTTGCAGCACTCCTGATTTGTTTGTTTTTGACAATGAGCATCAACAAGAAGAAGAAGAGGATGAGGCAGTGAAGAAAGTTCAAAATGTTAGAAATCGACGAAAGTCAGCACTGGTACCAAAGAAAGACGATGGCGATATAGAATTTGAAGAGCCAAGCATGGAATTGCCAATTCGACCTAAGGGAAATATTGAACTCATTGATAATCTTGCCAAATATCGTGCCTTGGTTCATAATCTCCTTATGAAGTTGAATATGCCATCGATTGATTTCAATGGACTTAGCGATGATTACATAAATCTTTACAAAATTTATCGTCATTGATAATTCGAAAATTTATTAAAAATAATTTCGCTAGAAATTTAAATTTAAATCAGAATATGGATGATAAAAAATTTACTTTTGGTTACAAAGTGCATTTTGTTAAACTATCAGAAAGATTTCTCATAAAAGCAACAAACTTCGAACGTAAATTTCTTTTTGTTTCTGAACCTAAATTAAATTCTTTCAGGTAATTGTATGGAATCATTTCATCGACGTATTTGCCTTTTCGGATAGCATTCCATAAGCATGCAACTTCAATCGGATTGAGTTCCTTAGGCTCTTCAGCAGAGTCTTCTGACGAGTCATCTAAAAGAGTTCTAACAAGATCATCTTCAAAATCTTTAATGTATTTTGGAGTCAAATAAGTGCAATTAATCTTTGTTGTATCGAGATTCTTCGGATTCATTTTCAAGTTATAAATCTCAAGATCGATGAGTCTCTTCTCAATTATGTACTTCCGTATGCAATAATCTTCTTTATGAGACGCTTCCTCTTCCTCAACTGCAGAGCTATCAACTTCCAGCAGGTCATCGAAATATAATCCAAAGTTTTTCTCACTTTTACATCTTAAGAATGCATCGAACGTTGCCCTCGTTACTTTTGATTGAGCTTCTTGTATTTTCTTCTCTCTATCCACAATGTTATCTGATGTTTCATAAACATACACAACAAGAAGATTGTTGGAAAAGTCGGTTTTCGATAAATTCTCTATTACGCAATCAACTTCCTTCTTCATGTTTTTATCACTCATTACTTCAAGCTTAACGCTGTCCATAATATGACTTTTTGTCACTTGTACAACCGTTGTACACAAAGGATTCAATGGTCTATCCGATCCCAAATTACTCTCAATTAATCCTTTGCTCTTAAGATAATCAGCGATACATGAACTTGTCTCACGACCACCACCAGATCGCCCTTCACTTAACGACGAAATCAAGCAAATTATGATGATATAAAATAATTTCATGATTCCACTTGAAAGAACTCACTTTGACTGAGCTGGTTATCAATTCTGACGTACTATTTATTGATGCAATTAAATCGAATAGAAAAACAACCATCAACACGAAGTAACTTCCTGCTTCAATCATCGGTTTTAATGTCAATTATTTGATTTTTTTTTCTCACATTATTTATGTTATGAATGTTCAATGAACTTAAATGTAATTGTATACAATATTATATAACTGAAAGTGTCCGCATTAATTATTTATTTGCATTACTCGTAAAAGCCGCTGATTTCTGTATTGAGTGAATTTTTGCGCTCGACTTTTATTCGAATATAATCTGAACGAAATATTTAATCGAACGATTCTGATATTGTCGTGTCATCTTCATCCGTGTCATCATTTCTTTGAATCTCGTAAGTATTGTTTTGATTCTTTTCAACAGTGTAAGTTGCAGGTCCTTGTGACACTGTATAAGTTTGCGATCGTTTCGAATTGACAATTGATGAATTTTCATCATGTTGAGAAAGAGTTTCTTGACGTTTATTAGTAATTTCATTGTCACCAATAGGGGCAAGGAAAACTTCATCGAGTTTTCTTATAATGTCAGCGAATTTTGTTGGTGTTGTTTTCATTAATTCGAAGTTTTGTGTGGTGACTTGTGAATGAACTTTAAGTTTTTCGAAAAGATTTTTTTCATCACTCTCACACTCAAAGTTGCAGATGATGACACCACCACGATGTCCGTAGATTGAACATGCAAAATAAAAATCTTTCGGATGATAATCTATTGAACTTATTTTATCAGCTGACGACACACGAATATTAAGGAAATTTCTGTCCAATGATGTTAAATTTCCATTAAACATGGAATAAAAGCGAATAAGTGAGCCATTGGTGGTGAATAAATGAGACCCACAAGTCGTTACTTTTAATCTTCCATGTGGTTCATGTTTAACTGTCGGTTGTTGATGAAATTGTGTGATTAAACCTGTTGTAATGCCAAGTACATAAATGACACTACTCCTATCATTATTAGAAAAATCTTGAATTCGAAAAAATATTTTGTTTCCACGTGGATGCAACTCTAAGCATGTTATAATGTTTCCTTCAATTTCATCGATTTTGAAGTGTCGATTCATGTGATATTCTTTATGTACTCTTAATGTCCACTCTACTATATCTCCTTTAGATGTTGAAGTGTAAAAAGCGTCTGAATTTCGAGTAGCAATTGTTGTAATGTAAGAAGATTTACTCATGTTTGGATGTTTCAATTCTTGTACCAATTCAAAGCCTTCGAGATTTTTTCGTATTTGCCAAATTCTCACAATGCAATCACGACCAGCTGTAACAACTTGAAGCTTTGATGTGTCTTCATGTTGGAGAAATTTACTTGCGTAGATAAATGCAGGATGTGGAAGAACATGATACGTGTAAGAATTTTGTTCTAATTTCCAGACGATTCCAGTAAAGTCAGATGAGCATGTCAGCATCCATTGGACTCCCTTAAGTGAATGTTTCTGTTTTAACCAATCAATGTCATGAATTAAATCCGAATGTTCAAGCATCTTGAACACTTCCTGCATTTCTGGAAACTTCTGAATGTGGAGAATGACGGAATTCTTTGCGACTTCAGTAAATGCGATGAGATTCCCATCGTAACTAAATTTAACATTCATTGATCCTTTTTCATTAAATGTAACTTTATGAAATTTTTTATTAGGAATTTTACAAGCTTGTCCAGGAAGTTTTTCCCATTTTCTGTTCAAGTTTTCTGTTTTCCTTAAACTTTCTTCAACATTTAGTTTATCAGTTTCTTCTTCGTTTTCTCTTTTTTGAGTTAAAACTTTCAGTGACACATCTAAGAATCCAGAAAACTTTCGTTTCTCTGCTTTCCATTGATCAAATACATTTGATTCAGTTTGATTCCTCTTCCTTCTTATACTTGAAAAATATTCCTTCCGATTAAGTTTCTGATGATAAAAAAGTTGCAATCGATATTTGTCGTTAATATTTGCAAACTTTGATGTTGAGAAGAGTTTCATGAAAGCCCAAAATGTTACAATTCCATACAAATTTGTTATTTCAAAGAAAAGTAAAACATCATTGAAGGTTTCTTGTAGTTGATGAAAATTTTGATCGATGAAAATCATTTCATTCCATACACAAATTAAGTTGCTGTGGAAAGAAAAAAACAAATTTTAGATTCTAGCGAATTTTTTTAAATATTTATTTACTGAAAGTTGTTGTGGAATATTCCAACCCTGCTCCATTTCGGGTCACCAATTTGTTTTCCACTGTCTTCATTGAACAAAGAAACTTTCACTCTAAGCTCCTTATAGTTGAGATTATAATCGAGAACTCCAGTTGAATGAAGAAAAATTCCTGGAAAATTTTTATCAGAAACATTCTTTGGTGATATCTTTAAACAGAAATTTTCATACCAATAGTCTGACTTGGCTCTTTTTCCATTTTCGTATTTTCAGAATTTTCCGATGTTGTTATCTGATCATTTGCTGAATATTTTCCTTTGATTTTCTTTTTATCCTTATTCTTAGAATGTTTCTTTGTCTTCTCAGGTTGGATATTTTTTTCTGAAGAAATTGATTCACTGCTTGATTCTACCGACGTTCGTGTGGCACTTGAGACACTGCTTGAACTTAAACTTTTAACAGGGCTTTTCGTCTTTTTCTCAGAAATAACGACAAAATGTGGAAATTGTTCTTCGTTATGTTGGAACGGTAATGAAACTACATCAGCATCACCAGTCTCTTCATGAACAATAACAGAAGTTTCCCTTTGTTCAAGCGGCTGTTCCACTTCATCTTGCGCCCACTTTCCATGTTTCACAACAAAGAAAGTTTCTTCTGTTTGAATATCTTCACTTTCTATTGTTTGATTTTCCAAGTTGGAACTTTCTTTCACTTTGGGAATGACCGTGTGTTGAGAAATATGTCTATGACTTTCAGAGGCTGACGATGATACAGAAGAAAGCTGAATTATTTCATTTTCATCGTTCTTCTCATTTTTATCTAGCGATTGCAATTTCCTTACTACAGGTACGGGATTCTGTGGATTTTCTTTCAATCCTACGACATTTCTTTTACTTGGAATCGGCTTAGTTATTTCAACAGAAATCTTTTCATCATTTGCTTCGACATGTCCTGAATTATCAAAAGTCACCACTTCGGAAAGTTCAATTTCATTCTCTAAATTGTCTAAAAGATTTTCTGTTGATTCGTAAGAAAACATTTCAAAGAACAAAAAATGTCCAGGTGTTTAAAAAAAATATTTTTAAGTTTCTTGTTTGTTCCGAAGAAGTTCCATAGCAACCACGCATTGATTTCTGTTGCTCTGACGATATACATTTCTCCCTATGGTGAACAATCTATTGGATATCAAGATGAATTCATAGAAAATAAAGCACTTTGTCCATTAATTTTTAATTCTTTTATTTTATTTATTTACACTTTGAGTTCGTAAATACATTGATTGGGTCTTCCTTTTATTTTTTTATTTCTTGAATATTTTTCTAACTTTCCATCACTTCGGTCGACAAAAAAAAAATTTTGCGATTCCATCAGTGGAAGAAGGCTCAAAAAGCAGAGAAACTTTCATCACTTTAAAATTGTAATTTTCAATTGTTAATTATGGTATCAGAACTATCTAAGACTTGTTTTAATGTTTGATGTATGTATTGGGAATGTTTTAAGTGACTGTTTATTATGTAGACGCTTTATTTATTTATTTTTGTTGATTTCCATGAAAATTTAAATAAACTTTTTGTTCAGAGTTTCTTTTGTTCAATTTCATTTATTTTTGTGCAATTTTCTTTCATTATTCTTTTTTGTATCATGATTGGAACGATATGAAGAGAAGCTTTGATAAAAAAGATGGACATTACAATTATTTATTTATTTTAATTAATGATGCATTTGAAAGACAGGAAAGAGACTTCGTTTGTGAAAGTGTTTTTGAAAAAGATAAACTCATGAAAAAAAGAACGATCTAATGTACAATCGATCAAATATTTTGATATTTCTTTTTTTATATTTTAAAGATTTTCTTTACTTGCATTAAATTACTTTAGAAATTCTAGTAAATAGGTATTTTGATCGTTTTCTTTTAAAGTAAATGTTTATTGGAAGACATTTTATTTTATGTAATTTCCTTACTTTTTTCCATTTTTATTTTTCATTCGGTATCAATAGCTTCACACCCGATTTTATACTCAATCGTACATGCTGGGATGAAAAAGTTATCTAAGTTATTCAATAAATTTCTCGATACTAGATTAAATATGTTGACTTAAATATGTCCATTTAAGAGAAACGAGATCATGTGAAATAATCGACATTAATCAGACATCATAGATGCCAACATAAGACAATTTTCAATAAACAATGAACTCAACAAGTATCTAATAAAATAAATATGAATTTGCTACAATAAAATATTCTGTATGATTTTAAAACGATATAAATAATTAATTGATTTATACTAGAAAATTATGAGATGAAATTGAGATTTGTTAAAATTGTGCAATGATTTTATTTGTTTAATTATTGCTGTTGGATTCGTTTTCGATATGGTTATCAATCGTTCATGTTCTGATATTGTTTTTAAACATTGTGGATATGGTAAGATCAGATATGAAATAAAAAAGATTTTCTAGCGAACACAACTCATTCAATTACACATTAATTCAGTTTTATGCCAAACCCTGTAAACATGTTTTCATATTGATCAATTAAATTATCATCTAATTAATAAAAATCATTTCTTTTTGTTATTGTCAATTTCAAAAAATTAATTTGGATTCCTTTTTTAACGAAAGAATTTTCTATCAAGGACTTGATGCTTTTTCGACCTTAAAAAAAACTCAATTCTCTTCTTTCTTCTTCATTCAACTCCATTTTCAGAAGTTCTCAATAATTGAAGCTATAATTAATTTTTAATCACTAGATTTTTTACATCTGCACTAAAAACTTTTTTTCACTCTCATTTAAGGACTAAAAATTCATTTTTTACCATTTTTGTTAAACAACCAAATTGACTAATTTTCATCAACATAAAAGTTCTTCTACATAAGTAAAACTTATAGAGGAGCTTACATAATAAATTCTGAGACAGCGTGAAGCTCGCTGTGATAAAAACGCTTTGCCAATGCCAACTATTTTCGTATCCATTCATTTGAAAGCTTAAAGCTTCACTCAAAAGCATTTTTTATTCAACATTCTCTAATGCGAGTGCCTGCATTCTTCAAACAAACTTTATTTTTGCTATGAATATTTCTTTTTAACATTTAACAGATTTTACTTCGTTTTCCAAAAATTTGTTAAAAAACATCATGGAGACGATCTTAAAGATTTTATTTAGATGTAGATATTATGTTTTGGCTTTTGTTCTTGAATGTTGAGCTATCTAATCTTTGTAGATTTCATTTTAGGATATTCATTAATTTATTTAGTTCACAAGTTTAAGTTTCGCTTCACATGTGTATATAACTCCACAGTGAATGTAACAGTCAGTAATGAAATGTTATCATTTACCAAACTCTGTTGCATTTTAAATATGAACGCAATAGACATCATTATCGTCATCATTACAGAACACTTTTAATTAAAGAATTTACTAAAATTTATTCATGTTTTCTTTGCTTATGTTCTGGAGTCTTCAATCCTTTTTATGAATTCACTAAGAGTACTTAAGAACGTACGATAGCATTTTCTGCCGATCTCAGACATTTTCGATTTTAAAATTAAATATTTTAAAAAAGTTTCTCATACTTATTTTAATTAACTTCTTTCTTTTTCTTGTATAATGTTGTTTAATTCTCATTTATTATAGTTTTCGTTTTACCACAGACTTTGATTTTATTTTATTTTACTTCATTTTTTTATCTCATCTTAACTTTGACAATGGAAAAGTTTTCATTCGGGATTTATTCAGATAATTTGTCACACAAGAAGCATTCAACAAGCTGTCGAATTTAAATTTCTAATCTATATTTAAAACGACAAATGCAGCAAAACATTTTACGACCAACTTCTTTATAAAAGCGTGTGACATATTATGTGAATACTTCCCGGATTATTTACTTATGTAGCTCACCACAACCCGCAACTACATCAATAGAATTCGCTCAAATATTGTCCGTTTCTCATTTTATACCTTTTATGTCAATGTTTTTAAATCTCTTTTTTTCATCTCTTTAAATTTTTGTAAACAACTTATAGCGTAAAACTTACGATTAAACATTTTATAAGACGTGCCTAATGTCATAATAACTTTCACTCTATCATGCATGCATCGCAATGATCCACATGACTATGGACGTGATGATGGTAACATAAAGATTTGCTGTTTTTATTGTCGTCGCTCGTCCACACTGTTGTATCTCAATCTCCTCAGGATGGTAACTTATACACTTCGGTGGTCGCTTTCTTGGGAGAAGTTCACGCGCTAGTCGTCGTGTCCCACAAGCTCCTTAAAGGAAAAACAAATGAAAGAAAACAAAAAGAAGCATATGAAAAGATTATTTTCCGTCAAAGATAAAAATGTGGATTGGAAATTCACCTGCACCACCGGGAACCTCTTGAGGCTCGATATCTAACTGCTTTGATCCACAAGGACAAAGCGTATCGACTACTAGGAGAATTAAATTACTGTGCGGGATTTTTTGAACACTAAAGGGCCTTTCACAGCCCGTTGAATGACAATTTGTTAGCTTTCCCTGTTAAGAAGAAAAAAAGAAAAATTCTCTTTTAGAAATGATTGATATCAAAAACGAAGTTTACTTACTTTAAGAGGATTACTTTGACCACTTGAATTCAACCGGTCAGGTTGAAGAAGATAAAGGTCGGTTTTTAAATCACAAGGTCGTGCATGGGCTGGATCGGGAATGACACGTGGACCACCCGAAGCAGGTGCCACAACACGAGGTGGACTGGGTTGCGGTGGATTTGTGTCTATCTCCGGTGTCATATGATCATTGAAATCTGGTTGATTGTTGTAATCAGGTTGCTCATAATCATCTTCATAGATTGGCATGTTTTCTTCGTCTTCATAATTGTAAGCGGATGGCCATGAGATGACAGGTTGAGTAAAGAATGAAGACCAAGTAGTAAAGAAGGTGAATAAATATTTTAAAAGCCATGAAATAGGTTGAATTGGATTCATTCGTTGACCAGCAGCGTTATAAGGATTGTCACGATCAGAACAAACTCCTTGATAATCCATTAAAGCTACACGACGAAAAATACGATCTTGAACGAGCGAATCCATAATTGTGCCATCAATTTGACCAAAAAACTTTCCAGTATGTTCAGTTCGTTCTGAGATAAGCACAAAACCATTGTTGTCTAAAACGTAGCAGTCTAATTCATCAGATGCACAATGTTTTTGACATTGACCAGTTCCGGTGCACTAAACAATTAATTTAAGAAGAAATTTTATTTGCAAATTTTAAATGATGCAAAAAAATTAAAACTTACAGCTGAGGTGATGCTCACGAAATGTTTTGCTAATGACTCATGAGTAAATTGAAGTCCAACAACACCAGCAGCTGCTTTATGTCCACGATGTTCAATGAACATTGCATGTGCTGCTGTCACTAAAACTGAACTATTCTTCCCATTGTAGCCAGAATCAAATGGAACATTAAACACGAAACTGTCAGGTTCAATTGCATGTTGATCAACCGCTCTTCTATACCAAGATGTGTCCATTGCTTTTGCGTTTAGGTCAGCAAAATGACTGAAGTAAATAGAAAATTAGTTTTGTAACTTTCAAGTTCATTGCAAATGTTCTCTTACGGTTCTAACGGATCGTTTGTATGATTCGTGTGATCTTTCCATCTTAACAACCCTGAACGTGTTGCAATGAATGATGTTTTAACTCCAAACATTTGATAGCCTTGCCTATAAGAAGAATTAAAAACAAAGCATTAAAATTCTTCATAGCTACAAGTTGACAATCCTATCAAAGTTTTTTGTTGCTTTTGTGATAATTTCACATGACTGTAAATGCAGTACAAACATTTTAATTTTTCTTCAACTCTTTTTTACCTTCACCAGGAATTTCTTTCATTTAATAAAATATAAGAGAAGAAAAGCAAAAGAAATTTCGAATCCTTGTGTGCTATTCATTTATGTTACCTGTGCAAAAGTGCCATTAAAGTGGCAATAGGGCTAAATCAAAGAGGGGTTTTGTGCATAAATTAACGCGTGTTAGTTATTTCATGAATACAATAAAAACATGCGATAATCAAATAATAATTTGTGAATGATTTTTTAGAGAACATAAAATATTTTACTTCCAATTAAAGTAATTATCTTAACGGTTATGACACTTACTGTTTGTCTTCCTTCTTTCCCGTACTTCGAACGTTTTCTTGTCCAAAAGTTTCTGTCACCATTGCATCCCGTACTAAGCTTTGAAACAACGTACGGTCACAATAGTATGGTTCAGCTTTTCGTGAGTTTTGATTTGAAGGCGGTGGCTGATGATAATGGCTTGGTGGAAGTCCACCATGCGTGTGGTGTGGTTGTGGACTTCTCGCTCGAAGCTTTAATTTTGAAATAATTTGGTAAATTAAAAATAAAGCATTTCCGTTGTTTTTATGTTTCTATAACTCACCGACATCCATTTCCAACCAGGTCTTCCAGCACGAGCCATAAAGTGCAACACCTGTTCCTCTGGTGTATCAAACGAATCTTCACGATCACGGAAGAACGAATCACCAGAGAACTCCAACTCTTTGTCCATATCTTTCAAGCTATTGTATTCACAATAGACAAAGTCAGGATGAACTTTCCAGTTCAGACCTTTAAAATATTCTGTCACTAAAGAAGTAAAAAAAAAGATTACAGTTTGGAATGTTTTGGTATGCAAATAAGTTGAGCTTACCATTCACATGAGAGTGTCTGATTTCTTGCTGTGACACCAACTCATGCAAGCCATATCTTTCAGGCAATGCCAACCCTAAAGAAAATGGCGTTCCTTCAATGGGTCCATAAAAGTATCTGAAAATTATCATTTAAAGTTTGAGAACTGTCCTAAATTATTTTCATTAACAATCTCACTTTTGTGTACGCAATGAAACTCTCTTCATATCATCCATATGCGTTAATACAGTCAATTCCATTTCACCTTCTTTTTGTGAAACCATTTCTTGTCTCATCTTGCAATTAAATGAACGAAAGTTTTGAATTCTTACATTCAAATTTATTTAAAATGAAATTTTATCTTACATCAAACAAAGCTTGCTTGTTTTCATCCATTCGTAATTCTGCGTTTCCAGGATTTCCATTACTAGTGAATTCAATTTCAGGAACTTCAGTTTCGGTGAGATCAATTGAATTGTATTTAGGCTTCAACATTGTCATGTACACTCCGTTGTCAGTCAATGGACGCAAATCTGGATGATATAAAAGTCTTCCATTGTTGTCAACAATGAATGAGTAACCGTTGGCACCGAGTTTATGTCGTGGAATAACTTTTTGGATTTCTTCTATTGGAACATCGGTGCCGACAACTCCAAGAATATTTGCAACACGAACAGAATGATTTCGTCGATCAAAAACAGGCGCCGATACTGTCGTAACAAGCTTTCTCTTCCCTTCATTATCTCTGCCCAATAAACTGCTATACCCACCAACAAAAACTGGACTCCAATGAACGGGATGGTCAGCTTGATAAAGAACCATCGGACGTGCCATAACAAGCGCATATTCGAGAACTTTTCTTTTTGCATCTTCTGGTGAATTTATTTGTGCATAAAATCCTTTATTCTGACATGCCATATTGTGAAGGTTCTCAGCGCTGCTGGAATCTTTTCCAATGAGATAAGTGAAAAGTCTCACCGGCATGTGTGGAAAGTTGTGATGTTTAATCAACTGAAAACATTCGTTCAATGAACTTTGAGTTTATTTTATTTTTATTTTCGCATTCTTACCTCAGCATGTGACTCTGAAGGTCCATCGGTTATCAACATAATCGCTTGATTACATTGACTGCCTTGTCCACTGACATTATATTTATGTAACAAATCGAAAGCTTCATCAAGTGCACCGGAGAAGTTTGCAACATTTTCACATTTGATAGCATTTGTTGCTGCAATTATTTCTCGCATATTATCAGGCGTTGCACGAACCATTTTGCTTGAAAAGCATGGAACAGCTGACCGTACAACGTCTGAGAATGTTATGAGATTCACGTAATCGTCGTCACCGAGAGTTTCTAAGATTGTAAATGCTGTTGTTTTGGCTAAAGCAAATTGTTTTCCTGACATTGATCCTGACGAATCTAGAAGAATGATGACGTCCTTGGGCGATGAAGCTGCTTGCACGAACCAATCTTCAACTCGAAAATCATTTATTTCACGATTGCCTCGAGATCCTTCGGGTGGCCATGCAGTGCCTGGAAATCTTCGTAAAAACCCTGATCTTGAACCGAAATACTGCCATGACAATGCTGAATCCTTCTCAAGATTATTCGCAAAAAGTGGATCTAAGTGAGACGACCACGAAATTGCTGATTGCGTTTCAGGATCTAATTCAACGCCATCGGTGAAAAGTACCGAACTTAAACTCACGTTCACCGGTAAGCCTTCAAATCTTTTCATGTGTCTTAACAGCATGTGCTTGGCACCATCTGCCAATTTCCCATCAGAGTCATAAACGTTTACTCGTCGAGCGTCGTAAAACACATTCGAATGTGACTTTTGAGCTTGATGTTCGGGATCAGATTCGGATAGTGCTGCTTGTTCGGCCGAATCCATTATTCTCTGTAAATATTTGGAATGTCAATTATTATTGTAAATCTTACTTTCATAACACATATTGATTTCATTTCGACACGATATTCCTTGCCACTTATCGGCGTAATTTTCCCTTACAAAGTTGTCAACAATGAAAACGCAAATATTTTAACAGAACTGCATCCCTCCCATGATTGTATTCCATTACAGAAATTTAATATTTTACGGCAACAACGGACGAAGCAGAAGCCAAATAAATGACAAGTAAGTTGAAGAACATCGAAGAGTAGAGTGAAGTTGAGTGAACTCGAATGATTTTCGAGGAGAGTTTAAATTTAAAAACATTCTTGAATTTTCTTTTATGATTTCTTGGAATGAGGGAGAAAGAAAGTCAATTTTAAGACATGAGAAACTTCATTTTCTTCGAAAGCAAATTTATTTTTAGTTCTTGCAATTTATGCTTTTGTCATTTAAATAATTTTCAATCAAACTGAACTTTCTGATGGATTGAAACATAGAATCATTAATTTTTTTTCAGTTTTTCCTTTATTAATTTTTGATTTTTCTTTTGACTCATAAGAGAATTCATTTCAATTGAATGAATTATTTTTATTATATATTTTGAACTTTTAAGTAGCTATTTAATATAGTTGTTTATTGTGACAAAGATGACAACAATCATTTCATGTCATCGAGGGAAATCATTTTAATAAAAAGTTTATCATCGTTGAGTTGAAGAGTATTAGAAAACTTTTTCTTAACTTTATTTTTTGTTTCATTTGAAAATAAAACTGGAGATGAGAACGAAGAAAAATTTCATTTGAAATCGTCGGGATTTGGTTGGCAATTCGTCTTTCCAATTCATTTTATTTTTAAATAAATGTAATAGGAAAATAGTTGGTTTCTACCATTTTAGCTTGAAAAAGTGCTTTCTGATGCTTGTTCATTCCACTAAATGATTTCTCTGTGAGTATGTGTGTGTTAAATCGAGAGCAGAATGCTTAATTCAGATGACTGCTTAGCTCAGACCAGGGCTCAGACATTTTTTCGCGTGCGTGTCGTCTTAGAGTAAAGGAGAATAAATTTATCAAATGTTCGTAAAAGGATTTTTTTCAGTCATGCTCGAAGAATTATTAAATAAAGGAAAAGAGAAATTTTTGATACCATCCAGACTTCTAATGTTTTGTCACTCGAAGACAAAGTAGTTTCTTGACAAGCTCTACGATTAAACTTTTAACATAATTCAATTCAACATCAATGTGACGTTCTTCATAAAAAGCTCTTCCGAAAGCTCATGAAAGCATTTCAAAAACGGAACATACAAAAAATACTCATAAACATTCATGTCACGTCATTTTTTCAATTGAAAAACTACTTAAACAAAAGGAGAGAAGTCTGAGAGATAAAAACAGCACAGAATATTCTTCAGTTTCGTATTTTTGTTTCTTCTTCTTCCTCTTGGTAAGAACTCTGCGTTGTTAGCAATGTTGGAAAAATTTTATTAAATGCATTGTGTTGTGTTGGGTGTTGGATTGAAAATTTATCGCTCTTCATAATGTTGCTTTGGAAAATAGCTTCGAGTCACACTTCTCACTGTTATAGAAGCGAGCGAAGCGAATTCTAGTGCAAAACAGCGGTTTGGCGCTTCAAAAATTGCATATTGAACATTCAACATTCACAAAAGAATGAAAATCTTTCTAAACGAAGAACTTCATTACATTTCCATTTACGGTTTGGCTTTCGGGCGTGAAGCGATAAAATGAAGAATAATGACCATCTTGAACGTTCACTTCCAAACACATCGGCTTCGAATTTTCTTTTGGTTTCTATTTCTTTCTTCTCACCTTTTTCTTATTATTTTCCTGTTTTTAATCTCGACACTCGGCTCACATCGAAAATAAATGAAATTAATTTTTCTTTCATGCCCTTTTACGACTCAAACAAATTTATAACCTAAAACTTAGCACAACTTATTCAACACTCATGAGCGTTGTTGAGACGCAGGTTACATTGATTGACCATCTGGGATGGTCAGATAGGGTAAGAGAGAAAAATTACCATTTTTTCTTCTTTTTCGTTATGTATACAACATCGTAAGTAGGCAGTGAAGAAAAAGTGTTTCAATCAGCACTTTCTAAATTCATTCACTTGCTGTCGAAAAATATTTTGTGTCCTTGTTTGTGTCGGAAAAAACATTTGATAAATTATAGAAACGAAAAATCAAGAAGAAAGAAGAGAGGGAAGAAGAAATCGATGCTGTGATTTAAAAGAGGAAAAAAGATTCCGTAGGTCTTTCACATGTAGCAGCACAACACATGAATTTCCATCCTAGACTCTTCAATGTGCTTAGAAATATTACAAAAAAAAGAAGTATATAGGTCTTCAGAGTTTATTATCTTCCTCAATTCTTCTGCCATCCCTTTTTCAATTGTGAGTGAAAGGGGAGAGAGGATAGAAAAAAAAGAAGAAAAAAAAAGCTTTTGGCTTCCATTCATGTTAAGTTTCTGTCGATTGTGGAGCATGTGAACATGAATTTTCTCATCAAAAAGTTTTCACAACTATTTTTACGCATTGTTGGGAGGCGTCTGGAAGTTACGCAGAAGAAGGGTTTAAAGTTTGCATTTTAAATTTTCTGTGATTGTTTGTCACACCATTAATACTCGCATGACATGATCCTTTGAGAAAAGTTTCTTTGTTGTTTGACAATGAAGCCGAGAATCTGAAGCTTAAAGATGTTAAGATCCCGACATTAATACTACTTTACTTACAAACCCGACTTAGTTCTAGTAGATATCTTCAGGAAAAGGAAGAAAGAAGAAAGCAGATTCCGAAAATAATGAAATTGTTCATGCTACTGATTTCGAATTGCACAACTTTACATCATACACAGACGATAACAGATAATTCTTTTGCAATAGCTGTTCCATTACGGGGCCACTGGTAATAGAAAGTTATTGAACGAGCAATTTTGGCAATCGATACTCTTATATCTAAGTTTTATTCAATAATAACAAAAATTGATATCGCTCCGTTGTGGAAAACTTTTCCTTTCTCTTTTCTTATGTTCAGTTCGTTGTTATTGTCTTGCGTTGTTACGGTGGCGTTAGAAAAGAAGAAAAAAAATCCTTTGTAATGCTATGAAACTTTTTTTTATTATTATTCTTTATTCAGTCTTTATCGTGAAATTTAATTAATCAATTATTATCTTTTTGCTTGTGAAAGTTTGGAAAGTACAAAGAAAAGTTTTTCATTTATGTTTGCTTTAAGTTGAATCTGTGAAAGAGGAAGAAAAATATTTGATTTTGGTGGGATTTGATGCGACTTATGTAATCGATCTATGAAAGGAGTTTGTTTTACATTGAATGTGTGAATTCTTTACTGACATAACTACGTGATACCTAATTATACTTTATAAAGCGATTTGTTTGATATTCCTAATAAATAATTTGTTGAAAAATATGTCGATCAATATTTATAGCATCATTCAAGATGTAAAAATAATTTTCTGCCTTGTTTTCCAAATATTTCTAGAATTTTCTATATCAAAGATATTTCTAACTTTCTTGTTAAAATTTTCTAAGAAAAGTTTTTCTCTTTTCTTTTTATTGATTTTTCAAAAATTGCATCGAGAGAAATTTGATTTGGGTCGCAAGTTACGGACAGAAAGTTACGGTTGCTTGTTTCTCTTTACTTATCGTTAGATATCTGATGCAAATAGTTAAGAGGAGTTTTAGGATGAAATTTGTTTATTCTACTTATTTTCCAAATATTCAATTCTCTTAACTTTTCTTCTCAATAACATTTCTCGAAAATCTTTTGATAAAACTTTATCTTTTGTGCTCGAATAGTTTCTATTTAATTTAGACATAGATATATATAAGAATGATTTAATTTTCTATACCAACTAAGTGATGGTCATACTAAGCTGATTGTAAGTGAAAACAAACAAGACTGACAGATAAGAAAGCTTTACGAGAAGCTTTTATACTTGACGAGAGTGGAGGCGGGCTATTAGATTTCAAAGGCATCACATTCTAAATATTATTCTGCTTTTGCTTAGCACAAAGTTAAGTTTCTATTTACAATATTTTTACGCAGAAATGAAGCTTGATAGAAACTTCAAAGGAACGAATTTAAAAGAATGAAATGAATGATAACAAAAGGGATTTTTTATCATCATCAAGCAAGCATAAAATAGAAAAACATGAAAACAGAAAACACGAAAAATGAACATTGCATTCAGATTCAGATATTTTTACACGTTTCTGTAAACTGAAGCAGCATCGTTCATGATGAAGCACTTTTCTTTACATCTTAGCTTGAAAGAGAATAGAACATCGCATCCATCCACCCACCCAGTATTTTATTAAAAAAATCGTACAGCTTTCTTTCTGCTAATCCTCATGATATAGTTTCAAATGTAAATAAGAAAGAAATTCTGTTGTTCGTAACTTTGCTTAACAATGATTCAAAGGAGAATGGGAAGGGAAAGAAAATTTCCCTAAATTTCATATAAAATGCTTGAATTTCTTTAGAAATTTAAAATAAAAATAATAAAATTGTTGTGTAATCAAAGAACGTTCCTTCATTGCAGCATTGAATAACCATTCACAATCATTTGCTCGCTCATCTTGAAGCAATAATAGTTGCAAGAATGGTGAATGTCGAGCATGTTAGTTAATCTGCATGTTTCCTTTTTAGAATATTGAATCGTGAAAGCTTTATGGAAAAAATCGATTATTTTAAATTTTCTCTTAAATACGCTTTTGTACACAACAATATTGAAGTAACACACAATTCAAGGTCATTGCAATCGCAAACTTAAAAAGATTGTTTCGATATGAACTTGCAAAGATTATCAATATGATACACAAGCCAAATAATTTCAGTTTTTTTCTGTGTAAATGAATGCAAAGGCAGAGAAAATTTAAAAGTTTTTTTTTAAATTCTCATTCGGCAATGGAAAACAATTCTGGAGAGAGCAATTAATTAAGTAGGATTACATTCGTTCAATCGTGACACTTCAAAAACAGAAGAAAGTTCTGCAAACAATGTTCTCATTCTCTTATTCTTGAACTTTTTTAAATTGAAGTAATAACAATATCGAAACGAACAAAAAAACAACAACAGAAGATATTTTTTTAAAGTCGAAATCACGTTCATGCATCGACGATGTAGGTTTAAAAGACAAAAGAAAGAAAAGAGAAAATAAACAAATCAATCAATCATGATATTCGATCAACTTTAGGGAATCGATATAACATCGTCTTTTTGTGTGTGTGTCAAGTGTTGTGCTTGAATAAAAATTTATATTTTATCGATCACTTGAGACCTTTTTACTTAAGACAAAAAAAATGAAGCGAGAAGAAATCAGAAATGTTATGATGATTCTCGGGAGAAGAAAAAATCAGATTTTCCTTAAAAAATGGTAAATGAGTGATGGAATTAGAAATTAGATTAATGAAGTGAAAGTGAATGTTGTTTTCTGAAGCACAAAAATTCACGTTTCTTTCGTTTTTCCCGATATTTGTGTTCGAAACAAATCACGGCAAGCTAAAGAGAAAAGAACCAAAACTAAACTCATACAATCACTTCACACTTTAAGTGTTCATCTTGATAGGTGAAATCAAGCAGCTTTCTCCAGTCATCTCACGAACAGAAGAATGAGAGAAAAATCAGACCAATCAAGGTTGATAACAAGACAAGATTTGTTGAGGCTGATGATGTGTTAACGGATAATAAAAAGAAAAGAACATTCTTTATTTATGACTTCATAAGCTTTTAGGTTTTCGTTTTCGTTCATCCCTCGAAATATCATAAATTTCCTTTATTGTTTTATTTTTAACATTAAAATAGCAGGCACCATTGAAATATCTCAAATGTGCAAAAGTTGATTCACGTATATCAATCTGCATATAAAATATTGTAAAAGATTAACTGAACTGTTTTAATTAACGAAAATTTTTCATTTGTTAGTACACTCAAAAGAAATGACAGTATCGTTATTTGTTGCTTATTGTATTTTGATATAGAATCATTATAAACAAACAACATGTAATACTTAAAAGGATCATTAACAGGACAAGAACTTTGAACTTGAAATGATTTTCAGGATAATCCGAAACGATTTATACGAATTAATGTCCGATTCCAGTTTTTCAATAAATGAAGTCACCAGATTTCCCATTCTAAATAAAATCTTTCACTATTAACTGCTTTAAAATTATTGAAGCAATTCAATTTTAATATACGAAAGTAAGATAAAGTGTAATATGTATTACTTAAACATTCTTCTTATCTTTTCAATATGTTTTTAACGCTTTCGAAACTCATTGAAAAAAATTCATCGATAAAATTATTTTCATTTTCTTTAATGGAATCAACTTAAATTTAAAGCAATATGCAGATATATAAAACTACATTTTCCTTTGTTGAAATCATTTCTGGAGTCTCATGATAATGTCAAATTTATTGGAGAAAAATTACTTTACGATCGACGAGAGATTACACTTCACAAATCATTAGTCAATCGTAAACAAATGACTTACCATTACAGCACTCATTTTAAAATCCATAAAGTTTTTAACTTCAGCTGCCATTTCACGTAGAAACACGAGTCCATCCTTCCTTACAACCTCGAAATCGTTCTCCTTAAATCTCTGTCGATGTTTTGTGTCGAGAACAGGCGTCGAATGTGAAATTGTTGCCATCATAAATAATTCATGAAAAGAGAAAAAAAAACAGGGAAAACACTTCGTTAATAGATTGCGACAAGGAAAGTTAAAAATAAGTGTAAACAACAAGAGTAATCACTAATTGCAATCATAATTTATGTACAAATTAATTTGCAGAATATTGAATATCTAACTTTCTTTTCTCTTTTTTATTTAATTTTTATTTTCCCGCTCGCTAAAATGAATCGAATCGAAACGAATAGAAGTGAAGAAGACAAAAGGAAAATCGAATTTTTAGTTAAGTTGCAACGACAAGAAGTTGCTAAAGTAAAAAATGAGTTTTTAATAGTTCACCCCACCGCACTGAATACAAATGTTTCGATCAAGAGAAAATTTGTCACACCCGATGTCATAGTTACAGACGCTATTAGCACTAAGGAAAATTCCATAACAAAGGATAGAAAGAAAAGAAAGAAGAAAAAGAAAATCAATTGAATCAAACAGAGATTAAAAATTAATTATTGCCTACAACGAAACAAATTAGTCTTGATTTATTTTTGGCCTTTAAGATAAGAACATTGACATTCAGTTAACGTTTCTCTTTTATCTTTCATTTATTATTTTATTCGCAAATAATTAATTTTGCTTTGAAGAAGCCTTACAAACTTCATATATATGTTAATTTTGTCGCTATTTTCTTAATTATTTAACTATTTAAACTTGTTATTGTTAAAATTCATACAAAATTTATGTTGCTTTGAGGTTACTAACAATTTACATTAAAAGGAAGCATCAAAACACATCTGCTTTTGCAATTATCAAATAAAAGCTTTACTTTTGATAATGCACATAAACTACTAATATTCTCATGACTTTGCAACTGAGTCTGGTCTTTTTCTGTTCCTATTTTGTGTCTTGTTGATTACATTCGGCTTTTATTGCTTTTTATTTTGTAGTTACAATGTCGCATGGAAGAATAAAATTGAAACATAAATTCTACCCTCGTTTCCAGTGCACTTTTGTGCTCTCCTTATCTAGGTCAATCCGCTTCTTATAGTTTCAGAAAATTAAACTTCTTTATCTTAGTAAAACGTTAGAAATTTGTTCTTGTATTTAACGCCTTCAATAAATTGAAATTCAACTTAGTATAAGTCATAAAATGTCATAAATTCATTAACACTACGATACGATACGACGTAAATCTTATGAAATGACGTAATTTGCATAATTGTTGAGTAGTAAACACCTTGTTACAGCCTAGAATCATGGCATGCCATGATTAACATAAACTCATTCCAGCTTTCCTAAAGCCAAATCATTTTTGAAAGTTTCAGCTTTGTTTGTAGATTGTTTGCTTGACATATGCAAGAGATATCTACAGACACAAACAGTCATTTCCTGGACACCGGAAATGATTTTTTTTTATCTTCATGATGTCATCATGTTTGCCTCTAAAGCTGCTCCATTGAGAACTGGAAGTTCTTCAACAAATTATCATTTTACTCTTTCCTTCTTCCATGCTTGAGTAATTGGAAAATTATTTCCTCAATCATTTGCTTTCTATTAGTAAAATGGCAGGCGTTTGGGAAGAAAGAGATATTATCCCGTTTTAATTGACATTTTGTCTCTTGAATGATATTTTAATATTTTTCAAATAAGGATAAATGTTTTCCATTTTTTTTCCTTTCATCTTTTGTCAAAGAAAAACTCAAATTATGTCAATTCCATTCAAAAAGAAAAAGAAATCTTGACGTTGATTTTCTTTCTTCGACATAGAAATGCGAGTACATAAAAAAGCGGATTATGGAAAACAATGACGATGGTATTTCTCCCCTTTTCTGTTATCGTTATTAAGCATAGTTAGATGAACAAAAGGAAAAGGTTTTACTTTTCGTATTGATGCTTGTTTGTATAAGTTTTCATGTGTCGACACATATCGAACATTAAATTGAAATACTTTTAATATCTTTTCACCTTGGAAAGGACAAAAGCTTTAAATATTCAGTAATCACAAGAAAAATCCTTTAAATCATAATAATATCTACATAGACATATGTATATATATTTCAATAAATGAAGCGAAAATTTAACTTCATTTTGCTTAAAATGCTTTTTAAAGCTTCAATAGAAATGACAAAAAAGTCGAAATACTTCCGTACGAATTTTCTAATACAGTCTGCAAATAACGTTGTCATCATATTCTATTGAAAATATTATAGAATAAATGATTGGAAATGATTTTCATTTGAGTTAAGCCGAGGAGTAATCGCTAATGTTTCCTAATTCCAACCCGCCTTCAACTCGTAAATTACGATAGAAAATCTCTTTGAAAACTTTCCATCTCATTAATACCGCCGACACCTCAATGTCATGCCACAATGTCGCTTCTGCTTGCTTTCTCGAATCAACTTCCTCCACCAACAATTTGCGCATATTTGAAACGCGTCAATGATTCTCAATTTTGTCAATTAACGCTAATCAATAATATAACAAGACCAAGCCTTTAGTTTCTGTCGTGTGATAATAATTTGAACTAATGTATTGACATAAACCACCCACAATAAAATGAGAACATCATAAAAAGGGACAAACTATGCGAAGAGCATAAAGGTCAAAAGTAAATAAACAGAAACCCTTTTCATCCCCAATATATTTCGATATCATCTTGTTCAGCATCTTCATGAGATATCAGATCTATGAGCGGAACATTAATGAACTTTAATTGTAAGTTCTTTCCCAAAACAAAAAAAAGTATTTCGAATCTCCATAATAGACTGACGATTCATTTCAATTAACGATGCCGACATGGAAATCTTTCTCGAGTGAAATTCTTCGAAAAGTAATAAAGAAAGTTCCACCAACGATCACGAATGCGAGCATTTAGGCTCATGCTGAATGTTCGAGGGTATTCTTTGAAATTTAATGGTTTTTCCCCCGAGAAGAAATAAATCTGTAGCTATTGTAGATCCCACTATCGTCTTAATGAAAAAAGAAAAAAGGAGAAGGTTTCCGCACTTTTTCGTTGGGAAGTTTATCCAAGATGAAGAGAAATGGTTTGAGGATGAAAGGTAGAAAATTTTCCCTTTTGTTCTTCCTTATTGGAGTGTATGCGAAAGCAGCTTTCTCATTTTAGTTTAAGGGAGAAATTATTTTCCATTTACCTTTACAAGAGGTTTGAGTTACGGCAATTGATGGTAATTTCTTTATCATTTGTTTTATAAGTTTGCTTATGATTTCACGACTGAGAAGAATTAAACGAGTTTTAAATTATTCTATTACTTAGGGTTAGAAAGGTTTAGTGACTGTTAAATACTCAACATTAATAAAATATGCGTGAGAAAGTTTTTGGTTTTTGTTTCGTTTTTAATTTAAGTTAATGTCAGCATTCGATTAATTAGAAAAAAAAATTTTCAAGGTGAATCTCGTAAATGTGTCTTCGAGATTTTGTGCGCTTTTTTTGTACAATAAATGATCCGAATTCTGCGCAAAATCAATTTCTCTCTCTATTTATTGCTTTTTTATCTTCTTCTTCAGCCTCCTTCTCAATGTTGAGAAGAGTCTCTTGTGTTGCCACCCTCTTTGAAAACAACCCTCATATTCACACATAGACAACTTTTAATGTCGCTTCCAACGTCTCCAAAGATTTTTTTTTCTCTTTTCTTTTAATTCTTGCTTCCAATTCTTCATACTGATGACAAAAGGGAAAGAAAGTGGCAGCAAGAAATTTTTCATTTACAACTTTTATTGTCGTAAAGACGACGAGCGAAATGTTTGAAAAGGAGATGGAAAAATAAAAAAAGGCGCAGCCATAAAAACGACAGAAAAAAGTGCGGCTTCAAACAATACAACAGGTAAAACATAATGAAAAGGGAAATTAAATACAGTTGAGAGAAAGCTAAATGTAAATTACTCGTCAAGGGAGGAAACCCGTCAGCTAAACTTTGTACCAACGCAAATTCAGCTCGAGATAAATGAACATAAATATACTTTGTATGTTGGTTGTAGTTGGAACGCTTTAATGTAGATTTTTTTAAATATTTATAAAGTTTAGGTAATAAACTGAGAGAGAGGAAAATTATTTTAAAAATCAAATTCAATTGCTGGTCGGACTGTGAATATTTTTTGTTTAATCATAGAATCAGGCAAATATCTAAAGTTAAAAGGAATAAATACTTTACTAAGTAAAGTTTTATCTCTAAGTCATCTCTAAGAAATTTTTAAAAGGATAAAGATTTCGTAGAAAATCATACTTTTCTTCCTTCATTTTTTTGTGATGATTTTTCTGCTCCTTCAATACCTCAAGAAAATAAATTTAGCTTACGAAAAGGCGACAAATTTTTCTTCTTTATTTCCCCTCATTTTTAATAGGATTAAATTCCGTTTCATTTCTCTACTTCTTTGAAGGCTCGTTTTTATGTTGCTTAAGGCTCTCATCTTTTGAGCTGTTTTTGTTTCCAAGGTCTTATGTCAATGTCATTATTTTCTTTGAAAAATAATTCGCTCTAAAAGGTGTTTTGTTCTCTCTTTTACTTTTTTTCTGGCTTCAACCCTTTTGACATAGCATGTAACATTGTTTTGATTGAAAGCAACGTTGTGGAAATTGTGAAAAGTGGAAAAAAAATGACAGGTGATAGTGAGCATGAGAAAATGTTGATTCAAGCTGAAACCGTTCAAGGTCGCTTTTCTTTCAAGGCATAAACTTAAGGCTCTGATTGCTGCCTGAAGAATTTCTCGTAAATATTTTAGTATCTTGAAGTCATTTCTAACTTCTAAGCATTCGAAAATTGGGTTAAAGAATTTTCATTTTAAGATGGTAGAGAAAATCGTGCTTCGAGTAGTGCTTCAAAGTGATAAATAAGCATAAAAATATTCAAAATCATTGAACGAACGAACACAAGCTTTAAGAGAAGAGAAAAAAATAAAATGAAACTTCAAAGCTACGTGAAAAACAAGAATGCCGAAAACTTTTCCTTTCGACAGTGACAAAAAAAACGAGAATTCGAGGCTGAATTGTAATTCAAATGAGCGTCTTGCGTTTTGCGATGAACAATTTAGCTTTTAAATACTTTGCCATCTCCTCCTTTTTCGCCTTTTCCATTTTTCTCAAAACCCAATTCATTTTTTGCTTTTCGTGCGTGTTAATTTTATTTTTCACTGTCTCACTCTCTTCTTTCTTCATCTTCTTTTTCTGTCTAAATATTTTTCATCGTGACTCACGATGCCAAGTCTATTTTAACTTTTCCCTAAACTTATCCACGTACTCGAAATCAAGATGCGAAAAAGGCGTGAGGAAAGATGAAAAATGGATATTGAAATCGAGAAGCGAAATACTTACATTTTTGATATCGGAAATTTTCGTAAATTGTCTCCCAAACTCCCATAAATCGACGCCAAATTTAAGCGCCCAATTGCGTACTCTGTAAAAGGAAGAGAAAAGAAGAATATGATAATTGAAACATAAATCAAATTATGAGTTTTATTTTATTTTTCTTCGAAAATGGAAGCAACAGCACATAGAGTTGAGCTTCCATTTTCCGGTTTTTTTAACTATAAAGTGGCTTCAGCTCACGCTTTCAACAAAAAACTCATTTTCAAGAAGCTCATAAATTTCTGAGGCTACAGTTTCTTCCTCCATCATATCATCCATTTCATCTTGAAAGCATCTGACGTATTGAAAAGTTCCCAGAAATGATACGAGAAAAAGACATTACATAAAACAAATATTTCTTTTTCATCATGAAACGATATCACTAAGTATGTGAACAATGAAGTAGGAATGACAAGGGAGGATTTTGTAATGCTCGTAGCGTATCAAGTTTCATGTTGAGAAACAGCTTTTTAATAAAGGATTGCCGTCTTGTTGCTTGTTTTGTAAAACAATTCTTCTTCTTGAAGTTTAAACACGTAAATATTCAATATTTAAATGACTTACTTTCATCAAATAGGTATCAAATAAAAATAAAAGCTTTCGATTGTAATCGATTCCACCATAAACATTAATATCACAAATAACACAAATCGAAAGCTTCATTCAATTTGAAATCAAATATCCATTGAAGTGCAATGAACGATAACCAGAAAAATATGAAAATTATGTTTAATTTATTTATGAGCACTGATGTTTCCCATAAATTGGTTTATTTGTCCATTATGTACACGCAAGAAAATAAATAAATAATAAACAAACAAGTCGAATTAAGGAAAATAACATGAAAGCTTTTGGAAAATTGACTGTGAAAATAAAATTGAATGTCAGCGCATCAATAAAATGGAATTTTTAACAGTCAAAAAAGAAAATGAAGGAAATCGCTGCCTCGAGGATTATTAAACAACAAAAACTTCCAGTATCTACCAAAACAAAAAAAAATCAATTGAATATTGTTCAAATGGACTAAGGAGAAAGAAAGAGAAACACAAAAACCGCGAAAAACGTATCGTAAGCGGATGTGAAGAAATCCCAATGGTAAAATTCGATTTAAATAAATTTTTACACGAAAAGATAATTTATTTCAGCTTGTTTTATTTTCCATTCTCGATGAGGGATGGGAAAATTGTTGTTTAGGGACCACAAAATATAAGTTAAGAATCGGTTTCGGAGATGAAAATTAGAAATCTGTCCCTAGGGCGAGCGAACTAAACGAGTTGAATGACATGGTAAGTTTTAAAAATGAAGGAAATCTCCCTACGCCCACACATGGAATCTTATTTCATTTTCATGCACCATAAATTTTAACATTCACCACACGCCAGATTGGATTACGTATCTTCTATGAACCACCACACAAGGCAGATAATCTTTAGTGCCTAACATAAATTTCTTCTTATATCATTAGAGCTTTTTGTTTTTGTTTCATCATTGATAACATTTCGTTTTCATGTGAATGATCTTTAGTCGTGTGGTTTAAAAATGGTAGCAATTATAATTGAGAGTTTGTTAGACATTCATAACTCTTATAAATGTTACAGAGTCATCAGATCAATCTTTATCTTTTTTTCCTATTTTAAGCGCAATGAAATTGAGATTGCCAATATAGTTGACGAACAAATTTTTACTAAGAAGATTATTCATTTACTGTCACATACATGAGAAAGACATTTTCCAATTCTTTTCAATTTTCTTCTATTCAAATTTGAAAGGATTTCGAAATGGATTCTCGGTTCAATAATGAATAAAGTTAGATATTTAAAATAACAAACGAGAAAGTATTGTTACGATTGATTTGTTGCTAGCTTCAAAAGCAAAAAACTATTGTTAATTTCTCGAGATGTTTGTTTAAAAGTGCAAAACGCGAAAAAACTTTCATTTCATTTTTTCCTTCGTCTTCGTCTTCTTTCGTGTATAGGAAAATCGATTTTTCTTTGCATCTCCTCCAAAAACCAATAAAGGATAATTAAACCAAAGTTTAGTACTAAAAAATCGTTGAAAGGTGTGTCAGTAAATGCTGGCGATAGTCTTGATTAATAGCAAGAAAAAAATATTCCACCCTTCAAATGAACTCGAGAAGCGCCGTCTCGCCTACCAATTACACCCTTTGCTCATTCCATCCAATTTTTAAAGAGAAAGTTTCAATTTTCCAGGCTCATTTTCCCCATTAATTACTCTCAACGTGTTTCAATTTAAATTTCTAATGAGTTTCTGTTGTTCAAGAGTCAACTTTTCCATTTTTTTTTGCCGAATGGAAATGTGATGGGCGGTTTAAGTTATGAACTTTCATAAAATCAACGAGAAAATTTCCTTGAAAATTTTTTATGAATTGATAAATTTATGTTATTCAAATGATTATCAGTCAGGTCTTGTATTTTAAAACAAAAGAAAAATATATTTAAAAAATTCATACATGAGGACGAACATGTTGATAAGAATCGTAATCAATGTTTCAATGAAAAATAAAAATTGAAACTTTCTCTCGTGATTGAAACACGTTTTTAAAGGAAATGGAAGAGAGGAAGAGAAAGTTTTCTTCCTTCGTGCTTCGTTGAAATCATATTAGCGTCTTTTCCAGCACACGCGGAGGTAGAAAATACAAGGAATAGGAAAGAAATTAAAATATAAAATGAAACAACGAAAAAGCCGAGAAATGATTCAATTACTTTCAAACGATAACCTTAGAAGCTAAATTAATCATTAAAGGAGTCTCTTGTGATAACCTCAGCATATTATCTAACCGAAAGATTTTTTAATTACCCCCGCAAGAATCTTAAATGAAAGAACGGAAGGGAATACTCTTTGAATCTCGTCAAACACAAAATGTGGATGTAAAGGAGAGAGAGAGAGAGAAAGAGAGAAACGATTTGAAATTTTATGCCGAGGGAATGATTTGCTGCTTCAGTCAAACATTAAAATTACATTTGCTTGAAAATATGATTTAGCGGTTGGAAGTGGAAACCACGAAAAAAAGCCACTGAGCAACGCAAAAAAGGATAAAAAAATACTTACTCGTTATGTGGAATATCCTTATCCTGATCTCCGACTACGACGCTACCGTTGAGCGTCAATAAAATTGCGATTAAAAATCCAAATAAAATTTTGTGATCCATCTTTGTCACTGCTTTATTAACTTTACTTAAATTAATTCGGGCACTTGCAGTTATAATTTTTATCCTTTCCCTTTTTTTATTTTATTTTGTGTAATTGTGTGTATTTAAGTTTCACTGAACCAATGATTGCACAAAAGATTTTGATTCAACACTCATCAACATGTTTTCATTTTGAGTTGCTTTCTGTTAATCATGAAAATCATTTTTCAGCCAACTTCACTCGCACTTGTTCAGATCTAATCAAATGTAAAAATCATTGAAAAAATATATTTTAATGAAAAGAAGAAATATCACAGAAAAGGTATGAAAAGAAAGGAAAATATTTCCTAAACTGAGAAAAATCTCGCGAGACTCAAGTCTCAAATGAGCGATTAACGACTTTCAAAGTGATTTATTATTTCATGATGGGTTTTCGCAATGAAATTTATTACATGTGTCAAGATGTTTCACAAGAAAACTGAAAGATTGAAAGCTAATTGTCGTTTGTTTGTTGTTGTGGAAAGAAATGTGAGTCATAAATGTATGATGAAAAGTTAACACGAAGTCAAGTTTTTCATTTCAAGCGGCTTTTATTTATCCCGTCATAAATAGTTATGAAAAGAAAAAGAAAATTTCTTTCAACTATTGTCAGTCTGGTTTAGAAATATTTTAAATTCTTTTATGAATTCTTTAAGATGATGTAGAAGGCATGAACAGCTTGCTGAAAGATTTCATACAGACAAGTATTCCCATCCACTTCTGATTAGATAAAAGTTAAAATATGTTTCCATGGAATTCATCATGGAAATTCTACATGAGAATAGAATAGAATAGAAAAAAAAAGTTTCATGTTTTCAGATGTTTCTAACTTGCATTCAGATTTAAAACTTTTAATTATACAGTTTTTATCACTTTCAAAACTTTAAATTACTTTTGTTACTGGAAAATTCAGTTGTTTTCCATGAAATTTACTTTTCCATTTCCTTTTACCCAACCTTTAGCGATAATTTAACAACAAACAGATAAATTGAATTTAAAGTTTTGCTAATTATTTGAAAGTTGAAATTTTTTTTAAGTTTAACACATTGCGAGGTAACTTAATAATCTTAAACATTCAGTACGAAAAACAAAATAAGAAAAATCTTTCCACTTTTCATTATCCGTAATTTTTCTTTTCTCTTTTTTTCACCACTCCACTCGTTTAAAATCCGGTCGCAGTGAAGAGAAATTATGTTATCCAATATTGTATGTAGCACATAGATTTTCCTACTATTACGATGAAAAATACTACGCGATGATGCGAATGCGCAGTTGCACGAATATTTATCCTTTTTTTATCATCGCGTGCAACTTTTTTTCACTAATCTCGCCTAAAACCTCCACAAATTTCTTTTAAATCCTTTCGTTAACCACGATCAGTGATTCAATTATTTGTCTTTTAAAAGTTTAACACTACAATTCACGCATAATTTGATAATCGATTTCAATTAGGAATGAAAATTTTCGGTCCTACATGGACAAACATCTAAAGCAGAATGACGGGAAAATCGTAAAAGCTTCCGATGGAAATGGAAACACAAATGGCGCATCCAGAGGGGGGAAATGTTGTCTATGAACTGGAAATGTCGAAAAAGAATGATTTCGACATGGTTTTATGGGGACAGTTTGTAATTTACGTCTTATAATCAATTTTGTTTTATTTCAGAATTCATTAATTATTTTACAAAATTATTAAATACAAACCAATTAAAGATAAAGTGACGCAGCAAAAACAATGTCACGCTTCAGTAATCTTATGCCTTCCGAGAATTTATTCTCCAAATCTGTATTGCCGATAGTCTTTGATGCTTGTACCATTTGTCGCAAAAGTTCTTCCAATCGTCGCATGCAACGAATAATGCTTCCTTCAAAGACATCAGTCATCTTACAAACTTGAAAGAATGAAGCACCTTTACACCAAGCAAGCACAACATCCATTAATGTCGGCTTAAACTTCTCCACATATTGTTCCTCATCCAACTCAAGTTTACATTCAATCGACACTTTTGCAATTCGCCTCGCAAAATCTTGCATTTGTTTTAATGGTGCTGACAATTCACTTGCAGCTGTTGGTTGTTCTGTAGTTCTTTCATCACAAACAAAGCATGAGAGTAAAGATACGCATTGTGGAACAGTCAACTCATTAAATGTTCCATTAAAAATCATTTCAGTTAATAACAATTCATCACCCGATGATAATTCACATGCAACACGACCTTTGAACTCAATAACATCAGCAGTGCTGCAATATCCAAGACGTCTCAACACTCGCTTTCGATGCTTCAAATCTTCCATTTGTAATAAACTTTTCGCTTGCTTCAATGCTTGTTTTGCTTGCTTTAATTCCTTTTCAATTTCAAGCTTTGCCAAATATTTCGTGTAGATTTCAGCAAGCTCGGAACTGTCATGTAGTGGATGTGCAAAAAGTCGCTTCTCAAACTTCTCCAACATCGACAAAACATTCAAAAATTCTTTATCTTTTATGTGCATATCTTGAACTGGATTTAAAAGTGGCGGTCCATTCGGATATCGTTTTTTAACTTCGTTTATTCGATTCAAAACTGATCGACGATTATCTGACGGTCGAAGATCATTTGGATAGTAAATCCTTAAACTGCTGACTTTTGATATCAATCCCGATATAACTGGAACAACTTCAACTGAACCTTTCTTTCCTTCCGGACAAGGCTTTGGAATTCCTTCCTTCTCCGATTCATCATCAACATGAAGTAAAATGTCAACAATCACACGCGTTACCGATTTTAATGGATTCTTCGCATTATCTTTTGTATCTTTTTTGAAATTTACAATAATTCCCCAATCATATTCATCATCTTCAGTTTTAACTTTCACCATTCGACCAGGTTGAAGAAATGGCACAAGATATTGTGGATTTGTATAAAACTCATGATATTGTTTTCCCAACATGTCAAGTTGTTCACGAATATGATGATAACTGCTGATGTTTGTTTCCTCTTGTATTTCGCATTCATCAAATGCTTTTTGTTTATCCAAAACTTTCTTGTAAAGATCAGGTATGCTTGATTGGTTTTGAAATTGAAAGAATGAACGTTCCAACATGTATTCCGGATTGATTTCTTCAACTCTTAAAAGATTCAAAACCATGTTGTATGTTAAATGAAAAGCTGAATTGATTGCATCTGGCTTTCCTTGTACGATTTCTTTCCCAATGGCTGGTGATACTTTCTCATCAACCATAAGAATTACAATACCTTTGTCATCTAAACCTCGACGACCAGCACGACCTGACATTTGAATATATTCACCCGATGTAACTTCACGAAAGTTTTTTCCATCAAACTTTCGACTACTGGTGAAGACAACAGTTCTTGCTGGCATATTTAAGCCCATTGCAAATGTTTCGGTTGCAAAAAGTGCTTTTAATAGTCCTTCGCCAAATAATATTTCAATTGTTTCTTTTAATATCGGCAGCAATCCACCATGATGAATTCCAATTCCACGTCTTAGAATTGGCAATAAATTCTGAACTTGCGGTAGCTTTCGATCTTCTTCACTTAGCACATCCATCGCGTTATTGAACACTTCATCAACGAGCTTCTTCTCTTCAATTGTATTGAAATCTAATCGTGCCATTTGCGATGCGTAATTTTCACAATCACGCTTGCTGAATGAGAAAATAATGACAGGAGCAAGATTATGTTCCATGATCATTTTAACAATCTTAAATATGTTTGTTGTTCCACCAGGACCTGTCGCTTTATTTCCTCCTTTGCGTCCTTTCTGATCGCCTTTTGCAGCCTCACCAGCATTTAGTAACACATTCATTGCTGTATTAAAATTATCTTCTTTAAAATTTCCATTTTCATCAACGACAAGATGAATTCCATCGCCACCAGCTGGAAAAATGTAATGTTGAAGTGGAGTTGGACGATAATCGGTATAAACAACATGACATGGTTGACGATGAATATGACAAACCCATTCAGCAAATTGACGAGCATTTGGAATTGTTGCTGAGAGGAAAACGTAGTGAACATTGTCAGGCAAAAGAATTAAAGTTTCTTCCTAAAATATCAGAGAAATGTTAGATTTTATTAAGAAAAAGAGTCAAATCATCAGACTTACCCAAACAACTCCACGCTCTTTATCTCTCATGTAATGAATTTCATCAAAAATCACCCAACCAACTTCTCGCATAATTTCTGAACCTCTGTAAAGCATGTTACGAAGGATTTCTGTTGTCATAATGAGACATGATGCTGATGGGTTGATTGTGATGTCACCGGTTACGAGACCAACGTCTTGAAACTCTTCATGAAACTCTCGATATTTTTGATTGGAAAGTGCTTTGATTGGTGTTGTATAAATCACACGTTGCTTCATTGAAAGAGCTCGTGCAACAGCATATTCAGCAACGACAGTCTTACCGGCTGAAGTGTGGGCAGAAACAAGTACAGATTGATTGTTTTCAATACATAAGATTGCTTCTTTCTGAAATGGATCTAATACGAATGGATATTCTTTTGCCGGTGGCAACGTTGATTGCTTAAGTGGTTCATATTCTTGATCTGGATGTACTGCAACTTCATGAACGCAGGCATCTGGACTTATTAGAACATGTATTTTAATCCTTGCATCAACGTTATCCAGACTAAGAAAGAAACATTTCATGAGTGTCATTACAAATTCAAAAAAAACCTTAATTTACTTAAAATCATCCAATAGTGTTTCTAATCGTGGTTTTTTCGCTGTTTCGTCTTCTATCGTTTCTGTTTCATCATTGAGTGTTCTCTTCAAAGATGGTTCTCCGGCATTTCTGCTATTATGAATAGAGTTTAATTATGTTGACGAGCACATTTATTTGAACCATGTTTTTCCAAACTTACTCTTCAGTTGTATTTTCGTTGTCACTTTCTTCAACTTCCATGACAACTGGAATATTCATCTGTTTCTCTTCTTCATTGTCATCAAAACAATCGAATAAATCATTTACATCGCCCATTTTTAATTATTTTTTAAGTATAATTCGCAGAAACAAGTTTTATAATTTCGGCAATATCTAAGACACCAACAACACTTTCCTCATTTTTCCAAGACACTTTTCAAAATAAATAAGGCCGTTAAATTTTTTCAAAAAACAAAGTTAATTGAGAAAAATATCGTGAATTAAAAAAACTTATGAATAAACCATATTATGGTTCTATTATTTCTTTTATTTCATGGGTTTTTCCTTATTGTACAAACTATAATTATGTTGGATAGACAAACAGCGCTTTTCATTCATCATAACTAAACAATTTTCGAATTGATTTGAAATGTGTACATCCTCAACATTTATATAGGTACTTATCTTTCTTCCTCTCTTTATATTGATTATCTTAAGGTAGACGTAACTGTCATGAATACCCTGATGTCTAAGTTGGAAAAAAAATTCTAAGAGAATGAGAGCAGCGTTTGATATTCTGATGAGCATCAATATAAAGCTTTTGTTCATAATGTTTTTCATTTAAGATCTCATCTACCAATAATAAATTGCTTCACATTATTTCAACTACATTTTAAAGTCATCTAAATTTGTTTTTGGTCATCTCTAAAGATTTACATACACAATTTTCTTCATTTTTTGAAGTATAAGAAGGCATACCGATATCCATGTAAACAAGTGACTATGATTGGTGGTTTTTAGTAGTGAAAAGAAGGGCATTCTAAAAATTACATTTTCCTTTCGATATTTTTATGCGCTTTCATACATTTGGAAAAAGCTCTCAATCAACATTAACGTTGTTCTCTAATTTCAATATGTATTCGGGATTTGAGCAATGCACTTCTTCTTAATAATTTCATTCAGAATTGTAATGATTTTGACAAACTTTTAATATTTATTAAATAATTTCTTTGTTAACAATTTTTTATTCGATAATTTAAAAATTTTCTATTACTAATCATCATCAAATTATTTTTTTTACCATTATCAACATTAACTACAGTGATTAAACATTTTCTCATGTGTCGGCATTTAAGCAAATTTTTGAGCAAAAAATTATCGTAGATATTTTTTTCTTGCTTTTTGCTCATTTAATATATTTTAACAAATTCTGTTTGAATACAAAAATTATCTAAAATGATATCTTCAACAAGTGAATGCTACCAGTTGCCACGTTGTTTCACGTGATAATCCAAGCTAATAAAATAATCAGATAACATTTTCAACGAGAAAAAGAGATTTAGGGAGAAGACGAGGAAATTAAAAATAATAGAATCAGAAATTTTTATGTTCTTTCAAAACTTTTTAAATAACATCAAATGTTGAAAGCTCATGTTTATGTCTCAATGGCAAATGGGAAGGAAAGATTTAGATTTATTTTCAGCAATCTTTGAACATCTCTACAAATTATTTAAGTTTCAAGATGGATTTAAGATCTTTAATTAAATCATCAACCAATCTCACAATCATCTAGGTTCGTTTTAATGTTGACATTATTTATGTATTCCATCATCATATTTAAATAAAATTTGATTAAATTACAATTGCAAAGTTCTTCCCAGAAGAATACATTCAATCTGCTGTAAGAAGATAAAGCTCAGATTTTGATACAAGTTTCTAATGTTTCTATCGTTTTAAAAAATATAGGATTCAATGCATTTTGTTATAATTTTTTGACTTTGTATGATTTCATTTAATTAGCTACATGAGTAGATAATTTAAAAAATTACCAATGTTGAAAAGGTTAGTGAAAATCAACATCTTATCTATTCAACTTTCCTTCTTTTCACAAGTACAACTTCACATGGAATGTTATTTTCCGAAAAGGAAAAAGATTTTTTCTAAAACGTATTCTCAGAAAAGTGTCTCTTTAGACCATTTACGAGACGTTCCAGCAATAGAATGATCTGGATTGATAGAAACAGATTCATTTGAATTCGCTTTATTTTGCTTTGCTAAAACGGGCATTTCAAGAATCACAGAAGAGGGGGCGGATGGCTTTACAGAAGGATTTTCGTCATTCTCATTTTTATATTCTACTACGTTGATTGTAACACATTCGCTACTGTTTGATTTCTTATCGCTAGCGCTACTACTGATACAACCGGAATAACTTGCAGGATGTGTCGTCGACATTTTGTCATTTGATTGCTGTCTTTCGATATCTTCACATGGCTCTACATTCTCGCTAGATGAGAATACGCTGATGGAACTTTTGAGCGTTGGTTGAGTGCTTTCAGCGTCTTCTAACTCATCAAGCTTTTCAATATTCACAATTACAACATTTTCATCACAATTTTTTTTTATGCTTCTCTCATCTTTCTTCCCATTATTAAATTCTTGAGTGTTATGGGTCGGGAAATGTTGATCTGTTGTAGGTGGACTCTGCAAACTAATCTCATCACTATCCGTGCTAAACTGTTCCATATCTTCATCAGTGTCAGCGACACTATCATCAAAAACTGAACCATTGGCATCTGAATCCGCACATTCAAATGATGACATTTTAAATGAACTAAGCGATGCTAAAGGCGCTCTACGTATAACTGGTTGTTGATTTATGTTATCAATAGTCGCTATTGGTGTATTGCTATTTGAATCAACTACAAGATTCTCTGATAATTCATTTTTATCACTACAACATTGATGAATATTTTCATCAGAATATTCAGTAATAGAATCGATCGAATTATCGTCGTGTCGTTTTCTTTTAAATCGATCAAACATTTTGATATGATCTTTTGTTACAGTGGTACTGCAATGGGTTAAACGCTCACTAGGACACGGCGATGATTTTGGCGTTGCTTCGATTATGTTAATTCCAGGATAACCAGGTTCATAATCCCAATTATCACGACTAGGTCTACGTGATGAAGCACGTGAATACGAACTTAATCCTAATGTTATAGCTGAACATCTTCGTTCCAAAAATGAACTTTCGGTGCTGCAACATGTCATTCCGCTACTGCGTCGTGAGTCCGCACCCTATGATAATAAAAAAAATTTTTTTCTCACTTTATATAAAGATAAAATTTTCGTATTGAAGAAAAGTTTTTGAAAAGCTTTCAAGAAAAATATTTCTTTCCAATAACTTTTGAAATTCATCTTAATTTAATGACATAAAATATTACCCTTGGCACAGATAAAAGACCATGAGGATAAGCAATCTCAGCTGTTGTGGTAGTGAAACGTTGATCAAACTCATCGTCAGCCTCTTCGCCTTCGCTTTCATTGAAAAAGTTTTCATTTTGATTACTATAATTATCGTTTAAATGATAGGCACTAAGTATCCTAGATGAATCTGAATTACTTTGACGACGTTGACGTCCCACTCCGGAATATCGTCTCGGTGGTTCTAGTAAGCTACTGTAACCGCCGATCGAGGAAAATCTAAGGTTTGGGTTTAAGAGATATGGTGGACAACTAACATTTCCTAATGATACAATTCGTTCTCGTTGCAAATCGATGTCCATTGGTGGCACATCGAGTTCATCTTGATACAATGAAAATGCTGTCTTCTCATAAGCTTCTTGCATTTCTCTATCTTCTTCATCTTGAACAGCAGCAGCAGCACGTGCTTGAATTTTGGGATCCTTAAAAAGTAACAACATACATAAGTGATGAAGCAAAACAATTAATTTTCTCTCACCCTTAAAGCTTTGTTTGAATGACTACGACTCTTATAAACTATTAAAAAGACCATAAGAAAAAAGAAGCCACCCAATGTGGCAGCAATTCGAATTCCAGTCATAACATCATAAGTGGCAAAAAATTCTTCTCTTAATAATTCCCTCTCGGTTTTTCTCTCGAGATCCGACATTTCACCGCTTCGATTTGTGAAGTTTCCAAAACTTCTTGCCGTTGCAGTTGATTTATAAGTGGTGGTGAAAGCCCTGTAAGTTGTCGTTGCAGGCTTTTTTGTTGGAGTTTCTGATGACGTATCGAAAGGCTTCGACGATGACGACACATCACCATGTGATGGTGTCTCGATCCGTGATGTTTTATTTTCAACATTTTTTGTTTGACTGTTAAAATACACAAAAGCGAGAGAAAATTTTGTTCAAAATTTAGATAATTTACTTGATTCGTTCGCCTTGTAAAAGCACCAAAAGAATTTCAGTATTTCTTTTTTTTTTCTTTCTTTTCTTGCTTTCATTAAAATAAATATTTACACAACAGAAACATTCGTTTCTTTTTTTTGCGCAAAACCCAATCGATGTTTCTCTTCTATGTACAAATGTGTTGATTTTAATTGAACACAAGCAATCAAATGAACATACCTCAATGCTTCACCAAACGTTGAGTCAATTTTCGTTGTTGATGAGAAGTCGTTTGCTGTAAGGTTTGACGACCACAATTGAAAGGAATCTGGTCGATTAGTTGAGTGATGATAAAAAATGTATGGTGAACTGGATGGCGACGACGGATCATCTGATTTTATTGACCGTCGCGCAGATTTTCCCATTGCTAAAGAAGCAACATTATCTATAAATATAAAATGAGAAAAAAAGAACAAATTAAGAAATGAGAAAAATTCATGCCGCTTTGTATTGATTGCATTAATCAAAATAGACATTGTGAAAATTGAAAAATTCGTGATTGGTGAGTGATCAAAAGGGGAGACGAATTGTTTATTTACACATGGATTTCTTTTATGTGTCATGATTAATTGCTTGCTTCTCAGTCTTCTTGATGAATGATCTCATTTTTATGATGAATAAATTGAGATATCACTTTAAAAAGAAGTTTTCATTTCAATGAATTTTATGGGGGTGTTGGGAGTTTCGTAACATTATTAACAAGGGATTTTAAGTAAATGTTTATTTAAAGAACTCTTTATAAATTATAATTTATTCAGTAATTGAAATCAGAACAAAGGAATTTTATATGTGAAAAAAAGGGATAACACATTTAAAGCATAGTTTTTAAAGAGGCTAAAAGTAAAAAGAACTTAAGCAGCCTTTTAGCATAGATTTGTGGTCTGTTAAAAAATAATTTATCATTTGTTGAGTACAATGATTCTGTGGTAAAGAGTTGAAATATTTTTCATTCGGATACTAAGCCTGTAGTTTCACTTTGTTCTTCACTCTTTCCCCCCCCAACTGAGAACAAACCATTCGATTGAAAGCCCAAACAATCGTGTAAAGTATCCATTTCCGGTTGAGCAGCTGTAAAAACATTTACCAAATCAAACTGATGTGTTTATTTTCAAATTCATCTCTCTTCGTTTTATTCCCTTTTCATTTAAACATTAAACACCACATTTTAGGGGTTATGGATTTTATTTGATTTTAAAAATTGCACGAATTATATGCTCACCACATATTTCAATTCAATTTCAATCATCATGAGAGACCATCGAATGTTTTATTTTAAAGATGGTAATTTAGACAAATGTGAATAAAAGTTGTAATAAAATATTATCGCTGATGTTTTGATATCAAAACGTTTAAATAGATTTTAAGCGGAGTTGCTTGATTCACGTTTTGTTAAAACTTTCAAAAAAGAGATCGAATAAAGTCAGAAATAAAATTTTATTCGATTTTCTATCCTACACGTGCTTACATTTATTTAAGCATCTTCATTTTTTTCTTCTAATATTTACGATAATGTTTTTACTATAAAGCGATAAAGTATGATAAAAGTTTTGTGGTTGCCATATCATCAACATTCAGAAGGACAAATTAATGATCCACTTATAAAAGGCGGTTCCGTTCTAGTGTGTAAGATTCTGAAGTGTTCAGATGAAAATCGATTTTTGTTAACAGATTTTATTTTCTATTTTATTTATCTGCGATGTCTGGAAAAGCGTTAAACAAGGTCAAGAGCTTTTTCACACTTTATTTTTTATATTTTTCTTCGTTTGAAACATACGAGAAACATAAACATTTTATATTTATGTATATAGAAATAAAGTTGAAAAGCGAATTTGAACTCCATTCGAATAAATATGTCGTAAATCAAACAATGCTATGCTAATAATTTCAGTGCTCGTAATTTTTTCTTCTTGTGCTATAAAAACTGCACAACTCTAATATAGAATTCAATTTTTCTTTTAGTTGCATTTACTAAATATTTGATATTCAAAATTTAATAACAGGAATTAAGTTAAGGAACAAAAATTACAAGAGTTGGGAAACATCGTTCAAAATAATCCTAATTGAAATTAACAATAACTTGTGATATACCTATGTTAAAAACATCATAAAAAGCTAAAATGAGTGTTTTTCATTTCCATTTTATAAAAACTGAAGTACAAATCCAAAACTCACTCGTTAAGGCTTAATGGATTTAAAAATTTTATATTTTACACATGTAAGAGCAGCAAGCACTCAGCAGTGATTTGAGATATTTAGATATTTAGTTATCAAAATGGAAACGAAGAGATTTTATGACCTACTTTTGCCGTTCTGATTTCATTTCATCTTGGAGAGCTTGAACTAGGTCAATGTTCATGCAGTCCTGACTTCTTTGAATAGTTTTAGCCATTGAAGATGTTTAAGCTCAGGTTTTCACCTTAAAATTATCATTGAACCTTGTCAACAAGTAAAATTAACAGGTTCGTAAGTTAAACTAAATTTTCATAATTTTGATTCTTTTGAAAGCTTACGTAGCTTAAGATTGTTATGGAATTATCGCCTATCAAATAATACAACATTAATTATCACTTGTTTGTGTAAAGGAAGTATGAAATGAAAATTAATTTATGAAAGATAAAGGTATTTGATAATGATGTACATACTGAAAAGAGATTATGTATTTAGCTTTCCGAAACTTTGACTTCCATTCTACTCATTAATATTGTAAACAAATATGAGTCAAATTAACATGTCTTTATACACGAACATTAAGTACTTTAATTAATATATGTAAATATTTATTAAAATATGCGAGAAATTTAAATGGAATTGAAACAATGCCTTCGGCAGTTTGAAACTTTTATTGATTTCTAAGTATTTTACTGTCGTTGTTTACACGTCTAACTTTCTCAACAAAGTTATGTTAAAAGTTGAGCTAAAAAAAATGTCAGGGAATGTTTGCTAAGTGATTTCTACAAGATCATTTTTATGTTTGGTCTTGTTTTCTTATTGCAGTCTGCGCAATGAATTTCTTAAAGTTTAATTGATTTTTTACTTGTTTTATCTTTTTATTTTATTGTAAGAATTGAAGACAAGAGAAGAACTTTGGTGTCATAAACATTTTGAAACTGATTTATTATGTAAAAAGAAAACAATAAAAGACCTTCAAGATAAATATTCAATTTTTGTCGTAAGTAGAAAAATGTTGTCAAAACATTTTCAATTTAGATGGATGATGTTGTCATCAAATCAATTTTAAATTCTTGACTTCTTATAATAATCTTATAATCATTTAAATATTTTATATTTCAACAGCATAATATTTGAAACGATGATTTCATTAGACACCTCTTGAGTTAGCTTTTATAAAGGTCGGAAATATTCATGGTTGATATAGCATTTAATTCATTGCAACTTGAGTTCTTTTACATTAAGTACGAGAAGACAATAGTTTATTTTATTTCATGTCATGTAAGAGACATGCTGTGGACGAAAGTTTTTCATAAATTATGCACGTGATGTTGAAGCATTTGCAGAGCATACTCAAATCTCACTTTCCTCGAATGGATATAATCAAATAGAATATACACGCGATGAATTAAAATGATATGAAACTTTAAGTTAATGACCGGTAGCTGTGTGGAAACATCTTTAGATTTTATCGAAAAAGCTTTCTGAAGTGAAAATTTTTTGCAGTGAAATTTGGCAACATTGCAAGTAAAATTGTAAACTTTCGTTCATTATCATCATGAAAAAATTAGATTTTCTCATTTTCCACGCATCAAATAAAAGCGACTACGAAGGTTCATAAAGTTCATAAAATAAATTATGATGTTTAACATGCGGCGATGTAAATATTTATTTTACATTTTTTTTCTTCTTTGGAAAATATTTGACGGGAAAAAAAAACATAAAATCAATATTGGGATTTTCAGTTGAAGGTAAGATTTTAAGCTGCTCCTTGAAATTGAAAAGCGGCAGAAGGCGATCGGAATCATGATCATACATTAATACACTTTCGGTAAGATTTCCTCAATTAAACAAAATATTGTTCCTGTAAATCTCAAACACATTCTTTAAATATTTGTTCAAGCTTCAGCAAACGTTGACTTTCATTATTCTGGTACAAAAATAACCAAGAACAACAACACGCTTTTGTGAATGGTAAGTGAATTATAAGCTCATTTGAATAATAATTAATCCCTTTTCAGACTTTCTCGACACTCAAAAACATCTTGAACATGAGTGAGGGTTTTATTAATTTGCTATATTTTGAGTTCCACTAAAAACCTGAATCACGCAACTGGAATTAAATCAGCAGGTTTCCATTCATCCGTGCTATTGCCAACTATTCTTTCTTACTTCCTTTTGAATTTCCGGTGGAACATGAACGTTGTGTGAAAAAAAAATCTAGGCAAGGAAAATAATTGAAAAGGGTGTAGAAATGTTCTTGTCGCAAGAAGCAAAATATTTGCATTCAAGTAGAAGATATCAGGTAGGTATATCTTTATTTTATTTGTCACAAATATTTTTCTACCATTTCATGTTATCATTTTTAGTAAGTAAAAAGAAGGAAAGAAAAAGATTTCTCTCCACAAATAAATATATTTATTGTCGAAATGATTTTAACTAATATTGTTTGTCTCTTTTGATTAAAGTTTCATTTAATTGTCGACGAATGCGAGTCACAGTTATCCACATCTCAATTTTCTTGTCGAAGCTGAGAGAAGAGAGAATAAGCTTGGCAATATAGATGTATATATTGTTTAATGCGCCAAATTTTCTACATTCATGGAGATTATATCAAACAATAACTAAACGTGTGTGTTTACAGAAAAAAAGAACTCGGAGAAAGGCAAAAGGAAAAGAAAACCTTTCTCAGGAAAAATCCACATGTTGATTTAGAAAATTATTGTGTTGCTCGGAATGTGCCACGAAGAACCATATTTTCTCTTTTACTTCTTTTTCATATAGATATTTATACACACGCAAACATATTCCCCACAAATACATTTCAAATTGGGGAAAACTTTTTCTTTGTCTTGACGTGAAACAACAAATTTTCTTTCTTTTGTAAGCGAAGGAAAAGTAAAGAAAAACTAATTCAAACAGAAAAAAGCAGTAAGGCTAAAGATTTATTGATTTAATCAAAAGACGTTTTACTTGTTTACACAAATCCTCATGCTTCTTGTCAGCTCCCTAATCGAATAATAGTTGAGAAAATCTCCGATAATTTCCCTTGAGAAATTCTAATTAATTTTTGTGGATTTAATTTTTTTTTTGAAAAAAAATATATCAATGTTTTAAAGTAAACGTTTTCTTAATGTTTACATCGAGATTTTTTTGTTGTCGAATCCATTGACATAATGTTCAACATTATGATTATAAATATTCATTAAAGACAATAAATCAGAATGAAAAATACTTAGCTTAAGTATTGAAGTTGGAATATTTTTCTAAGCTATTATGGAAATATGTTCATCAAAACTTTTTTTGAATGGTTTGACTGCTTGCTAAATTATGTAATTATAGTTTGTATTTACAAAAATCTAAAAACTGTTATTTGATTCAGGTAAAACAATACTGAAGCTTGTTTAGAGTTCAAGAAATTCTTCAACAGCAAGTATTACGTCTTATTGATTCAAAGGGGATGAGATATAATGAAAAATAAATACCTATCCGTTTATTACAACAACTACAGTCAATAAACCAAAGTAGCAATAACAGAGTTAATAACGCCAATTAGCAGAAATATTTTCAAACGAAGTATGTAGATAATGACCTAGTTTAAATTCACAAGTTGGAATTTATCTACAAGTAAATTCAGTTTGATATATGTAAGAAAATGAAACAGTTTTCGATTTTGAACGATTTATAAATTGCGCTTTTACAAACCAGAATAAATGGCAATCAAATGAAGATGATTTTACAGCAATAATAAAAATGTTTACTGCCGTCACGATGTCTCGACATCAATTCGTTGTAGGAGTAGCATATCGAGTATAGCAGCCAATCAAACAATGTAGGGCCCATAGTCATAGTCATGAAAATTCCATCTGTTTATAAATATCCAAAATATGTCAGGGAAATTTTCACAAAAAGGAATATCTCGTTCATGTTTCAATTGTTTTCCGTTTCGTCTTTCCTTGTTCTCTTTTTACTTGCATCTGGTTTAACTTTGCTTCCAACACATAAAAATTTACACAAAGAATTTTTTCCATAAGTTTTTCCTGTCTCAATGAATTATTTTTCTTATTACTGTTAATTTTTGTGCTAAATAAAATTGCGAAATTAAGCAGAGTCATACATGACTGTGCATTTTTTATTTGGAAAGGATGAATAATTGATGACTAATTATAGTTCACAATCGATGATATTTTTAATAAGACTATAATTAATAAACAAATTTCTATGTCGGAATCATCTACGCTTTTCCATTATTTCTAAATAATTATCAATCACGCTCTTGAGTAAAGATAATAGAAGAAAATCAATTTGTGCATAACGATCGCCGTTCAGCAATTTCACCATCATTAAAACATAGATTTTCTCAGGCAAAAATCATCTCGTTGGTTGGATGAAAAATTTTTTTGAGACAAATTCCCATTATTACTAATGGAAATATATTTTATGCAAATTAAGCGACTCCATCAGACTCCTTTTCCCTTTCCTTCCAATATGGTTCTGTTTAAATCTCTACAGAACTTCAAGCGCTCTTTATTCCTTTTTTCTATTTCACAACGTCATTTGAAGGAAAATGAGTGAAGCAAAAAATTGTAGCTCATTGCGACATAATTTACATGGTAATTTAAAGAAAAAAAAACTGTTTTCATTCCATTAAAGTTGTTTGAACTTTTTCTCTTAAATAAATTCTCATCTGTCCATGTTAAATAATTGTCTAAATGTAATGGAACAAAGTGAATCTTTAAAACAAATTCTAATCAATTCAACGTCATTCTACTTCATTTTTACTTACTTTTTCAAACTTCTTATCTTCAAAGAAATTTCACAATCGAGAGTTGTGTTAACTGCTTAAAAGTTTCTTTTTCATTTTTTTCTTTTTTGCAATTTACGAGAAATATTCAAAAGATACTTCAAAATCTTCGTTTACGCATAAGATGAATGTCTATTTTTAACAAGAAAATATGATGAGTTTCCTTTCGTCTTCATCGTATCTGAAGATGAGGTAGATTAATGAAATATAAGAAATGAAATATTGGAACAATGGAGTGGAAATGAAAGAAGATGTTGGAATTCATAAAGGTTTTCATTTCGATGATAAATATGGAATATTCTTTGTGTTCTTTTTATTTAAGAGGTTTCCTTTCCTGTGGAATATTTGTTGAGATTGTCAATCATAATTAGAGTTAAATGTAGTCCTAATTTCTTGTGAAATAAATTGGTTTAAGCTTCAAGGATTTTCCCCTTGAGTATTCGACAACTTCTACAAGATATTTTCAAGAGAAATGAAAAATGCTGAAGGTCTTTTTTTATTCTATTTCAAACGTAAAATCGGCTTAGAAAAAAATGTTGAAACGAAAAAAGGTGAATGAAAAGTTTTTCAATTTCAAATATTGCCATGTTCTTCTTAAAGCTACTAAACACGTTGTTTTAAAGTTGCTACCTAGAAACAGTTCTACAAATAAACATAATCTACAAAGAGAAAGGAGAAAGGAATGGAGAACATCAGCAAATGGAAAAGGCAAGAAATAGGATTATCATGAAATGAAAAAGTATCAAACGGAAAAGCATCAACCGTCTCTTACAATGTTCCACATCACCATCACATCTAACATTCATTATAAATACATTTTGACAATGATACAAAGAAGACTAAACCACCTTGAAAGTCAAGTTGGGAAGACAGTTTACATTTGAATTTTACGAAAAGAGAAGTAAACGGAAAAGCAGGTAGCAAATGTGCTATGAAAAAGGACACGAAAGCTTTTGAGAAGAAGAAAAATCGATAAAAGTGAAACAGACAAAGTAAACAGCATTCTTCATAGCATTTGTGTTCGTATGATGTGAGAAATCTCATCATTAATTATGATGCTGTGAGAGAGAGCAAAAGGAAGATTGTTGGAATGATGACGAATCTGAAAAATAAAACCTGGTTGGGGACTTTTGACACAATTTAATTTACAAGTACTGTTCTTTGTACTAGTTTCTTGATTTGAATAATACAAGGTACAATATCGCTAACACAATGAATAATTTTTCGATTAACATTCATGTTGGTATGAAGAAAAAAAAACTGAATATGTTCGTTTGCGAATCTCCTGACTTAGTATATTCAGTAGGAAAACGCGATATGATAATTCAACAAAATTAAATTTGAAGCAGAAGCCATCATCAAACGTGATTCACGAGTAAAATATACTAACAGAGGTAAATATCATCCAACATATAACTCCACATGATGCCAGTAGATATTCTCATAAATTATTAACAGAGCAGCGAAATGAGAGTAAACGAGTGGAAAAATTGTTTGCAAATGCTTGTGGTGTCGTGAAATTGCTCTAAAGCCTTGTTCAATTATGTTCAAAGTGGAAGTCTTTGGTAAATACAAAAGAAAAGTAATATATGTACTGATAAGTATAAAAATTAATTCAAAAGCTTTCATCATAATCCCAAAAATACGAAAAACAAGCAATTGCCAGATGCAGTTGTCAACATTCTCATGTTCAGAGAAATTTTTCTAATTAATTTTTTCATTTATTGGTGAAAGTTTTAAAAGCTCGAAGATTTATAAGAGAAACCTCAATAAATATTTCTTCAACAAAATTTTCCATTCAAATCTACAGCATGATAAATATTCTCATTGTTTATAAACTTATGTTGACATTAAACGGTAATGGATCATTTGTCTTGCATAAAATATGCATAAATTATGCATAATCATATGTACAGAAAATCCATAAAATCTGCATCTGCAAGACACAGGACCGCATATTTTACGCATATTTAATGTGTATTTGATGCAAAAAACTGCAGTTTATGTGAAAAATATGCAAGACAAATGATCCATAATCACATTAAACATAGAAATAAAATAATTTTTTACGTAGTTGAGTTTATAAAAAACAAAATCATCTTCAAGAAAATTTAAATAATTAGGGGGGTTGGCCAATTATGACACCACCCGAAAACGCTTCCAATTATGACACCACTTTGTTTGGATTTAATTTTATATGCGATTAGGGCTTACCGGAAGAGGCGATTTTTTATTTATTTATCCTTGAACCTTCCTCTACCGTTATGTATTAACACATTCCTCCGGTAAGCTCTAAGAGCTGTTAAAATTAAACAAACAAAGAGGTGTCATAATTGGCCAACCCCCCTATTATTGAACAATTACCCGAGCGGCACAAAAGGCAATTTCTGAAGAAAAAGCCAAAGGGAGTACCAATGTAAAATCGCCACAGTGCAACCGTATGCCTCCGGCACGGCGAGTGTGTGCCGCTCGGGTTAATAAGCAATTATCACGACCTGTGCTACTAATTAAATGAAAGATATTGTATGTGTATGAATTTTATTCTCAATGTTATGAAGTTAACGTAAAANTAATCACATTAAACATAGAAATAAAATAATTTTTCACGTAGTTGAGTTTATAAAAAACAAAATCATCTTCAAGAAAATTTAAATAATTATTATTGAACAATTATAATAAGCAATTATCACGACCTGTGCTACTAATTAAATGAAAGATATTGTATGTGTATGAATTTTATTCTCAATGTTATGAAGTTAACGTAAAAGCACAAAGTGCAAAAGATAAACTAAGCAAGAACCTTTTCAGTATTTTTCGGCCTCAGGGCTGAATAATTGACGGATATGCGCTATGAAGAACCTCCATTGGAATTATTCACAACTTATCTTGAAAAGCTTTATTCTCTTACAAAGAACAAAGGAAGAAAGAAAATCATCAAATAGAATGGAGAAAATAACAAAAGTTTCGACGAGAAAATGCGAGATGAAAGCAAAGTTTATGTTTAACATCGCATCGAAAAGGATTTACTTGTCAGAACATTATATAAAATGAAATCATTAAATAGATTAAGATATGAAGATAATAAAACTTTTATTTGTTTATGGATTAGTGTGTGGTTATGTCTTCATCGTCAAAATAGAACAAAAACGTTTAAAACAAAGTCACATCAGCAAAAAAAGAAAAAATTCCTTGAACCATTTCTTCGACATCTTCAGTCTCACTTTATTATCCCAGAGGATTATGCATTAAAGTTGCCGCTAAAGAAAAAAGGAAAGAACGAAAAATGGGGAATTTTTTTCTGTTTTTCTTTAGTGAAAATGAAGCCACAATATGTCTCTCTTGAGAGTTGAGAAAGCTTAAAAATAATTCTCGGAAAAGTTTCATGAACCAACTTTTTCTTAAAGATTCGTCTCTTAAATACAAAAGCATGTTAACAAATTATCTTGAAATATGCGAGAAACATAATCAAGAAGAGAATGATCAACTGAGAAAAAGCTTTGTACCAAATAAAAATGTTAATAAATTCAAATTGTAAAGTAGGTTCGTTTTTTTCAATTTGAGTTCGCCGAAGTAAGCCAGTTTATTTATGTTAATATAAAATATCAAAGAACATATCTAAATGATACTTTTTATTCAAAGATAAGTTCTCAGTTTTTTTTTATGTTAGGATATTATGCTATCAAATGAAAACTCTCATTGCATAAATGGAGACAACACGAATGTTCTCTTAAATCAATTATAAAAGTCAAATCAAGCGTTTATTTTACAGAACCAGAATATTTTGCTGAACAAATGGAAAATGACATTTTTGGGTCAAATAAAAACTGAATTGTTTTAACATCATTGAATAACATCACCCAGAAATGCATTCAAATATTTCTTTTTGAGATATACTGTTAAAAGCTTAAGCCAATCTGATTTTCTGGCTTTTGTTTCACATTCGTTCTTTGCTTTTTTATCAGCTTTGGATGAATGCATGGATAAAAAATGGAAATATAGATAAAACATGCGAAAGTGATCTCAGGTTCGATAGTAATTTTCCGTTGAAGAAGTTAACGAATAAGTCTTCAACGTAACAACCTTCACTTTAATGGCGTCAGCTTTCATGCCCTTCTCAGTCTAGAAAACAAATTTCGACAATAAAACGGTGCTCTTTACCTTGGCTTTGCCATGCTCACGTTTAACAAGCAGCAATACATGCTATTGCCCTTTTCACCCCGACTGATTCAAAACTTACCGTGAAGCTTGATGGAACCCTCCCCACCGTCCTCTGCCTGTCGAATCGCAATTTGAAACCCAAGCTCTTACTTTTCACTTCCATAGGATAACATGGTATAAAAGAATGAAAGAATCGATTTTCTCTCAAGATTGAAAGAAAATTACATCAATAAAAACGAGGGCTTCGTAACAGAGGTTGAGTTTAAAAGTTTTCTTTTCGTTTTTCCCTTTTTTTCTCTGACTTGTTCTGCATCATTTTGTCTGACAATTTACTTTCTTTCCATACAAGACAAAGTGGTAAAGTTCGTTTAGTTATTTGTAAAAAAATATTCACCTTTATTCAATTATCTACTTTTATTTTATGTTCAGTTGTGAGGTTGAATTCTCCATTTAATTGGAAAACATAATGGAGTTTTGGACATTAAATGTGACACAATGTCATCAAAGTTTTCTTGTGTGTTGAAACCATAAATGAATGTACAAGATAAGAGTACATACCAAAACCTACGCTTTCTTAGACAAAAACCAGTGGCAAAAAAGTATTTTAAATAAAATTAAACAAAACCCCTGAAACTTTTTTTTTCCACCAGCCAATAGAATTTTGCCATACTAGATATATCAACCCCTTTCCTTCTCTTACATATATTTTCAAGTAACTGTCCCATAGCAAAGTTCTTAGACTCAGAATAATAAAAGGAGAAACATTTTCCAATTTTTTTTTGTTAGTAATGATGATGTTGCCGCTGGGAATCTTTTTTAAAAAAGGATCAATCACCATGACGTCGTTTTTGAAACATCTTAATTTCACTCAAAACTCAGATTAAGTTTACTTGCTTTCATTTGTGAGGTATAAGGAAACCTTTAAGTTATGCAATCTTTTTGGACATTGTTCATTTGTAACAGTTTGAAGATTAGGTAAATAAAGAGTGTAGCAAAATGAATGTTATTATCTATCCTATTTATGTTAGAGAAAATTGACTTTTTCTCTATTACATTATCTACAAAAATAAGTAGTTAAAATAAATATCGAAGGGAACCAACCTTATGGAAATCCGAATTTATATATCCGTTTTATGTCGATGGATGTGACTTCTATCTGTTGCTTCAGATCGATCTTGAATTGATGAAAACGAGATGCAGAAGATTTTTCCAATATTAATCCAATCTTGTGACAATTTCAAAACGATTCTTTATTTCTATAATCACAATTTTTGAGCTTTTCACACAAATGATTTCGCTATGATTAATGTATTGAAAAAAACTTCAAAAACTCAACATCACCATTTTCCAGACACCTTTCACCCGAAAAAATTTTCTTTTTCCCCCAATGTCTTTTCACGCTAATTTACTTAAATATATATAATTTTTCTTTTTCCTGCACTTTAAATAGAAGTAAAAAATCAATCCACAGATCGCCCACGCACGGACGCAATTTCAACTTAATAAAATCCCAAACTGAACAGAACTTATTCTTTCTCTACTCCACCATCGGAAAAAGCAATGAGAAAAACTTTATCTTCGTTTTCGTTTTGCCTCGTTGAAATTATTTCTGTTAACAGACTTTCTTTCAATATCTTTTTTTTTCTTTTCTTTTTCTTATTTTGATGTTGAATTTTTTTCCAGCTTCAAGTTAAACGCAAAATTCTCCACAACTTGAATTATTAATCTTTTAATTTTCCCAATGCACAATAAGGTTTGATTTTATTAAATTATTTGGACGTTGAAACTGATTTATAGTTCAAAAATGACGAATTTGACTTCTGCACATAATATCTTTCTTGAGATGTCAATGTTATGTTCGTCTTCTTACTTATTCAACTTGGATAATTTATAATTCATTCAGCAACTTTCACAGAATAAGCTTTAAGGCTTTTTACTTCGTCAAGAGGAAAGTTTCACTAAAGAATATTGAAAAGTGATTTTTACTTTCTCAGAAAAGTGAGAAAATTAAATTCTTGGGAAATGAAAAATGTGAACTGAAAATTTAATATCTTTTTTTCTTTCTGTACAAATACGATTTTCTGGAAAAATGATGTTCACGATATGAAATCACGAAAGAAACTGAAGTTAGGCAGAATAATTTTTCGTGATGGAAAATTTTTTCACGAAAAATTTTGTGAGAGACTGGAAAGATGTTTTCCAATAATTTAAAATAATTGAGATGGTGAGCTTTACTATTATTTATAGAATCCATAGAAACCGAAGTTAAAGTTTTTAGTTTCTTCTTGTTATAGATTAATTAAAGAGAATATAAAATGAAAATTCGATTATTAAATAGAACATAAAGGACATTTTTTCCTGAAGAATTCCCGAGCACATGCGTTGAGATTCAACAGATAAACTATTGGAAAATTACAAAGAATTTTTTATTTATCACCTGATTTTCACCTGGAATGTTCCAATGAAAAAATTTAACGAAGAAAAAGGATTATTCTTTTTTAGCTTGTCTATATTTGAAAAGCTTTCATGATTTTTCTGTTTTTGTTTGTTTTTCAACTTAAAATGAAGTTTCAAGATATTTTGTATTTGTTTTTTGATTTATCGAACTCGTATGAGAGTATAATATAGATTTGACCTTATTTTAAAAATTAAAACTAAATCTCTATTTTAATATCTATATTTAGTAGAATAATCTTTCGGGGAAACAACTAAACCTCGACCTTTCCTGGCGCCTCGATAAACAGTTTCTACAATGTCAATCATTTCCTGTTTGTCTTCTAAAGCCCAGTTGATTTTGTTATTGTTTCCAGTTCCCAAATCAATCATAATATGTTTGTTTCGGAAGAAGAACATCACTGTGCAGGGATCGTATAATTCATACCTGGGTATTTCAAATATTAATTAAGTATTCTTAATTCAAAAAATAAACTTAGCTTACATTTTATTAAAATCTGGAACTTCAGTGATATCAACTAAATAAATGACTGCAAAATTTTTAACTTTTTCTGCAATACTGTAAAGAACTTCATCCATTTTCATACATGTTGGATCCCAATCGTGGCCAAATCGAATTACCTTCAGGATAGAGAATATTAAAATTAGTAAAAGAAATTTCTGGAAATTCAAAAGTTAAAAGCTTACTACAATTCTATCTTCTTCACTTAAAATTGCTTGGTCAACCTGCCAACCATTGTGTAAATGTGCTAACATATAAGACATGATGAAAAGGTTTTTTTAAAATGCTGCGAGAAAGTTATTTATTATGATTTTAGATAATCGTTTAGATGTAAACAAAACTTCTATGAATGATGACTTGTATACCCTGAGCATAACCGTTTCACGATTTAGCAACACATTTTTTAAACCGTAAAGGGTACACAAAACAGTTTTAGTTTTCCCTGAAATTTATTAAATGAAAAAAAGAATAGCTACCAATTGAATACTGGTTGATCATTAAAAGTAATAAAATAATTAAAACGATTGTTGTCAACTTCATACAATTTAACAATGGTGAGCATTTGTTTGCATTATTTTTATAATATTGACAACTCACCGTGTTGTGCAAAATAATTTCAACAATTTCATTTTTAGGCTGGCGAAAGAAAAGGAACATTCAAAGTTGAATTTCTTCAAAAAATCGAGAAGGAAATTCAAGAAAGATGGGAGAAAGAAAAGGTGAGGTTGTAAATTAAGAAATGTCGGTAAGTTAATAAGTTTATTGTATATTTAGATCCACGATTCGAATGCACCAGTGGCTCCAAAAAAATCTTTAGACGAAAAGTATTTCGTCACTTTTCCTTATCCTTACATGAATGGGCGTCTTCATTTGGGACATACATTTTCTTTATCAAAAGCTGAATTTTCAGTTCGTTATCATCGGATGAAAGGAAAGAACGTTTTGTTCCCTCTCGGCTTTCATTGCACTGGAATGCCAATCAAAGCTTGTGCTGATAAATTAAAGCGAGAAATTGAGAGCTTTGGATTGCCTCCTGTTTTTCCACTTGAACAAGAAGAATCAGTTGTTGAAATTGAACGAGATGTCATTCCAAAAGACAAAAGTAAGGGAAAGAAGTCAAAAGCTGTAGCAAAAGCAGGTTCAGCAAAATATCAATGGCAAATCATGAAATCGCTTGGACTTAAAGACGAAGAAATATCAAAGTTTGCAGATTCACGCCATTGGTTGGAATATTTTCCACCACTTGCTATTAAAGATTTAAAAAACTACGGAGCACATATTGATTTCCGTCGAACTTTCGTAACAACTGATGTGAACCCATTTTATGATTCTTTTGTTCGTTGGCAGTTTGAACTTCTTAAAGAACGTGGCAAGATCATGTATGGAAAGAGACACACAATCTTCTCACCGAAAGATGGCCAACCCTGTATGGATCACGACAGATCATCAGGTGAAGGCGTTGGACCGCAAGAATATACTTTAGTGAAGATGAAACTAATCGGCAAAGCACCAGAAAAATTGTCTAAAGTTAAATCAGTGATTTATCTTGTTGCTGCAACACTTCGCCCTGAAACAATGTATGGACAAACAAATTGTTGGCTTCATCCTGACATCAAATATATTGCTTTTGAAACAACGGAGAATAATGAAGTCTGGATAGCGACACGACGAGCAGCTCGTAATATGTCGTATCAAGGATTTATGAAAGTGAATGGTGAAGTAAATGTTATTGCTGAACTAAGTGGAATGGAACTTATGGGACTTCAATTAACAGCACCACTTACATCAAATAAAATTATTTATACACTTCCAATGTTGACAATAAAAGAAGATAAAGGAACTGGCGTTGTAACTTGCGTTCCTTCTGATTCACCTGATGATTATGCAGCACTTACTGATCTACAGAAGAAGCAGCCATTCCGCGAGAAATATGGAATCACTGATGAAATGGTTTTACCTTATAAACCAATTCCAATCATTGATGTTCCAGGATTGGGTAATCTTAGTGCTGTTACGGTATGTGAAAAGCTTAAAGTTCAATCACAAAATGACCGCGATAAGTTAACTGAAGCAAAGGAACTTGTTTACTTAAAAGGATTCTATGATGGCATTCTTTTAGTTGGTGAGTTCGCAGGAAAGAAAGTTCAAGATGTTAAAAAAGATTTACGTAAATATCTTGTCGATCGAAATGAAGCTGACACTTACTATGAGCCAGAAAAGTTGATTATGTCGCGATCAGCTGATGAATGTGTCGTTGCACTTTGTGATCAATGGTACATTAATTACGGCGAAAAGAAATGGCTGGGAAAGACTCAAAAATTGTTAAAGAGCATGGAAACTTATCATGAAGAAGCGAGACGAAATTTTGAGTATTGTCTTGATTGGCTTCATGAATATGCTTGTTCACGAACGTATGGATTAGGAACGAAGCTTCCATGGGATAAGCAGTGGCTGATTGAATCTCTTTCTGACTCCACAATCTACATGGCTTTTTACACTGTCGCATATTTACTCCAAGGTGGTGGCTTTCGCGATGAAAAGTCGAGTCCTTTAGGAATTAAAGCAGGCATGATGACAAACGACGTTTGGAATTTTATTTTCTTTTCTGACGCTAAATATCCATCAAATTGTAGAATTAAAAAGAATGATTTGGAAAGTTTGAAACGAGAATTCAACTATTGGTATCCATTGGATCTTCGTGTGTCTGGGAAAGATTTAATTAATAATCACTTGACATTTATGTTGTATAATCACACAGCTGTTTGGGATAAGGAACCGAATCAATTGCCACGAAGTGTTCGAGCAAACGGTCATTTATTACTTAACTCAGCTAAAATGTCAAAGTCTGATGGAAACTTTTTGACGCTTTATGAAGCTGTTGAAAAGTTCTCAGCTGATGGAACTCGTCTTTGTCTTGCTGATTCTGGTGATTCAATTGAAGATGCAAACTTTGTTGAAACAACAGCTGATGCTGGAATTTTGAGATTGTATACATTCATTGAGTGGGTAAAAGAAATGATAACTGGACGATTATTGCTTCGAACTGGAACGAAAAATTCATTTTATGATCGTGTCTTTATTAGCTCAATGAATTATTACGTCAAAGCGACTGACGATTACTACAACAAAATGTTGTTCAAAGAAGCTTTACGAACGGGTTTGTTTGAGTTTCAAAAGGCTCGCGACACTTATCGTGAACTTTGCGGTGGAAACAACATGCATGTTGATCTTGTCTTTGAATTTATCGAAAAACAAGCTTTGTTGATGGCTCCAATTTGTCCACACATTGCTGAACATATTTGGGAGTTACTCGAGAAGAAAGGAAGCATTGTAAAAGCAAATTTCCCAGTTGCTGGTGAAATTGATGAGAAATTAATTAAGTAATATGATACCCTCAATAATTTTTGAACATAACTAATTCAAATTTGTTTTTCTAGATACTCGGAATATTTAATGGAGACTGCTCATGTCTTCCGTTTGACATACAAGAAAATGATGATTGCTAAGAATGCACAGAAGCCAACAAATGGTTGCATTTGGATTGCAAAGACTTTTCCACCATGGCAAAGTTGTGTTCTCGATACGATGCGTGATCTTTATGAGAAAAACAATTCGGCACTGCCAGATAACAAACTTATTTCAGTAGAGTTGGGGAAGAAGGAAATTCTTAAGAAACACATGAAGAAAGTTATGCCATTTGTAGCAAAGATTCGTGAAGATGTTGGAAAATTGGGAAAAGCAGCAATGGCTGTCACTGTTGATTTTGATGAGAAAAATATTCTGGAAGTGAATCTTGAATATTTGAAAGGAACTTTAGATTTGGAGTGTCTTGAAATTCGTTTCACTGACGATTCAACAGCTACCGAAAAGACGAAAGAAGAAGTCACGCCAGGTAATCCTTTCATCATTTACACGGTGAAGCCTTCGATCAAAATCAATGTAGAGAATCCAGTGCCGCGTTCTGGAATGTTTACGCAATTTCTAAACGTTTCTGATGGCGACACGACAACATTTTTGAAGCAAAAACTTGCGAAAAATCTTGGCTTGAAAGAAATCGATCCAATTCAAGTGTGGAGGTATAAAGATCCAGTTTTGGGACCACGAAAGATTCCAATTTTCAATGACTTTAAAACTGGAAAAGTTCAGTTGGAAGAGGGAACATTATCAATTGATATGAAGACTGATACTGTCTTTGTAACAAAAGAAAATGGCGACAAAATTACTGCTGGCTCAAGTTTTATTTATGTGGTGGCATGACAGGAAAGACGAGTAATCGCAACAACACGTTTTCATGTTTAATTAATATTCTTTTTTATTCATTATTAAATAAAATATAAAATTTGAAAATATTTTAACTTTTTTTGCTAAGCAACTTTGTTCATATTTTCTGAAAAAATCAAAATTATGTCAATTCCTAGGAGGTTTATACAACTTGAATATTGAGCTTCATCCATGCAACATCCGTTGCGAAAACAAACATAGTTTAACACTTAGCTCTAAAATCAGCATTTTCAATTCAAATTGAGTGCTTTAAAATGTCATGCAAAAGTTTTATATGCTGAGAGTATTTCAAGATTGCAGACCGAAGCAAGAACAATAATTTTGCAGATCTGCATATCAAATTTGTTAAAAGGCAACAAACAAAACTCTTTAATAAAGGAAAAAGAATCCCATATCAGTTTTCTTATATAATCTTTTGACGACGATGTGATCAACAGTGATTGTCAAAAGCATTTTATCTTCAAAGAATTCTCTTACAGTCACAATCTTTCGATGGCCCTCCTGGTTTTGAATGATTTTATTGCCTTCTATTCTTACTTTTATTTTGGAAAATCCATTTCCAGATACAAACTCGTAGTACGTCTTTTTTGATCGCAAACCGATTGTAAAAGTCCTTGAACGGTAATTGAAGTGGCCACAACAAGCTTGATGTAGAGTTGCAATTCTTTCACTACGAAAAACATGTTTCATGCACCAGTTCATATGTTTTATGATAAAGAAAGTAATTTTAATATAAATGTATTTTGATTGTTTTGAAACACGTAATAAGTATCACTAATTCTAAAACACTGAACACGAATACCGAACACTTTTATTACTTATTACTTTAACTAAGTTTACCTTATTTATGCGCATTTCGATATAAATGGTTTATTAATTAATTTTAATTGAATTTCACTCATATAATCAAGAAAAGCTTCGAGATTTTCAGTTGAAAGAAGTTTATATTTGCCAACATATTCACTCAAATTATGCTCCATTTTCTCAAAATTATACTTCTCGTTTAAATATTTGAAAAATGTAAAATTTGCAAAGTATGATTGTTGGTTTGTTCAAATAAATATTAAACCAATCTCTTGGTTAGGAACTTCAATAAGAAACTATGAAAATGATTTTCATTTCATTTTCCAATGCAAATCTAGCGTCAGTTTTGTTCTTGGTGATTACGTCACGTTTGTATATGTATTGCGAAACTATCTGTTGAAGAAAATTTCGATCAATATTTGAAGCTTATGAAGCTTTACTTTTAAACTGTACGTTGAAGCATAAATTAAAAAAAAAACATGCATTTAATGACAGATTATTATCATCGTCAGTGACGCCTTGAAAGCTGTAAATATTTTAACAAACGCTGACATTTGAATGATTTAAAGATGAGAAAATATATTTTGTAAGTTTAAATTAAATTTAATTTATTTAACAAACATTCAACAAGTTGTCAAGACATCACATTTTACAATTCCAAAGTTTTGGGTAAAGGAAATTTTTACAGTTGCACCATCAATGATAAGCTCACTGTTAAGCACTTGAGCCGTTCTTTTAAAGCATGAAGTTTTAGATTTTCGATTAGTCACGAAATCATTGGTCGCTCTTGTCAATTGAATTTTATGATGATAGAAAATTGCGTGAATAGGAAGGTTTGTGTTTCTCAATGGCACTTCAAGACTTGACTCGTGAAGTTCATCGTCGAGGGAAATTTCGGAAATCTTAAAAGCACTCGTAAGCTTCTCACATTCTAATGAATTGTCAAGATCGAGATGAACTTCTGTCGCAAATTGATTGATGAATTTATCGATTTTTAACCGTTTCACATCAGCGTCAGTTATACGACATGAGCTGATGAGCCAATCACTGTTGATAAGTTCACCGAAAAGCGTCACTTTATTTGGAATAAGAAGACCACCGTCAGCTTGCAGCTTTCGATATTTCGCAAAATTACAAACCATTTGATTATCCAAATCTCCAAGCGAAAGGAATGGATGAAGAATAATGAGTTCAAATTTAATATTAAGTCGATCAATCATTGATTCATCAATAAATTCAAAACCTGATTCTTTGATGACATTCCTTGATGCGATTTCTTTCACAAGAAGTTCGTCCTTTTTTCGACACCAAAGCTTTTCTATTCGTCCTTCTTTAAGTAACACCAAGCCGACATAAGGAAATACTGAGAAGTCTAAACAGTTGATAATTTTGCTTTTATGTTTACTAACAGAAAATTCCAACTCTTGCAGATATTCTTCATCGTTAAGGAATTTCAAAATGTTTGAATCGACTTCAATATCGACTAAATCTGAATTGATGTCAAGATCACGATCAATTTTCAATACACCTTCTTTACATGAAACTGAGATCTTAACAATTTGATACATTTGAAGTAATACTCTTTGTTTTAATTTGAAAATTGCTTGCGTCCAACATGATCCTGACTTTGGTTTCGTTGAGATGATATTTTCAGGTTCCATTTCATTTAAATAAAGTGAAAACCAAACAACAAATCCGTCAATGTAATCATTGTTAACTTCACTTTCAAGTTGACATTCTTTGATAATTTTCCCATTGAAATATTTTTCCATCGACTCGAGATTATTAAAATTAACTTCGATTGTTTCCACTGTTTTTGTGACTAGTTTAAAATCAGAAATTTTCTCCACATAATCGGCATCGTAAGGTTCATCACGTTTACTAATCAATCGAAGATTTCCAAGAAACAAATATTCAAGAAACATATCGTTCATTAATATTTCTGTTGTACTTAAACTCTTACATTTATAACCGGCAACAAAAATTTTCACTTTCCATGGCACAATTTTTCCATCAACTTCCAGAAGATTTTTCTTAGCATGAATAAATGTGTCAAGAATTCCTTCCCCAAATACTGCCGAATCAAGAGTTTCCGATACAATTAAAGTTACTTTCGAAGGAATATCTTGTGGAATTTCAAGTTCTGTTGAATGTTTTTTTATAAGCTTCACCATTTCACCACGAATGTTTGCTTTGAATACTTCAGCTGAAATGTCAGCCATAATTTGACTAAACTCTATAGCATAAATATTTTTCACTTTAGTTTTGACTTTAGCAACATTCGTTGCATACATTGACAATAATCCTGTTCCACTTCCAATATCCATCACGTCGATAATTCCATCACCATTTTTTATCCAATACTGAATTGCACGTTTGAAACTGAGATTACGAGATGAATCATTTAGCATTTTAAAATGCCATCTTGCCATTTTATTTTTGATGTTTTGGAGATTCTGATATGCACGAAGATTTCGGTGATCATTCTCACATGCTTGCTCAAAAAAGGCTCTCGCTTCTTCATCTCTTTCGTGTCTGAAACGATCATTACAATATGATGATTGGATTATTAGTGAAGAATTGTTTAACTTCAAATTCATCATGGCTTTGAAAGTGGTGAAGCCAAAATGAGATTTTTTCTTGGATCTCTTTGTTTTGATCAAAGATCTCACAAGGAATTGAGAAAGATATTAATATCTCATCATCTCTAATGATTTGAAAGACCTTAAGGTCAACTAAACTTAAACAATTTCTGTCATTTTCGTCATTGTAATAATACAGAACTGGATAGTTAATTAAATATCCGAAAATTGTTGGCACACAATATTCTTCAGAAATTTCCAAATCAACAAATAAATCGTTTTCGAATGAAATTATTTGCTTTCTAATAACTTCCAAATGTTTTTCAATGTTAAAATCGTTTAATTTAAAATTCCCAGGCTTTTCCAAACTCCCTGACACATCAACGAATATGTGTGAATCTTTTTGATAGAATTTCTCAATGTTGAGGATGAAAAAATCTTCTTTCACAGCCGCAACGATAATTTGTTTGCTAATGAGTTTGTTTACTTTGAGTTTTGTTAGCAAATCTATCAAAGTTTCTTTGTTCGTTACACCACAATCAAAAAGAAATCCACGTTTAGGACATTGTATTTCATTCACTGATCTTATCTGTGATGCAATAATTTGCCAATGCTTTTTATAAAATGATCGAATGATAGCGTCAAACTCCATTTAGTCTGAAAGAAATTTTCATCCTCAACAGTTCAGTTTCCTAACCTAGAAAAGTACAACAGAATACTCACTTTGCAAAAAATGACCCCAGTTCGGTGAGAAGATCACTGTCTTTAACGTAATATTTTAAAGCTATTTCAAAGCAAGTAAGAACCTCAAGATCTTTATTTTGAGACTGTAGATCAGCGCTAAGAAGTAACATAAATTTGAACTTTTATAAAAATATTCTACGTGACAAATTCATTCTTACCAATGTAAATTAAGTACAAATATAAATAATTCTTTAAGTTTTTCCTTCGATTCTGGATCGTTCTCAAGTTCACTAATGACAACATCAAAAGCTTCTTTGTACTTTTTTGAAGCAATCAATTGTTCCATTATTTAGGAGTTTAGAAGAAAAGACAAAATAGATGTAAACAACGGAACTTCAACTTTTTGCATCTTTATCAGCCTTTTTTTGCATCTTTTACACGTCTGCCGGGATAGCTCGCTTTTTCTTTAAATTAAGATATTTGTAACAATAAAAGGATAAAAATGGTTCAATTAAAGACAGTATTGTCAAAATTTTATGATGAATATCAGAACAACACTCCAAAGAAGTTGAAACTTATCGACGCTTATCTAACTTACATACTGTTGACAGGAATTCTGCAGTTTGCATATTGTGTACTTGTCGGTACTTTCCCCTTCAATTCATTCTTGTCTGGATTTATTTCAACTGTTAGCTGCTTTGTACTTGGAGGTAAAAATAGAAACATCAGTTTTTAAGTGAATTCATTTATATTCCTATTTTTGTTTGTTTTTCAGTTTGTCTTCGTCTCCAAACGAACACTCAGAACAAGAGCCAGTTCATAGGAATATCACCAGAAAGAGGGTTCGCTGACTTTATTTTCGCTCACATCATATTACATCTTGTAGTTGTTAATTTCATTGGCTAGATTACGACTTTTTTTTGGTTTCCTATGAAAAGAAATTTTTCAATCATTTTCGATAGCCACAATGAATAAGATTTGATAAATAAATAAATATTCCAAAAAATGTCAATAAAATCAAACAACAAATCTCATGCTGTCTACATAAATAAAAAGAAAAAACTGTATAAACATGCATTTATATTCAACATTCAACTGTTCATATTGTGAGACATTTTGTTGTTTACGTATCCATAAATAAACTCCTACCAAATTTCTCAAGTCATTCGTGACGCAATTTTTTTATTTTGATTTAAGGCAAGAATTAAGTTTTTCTAGATGAAAAAAGAACTATAAATGGATAATTTAATTGTTGTGACGGGATATGGTCAATTTTATGGACACGAAGTTAATGCAAGTGGAGAAGCTGTAAAACTTTTACCAGATGAGTTAATTTTGGGAACAAAAAAATATATTCTAAGGAAATTAGAGGTGTCAGTAGAGTACGAAGATGTTGATAAAAAAGTTGAAGAGATTTGGAATATGAAACCTTTCCTAGTCGTGCATTGTGGTAAGCACAAAAAGTTAGAATGATTAGTTTCTTCTTATAAAATATAATTTCTTTATTTTTTAACCCTTTCTTTAAGGCGTCCATGGAGCAACAGACAAAATCAAATTAGAAAAGTGCTCATTTAATGAATTTTGTCTGCAGGATTTTAAAGGAAAGTGTCTTGCAGATCCGATCATTAGTTTAAATAACTCAGGAAAATGTCAGAGACTTGAAACAAAGCTCAATGTTGATAAAATTACAAATGTTCTGAATGAATCATATCGACCGATGTTTGAATCTTCGTGTGATGTTGGAAAATATTTATGTGGCTACATATATCTCAAATCCCTCGACATTGATCCACAAAGATCACTTTTCGTCCATGTGCCTTGCATCAACAAGCCTTTTTCAACACATGAAACAGCTAACGGTATCTT